AGAAATTTTTGACGTAACTGCTTTTTAAATTAAAAAACCAAAAATGATTTAAAATCATTGAAATCTTGACAATCTATTAAATAAAAAATATAAATGTTTTTAACGCTATGTGAAAAATAAACATTGAGTATTTAAAAAAAGAATTGATACTTATACATATTAGAGTTTAAAGTTAGCAAAATGCCGGATCCGGTTTCCGGATTTTATTTTTCTTTTAAACCGGACCGGATTTTCCGGATCAAAATCCGGGGTTTATCAAAATACCCGGATTCCGATCTGGAAAATCAGGAACCGGATCAGGACCCGGATTTAAACTCTAATTTATATAGTACATTTTGAGCTTTAAATTATCTAAAAACTTTTTTCAAAATCTTTTTCTAAATAATAATAATTTATTTTCTTCTATTTATTCATCATAATAGAAAGAAACAGATCGTTGTATATCCGCATTTAATTCCATTGGAATTCCAGCTTCTCCAATAATATTTCCCGTAATTGAATGAAAAGACCCAAAAATATCAAAACCGGAGGCCCCAACAGAACGACAGGGCAATGGAGGATCTTTTTTTGATTTTTTTTAAATTAATTTCCAACTTTAAAAATTAAATTACCATCGGCACTTTGCCATGTTCTTTTCATCTAAAAAATTGGAAATTTAAAATTAGGGGAGGCTGTTTAGCTCAAAAAAAGACTCGAATAACTCCTCAGCCCCCTATTTAAAATCGGTCTATATTCTCTGGTAAGGTTGTTGGTTTTGCCAAATTCTTCGGTTAACCGAATCAAAAATCTTTGGTTTAGTTTAGAACTAACAACTATATTCTTTAGGCCCACTTTTTAAGAATATTCAAAAAATATTTATTTATTTACTTCGTGTAAATTAAAGAAAGCACAAATTTCTGCGGGAAATTGGGGCAGAAAGAAGGCATCCAATAAAGGCTCAAACTGAAATAAATAAAAATATTTAAAAATAAATTTTTTGCCAGACCAATCCAATTAAAAGAGATTGCCAAATTCGAATTAAAATTTCTTGAAGAAATCTTTGTTCATTTGGAATTCTTTTAAAAATTTAAAAATATTTTTTTTTCAAATTAAAAAAAAGACTTTGAAACATCTAATTTATTAGAAGAACGTCTGTCAGGAAAAGCAGTTTTCATAACTAAAGGTAATTCCAAAAGAGGAATATGAACACAAACAATAAATAAAATAGCTCTACAGAGAAGTAATAAAAATAACTTTAAATTTTAAAATTATTTTTCAAAATTTCCAAAAAAAACTTTAGTTGATTGTTTATTATTGTCAGACCATTTAAAATGTCCTTTTTGAATTAATTGTAAAGAAAAAAGAATTAAAGCTGTTAAACAAAGAATTGCAATACAAACAAAGGGGAACCATTTACGTATTTCTAATTGAATATTATAAAAGTTTTGACCGAGAACCTTTTTTTAAAAATATTTTTTAAAATTAATTTTTAAAATTAATTTAAAAAAAAAACATCTTGCATTGCACAAAACGAAGAAACTTTAATTGTTGAATTTTCTGATGATATTATTGGCTGAATCCAGGCAGGGATAAAAGAAAATATTGAAAGTATTAATACAAAAAATATAAATGCTGTGTTGAAATAATATTCAGAAAACTAAAAAATATAGAAAGAGTTTAGCGAAAGTTTAGCCTGCGCATCACCTGCGACCTCAGTTACTGCTAGGCGCTTTCGCTCACACACACAGGAGCTCCTACCACTGAGCTACCGGGGCATCGGCTAATGCCTAATCTTTTATCCTTCTAGATAGTTTAACCCCGCCTAAGAATTCTAAATGCTGCTAGGTTAATCATCCTTACAATATATGTAAAGTGATTAAATTACAGTAGATGTTTTGAGGAGAGAAGACCCCTAACAATATTTATATTTAACCCTTACTTCTTTATGCCTTTTTGTCCAAACAACAGAAATAAACTGATCAACACATAGTAATGCCAAAAGCAATAATTGTGCAGAATCAGTAAAAACCTTAAAAACAATTTTTCTTTTTCTTTCTTTTTAATTTTTCCAACCCAAAAATGTAGATGGACAGCAGTAAATAAACATTTTATTGGCGGTATTTGTTCATTTTGTTCAGTATATACCGAAAGAAGAATTCCATGAAATCCAGCATAAAAAAGGGATAAACCGAGAAGTAAATCTTTTAATATACATATTTATTTTTTAATTAGTTAATTACCCATAACTCTGAGTGTATAAAAAGCAGCAATAAAGCCACCAGAAGCTTTTTTCATGGCAATAAGAAAAACTAAAGAAGTACATGTCGTTAACTGAAATTTTAGGGTAAAAGCCTGCGAAATATATTTTATGGGAGGATATACAAAAAATGTAAAGGAATATTTCTTCTTAACCTCTTCTTAAAAATTAAATTTTCCCATTCAACTTAATTATTCCCTCTAATTTTAATAAACAAAAAATACTTAATATATACTAACTATTTCAACTTAGTGTACTCACCAACGCAAAGCCGGGAAGTAGATTAGAAACAAGATCTGGCCAAAATCTCATTTATATTTTAAACAATTAATTTAAAAAATATTAGTCAATTAACGTTAAAGATTTTAGCAAAAAATAATTATCCCTTCTCCTCCCACTAAATAAATTCCTTCTCCCTCTATTTATTATCAAAAGGAAATTATTTTTTAAAGCAATTGACAAATGAATTAGAAAATATTATTATTTTATACAAGTAGATTATTTTAAAAAAAGTCTTTAAAAATATTTGCCAATTATTGCGATTGCTTTATTTTTAAGAGAGAGAAAAGAAATAATCTTTTAAATAAAATAAAAAAGATTATTTTATTATATTTAATAATCCAATGGAATATCTACTATCCCTCCCCCACCTGAAAATCTTTAATTTGGCATTTAAATGATAAAGAGATTTTACTATTTATTTTGCAAACTTATTTTTAAATTTAATAGAAGTTATTAAATCAGTGTGGCCAGATAAATTTGTGGCTAGCGACTAGTGATCGAGATTTTTGAAAAGCATGAGCCTGTTCCTGGGTTTGATTTATTGACCTGGGCCTGTAGTCCATGAAAACCCAGGCCTTGGTCCAGACCCAGCTAGATCACTACTAACGACCTACTCAACTAAGACAACAATTATTGCAGGTTGTAAGGATTAGGTTACCCAAGCCCGAAGCAGGCAGTGGCTAACTAGACCCAGCCCTTTTAGTTGGGGAAACACCGTCTACACAATGAATCTAAACAAAATTTATTTTAAACCAAATAACTTAAATTACTAAAAACAATAATCAAAAATCCGAATAATTTGTCAAAACTATTTTTTCTGTTTAATCTCAACATTTGAAGATTGTGGATTGTCAGAAAGTTGCTTATAAACAGACATTGCCTTTTTAAATTAATTTTAAATAAATTTTTAATTTAAAATTTAAACCTGAATAAGTAAAGAATTTATTGGACTTAAATCAGCAGGCATAATTAAAGTATTATTTTCTTTTGCCAATTTCTCAAAAGCTTTTACAGACTTTTCGGCAACTAATAAATTAGCAGCATCCCTTCCTTTTTCCTTAAATAATTTTTTAAATAAAAATTTAATTTATTTAGAACAAACTTCATTAAGAGCTTTTGAAATGTGATTAAGAGCTTTTTGACGAGCCTCTGCCTCTAAAAGTATAGCTTTGGCAATTCCATTAGCAGCATTGATTTGCTCTTGCATTTTGGCCTCAGAAGCTAAAAATTTAAAAAAAAATGTTAAAGGGAAGGAATTCTGAAAATATTTAAAAAAATTTACCTAAAATGCAAGCTTGTTTTTCCCCTTCAGCAATATTAATAGCTGCATCTCTATGTCCTTCTGATTCGAGAATTGCTGCTCGTTTTTTCCTTTCAGCTTCTACTTGCATCTTTAAAAATAAATTAAAAAATATTTTTAAAAGAAAAATTTTTAAAATTTACTTGCATCGCTTCTTGAATTTTTTGAGGCATTTTCATATCTCGAATTTCATAACGCAAACAAACAATTCCCCAAGGCTCTGCTGCTTTATTTATTGCTTCTATTAATTTTAAATTTAAAATAAATCTTTCAAAAACTAAATAAATACCAACGATTGCAATATTCAAAACTTCACGTTCTTTAAAAACTGTGTCCAAAATAATTTTTCCAACTTCAGATCTCATTGTTGTCTGCGCCAACTGTTTTACAGCAAATTCGGGGTCTTCTACTCCATACGAGGCCTTTAATTAAAATTTTACTTTAATTACAAAATTAAAATAAACTTTATAAGGGTCAATAATTCTAACATAAAGAACTCCATCTAATGTAAGTTGAACATTATCTAAAGTAATAGCACTCTGTTCAGGGATTTCCATAGCAATTTCCTTTAATGGTTGGACATATTTAACGCTATCAATAATTGGCAAAAGAATATTTAAACCCTTCAAAAATTAATTTTAAAAAAGTTTTTTTAAAAATTACAGGTTGGAGTGTCTTTAAATAACGTCCCATCCTTTCAATAACCCACGCCTCTTGCTGAGGAACAAAATTCAAAACAGTATTGGAAGCTAAACGGCGAGAAGTATAACTTAATGAACGTTGTGTCAAATAAAGCCTAAAATAAATAAGTTTAATAAATACTAAAAGAAAAACCCTGTAGAAGGTAAAGCAGTCAATGCAGAAATTAACACTCTTGGTTTTAAAGAAAGCATCTATATAAAATTAAAATTTTATCAATGTTTAATCAGAAAAGTGAATGATTCTCTTAATGCAAAGGAATGTATGAAAGTGCTCTTATCCAAAGGCAAGTTTTGGTTGATCAAATGACTAAATTGGGACACACTATGGCGAAGGACACTAAAGGCAGATATTTTTAATACGGTGTTGTTCCCAACAATCCGAAAAATTCGAAAAAAAAATTTCCCAAAAATTAAAATTTATATAGTAGTGCATTATAAAAATGGATGTGAAAAATCTATTAGGATTTCAATGTCATTTCTTCACATATTTAAATACTTCCTTATTTCTCTTAATAACGTCTTCCTCCAGAAGAATAACCACCACTCGCAGGTTTGCTGTAAGACGTGTTGTATCTGCTTGACGTTCCAGCCCTATTAGTGTTTGCACCAAGTGTACCGCCCCAATCTTAAAAATTCAAATAAGTTGTCTTAAAATAACAATTTTTATTTTAACCTCCTCCAGAATTCCACTGTGTTGATGAACCTCCAACATTACTTCCTCCACCAAGAAAAGAGCGTGTTGCTGCAGCATTTCGTTCATTTGTTCCACCACTAACATCCATCTGCCCACCCCAATCCGAAACTGAACTTTGTTGATAATACCCACTGCTTCCACTCCCAAATTGTTGTGGCGTATGTTGAGAGTCATATCCTAATAAAATTTGTTCAAAAAATAAAAAATCAACCGAAAAATATACCGCTGGAGAGAGCATTATTATTTCCACTGCCCAAAGAAGGTTGAGTGAAAACTCCATTACCAAACATTTCACCAGTTGGACGAGATGAAGAAAGTGCTTGATTCTGTTTTGAATTTATAAATTTTTAAACCAAAATTTAAAAAAATAAACCTGTGACTGTTGTTGAATACGTGAACCATACATGGAATCAGATTGCAATGTTCCCCCGCCGCCTGTATAAGAAGCAGTACCACTTGTATTATACTGATTGCCACCACTGTAATAATCTCGACGAATGCTTCGCTCATTTGCTTAAAAAAATTTTTTTAGTCAAGATTAACGGCCAGGTGACTCACAATGTGGCGGTGAAGACACCACCTGTCTATCGCTGCTAACATTACTAAGACGAACGGACATTTGGTGATCTCCTCTAGCCGCAGCAAAACCACCATCTTTGCTAGTTGAATCAATGCCACCAGTATTGTAGAAATATCGTTTATTATCATAATATAAAAAAGAAAAATTTTTATTTAAAAAAGAAAACAAAAATCCTAACCAAATTCAGAAGATCGCCCCCCATCAACACGCTTCGAATGAGGACTATTGTTTCTGCCCACTTGCATAGGAATATTTCGAGAACCAGAGTAGATGGCTGCTGAACGTTCACGTTCATTGTCACCTTGATAAAGTGCACCACCTGTATGATGTTGCTTGTTTAGACTATCGTGACGAGAGGTTCCTGAACGTCGTAAAGGTGAACGACTTCGACTCTTGTTGCGATAACGTGATGAACGCGTTGACTCAGGGCCACGCGCACTTCGTGAGGAATGACGAAATCTTAAATTAAAAGATGGTAAATGAGGCTGTAACGTGTGTAAATTCATGACCCTAACATCAACGAATTTTAGAATACACTGGCTAGTGATAAACATTTATATCAATTTGTACTCATTGAACATGTACCTGTCAGAACGTTCATCCCTATCATTTTGTTTAGAAGTTCGTGATTTGCTTCGGCTCATCTCACTTTTAGCCGACATATCAATACTTCGTCGTTCTGAAGAGAAAGCCGTTGGCATAGCACTCTCTCTCTCACGTCGATGATTAAATCCACCACCTCCAAAGTGTTGATTATGGAGAGCTGATGTAGAAGAATCTCCTGTTCCAGTTATAAGAGGAACCGAAACAGCAGCAGCACCTCCTTGTGGTAAACCTGCAACTGCAGCAAATTGTAACTGTGTTGCCTGAGCTAGCTGCGCCTGAAGTCTTAAAGTCTCAAGTTCAAGCTTATCACGCTCCAATTTTTCACGCTCATAACGAATTCTTTCACGTTCACGTTCCATAAGTAACTCCTCTTCTTTTTTACGATGTTCTTCTTCTTTGCGACGCATAAAACGTATGAGATCTTCTTTATCTGTTGAATCATTATTATTTTTACTCTTTGCTGGACTTCGTCGTGACGATTTACGAACATCATTTGGCTTATGTCGATGACTACTACGTCGACTCTCTTCTTCACGACGGCGACCGGTAGAACGTCTATTACTACTTCCAAAACGAGGTCGATTGAAATTGTCGGATATTCCAGGAGCCGAGGAGTTTCGCACATTTCGTCCTCCACTGATACGCCCTGCACGTCCTCGGTTTCCCATAATCCTGCCAGTTGCGTAAGATGCGTTCATGCGAGATCTCGAAGAACCAAAAGATCTTGAACCAGCAAAGCCACTGTTCTCGACTGAAAGAATAAAAAAACCAAATTTAAACGGGTATAAATAAATCGAATTTATCACGGGTTCGAACCCTGACACCAATTTCCACGCTTATCAAGATAAAAAAGTTAAGAAAAAATGTGAAAGTTACAGCCTGATCCTCCCCATTTTGTAGAAGAGTTATGAGCTTCTTTAGATGATGCATTAGATGTGGAGATAATCCTAGCCCGAGGCGATCGTTTAGCTTCTCCAGTCGATATTTTCTCCGACTCATGAGTTTTAGATTGTGATGTGTTGATGTTTGGTTTAGCTTTCCCACTAAATGAATCACCATTGCCTTTAAATGAAGAATTTTCTGAAGGATTGTTTTGAATGGGTGCATCGGAATTGTTGTTGTTAATAGCTGATCCGTTTGCGCTTTTATTAATTTGAGATAGATTTGATCGATCAGCCTTGAATATTTTTTGTCCAGATTATTATTTAATAAGACTAAAGAAAATTCTGCAAAAAATTGTTAGGTTTTGAAGAGACTAGACTGTTCAAACTTGCAACAATTTTCTCATTTATATTTTTTACGTTTATAGTTAACCTTCTCAACATTTATTATGCGTCCTTTGAAGTTCATTCTATTGAGTTTTTGAACACATAAATCAGCAGAAGAAGCATCAGATAATACAACAAACCCGAAACATGTTGGGCTTTGCTTGTTTTTTGTGGTGAAAATCTTTGCTGTCACTACCTTACCATGCTTTGAGAAAAGCGCCTTAATGTGTTAAATGATATACACAAAAAAAATTTTTTTTGAAAACACAAAACACTTGAATTAAGGCATACTTTAAGTTCAACAGCTTTCGTTGTGTTAGTGATCTGCAAAATTTTTTTGTAAACTTATGTTAGAGATTTTGAATTTTTGTAGCTTTTTTAAAAGATTTGCGCTCAAAAATCTCAATTCTCAAAAGTTGAAGTTTAAATTTGTAAACAAACGTTTCTAATCCAGATACTCGAACTCAAATCACGAGAAGCAGTTGTCGTTGTTGTTGCTGAAAATGCGTCGGTTGATGGATCTTCTTTAACAATATTTGTTGCTGCTTTTGCTTCTTGCTTTTCTACTACCATAACATCATCTTGTTCAGTTACTTTGCTTCGAATAATTTCAGTTGTAATAGTTGCTTGAGCTCCATTTTGACCCTCTTGTATAATTTCTTTCGTTAAATTTTTTTCAGATTCTTCTTCAATTTTTTCCTTATCATCGTCATTCTTCTCTTCACGACCCTCGACAATATTCAAAAGATTTTTACTTGCTTCGTTAATTTCAGCACAATCCTTCTTTGATGGTGACTCATCAATAGTTAACTCAGAAACTTGTTGATTTGCTAAAGCATCGACCTAGAATGTGTCGATAGTTGTTAATAAAGTTGAAAAATTGACGCGTGCCCAAGCTTTGGCAAAGCAATTAAAAATCGAAAACACTAACAATCTCAAAGATTTAAGGGAGAACACCAAGGAAAAGAAGAGTAAACCTTAACGTAAGTAATAAAATAACCTTAACAATCTCAGCATCTATAGCTTCAAGTGGTTCTGCTGAGGATTTTGACAACACTGAAATGGAATCATCATTGTGCACATCTATAAAATTAAAATATTTTCAAAAACTAAAAGAAACCAACAAAACCTCCTTCAGTTTTTATGTTTGGATTTATTGAAATTCCGCCACAAGTCACTAAACAAAAGAATTCATTTCATCATTTATTGAATTAAAAAACCTAAGCTGCTTTCGAGAGTCTCTCCTCTCTTCCCAAGTTCAGTTCCTAGTTCATTAGCCTTTACGTCACTCAGAGTTTTTTCCTCAATGTTGCTCATTGTAAAAGATATCTGAAAATACAATGAGATTTGAAACATACATACATATATTTTATAAAATAAAAAGTAGTACATGTACAATTAATTGACTTGAATTATGTCAAAAAGTCAGCAAGACTCTTTTGTCTTTACATTTATTTTCAGTCTCAGCACAAACCTAAACCTTTAGGCTTGCTTGTCAATAGAGTCTCGGCGACTTAGCATCGAAACGCCTTTTTCTATGCCATAACTTTTTTTATTTCGATCATTTCCAGAAATTTTCTTTATCAATTAGAATCTATATTTGTTTTTATTCTTTTTATTAACTTTATGAAAGGATCCTATCATTTCTTAGAAAGTTACACCCGCCTAAGTATGTTAAATCACGATTATTCGCAGTTAACGGCTCCTAACTTTTTTGAAAGACGGTAAAAACTAAACAATTTCTTTGAAAAAATAACCAGCACATCCAGAGCCTTTAATTAAAGCAAAAATTATTCGGATTGATTTAAAAACAAAAAAGTTATATCCCAAAAACTTTCGTTTTGATGCCATATTTTAAGACTCTTTAGTTACCTGGTTACTTTTAGTCTAAACCTTTTGAAGCCTAAACCTTTAGGTTTTTAAACATTTGAGTCTCACCACGTCTTCAATTTTTTTTAATTCTAGCTTTTTTAATCGTTTGTTCTTCTTAATTAGTGTGTAAAGATGAACCAGAACTGATATTCTGGTAATAGAAATCCCATAAATTAACAATCACATAGATAATTTTTGAATTTATTTATGAATTCCTTGGAGAATTTCATTCCTGGATGGAATAGAAGTCTTAGAACCCTGACTCCACTAAAGATCCTAGTTGTACCTTTGTTGTATACTTCTTTTTGCCGATACAATGTTGTATATCAGTGATGTGCCGAAAGATTTTAAATAGCGAAAGACGAAAAACCAAAAAAATACAAAAATCCGGTGAAAGACGGATGGCGAATACATAGGTATTACAATATGTATTTACAATTCCAATCTCAAAATTCGTTACAGATTTATGTTTATAATTTTCTCGACTTAAAACGAAAACAGGAAAAGTTCAAAAAAATAAGGCTTTGTTATTTTCACACAAAAAAATTATAAAACATCAAGCGATCGGTTAATGAGCGATTTTGTTGAGGAATACGATGAAAGATAATAACTAAAAATTAAAATTTACTAAGAAAAAAGAATTTAAAAATTTACGTCCAATAAATTGCATTAAATACAGCAAAAGCCTAAAGTATTAAATGAACTTTTTTTCTGAATTAAAAACAAACCATAGGGAATGCTATAGAAGAGAATCTGTCAATAGCACTCCCCAATTCAGAAGGAGGGGATTTTTTAATTGATTGTTGTGAATAACTTTTTTGTATTTGATTGGAACCATAATTTGGTTTTATCTCTTGTTTATTTGAATGATTATTGTTATTTGTTGTAACAGAAAGTAATTCTTTTGAATTATAATCAAGAAATAAATCCCCTCTAGAAGATTTTCTTTGTTTCATATCAGGTAACCCAGCAGTTGTTATACTTGCTCTAGCAAGTAAATTACCTACAGCAGAAGCTTTTCTTCTTCTTTGATTTTGATCTACAATTTTGTCATTATAGGCAACAATAGCTAATTCAACTAATGCTGCCTTTTAATTAAATTAAAGGAAATTTATAATTCGTTTAAAAAACATACAAATATAAAACCAACACAACTAAACATCTTTAAAACAAAAAAAGTTTTAAAATAAGTTTGGGAACATACCCAAAGGTCAATTGCTTTTACATAACTTGCTTTGGGTAAAGTTCTAACAATTGTACCAAATTGAAATGTTAAAGCCATTAATGAACTAATTAATTAAAAATACTTTTTAACTCTCAAAATCCCCCCCTCCCTAACCTAACAGAAAGTGTTATTCTTGCAGGAAGTGCTCTTGTATCCATCCAAAAAGCTATCCAACTAAAAATAATTTTTATTTAAATTTCCTTTTCAACTACAAAACCTTATAAAAACAGAAACATAAGTTGGTAAATACATCTTTTTAAATGTTAATAATTAAAAAAATTTTCCTTTTAATTTTTTACCTGAAGAACATAAAACCCAAAAAGTCTATCAAAATAAATACTAACATAAAGACGATTCCAAAGCCCCGCAGTGTAATTATAAAATTTATAAAGAAAAGTATAGAGAAAATATTTTTTTGTAAAAATACCTCAGTTGTTTTTCCATAAGTAATATTTGTTAATTTAAAGTCTGGCAAGTTTAAATCATCCTTTTTAAAAATTAATTTAAATAAAATTTTCTTTTCTTTTTACTTTAATAATCGAAACAGGTAACCATTCAAGCCAATCCAACGTCACTTCTGCTATATTGTAGGAATAACTAAAAGGCCCCCAAAATTTAAATAAAAATTTGAATATTTCCCCAAACCTTTCAAAAATTAAATCACAACGAATTGAATCCAAAGGAAATTTTCTTAATTCCATAATGCATGGGGATTCTGATCTAATACGATAATTTAACCACGTTGTTCCATTAGGAAAAATCTTTTTTAAATTAATTAAATTTATTTTTCTTCCCCTTCTTAAACCAACCATTAATAAAATATTTGGTTTCGGAGAATCGTGAACTTTTGTTTTTTTACTATTTACAATACAAACATTTGGAGACCATAATCTTGGTTCCATATCATGATCTAATGATAAATTTCGACGGCAAGGGTCAATATGTGAAAATTTAAGTCGAGTATCCTGCCTAAAATAATTAAATTAATTTTTTTTAAATAAAATTCTCTACTACCAAATTGCAGAAATCCAAAAATCTATAACAAAAGTCCCACTTATTGCTGAAATATCAGATATATCTTGTATTGTTATCTACAAAGAAATTTTTTTATACAATAATTTTCTATTAAAGACCTCAACATGAACATTAACAGGAGCTGGCTCAGGTAAAGCACTCCTTTTAATGAATTTTTCTTTATTTTTACGTAAATTTATTTTTTTTGCAATTTATCAGACTTATATTTTTTCCTTTCTCAATTTTAAATCTAATTTTTATAATAAAATTTTCGGACAAAAGCTTTGTCAAAAAAATAAAAATTTAATAAAAAAATCCTTTCACCTAGAATAGTTATCCATTAAAATACGAGCCAAATCTTGCGCCTTTTCTGAACTTTCAAACCCATTTTCACACCTAGCAGTTTCTGATCGATAAGGGCGAACAAAATCTGTAGTGGTTAGTGAAGGCCTAGCTATTGTTAACAATAATTCAAGTAAAACAGACTGAAAAAAGTATAAAGGTGTTAAAATTGAACATGTAAACTAATTTTAGGGATATCAAATTTTCAAAAATTTTATGTATCAAAAATCCATATTTTAAATTTAGGTTCTGATAGTTTTTTTTTCAAATATGAAAGAGAAGAGGACTACCAACATTTTTAAAGATAACAAAAAACAATTAAATTTTTGTCAAGACAAACCTGTACTGAATTTATCATTCTAGTCATTTATGAAGATTGACTTTCAAATTGAAAGAAAGGCGCAAATTTATATTTTTTTTATATAAAGAGCAGCAATTGAGCAAATGAAAAGTAAAAATACTCTTTCCCCCTTTTCTCCTCAAAGCTTTTACTTTTTCAACTATTGTATTTGTTCTCCTTTTAAAAATAAGAAGGAACTAACAAATTGTCACGGCAGGGAATGTTCCTCCCTCCTCCCCCTCCATTTAGGTCCTTATAAATTTATAAAAATAGAAAAAATTGATTTTTAATAAGAGGTTTTAAACATTAAAAAAATTTTTTTAAATTTCACTCAAATGTCAAACATCATTGTTATTTGATTCAGCTTCCATTCCTTCTTCAATATCTCCAATGTCAATTTCTTCCGGATTTTCGGCAGTCTTTTCTTTATTTGTTTTAATTTCTCCACGAACAAAAGATATTCTTCCATCTTGAAAAGAATTAAATAAAAATATAAAATTTTGAAAAAAAACCTTCAGAAGGAGCTAATTTTCTTGCAGAAATTGCAGCCTCCTCTTGAGCAATTTGAGAAGCTCTTGCCTCTAACTGTGCCATCGAATCAGCAGCACTTAATTCTCCTGCCATTTCAGCTTTACCACCAAGAGAAGCAAGCATTTGAGCTTTAAAAAATCATTTTTAAAAATATTTATTAATCATTTCTAATAATTACCACTCATATAATTAACACTTGTATTGAACGTTGCTTGAACTGAACGTTTCATTCGTAACATTTCCCTAATTGTATCTTCATTTCCATGTTTAACTTCAAATTCCTTCCAAGTTTCCCAAAAATCTGAATGAACCTTTAAAAACAATTGAAAATAATTTAAAAAAAATAAAATTACCCTAGGATCACATATTTCAGCACAATGTGCATAAATAGCTCTTGCACGATCAATTTCACCCAAATTCCTTTCAACCTGTGCATATCTTAAACTCATTTCTCTTAAAAATACAAAATTATTTAAATAAGATTTTACAAAACCTTGAACGATTTTCAGGAAGCCTCTCAATTGCTGATTCAAATATTGGCCGGGTTTTTGTAATTCCATAAAATTCCATCGCTTTTTTGATGTAGACATTGTAAATCTTAAATTAAATTTAGTTCAATTTTTATATAGTGGCGATTGATATAAAAAATAAGGAAAGTCTTCGAACATTTTTCACAAATTTTCAAAAAAATAACCAAATGTTTTTCGTCTTTATCAACAGCATCCGTAGCTTTATTATAAATTTCCATTGCTCGTCTTGCCAAGCCATGTTCTTCTTCATATTGTGCATAAAGTAAGTAAATATCTAAGTTAATGTATTAAAATATCAAAATATAAATCAAAAACCTCTTGCATATTTTGGAGGGCATTTTTCTAAACATTGTTCAAATAAATCTCTTGCACGCTCCAACTTCTTCCCTCCCTTTTATAAATTGAAAAAAAATTTAAATATAAACTTACATATCGATTAATAAATTTAGTCAAATAAACATTCCAAATATCAAAAACTAAAGGCCAATGAAATAAACCAATTCCTTTTTCAAAGGCCTAAAAATAAGAGGAAATTTTAGTGAAAAAAATTTTAGAGCTTACTCTAAAGGACTCTTCGAAATAATTGTTTTGTTCAAGAAACAAAGCATAGTTTATGATAATTTGAGGTGTAGCTAAATTAAAAAAAATTTATAGAAACGTTTACAAAATTTCAACAAAACCTATTCGAAGTTCCATCATTTTATCATAAATTTCCGCACAACTTTGCAAAGTTCCAATCGATTCTTCAATATCCGCATATAAGGACCAAAGCTTAAGAGATCGGCTAACACGTGTTTGTATATTATCTGTCTCGTCAAAATATTGACCACGTCGAGCAGGAACAGAAGTAGCTCTTTTTAAAATAGAAACAGCTGCAGAATAATCGCTACAGAATTGTTATATTTAAAGATATAAAAACACTAAACATTTACCTATGTAAAAGCTCAAATTCAACATAATCACACCAAATCTGAGCAAGCTCATCAACACGAGCAAAATTTATTTTTATCGCTCTTTCGTAGATTTGTCTTGCCTCGTCATATTTTTTATATTTCTCAAATAATTTTGCATAAGAAATCCAAAGTTGGCTTAATTTACCAATTTGATGTTTTGGATCAATTGCTTTGACTGCCTCTTCAAATGAAGAAATTTGCTAAAAAAATAAAAATATTATAAAACTGAAAATAAATAAACTAACACTTTCAAGATCTCCTTCATATATTTGAACTCTATTTAACCATTCATGAACATTATGAGGATTTTGGCGAAGAAGAACACTATTTAACAAAAGAGGCCTCCTATTCATTAAATGTTCAAAACGAGTCATTAATAATTCCAATTCTAATTCAATTTTTGCTGTATGCGTAGAATTACATTGTTCAAGTTCTTTCATTTTTAGGGAAGTAATTCTTTCCATAAATTTACTATATGCATCAAAAATTTGTGTAAAATCTCTGACTGTCTTAACCACACTAATTGCTTCCTCAAAAATGTCACGGGCCTTTAACAAATATTTTTAGAAATTAAGAAAATTAGAAAAAAAACTTTTTCAAAATTTGATGCTCTAATATAATATTCAGCAAGATGTAACCAAAGCATTCCAACCTGATCAGTATAACGAGAAATTCCTTGACGAATAATTGGCTCTACTTGAAGGGAATAAACTTTATTTGGATTTTTAGAAATTAAATCGCAAAGTTCTGTCCAAAGCTTTAAAAAAATAAAAAATTATCAAGAAAAAAATCAAAAATAAAAACTAACTTGATGTCCAGTTTTGCCTTTTTCACTGACTGGTCTATCTTCATTAACTAAAATTGCAATTTGTTGTGCAGCTTCATCTAATTTATCAATTTGTTTTAAATATTCAATATAATCTTCTCTAGCAAATGGATAAACTTTTAAATGTCTTCTATAAACTCTGATTGCTGTTTCAGGAATATTATGTTTAACAACAAATTCTATATAAAGAGGCCAAATTCTCATATGTTGAGTAATTGGTAAAGCTCTAAGAGCACGATCAAATACTTTTCGGGTATCAGCTATTAAACCACGACGAACCATTAAATTGCAATAATCATACCAAATTCTAGGCATCTAATAAAATATAAAAATTTTTATTTAAAAGAATTAAAAAATAACCTTATTAAGAAATACTAAACATCTTTCATAAGCATCGGAAAGATGTAAATAAGCAATATCTGTTGGTGGTTTATGTGCAATTGTTCTTCTTCTATATTTCAAATAATTATACCAAAGTTTATAACTTCTATTAAATATTTTCAAAGCTCTCTCAAAAATAATTCGGACTTGTTTTGGATCAGCTTTTGTTTTAATTTTGTGGTCAATATATCGTTCCCATGGACGAAGCAATCCGGGATTTCGAATTATATCTTCCTCATATGCAATATCTTCGCTTTCCTTGAAATTGCAAAAAATACAGTTAAAATTAACTAATTAATACTTACAAAAACAAGTGCCATAGTCTATCAAAAATTTAACTGAAAAATAATTATCAACACAAAATTTAACACAAAAATTAACAAACAGAAGTGAGACTTTAGTGTTCCTTTTTCCCTTTAATGAAAGATACGACAATCGGACTGCGACAACTGAAACTACGACAAAAGGCCATTTAACAGTAAATCGTAGTTTTACACAAGGATTAAAGGTGTATTTTATCTCGCCTAAGTGCCAGTTTTTAGGTGCCAAAACGACCCCAACCCTATGAATCAAAAAAACCTAAAATGTGAAGACAAATTAATTACTATAAAAACCTAAAAGTTCAAAACTATCAAAACATAATTCTTCTAAACTTCTAAACTCTTCTCAACATCAACAGCTTCGTTTGTTTGCGGCCAAATGTCTTGCAGATGTTCGTGTTTTTTCTAAATTTTTAAATTTAGAAATTAATTTTCAGCTTGTTCGAGTTCTTCTGATGGAAGGAGGTCTTCTTCGTGTGTTTCTCCACCAACATATAGTGTTGAGATTGATGAAGCGGGGAAGTTGATAAGCGACAAATACCAGGCATTTTAAATTTAAAATAAAAAAATATTTTTCTTTTCTTTTTAAAGGTTCAATGGCCTCAACTTCCACCTTCGGGCACACATTCCAAACGGGAGAGAAAGAAGAAGATGGCAAGAGAAAGGAAGGCTGGAAGTGACCAACTCATTCGAGAATTCAATGTGGCTGTCTGTCCAAAAGAGCAACCAACTCCATATCCTGTTCGGGCAATGACCATGGAAGTGAGAGAAATTTTTGTTTAAAATTAAAAAAATATTTTCTTTTTAAGCGTGCCTATTCTCAATTTGAGAAACGTCAATTGCGTCATTTCTTCATCTACTACCAGCTATCGAGTCAATCGTTTAGGGACGTGAATAAAATTCCTCTTGAACTGCCATTGATGATTGCATATAAATCGGACACTGGAAATGTTGTGCACTCCCAAATCAAACGATTTGTCTCTAAGGAGAATAACAACAACAACGACAACAACAATGCTGAGTTGTGGTGTGCTATTCCATATGATTCTAATGGAAATCCTGTTGCTGAGCCATATCATCTGGGGTAAATTTTCTTTAAAAAGGAGTTGAATTCACTTAATTTTTTTAACAGATTTGCGAGTGTTAGGGCCCTCATTACTCACTATTCGTCCTTGAATGCGCATTGTGGAGCGTTCATCTAAATACTGTAGTTGGTTTGTAGAAGTCTGGGAATAGTTGAATATATAAATTGATAAATATATCTAGGTGATTTGTTGTAAATAAATATTTTGATATTCCTGTTTGTATTGTATGTATATATGCCTTAATAAATTATAAAATAATCGTTCTCTCAATCTAAAAAAGTTTCAATTTTCTCATCAAAATAACCAAAATACTAAAATTAATTTATATTTAGGGGTGGACTTAAAAATTCTATCTCTACTCATCACTAAAAATATTCCTTCAAAATAAATATTTTATCAAAATAAAGGACAATCTCACATAAAAAACTAAAAAATTGCACCGATTTAAATTATGCGATTATGTTTGTTTTTAAATAATTTAAAAATTATTTTTGTTAATCAGATTCTTCTTCTACAATAAATTCCGTTCTTTCATCTAATTTCCCATATTTTTCTTTATTCTTTTTTGATTTTTTATTACTAAAAAATACTCGAGCTTTTGAAGATTTTGTAATTATTTCCTTTAAAATAATTAAATCCCTTTTAGATTCTTTATATTTCTTTTTACCTCCCCTTCATTATTTTCTTCTTCAGAATCTTCTTGATCACTATTATTTAAAGCACAACTTCTTGCAGAATTATCCATATCTTTTCCTTCAATTAATCTCATATAACGATATTCAAGTCTATTTAAAAATTTAATTTTTAAATTTTAATTTAAATTTTACGTTTTATTTCTTCTATAAATTGCACAAATAATTAATAAAAGAATTAAAATTAAAATAATTGTTAATGATAATATTAAACGAAGATTTGATGAAAGTATTGTTCGGCAAGGTTCTTCCCTTTCATGGCTTTGGGCACCAGAAATAACACAATGTTTAGAAGGGATTGTGTGGACTTTTTGAATATCGTTAATGCCTTTAATTAATTGAAATTAAATGTTAATTTTACAAAGTATGGAATAGGGGATATTACAAGGTTAACCGAAACCCGCGACCCGAGTTCTTTCTCAACTAATTCTTGTTATGGAGGGTTATTTTTGTTTAAAAACAAAATTTTTTAAAAAATTTAAATCCTTCTTTACATTCTCCACGAATTGTTTGAAAGTCCTTTTCATTACAAACAGGACAACCCAAAGCACTTTCCACAATAGCATGATAAAGACAACCATCACAAGTTCCATCTGGACAATGACGGGACAAACGAACCTTTAAATTAAAACGAAAATATTTTTTATTTCGAAATAAAAACCAACTAAAGGTTTAGTAACAATACTTGGATCACATCTAACAGTTACAGCAGCCATAGTTCCATTTGGACATTCAATTAAAATATTTGTTGATTCAAAAAAGAAATGAATATCCAAAGGACGTTGACTTTTTGTATTTGGTTGAATTAATTCTGTGGAAATATTTTTTAAATAAATTGGGGTAAAAGGTATTTTTTAAATTCTCAAAAACTTGCCATATTCCAATTGTTCATCAGAAAGTTTAAACCCTCCATATTCTCTTTGTTTACTAATCATAACCAATTTATTCGAAATTCTTTAAAAAAAATTTGTTTATTAAAAATTTATTTCTTTAAATACATTGTAGAAGAAATATAAACAAATTCTTCTCCTTCTTCACTTTTATTTGTTTCTTTCCCAAAAATAGGAACAACTGCAGAACGACAAAATAAAGCATTATTTTCTTCTTCTTCTTCATTTTCATCTTCAATTTGTCTTTTTGTTGGAATTGAATCTTTACATTTAATTGGGTAATTTGGAAATAAAGAAAAATTAAAAATATGAGTAAATGATTGTCCATCACGTGCAAATATTTTAATTCCCTTTAAGAATATTTTTCTCTTTTTTAAATTAAAAGGAGAAAACCTTTGCAGAAAGGGGAATTCCTTTTAATAAACTTAAATCAAAATTAATTTTTGAATTAATTCCATCTTCCTCTTCCAATTCAAATTTACCAGAAAATTCACAAAAAAGTCCGTCTTCAGAATTTTGAAAATATTTTGGGCATTTTGAACAGGGAATTTTATTGGAATTATTTAAATTAATATTTGATAATAAATAAATAGATTCTGTTTGGTTAAGGATTGTGTTTGGAGGGCAACGAGTACATTTCTAAAAAGTGAAGAAATTATTGGGAATAAATTATTTACTCCTGTTTAATTTTCCTCTCAAATACCCTCTTTTTTGTTACAAATCATGATAATTTAAGTGTCATGATTTGTATTAGGTCGGGTCATAATTAGTGTCGCTTTTTTTATTTGGCTTTTTTGGATTTTTAAAATTAAGTTTTCTGAAAAATTTTTTTATTTTTATTACGAATCATCTGTTAGACTATGCTCTAAAGGATCCCAGCATTTGAGAATTTTTCGTTAGGTATTCAGGGAGTTCTGGTCGAAAATATCAAAATTCCCGAAATCATCGGGAATCAAATTTTCTCAAGTATACGTAATGATAATAGTTAGTGTGATATATCATTCGAAAGCTCTTCAAAAGCTCTAAATGTTGGCCACAATTTCGAATTTTTATTATGAAAGGTCTAAATTTTCGAAAAAGTCGAATTTCGAATTCCGGGGTTCGGCACGATTTACAGACTTTATATTTCGGATTTAGTATAAGCCCTCTATGAGATTTAAAAAACCGTTTAGATCATCCTGATCGGATGATTTTACGCTGAGTTATAAGAAAACGTTTTTGGGGGTGATGTCGTGTCGTTTGTTTCATTTTTGAAATGTGAGTACATGCGGCACTTGATTTACTCTCCTTAAGCGCAGCCCGCGTTTTTTCAGTCAAGCTTTGCTGTATGTATAGAGCAGATATCCCTCGATAATTCAGCAGTAGAACTAACGTGATTTCATCTAAGCTAGCCGAGCAGGACCGTTATTCTTAATGACACCCGTCTTCCTCGACCATGTCTGCTTCTGGGAGTCATACGGCCTCCAACGTAAAGCCTGAACCCTATTCTTGCTGTCTAGCATAGACAACGATCCCATTGACTAGATCATTAAGATTTTTTGCTTCTTGTATACATTTTTGGTAATTTATAATTCATGGTGCAAATGCTTGAGAATTTCACTACGAGGTAGCGAAGTTCAAAAAATCATAACTTTATGAATATCACTCATATATACCTAAACCTGGTATTAAAATGAAGAGTAGATTCAAATCTTTATGTTGGTTAATAAGAAAAAAAATATTTGTAAAATAACACCCCTAAAAATTTAATCGAAAAAAAGCGACACTAATTATGACCCGACCTAATAACAAAAAATTGAAAAAATGAATAAAAGTAAAGGCCTACAACAAAATATTTAAAAAAACCTTTTTATCAAAATATTCCCCAGAAGGACATGGTTTACATTTTTCACTGAAAAAGGAAAATTATTTTTTAAAAATTAATTTTAAAATTAAAAAAAGTACTTTTCATAAATAGGACATTTAATACAAAAATTAGTATTAATATCTCCATTATTTGTAATATTTATTGAATGTATAATTGCTTTATCATTAATTTCATCCTTCCCCAAAATTGCATTAGTTCTCGTAAAAGCAATTAATAAATGAATTGGAAAAGAATTTAAAATTGGGAATACAAGTAAATTATTTGTAAAACTTCCAGTTAACATTTTTAATAATTGAAGATTTTCTTCTTTTTCAGGAAAAATAAATTGTTGGGAATTTTCTTTTTCTATTTTCTAAAAAAATTTAATTTAAAAAATAATATTTAATTTTTAAAGGAATATTTGAAAATAAGGTTGTTGAATCCGGATCCGAAAAAGGGCCAGATATCCGAAATTTTCGGTTCGGATATCAGATCCGGATATCCTAAGATTTCCAACTATCCGACAACCTTATTTGAAACCCTATAAACAATTTTAATTTAAATTAATTATTACCTGAACAATATAAAATTGACATTTTCCTTTACATTGAAGAGAAACTTCCATTGATATTTTACCCAAAGGATTTTCATTAGTTATTTTTCCTGTATGTAAAAAGGAAGAAAATCCATCTTTAAATTTAACTAAAAAGAAAATATTCTAAATATATTTATTTAAATATTTACTATTAATTTCCAAAGCAACCCCTCTCATTCTAGTTGTAGCACTTTCCAATCTATTTCCATAAGATATCCAAGAAGGATTAACTGGACATTCATTTGGAATTTCTTTTAAAAAGAAAATTTTTCTTTTTAATTTTTACTTTTTTTAAATACCTGCTGAAAGGAATTCACATTCTTTTTTTAATTCAATTCCTGGCGGAAGGGAATCCCAATTTGTTAAAAATATTCCATAATTTGGAATTGATCCAGAAGGACAAGGAGAACATTTACCTTCTCCAGAAGAAATAAATCCTTTAGGACAATTTTCACAATAACCGGCATTATTTCTTTCCATTTCAGGCCCACAAGGCAAACATTTTTCTTTTTTATTAGGTAAAGTATTTAAAATTCCATTGTCAATACAAATTTGTGGATTTAATTTTCTCCAAAACATTTTTAAATTTTCTTCACTTGAATTAACACAAATTGATGGACGGACAGGGAAATAATCAAGAGAAGAACAAAATGGACGTTTTTGACAAAATTCTGATCGAGGTTCTTAAATAGATGATTTTTAATGTTTTTATTTACAGAAAAATATTAATTTTCGTCTTTCAGATAGTTAACCATCCTCTAATAATTACCCCTTCTAGCGAGATATTTAAACAATTATCACACTATTCGGTGTAATTATTAGAGTATATTATTTTCAATTACCTGCCCACATATTTGGTGGACATTGCTGACATTGTGTTGCCCCTTTCTGGGCAAATTCATTCTCTCCACAAACTTCACAATGTTGAGCACCATGAACAGAAGAAAAAGTTCCTTCTGGACATGATGAACATTCAGGTGCAAATGCAAGTCCAGAAATATCAATTCTGATAATTCTAATCATTTCCATCCTCGAACTAAGAACTGGATTTACAGCTACAGTCCAAGTAATCTTTAAATAAATATTTTAAAAAAGGGAAAAATTTTAAATAATTTAACTAAATTTTGTCCTCTTCTAAGAGATAATCTTTGTACTCGAATATCAGCCCCTTCTTGTTGATTAACTTTTTCATTTTTATTTTCTTTATTTAAATGTTTTTGTTGTGAAAGTAATAAAGATTTTGAATTTCTAATAAAATAACTTTAATTTCCTCATTTTTCAATATTTATTTTTACCCATAACTTTGGCATTGTGCATTCCGAACTTGTAACATTTGAATTAACCCTTTACTTTCTCTAGATACTTGATATTGAAATTCTGCAAATCCGGGTCTAGTTAAGTGTAGAGAAATACTTAAAGTAGAAACACAAGGTGTCCAACTATAACGTAATTGATTCCCTTCAACATTCCAACCTCCCCCTCCTCCACATTTAATTGTTCTTCCCCCAAAAGATTCATCTGGGGAATTTTCAATAGAAAAACCTTCTGGTAATTTTGTTAATTCAAATTCTTCGTAACGAACACGGTCACCCAAACTGAATGTTCCTTTAAAAGAAATTTTTTAAAGAATATTTCTTCAATTATACCTGGTTTACATAATTTACATTTTTGTGAATTCATTTCCAAAAAATGCCCAGCTGGGCAATTAACGCCTTTAAATTATTTTAATAAAAGGAAATATTTTTAAAGTTTAATTTTAACTGCAATTTAATCCATGTAAAGGGGCTGGAACAGATTCTGGGGTACAAAGAAAGTCGTGAGAACGAGGGACAGCGAATAACCAACGTTTATCTAGTAATTATGAAAATTAAATTTAAATTTTTGATTGTGAGGGATTAATTAAAAAAGAGGGATTGAGTAACAAAAACACATATATTTAATTTCTTAACACAATAAAAACTGCGTAATGTAAATACAATTATCTAAATTTATTTTTAAAAACCCCCTCCAAACCATTCTGATCACAAGGCGTAAATTGAAAAATGAGATCATCAGAACTACAATGCTTTACAATTTCTTCTGTTAAACAAATTAAAGGCAGAAATAATAAATAAATAGTAACAGTGAATATTTTTAGAAATTGACTGAAATATGTATATGTAAATATATTTTTAAAAAATATTTTTTAATTATTTACTTACATTTTAAAAATATTTTGGCACATTTTTGTTAAAATTAATATTGAAATTATAAATATTTTTAGCCAAATTACTAAATATTTTAAATAAAAAATAGTTATTTATTTATTTATTGAATATATTTTTATTTATTTTAATGAATAAAATAGAGAAAAATGCCAAAAAAAGAGAAAAGAAAGAATTATAGAGAAATATGTAGAAGTAGACGTTAGCTGGCAATAGCCTCAAAAGCTGGCAAATTCCGAGAAAGAAAAAAAACAAAAATGGCGGTTGTTAAAGGAATATTAAAAATTTAATTTTTTATTTTTTAATCAAAAATTTCAATGTCTCTTTAATTAAGAAAAAAATATTTATATGAGATTATTAACTAAATATACAAAAAATTAATCTTTAATTAAATCCAATTATTTATTCAAATTCAATTTTCTATTGTTTCTGTGAATTTCTGTGGTTTATCTGTAGCCACAATACAAAATAATATATTTGCCTTTAAAAGAATTTAAATTTAATTTAATTTAAAATAAAAACCAACCAAAAAACTTAAAATAAAAAATAATACAAAAATATAATTCCATTCTTTTTTATTTTTAATTTGATCAACAAAAATATTTATTAAAGCCGGACTTATAAAAAATGCTAAACATTTATTTAATTGAATTCCGGCCATAATTAAATGTCCAAATTGTCTAGATGTTAATGTTGCACATTTATAGAATCCTCCACAAGCAGCCGAATAAAAAATTGAAACAGAAATGAAAGCAAAAAAGGCAAAATTTGGATTGGGAGCGAAAACAATTGCTTTAAATGATAAATAATTTAATTAGAAGTTTTATAATAAAAACTGGGGTTAATTTGGTTTACTCAAAATAATACAGAGCAAGTTTTAAAGTTTGAATTTTCATGATCCACTCTTTAGTTTGGTCTCGTATCTCGTACCATATAAGCTTACTGTTTCACTTGTTAGTATAAAGTATGTATATATATACTTCTCCGCATTAAACTAAACTTTTCGTCAGTCTGGGTATGACTCCGGGAGTAAATTCTGATCGGCTCCCGAACTGATTTTGTGATACTCAGAGCCTGAACCACAAAACGCCGAATACCCATTAATGCTTTTCATAAAAACTTTTCAATTTAATTTCCTTATCAGTAAATTGTTTTTATAATTAAAATAAAAACTAGCCAATATAACTAATTCCTGGCAATCCAACACTAATATTATTAAATAAAATCATTTTTTGTTTTTCTGACATAAAACTAAAATAAAATAAATTACAGTGGCGGAAATTTACTTAGGGAAAAATTTTTTTTGACGTTTTTTAAAGTTTTCTCAAAAAATTTTTCTTTGACCATCTTTATTTTTGTGTATCTTTGTAGCCCTATTAATTACCTATAAAATGATTATAAACTTGTCACGAGAAAATTTTCTATTTGACCAGGAAAATTAAGAATAGATAACCTACTTTAAAACTGCGCGGAAATTTACTTAGGGAAAAAAACAAAGTTTGATTTTTTGTAGAAAACGAATGTAGGAAAAATCTGAAAAAATTCCTGGGATCTTCCCTATCAATTTGATTAAGAATGGAAAAAATTCAGACTTCTAACTCGCTCCCATCATTGAGATCTCAAGATTCAAAATCAACGGAAAATGGGAAAAATTTTATCCGGGCCAAATGTACCGAAATATTTCTTTAAGTCAGATCACTCCCAAATCACCCCATTTTCTGTTGATTTTGGATCTCAAAATCACGATGATGGGGGTGTGTTAAAAATCAGATTTTTCTGCGATTCTTCATCACATTGTTAGGGAAGATCTCAGGAATTTTTTCAGATTTTTCCTACATTGTTTTTCGATAAAAAATTAAACTTCATTTTTTTCCCTAAATAAATTTCCGCGCAATTTTTGGATAGGCTAACTATTATAAATTTTTCTAGCCGAATAGAAATTTGTACCTGGACATATTTGGTACCATTTAATAGGTATTAAATAAGGCTACAAAAATACACAAAAATAAATAAAGCCAAAAGAAAATTTTTTGAGTAAAACGTAAAAAACACGAAGAGAAAATTTTTCCCTAAGTAATTTTCCGCCACTGTATTATCTAATTTAATTAAAAAACCTAATTTTATCACTTGCCCAACCAAAAATTAATTTTAAAGGAATATGTAAAAGAGAGGTTAAGGCAGTTAACCATCCTGTATCAAAAATACTATAACCCAAAACATAGTTAAAATATTGGGGTTTATATTGCATAATGAATACACCGGGGAGTAATTCTGCAAAAGCATTTAGCCAACATATCCAAACAATTCCATTTGTTAAAATTGCCTTTAAAAATAATTAATAATAAAAGTTAATTTATCATTTGTTATGTGGATATTTTGGAGTGTGAGCAACAACACGAAAATTGGCGACGGGAAATATCTTGGAAAAAATTCAAGAAATGTCGGTATTGGGGAATAGTCGGTGGGCGAATTCAATCTTCAAAAATTTCATCTCTCCACATATTTTTAACTAACTTTATAAGGTATTTGTTGTTTATTTGTTTTCATTTCTATATGAGCATTACTTTTGCCATTTTGAATTTTATTAAATTCTTTTGGTGTTACTTGTGACGAGAATTGAGGTAATTCTTCATAAAATAATAACCAAAGAATTGCCAAAATAAAACAAAAAATAGAAGAAATATAATAAATAAATTGCCAACCAAAAATTTTTGAAGAACAAAACTTTAAAAAATATTTAGGTAATTTTAAATAAATTCAAACAATTCCGGAAAGAAAATTTGCGATAGAAATTGAAAATGGAGAGAAACTTGAAGCTAATGAAAGAAAAAGTCCATGTTCATTTAAAGGTGCCCATTGTGTACATAAAATACCCAAAGCTGCAAAATCCGCTGCAAAAGTTATTCCCTTTTAAATTTAATTAAAGAATTAAATAGCCACATATGTATATTTTATAATTAATTCTTTAAATTTATTCACAATTTAAGAGTTAGTGTAATTTTATCTAATATTTTAGGGTGGCGTCTTAATTAAGAATCAAAAATTTCAGTGTCAACCAAACTAGATAAACTACAGGGGCAGAAAAAAGCATGGAATAAAGAGCTAAAAAAGTAAACTTTCTTAATTTCCTCGACGTACAAACCATTTTCTGTCTAGTATAACTTTAAAATTAAAAAAGTTTACTTGTTTAGTTTTTGATTCCATTATTCTTCCGCCATTTTATTAATAATTGGATTAATCCAAAATAAAAGTAAAAATTTACTTGAATAATTCTCACACCCAAAAACACCCAAAATCCATATATTTTAGCCAAAGGTGTTAATCCAGTAATTATTGCAGAAATTATTGAAGCAAAGAAAAAAACATAACGAGGACCAAATTTTGAATAAAGAAAAATAAAAGGAAAAGCCGCCAATAAATTCCCTAAGCCCATTCCCCACATTAAATAATTTTGTTGATTTTTAGTTAAAATATTTTTTGTTTCTTCTTCTTCCATACAAATTAATGTAAAATTAAATAAATTTGTATTTATAGATAATGAAGTACTCAACAAAAATCCAATTAATAAAAGAAAAAAACGAAAATTATGTTTCCAAAGCCAAAAAACTTTTTTTGGTTGTTTAGGGGGTGGAAGTATTGATCTTAATGAATTTGAACGAATTCCATGTAATTCTTGAACGGGCATAATAAATAATTAGTTTTTAAATAATTAGTTTTTAATTTTTTAAATATCAGTAAATAATTGATAAAAAATAATTTATATTTGTTATCTATTTAAAATAATTTATAGACAATTTTAAACATTCAAACATATGTATTTTTTATATATTTAATTGAGGAAATAAATGGGTATAAATATTTAAATAAATATTCAAATTTCATGTAAACATTTATAGTATAAATTTTATTCATTTTTAAGATTATCATAAATGTATAGTAAAATAAAAACATACAAACATATATAATATGTACAGTCGAACTCACTATTAGATACCATTTGAAGTATTTAATTAATTACACTGGGCTCAATCCTCGGGTAGACATACAGGTTAACTAACAGAGAGGGGGCATAAAAAAAGTAATTATTAACTTTCAGTGGGGGTAATTATTGTTACAAATTCTGAGGAAGTAATTAATGGAGTATAAATATTAATTTATGATAAGTCGTATTAAAAGATAAAATTCTCAATCCCCAAAAGGTATCTAATACATAGTGAATATATTTATTTATTGTTGTTGTCCATTACAATTAATTATTATATCATCAAATTCAGCTCCACTTTGTCTCAATAATGCCTCTCTTAGACTAAGTATAGACTGTTTTTGTATTCTATAATTATTGTTTGGTTGTTGTTGTTGATTTGAAGAAATAATTGAATGAGAAGTTGTTCTTGATGTTCTGGCAGAACTCGAATTTTTTCGATTAGAACCGTTTTGAATTAAAGTTAAATTAGTTTGTGTTGCTAAATTGGATAAAGCAACCATTGAAGAATATTTCTTTCGAGAACGGCGTTGACACTTTAAATTAAATTTTAAATATTAAATTAATTAACCCTTATTCCCCTCCCCCCCCCATATCCCTTAATTAATTTAGGTAATTTACCAATTGTGCTTTAAGTATTAAAACAGTCCTTTTCCTAAAATGTTCAGAACTTGAACAAAAACAGAAAAAGTTTAAAACTTTTCCAGTCACCAAAATACAATTCAAAACAGCTGTAACGGTAACTAATTCAACCCTCCTTTTATTTGGCAAAAAATGTTCCCAAATAACTGGGCATAATGTTGGCAACTTTTTAAAAAAATTAATTTTAAAAAATATTTATTTTTATTTATTTACATGTGTTATTGTAAAACAAGTAACAATAGCAATAACTGTTGCAGTTACTTTTCTTTCTCTACGCTGAAATGTTCCAATATCTGAGTATCTGAAAAAATTGGTTTTATAAAGAAGTTCCTTTAATTATTTCTTAAATTTTTTATTAGACTTACAATATATGTACACTTAGAAAAATCCCCACCAGAATAATTCAACTATCCCAAAAAATAAAGTTGTTTTAGTTATTGGGAACCAATGTTTGGAAGCTCTTACCGAAATTCGTACCTGTGTACAAAGTACGAGTACGAGCAAAAAATAAGGCAGGTACGAAAGTATGAGACGGTTACGAGAAAATTTTAAAATTCCAAACACTGGTGGGAACACAATGTGTAGACAAAAGTTTAAATCCCACATTTCATTAATTATTATATACCCAATTATTTAAAGTATTTACTAATTCGCTAATTAAATACCTAAATTCTTGTTCTTTAAATTCATTTAAATCCCCATCACAATTATTTGTACTATTATTTAATATTCTTCTCCTTTTTCTTAAAAAATAAACTAAAGAAACATTTAATATAGCAACAGCAATAACAGGCAGAATTACAGCAATTAATGATTGGCCATATTTGGCTATTCTCAAATATTTCAATAAAAAAGGGGAAATATTCTTTAATTGGCTAATATGCTGGAAATTAGCCCAAACCTTTAAAAAATGTTTGGAAAAAAATATTTTTAATTAAATCCAAAAATTACTCTATTGCATTGAATTTGTATAGTAACTCTGTGGTCGATATGATGATAAAAAGATAATAAAAAGGCAAAGACAAAAATACTCAAAATAAGCAAAAATAAGCGTCTATCACGTAATTGAAAACACTTTTTGAATTAATTAAATTAATTAAATATTTTAATTTTATTTTAATTAACTGTATGCATTGGACGCCAAACCCCAGTAAATCTTTCTAAAGAAACTGCCAACACAAAACTTTAAAAAAATTTTAGGATAAAAAAATAATTTTAAATTTTACAAAGTAGCAGCAGTTGAAAAGCAATTGGCTAGAGCAAAACAATGAATTTTTGTTAAACTTAAAATGAAAGAGAGAATAATTATTTTAGATAATTTAAAGAAAAAACAAACAAATAAAAATATGCAAAACCAATTGAACGATAAAATAATGGAAAAGAAACTAGAGAATTTGGAAGCATACAAAATAAAAAAGCTAAATCAGCTAGAAAAAAATTAATTAAAAATATTTAAATATTTAATTCAGACCACAGGCCATTGCTGCAAGTAAAATATTTGCTTGGTTTTTCATTCCAGAAGAAAGTAAAACTACCTTTTTTAGTTAAAAAATAAAATAAATTTTTTTCAAATTAAAATTACTAAATTAATTGAATTTCCAAAAACTCCAAGAAAAAATTGAATTGGAAATATATAATGTTGAATAAAATAATCAACCTTTATATTAAATAATTATTTATATTTATTTTAAAAAATACATTTCCAACAGTTAAAGCCATATCAGAAACAGCATTAGCACTTCCTTTACTTAAAGAAGTAGCTGAATAAGTTGGTGAGATCGTAGAAGAATTATTTTGATTATTAAATAAATTATCCAATAAAGTACAATTTAAATGTAAGAGATCCATTTTTTAAAGAAAAAAGGAAGACAATCAGAAATTTCTTAAAAAATCTTATTTTTTTTAATTTTAGGAAAAATAACCGATTGACGTAAAAATAAATAAATTAAAAAAAATATTTTTTAATTTTTTAACAAATTAAAATTCTTTCAATTTTCCAAAAATAAATAACCCCCTTCCCTCTTCCCTCTCCCCCCCCCCCCATCAATTCTTTAATATTTTCATAAAAATGTTTCAATTTTAAATAAAGAAATATAACACCAATTCCTTTTTAAGCCCAATAAATTGATGAAAAATAAGAAAAAAAAATTAGAAAAATGTTTTTTGATAAATAACCGCGCAAAATAATGATAAAAAAAAGATGAAAGAATAGAAGAATTTTTTGTAAAAAAAAGGGAGGAAGATTTTTGTGTATTTAAATGCTTTAGGGAATTAATAATTTCTTTTTTGTAAAAATTTTCTTTTTTTTTATTTTAATTAAATAAAAATTCCAACAAAAAAAGACTGATTTAGCCAATTCCTGATGGACAAAAAATTATTGGAGGAAAATTAAAGGAAGGAAAAAATAGGTAAATATAAATAAATAAATTATTAGCTTAATCAAGAAAAAAAAGTTTTTCTTTTTAAATAAATAAACAATTCAACCATTAAATTAAATAAAAAAGGATGTTTTAAATAATTTTTTTAGAAAAAAAATTATTTTTTTAGTTAAATTTAAACAAAAAAATGATTTTATTTTGGGAAATGGAATGAAAAAAATGACGAAAGAAAATTAGTTTAAAGAATTATTTTGGCATATATTTAGGAGAAAAAAAAAGTGATGAATGTTGAGGGAAAAATTGGAAAGAGATGAGGGAAGGTTGTTGGGAGGGTGTTTATGATGTGGACAAGTTTGGACGTTAATAAACATTTTTTTCTAAAAATATTAAAAGATTAAAAGAAAATAAAAATAATTAATTTGGAATATATTTTGAATTTAAAATATTTTAGTAAATTAACGCCCTATCAATGCCTTAAAATTCATTTTTAAAGGAAAAGGGGAATTGTTTTAAATATATTATTTCCCTCCTTTTAAAGAAAATGCATTTTTAGTTGGCCAAATGAAAGGAAAGGACAGCTTGTCAACAAAATTGAAAAAAAATAAAAGACAGCTTTCTTTATTTAAAAACTCTAATTAAGTCTAAGAAATGAATAAAAGAGAGAATTAATTTGATCTTAAAATGAATATGTACACACATATTACTCTAGTATTTTAAGCATATTTACACACACTTTTTTAATTTTCACTCAATTTTTATTCAAATGACATTTTCTTTAATAAATAGAGGCTTTAAATTAAAATAAAAAAATTTTTGTTTGTTAATTTGTTAAGGATAAAAGTGATTGATGGATATTTAAATAATTAAATGGAAAAGTGGATGTTTTAGAGGGTGTTAATGACGTGAGGAATAAGTTTGGACATTTAAAAAATAATTTTAAAATTATTTAAATAAAATTATTTTCTTTAAAATATTTAAGAAAGCCAAAGAATGACTAAAATTGCTACAAATTATTTATTTTACTTGGGCCCTTTTTCTTTAATTTTCCCATCTCTTTTGGCATAAAAAAACTGCCAACCAACCAATGCTAAATAAAAAAAATTAAAGGAAATTAGGCAAATAAATTAAAATAAAAAAATTTAAATTTTATTTTTCTTCTTTTTTAATTATTTTATAATTAATTTCCAAAATTTTCTTTTTTAAATAATCTTCCAAAAATGGAGGTTTGTATTTAATTGAAGTAAAGCATTGATGATTAGATGATAAATAATTATTTTGAAGGCATTGAATGGCTGAAGGTCTTCTTTTTTGATCGAGTTGAAGTAATGATTGGATTAATTGAATACATTCATTTGTGGCTAATGGAACTTTAAAAACGAAATAAAATTTAATTTAAATTTAATTTTTGTTTGAGATCAGGAAGGGGCATATGTAGTACCTGAGTGTTAAACTTGATTTATTTTACTAATTAATTTTCATTAATGTACATAGAACGATAAGAGATTGGATCAGGGATCTAGCCGCCAAAAAATTGAACTCCCAATTTTCGGGAATCGGGATTTCCGAACCAAAAAATGTCGGGAATTCCCGATTTTCGGGAATCGGGTCAGCTAGATCCCTGGAATGGATGGAGAATATAAAAATAAATAAAATAAAAACAACAATTTCTCCAAATAATTTATTCCCCTCACATTAAAGAGAAAAATTAAAACTTTTAACAAATAATCCCAATTTAAATTAAATTTAAAAACTACTTAATTTCTTCCAATTTTCAACAGGTTTTGTTATATCAAAAAGAACTTTCCCAGCATCTGGCAAAAATTCCCATCCCGGCCAACTTTCTTCAGTTGGAGTACCCAAAATTTGAAAAACTTTAGATAATTGTTCTATATCTGTTCCTCCCTAGTAATAAATTTTATTTTAAAATTATTTGATTTAAACCATAAATAAAGGTATTCCATTAAAGAATTCTGCAAAAATACACCCTAATGCCCAAATATCAATTTTTGGGGTATATTTTGTTGCACCAAAAAGTAATTCTGGAGCTTTAAAAATAATTAATTATTGAAAATAATTATCATCTATTAACCTCTATACCATCGAGTAGCTACCTAAATAATTAAATATAAATACGGATTTTAATTGTATTTAATGTCTCTATGGAAGGAAATAGAGCTGTCTGTCCCTCTCCCTTAATTTCCTTTTATTTTTTAAAGTCAACTAAGAGATTAAAGAAGAAATTGGCTTTAAATGTACCTGATGTTCATAATCTTTATTAACATCATTAGGTAAATAAATACAAGCTAATCCAAAATCGGCTATTTTTGTTTGATTATTGGATGTTATTAAAATATTTTCAGGTTTTAAATCCTTTTAAACAAAAATATATTTTAGAAAATTAATTAAAAATCACTCTATGCATAATATTTAAATTATGTAAATAAATAATTCCATAAATTATTTGTTTAAAATAAAAATTAGGTATTAATTCACAAAAAGGCCTTTTAACATCTTGAATTACTAATTTTAAATTTGATTCAATAAATTCAAAAATTAAAGAAATATTAATTAATTCATCATTTCTTTTATTAAAAATTATATCAAATAATTTAATTATCTTAAAATTTTAAAGAAATGATATTAATTTAATTTAAATATACATTTTTGTGATTACATAAACGAAGACTTTGAATTTCTCGAAAAATACGTAATTGAACATTTATATCTTCTACAAGAGTTATTTGTTTTATAGCAACTATTTTGTTTGTCTGACAAATATTCATTAAATAATATTTTTTTCAATTTTACCTCCAAATTTCTCGCTTTAAGAACAGATCCGTGTGCTCCTTGGCCTAATTTTGATAAAAAAGAATATTTTGAATTAAACATTTAAAATTAAAAATCTCTACATATTCTTGTTTCTATAGTTACCAAAACCCAAAAAAATGGTGAGGGAGACGGCGACCATATATTCCATATAATAGTTTAGCTGAAGGCGCTCAAATGACCCCAAACTATTTTTACGAGGTAAGGACGGTTCAGTGTAGTCGCCTCAATGCCGTTGGTCGGACACCCAAAATCAATGGCCAGCTGGCCCAGCTAACATTTTTTTAATTTTTTAAATTTATTTTTTTAGAATTCAATTTTATGAGAGATGCATCGAACATTCCTTCGATCAGACAGTAATGATTTAATTAGATTGCATACTTTCAATTCATTGACGGCACGCAGCTTACAACACGGTTGCCTTTTAATCAACTAATTTCTAATTGCTGTTGATTCTTATTAGACATAAATTCTTTTGCTATTATAAACAAATTGATTGAAGAACTTCAAAAAGTCAAAGGCGAACAAAATCAATTAATTACCAAAAATAAACAACTCGAAGAAGCTTTAAAGTTTTTTTTCTTTTGAACAATTCTTTTAATTAATTTAATTTCAATTTAGACAAAGCCGACGTGAATTGTTTGGGGCTAAGAAGGAAATTGAGCAACTTCGTGTTGTTAATCAAAATTTTGTTGACAAATCTTCTCAAGAGCAAACTCTAGTTAACACAACATACACAAAGTCTACAGAAATGCCGGTGCCAAAAAATCGAAAGAGAACTGCCGACGAACAACACAAAAATTATTGTAGCGAGAGAGATGGTTCGCCGCCAGAAAAAATTTTGAAGCCTCACAAAAAGGAGAACAGTCGATTAATTGGTGTCAGAAATACTCGTATCTCCAGCTCTTGTGACGATTTGTAATTTCTTTTATTCTTAATTTTTTTCCGTTTTTTCTTGTTTAAGTCCAAATTCTAGGAGCAAACTTCGACGTGATTTATCACCACCATTTATCGACGACAATCCTTTTGGCACTGAACATGTTTTTGAGACAAAAAGAAATTTTTTGCGTATTCATTGTGGACGTTGTGAAGTGGCAATTCGTTTTGGTGTTAACTACGTTAAATGTCAACGTTGTAAAGGTTTATAGAAAATTAAAATTTTAGATTTAAATTTTAAGTATTTTAGCCACATTTCATGAACAATGTCGGAGGCAAGCTCCTCTTCCTTGTGTTGTTCGAATTATGACGCCAAAACCAGCTGGACCCAAATCTGGACGTCCAAGACTTGGTCTGATTTTTAATTTCTCTAAAATTCTAAATTTTTATTTTAGGTGATTTTTGTGCGGATTGCCGTCCAATGGTTCCCCCATTAATTACTTATTGTACTTATCATTTGGATAACTGCTCAGACTTGCCTTTTGAAGATATTTATTCTAATTGGTTAACATTTTTTTGAAATTAATTATTTTTGTTAAATTTCAGCGGTATTACTCGAGAAGTTGAATTGATTGCTAAACTTTTTCAGTCCAATAAAAGTTTTCCAAAATTGGTAACTCTTACTTTAATTTTTGAAAATGATTTTTATTTTTAAGGACAATTATAGTGTTCTCAGTGTTGCTGGCTGTGTCAGAAATTTTTTGGCACAAGTTCGAGAGCCTGTTATACCTTTCACTTATGGAAAGGATATTATTAAATGTCAGGAGAATACGAGTAATGCCGGCAATTTAAATAGCTTAATTGGGGATTTACCAACTGTATATATTTATTTTAAATTTTTTTTATTTTAAAATATATTTAGGCACATATGGATACACTTGCTCATTTAGCTCGTCATTGGAAGCGTCTTTCAGCAATTTCGGTTAATTTTCAACAATTACAATTTTTACTGATTATTATTTCAGAATGACCGTCTAACAATTAAAGCATTGAGTGCTCTTCTTGGCCCGCTCGTTTTTGGGTCAGATCGTACCGAATCGCCTATTCAAAACGGGGCGGCAGTTATTGCGATGGAAGCTCTGTTATTACTTCCTATTGATTTTTGGATTAATATTACCTCTTCGCCTGGCACTTCGCATTCTTCCCTGTCTAGAAATCCTTCGCAGCGTTCCAACAATAATCAAACACCAAAGGTTTTATTTTTTTAATTATTGACAAAATGACAAAAAATTTCAGTTTAAAACTCTTACAATGAAAAATGGGACAATTAGTGGTTTGCGACACCCTCAAGAATTAAACTCGACCGTTTACAAATAAATTTTTGGATTTGCAGGTCTTTTGTTGGGTTTAAAGCTTTATTTATTTTATACCATCACTTGTACAATTGTCTTTCTCTAAGCTCGTTCACCGACTTTAAATACCAAAAAATGTAAAATTTTAGATTTGACCTCCTAAAAATTTATTATTTTTTTAATCGGTGTGCTTGTTTTATCAAATCATCCTATACATAGATAATTTAACAAATCTCATTTAAAATATTTCTCTTATTGTCTCATGACCTCTTAACGAAAGTAAAATTTATTGAAAAAAAGTTTTTTCTGTTATGTTTATGTAGGTAATTTTAATATTTAAAAAGAATTTTTGTATCAAAACAATTATGCGTGTTAGGAAGGATTAGGAATGTTGTTTACAAAAATAAAAGATTAAATGTTGCGATTAATAAATCAGTATAATTTTTGAGGAAATACGTCAGCGAAATTATAACAAATCGATCCAAAAATAATAATTAAAAATGGGGTGATTTATAATTTTTAATTGAGAGAAAATTAAATAAATTTTTTTATCATTTTTTGTTTTAAAAAACATTACATATATTATTTGTTTAAAATAAATTCCTTTCATTTATTTTTCACATGCGTGTATTTATTAAAATGTATAGTTTTATAACATTTCCTCTCTCGCCATGAGATTGGAAATGCTGATACGTTCCCCTTTCATCCTGTATCGACATATCGCTGCAGATTGGTTGAAAAGTAGTTTACTACCCTCTAGGCTGATCATTCATCAGCGGACATTGACAAACAACACAAAATTGTTGAAAATGCCCCCAACACAGCTTCAACATCAAAATGGATTGACAACAGAAATGCCTTCCCTCCCTCTTTTATTAGAATCGCAAACCGGTGAAGATACGGGTATTTTATTGGCAAAAATGAATGTTCCTCGTACCAAAAATGCTCTTTCCCGAGCGCTTGTTAATCAGGCAAGTTTTTAAATTTGTAAAAAAATTATTTTTTTTTTCAGTTTCGTGAGGCTGTCGATAGACTTCGTTATGATAGAAACGCTCGTGTTTTAATTATCAAAAGTGCTGTTCCTGGAACTTTTTGTACAGGTGTGTTTTTCTTTAAAAAATGATTTAATTTTTCTAGAGTTTAGGTGCTGATCTAAAGGAAAGACGACAAATGACTGAAATTGAAGTTTTTCAATTCGTTGACTGTAAGAGGATTTTAATGTTAGTAAAACTAAATTCAGTTTTTTAAAGTTTTGAGAAGAACCTTTAATGAAATATCTGCTTTACCTTTTCCGGTACTTGCGGCGATTGACGGCTTTGCACTAGGCGGAGGACTAGAATTGGCTATGGCATGTGATATTCGAATAGCCTGTAATTTGTTTTTATAATTTTGTTATCTCAACTAAAAAACATTTAAGCGCCCCAATCAAAACTTGGGTTGGTAGAGACCAAATTAGCAATAATTCCTGGTGCTGGGGGAACTCAAAGACTCCCAAGAATTGTTGGACTGGCTAAAGCAAAAGAATTAATCTTCACTGGGAAAGTGCTTACAGGCAGTGAGGCTTTAAGTATCGGACTTGTAAGTATTAACTTTCTTTTTTCAAAAAAATAATTTTAGATTAATCAATTGGTCGAAAATCCGGTCGATAAAGCATTCGAAATTGCCCGCCAAATTTTAAAAACAGTTAATTTTATTTTTTTAAAAGAAATTTATTTTTTTATAATTTAAGGGGCCTATAGCGTCAAAAATGGCCAAAATAGCATTAGATCGAGGGTCAGAATTAGAATTAGCTAGTGGAATGGTAGTTGAACAACAATGCTATGCACAAGTAAAAATATTTATTTTGGAATATTTTGACAAATTTTTTTAGATTATGCCTACAAAAGACCGTTTAGAAGCCTTAAAAGCGTTTGCAGAGAAAAGAGAACCTAAATATAAAGGAGAATAAATAACAAGGCAAAATACCTTTGTGTTGTCTCTAAATTGTAATTCCTTTCTTAATTGTTTAGATTATATTTTCCGAAACTGTGACCTTTTTTATTTAAAAAATATTTTAATTTTTAAATATTTCAAATTATAAATGTTAAAAAATCTTTTATAAAAGCGTTGAAATACTCACAATTTTAATAAACTCGTTTTTAGACATTATGTAGCAAATTAAGAATCACCAAGATAAGATTACAGATACAGAATAGAATTAGGAAATAGAATTCAATATTTTCAAATCACCCGACCATTAATCACATTTAAATATATTTTTAAAGAAATTTAAGCTAGAGCTTTACTTCCCCGTTTTGCTTCAATTAAATCTTCAACAAGGCCATATTTAGCTGAACGGCGTTCTTCTAATTCCACTTCTTTAAATCGAACATCCATCCGTCGATCATCAATCATTCGTTCTCGTATCATCCATTTCTTTTTATCGTAACGTGGATTTATAAGCCTTAAAAATTTTAAGGAAATATTTTGTGTTTGAAGTTAAAAAAAATAAAAACCTCAAAGTTTCTTCCAAATCTTCCCTTTGAAGATCATCTACCATACTATCATCAATAAAATCAGCCAAATCACTATCATATTCATCACCATAACCTCCACCTTCATCATCGTCGTCCTCATCATCATCAGTTTCACTATAATTTGCATATCTCATTGCTTTATTGCTACTATTTGATGAATTTGCTTTCCTTTAAAATTAAAAAAATATTAATTTTTAGTGAAACGTCTTTTTCATTCCAACGACAAAAAATGTTTTATCCGAATTTATAGATATTTTTCAGCTTAAAATTATAAAAACCTCATATTTTGAAGCATTTGATTACGATTAAAAGAATCTTGCTTAGTACGAGCAAGGCTAACTCCATCAGTTTTCAAAGGCCTTTTTACCATTTGTTGTCTTTTAGCCTCTAATATATTTTTATTTGAAGGTATTTCCTTTCGTTTATCAAATGGTAGAGCAATTTTTATTTGATTTTGCTTCTTTTCAATTAATTGATTTTTGTTGTTAGTATTTAATTGTTGTTTTAGTACAAAAGAAGCATTATTATTGTTAGCTTTTTTATTTACATTATTTGAAGGCAATATTCTAGAATTAAACATTTTTAAATTTTTATTTAAATATAAACAAACTTTTCATTTTTTTGTTCCATTTTTCCTGGAGAGGGAATAGAAACACTCTTTTTAACGGAAGGAGTTACTAAAATATTTAAAAATAAATAAAAGTAAATTTAAAGAAACAAACCTGGCTTTTGTTGAAAAGAACCCTTTTTATTTTGTGTTGGGCCCTGATACCGAACATCACCTGGCAAATACCTTTTTTGAGGATTTTGAGAATTATAAGAATCTGGATGAGCATTTATTGAAAGATTATTTGTAGTTTTACTAGCCATTGTTTTTGAAGGTAAAGAGATTCTGACTTTGTTAGTTTTGCTAAAAAATGAAATTTTGTTTCTTACAAGGAATCATAATGAACTACATACATATAATCAAAAATTCAACATTTTAAGAGGAAAAGGAAAATGACCGCCCTAAAAATACAAAAAATCCGAATCCAAAATTGTCTATAGCAAATCGCCAATCCTTTACACGAAAGTATAAGTATACTAAAGTGTTTTATTTCTGATTATAGTACTATAGATTATTTTACCCCTCAAAATACAACATTGGTCGGATTTTGAAGGGCATAAATCCGACTTTTTATAAGCAAAATATTAAAGTATAAAATACTTTTTGGTTATAGTTTTGTTAATAGGTGGACCATTCATTCTCGACAATTCTTGCTTCTCACGCCCATTTGTTGCCAATGAAGAAAGCTTTTTATGAGATAAATCTGTTGAGGGTTGGGAATAATTTTTTGTTGTAGAAAATTGAGAAATTATTAATTTTTGGTTGTTAGGAGGCATTTTTGTATTAATTACTTTGTTTGGCATATTGTTAACACTAAAAATTTGAAGTTAAAAAATGTTTAAAATTAAAAAACCAACGATTTTTGTGAATTTAAAGCAGCTCGTTCAGCCATTTGTGCTTCAATTTTACTTTTTTGTTTAAGCTCTTTCTGTTTTTCTCGAGCAGCAGAATGAGAAAGATTTAATCCAGCAGTAACCCCCAATCCATCTGTTGACAATAACTTTTTTGGCTGTTGTGGAATAACTTTTTTATTTAATTTCGAAGAAGACTCTAATTCATTATATAATTGCTCTACAGCAGAAGAATCATTCCTCTTTGCTTGTTCCAATAAACTAGTAAAATTCTGAAATACAAAAATAATTTAATTGTGAAAATTAAAATATTATTTTATTAAATATTTATAGTCATATTAAATTAAATTTGATGTTAAAAATATATTTATTTTTAAACCTGTGCAGGTAGACGTGGTGTTGGTTTTGCAATAGACACTTTGGAACCATTTAATTGCTTCGTTGGATTAATTTTATTTGCAGTTTGTGTGTCGGTAGATCTTTTAACTTCTAAGTTCTTATTAGATATTTTCTTTCTATCAACAAAATCCTGTTTTGGTAGATTATTAACGTTGTTTTCTTGAGAATTTTTCTTCGGAATAGCAAAATCCTTTAATTAAATTTATTTTAAAAATGGAAATTAACAAACCTTTTTTTGTTCAGTTGAATTTTTAATTTGCTCTTTATGTTGAAGAATTCTCCTTTTTAAATCAAACTTTTGTCGAGATCTTTCAATAGCCATTAACTCATCTTGTTTTCGTTTACGACTTTCCATTTCACGATTAGCTTCTTTAACTTTTTTCTCCTCCTTTTTAGCATTTTTCTGGGCTTTTTCATACAATTCTTTAAAATCCATCTGTAAACTAAAAAGTAAATATTCAGAATATATTTTTCTAGAACGAGTTAATCAATCAATAATTACTTACATTTTTCTATTCAATGACTAGTTATGAGCAATTCACTGAAAAACAAAAAAATATTTAAGACATAAATAATCTTTAAATAAGTCAGAAATTGCTTCGAAAAATTTTATGATCCCTTTGTCGGTCTAAATGTTTAATAGCCGTGGAGAATAACCTAACCACATTTTTCCCCTAAAGTATGCCCAGAAAGGGATTTAATACTAAATGAACTATTTCGCCGTCCCAAGATAATTTTAGTCCGAAAATAGGAAACAATTTTAAATGCAGCCTCTAACATTCTGCTTAGAAATATAAAATATTAAAATCACAATTGCTCAAAATACAAATGGTTAAACACGTAAACGGAGAAAATTATTATAGCCAATAAAAATTTATGCTGGTAGTAAAATTAAAAACAAAAAATATTTTATATTTCAAATAGAGTCTTTTGTCTTTTCTTCTTCACATAAATCATCCTTAATAGAAACAGTCGAGATTAAGTCAGCAGCGACAACAGAAGTATCATTTTTAGGGTTTTCATCATCTTCTTTTCGAGATTCCGGCAAATAAAGTTTTAGCCGAAAAGCGTCTGAACCGCTCATATAATAGCGAAAAAGTCGCGATTCACGAATAAAGCCGAGACGAGCATAAAGAGATAGTGAATTGTTGTTACTTGCCTCCGTTTCCAGAACAATCTTCAAAAAATAATTCAAATTGTAAATATTACAAATCAAAACCTCCTCGCATCCTCTATCTGTCATAGCGTGAATAATAGCTTTTGCTAGTGTAGTGCCAATACCAACATTCTTAAAAGCTTTGTCAACAGCAAGCATTGCAATATAACCAAAAATATTTTCATTTTTTATCTAATACTATAATAATGAAAAAACCTTGGCTGCGGGGTAAATTAATATCTTCTGATGATCGTTGATCTAATTTTCCAACAATTGCGCCTACAACTGAATTTGTTGAGTCTATTGCCTAAATTAATTTTCAAAATATTTCCAAAAGCAAAATACCAAAAAGCAAAGCTCTGGCCAACAATATATAAAATAACGATAAGTATAAATAGAGTAAGGTTCACTTAATTCTCTACAAAATATAATCTCCCTAATTATTTTTTTAAAGAAAATTAACCGTCTCATTAATGCCATAATCTCTGCCATCTGATCTTCACCTTTATATAATTCAACTTTTACCGATCGATCATCAGGTAACATCATTGTTTGTCTCAAAACATCTTCATTAGATGAATTTCGTCGTGGAGGCTTGACTGGATAAATGTCTATCTATTTAAAAATAAAAATATTTACACAAAAATTAAATACAAACATAAGATGATTCAACTTCTCTTGAACAAGTTTTACAATTTTTGCAATTATCCATAAGCTTCAAAAATTAGTTTATATGAACATTAAATTCTCGATATAAATGCCAAATAAACTTAATTCCAAAATCAAACTAAAATTTGTAAAACAATTTATTTAACGTGATTTTAATTTATAACAATTCTGAATGAAAATTTTCTTTAAAAAATATTTTAAAGAATTTTCTTAACTAGGAATTTTAACCAAATCATCAATAAATTTTTTCATATAATGCCAATACTTAATTCGTTTAGGTTCAATTTCTTCTAGAATTTTTAGATGCTAAAAATGTAAAAATAAATTTTTAATTAAAAAATTAAAAAAACTTGATTGACAGTTAAAGAATATTCGACTTTTTGTTTGTTGTTTGTACATTTTCGAATTTGTTCAATGAGTGAATTAACAACAAAAAGATGCAAGTGAGGAGATGGACAGCTTGGAATTCTTGAAAGCAATTCTTTCACAACATTAACAATTTCCGGCCGTTGTAGCCCCAAATCATCATTTATTAAAATTCTTAAAAAAATATTTATTCAAAAAAAAACAAAATCAAACCCATTCAAATAACTCCAGACACTTTCGTTACAAGGTGAAATCCGTAGAAAATTTAAGACATAACTAACAATAAGATTAATAATATTAATGAAATAAAAAATTAACAAACTCTATTTCAATCTGCAAAAATTGATTTTGCTGAAAACGATCACTCAAATTCAAGCAAATAAAATAACGATAATTCCATGCTGAATTATTTCTTAAATCCTCTTTTAGATGTGAGTCGGCAAAGTCCATTTCCTCAGGTGAAAAAAGATTGAAATATTCAACAACCCATTGCCTATAAAGTATAATTTTAAAATTTTTAAGGACATTTGCTATATTTTTTAGAAGTTAGACCAAGAATTTTTTAAAAAATATTCCTTTACAAAAATCCTGATTCAAATTTTTGAAGCAAAATTTAAAAAAAAACCTGTGTTGCCATGCATGGTAGTTTTTCGAATCATCTTCAAGTTTAGAAGCCGTAAATTCAAGTTCGGCTCGATATTCTCCAGATTCTTCCACAATAGCTCTTCGGTGATACCTGAGAAAGGCTTAATTGTTGAATTTCAATGCTTACCAAACTTGATAGTTTTTAGGATTTTCACCGATAACTGTTTCACAATATTTTAATTCATCCTCAATATTCAAGCCTAATACACGAAGAACTTTACGCCGATAATTCCTTAAATTGATTCATAATTCAATATTAAATAAACACTAACCAAACACTATAATTAGCGGCGTTTAAAGAAATACAAGTTGTTGTCAATTCGAGTACACGCTCACTCAACTCAGTTGCATTCATAACTGCCCTCAAGTAAGCAAAGGCATCATCAACTAAAAGAGAAATTTAAATTACAAAAAGATGAAATATAATTAAACATACATTCTTCAGTTGTTGAAATCTTCACTGCACAATCTTCATCAGGAGTATTATATATTGGTTTAATATCCTTCCACTCTTCACTTTCACTGTATAGGATTTGATTTTGTTGATTAGGAGAATGTGTCATCACAAACCTTTTTTTGAAAAACGTTTATCTATATTTTAAATCACCTAAATCTTGTTATATACTAGGTATACCCCCTATAACACGAAATATTCCAAACAAAAATATTCTAATAGCCAACTATAAAGCCGTTAATCAGAAACTAAAAGTAAGACAAAATAGGTACATATAATTTATTAGATTTATAAAGTCAAAAGTATTTATATATAAATGCATATTTTTATATTTATATTAGGATTTACATATTATATTAATATTAAACAAAAAATGAAGAAATGGAGGTCGATAGGCGGGAATTTTCTTAAATGAATTTTTGATTATACAATTTATATCCAAATAAAAAGCATGAGAAAAGGGGAGAGGTCCAATCGTCAATACAACAATTAAATTATGAATATAATTATGGACATAGGCTCTGTTTTATTTCAATCACTCATTTATTGCAACTTCATGTACATTCCATCAAGTTTTGACTTGAAATGCGTCCTCAGCTGTGGCCTTTTGCTCTTAAGAGTAGGCGTAAGCAGATCGTTCTCAACAGTGAACATCTCATAGTGAAGATAGATATCCCTCACCTAAGATAAACAAAAACTATAAACCATATTTTACTATATATACTTGTTCAAATGAAGATAATCCTGCTTTCTTCCCCAGTGCTTGGATGTCGTCTAGAATCAACTTCTTAACCTTCTCATCCGTACACAATTCCTGGATGTTCTTACCCTCAATTCCAAGTTCGGCTGAAACAGCATTAGGAAGAACATCAAAGTCTGGAACTACAACAGCAATAAGGCAAGTTTTCAAGCTTTCCCCGTGAACAAAGCATTGAGCCACATATTTCGAGCGGATATAGACAAGTTCGATTTTCTCAGGGGCCACATATTCACCTTGTGCCAATTTGAAGATATGCTAAAATTTGAATAAAACAGGCATGAGGAAAAGTTCTTGGGAGAAAATCTTCCCAATTATTTAGTGTAATTAATACCTTTTTACGATCGACGATTTTCAGCACACCTTGAGCAGTCCATCGACCAATGTCCCCAGTATGAAGCCAACCATCGTCATCTAAGGTCTCCTTTGTTAATTCGGGTTGTTTGTAGTATCCTTTGAAGACATTAGTCCCTTTGACGCATACTTCACCAAATCCATCCCTTGCATAATAATTAAGCTCAGGAACGTCAACAAGTTTGATTGCATTGCAAGGAGCAGGCACACCAACATGGCCAGGAATTGGATCCCCTTCTATTGATACCTTTAAAAAATGTTCAGAGTAACTGGATTATAAAATATTACAGTCGCAGCAGCAACACATTCAGTCTGCCCGTAACCTTCACAAACAATTGCACCAGTGGCACAACGCATAAATGTCAAAACAGTCTCTGACAAAGGAGCAGATCCTGTAACCTACAAAAATGGAGTTAAAATCTTGTAATAAATAAAGTAAACAACCATCAATTTAACGCGCCCTCCAAGCCCTTCACGAACTTTTCTGAAGATATGTTGGTCAATGAAAGAATCACTGCGAATGATCCAGCTAAACAAAAAATATATATTTAAAGATATATATTTAAAGAAAAATGAGGTACTTTTCGGTTATATCGACAACATCCGGAACATTTTATCCAAAGCCATAACGTTTATCTTGTCTTAATATGTACAGAATGGTCTCTGTCCATTTGAGAGATAAACTTTATGACTTGCGGATAAAAAGTTGCGGACCTTGTCGGCACAATCGAAAAGCCTAAAACTGGAATACGTACTTGTTAATTTCACGAGTTTTAATCGCAACCGCAGCATCAAAGATAAAACGAGTTAGCACGGATTTGTTGGCTTCGGCCATAACCTGCATAAAATTTAACTATAAAACAATTAAAAGTTTACCTTATCATAAATCCTATTAAGAACACGAGGAACAACAGGCAAAACAGTCGGACGAAGAACTTTAATATCGTCAGCCAAAAGGCGGATGTCACCACGAAAGAATCCAACAGATCCACCTGCACAAAAAATGGCTGTCTCCAAAATTCGTTCAAACATGTGTGCCAAAGGGAGGAAAGACATCATCACATCCTTGAAGTTTATATGTTATAAAGATTTTAAAAATATCTTACTTTGTTGTTCAAGTTTGCGTTCTTAAAATAGTCCAAAGCAGTACAATCAGCAATGATGTTGCCATGAGTGAGCATTACACCTTTGGGAACACCCTGAAAAGAAATAGGAAAATGTAAACATAAAATTAAAAGCTCTTACTGTAGTTCCTGACGTGTAGCAAATAGTCGCCAAGTCATCAGGAGTAGGAGGTTGGTCAGCAATGTCATTCAAATCACCACGCGCCTCAAATTCTTCAAAACTAGACAAAATAATTCCTTCATTCTCCACAGATCGTCGAAATTCTTCGGTCAATTCGTCTGAAGCTGGAGACATAACAACGATGTTCTTGAGTGATGGACACTGAGATTTTCGCTCCACAAGACCCCTAACTTTGTCTATAGAATCGCAAAACTAAAAAAATAATTAGGAAAAAATTTTTAAAAAATGCATACCACTAACTGAATGTTCGTCTGGTTGATTATAAACGACGAAGCATCAGCGCCAAGCGTTTCATAAAGCGGAACTGAAATTGGACTTTAAAAGAGTATATTTTAGATAAATTACCAGTGACATTGCTAAAGCAATAAGCCGCCTGCTCAACAATAACCCATTCCGGTCGGTTTTTCGCGAAAATTCCAATGAAAGATTCTTGTCCAATAGGAATATCAAGAGTCCTTATTGCACGTCCAACACGGCTAGCTCGAGAGATGACGTCCTCATAGGAAAGCCAAACATAGGGCTCAGAATTCTCAGTTTTTGAGCGATAGCCAAGCATAGGACCATTTTTAGAAACAGTGGATCCCCGACGAATGGCTTGATAGAGAGTAGTCGCATCCTGGTAAATGAAGCGCATGAGTGCATCCGTTTTGAGATATTTACAGATTCGAGAGCCATCCTGAGATCACAAAAAAACGATTTAAGAAGCGTTAAAAAGCATACCGGGAGTTCACGAGTCTGAGATTCAGGGTCAACTAGCGGAGTCAAACGGTGCGGAGAGGTTCGCGAAGACCACATCCACCACAATCCCATTGCACCAATCGTAGCAGCAGCGCCAACAGAATAGAGCAAAGGACTTGTCCCACCATTTCCGCTGTCAGGCCATTCAAAGTCAGTAATCCTGGAACAAATAACAAGTTTATAGACTTTGAATGTAAACTTCTGAAAAACCACAAAAAAATTCACTCACCTTCCAAGATTTATAGGTAGAGAAACCCAAATAGGTGTTGTATCCTTGACCATGTTTTAAATAATTTATTAGATTAGAAATATAAGTGAGCAATGTTAAAATAATGAGCACTGCTGAAATGGAAAAATTAAAGTTTTAAATTAATGTTTTTGATTTAACACAAGTAAAAGAGAAATTAAAAAATAACAAATTTTAACTGGGAAAAAAATCTTTTGGTGAAATTAAAAAAATGACGAAAAGAAAAAAAAATAAAAAACATTTTGCCAATTTGATAATGAAATATTTAAAAAAACTTTGTAATTTGTTTTGTAACTATCGAAAGATTACAATAAATATTCTGGTTTTTAGTATTAAATTCCCCTAAAATCTAAAAATATACTCGAAAAAATTTCATTAAACAAAAAAAACATATTTTCTGTTTTTGGAAAAATACTTTGGTAAAGAAAGTGGTGAAAAATTTATTTAAATATTAATTCTTATCTATTAGAAAACGACAAACTTTTTTTATTTTGAGTACCTAAACTTGCTTATTTGTGTGGTTTGGGAAAATATCTTATCAGAATGAATATATAAAAGATAAAATATGTAAATATTAGGTACAAGTTCTACATATTTTTTTTTTAAAAATTCTTTGAACCTAAAAGTTCTTTTACGTAAAATTCACGATAATGATAAAAATAGCAAATATAAAAACATAAAAGAAAAGATAAGGAAAAATGTTCTAAAAAGTTGTTAATTTATATTTAAATTCATTACAACTCTTTAATTAAAAATTTCGTTAAAACAATTTAAATTTTATAAAAAAAGTTTTGAGGAATAAACTTTATTTATTGATGTAATATTTTTAAATTAATGAAATTGGAAAATAATCTTTTTTTAATATAAGAAATGTTTAGATTAAAAAATTTTTAATTTGTAAAGAAAAAAATGGGGCCATTAATTGTTTACATAAATGTTAAATTTTTTATCAAAAATAGTTATGAGAAAAGCAAAAATAATATAAAAAAATATATTTTATCATTTCAAATAAATGAAAAAAAATTTTTTTGCTGAATGGTCAGAATTTTTAAAAAAGCAACGTGGCCAAAATGAAAGAAAATATTGAGAAAGGGGGGAGAGAGGGTTTCCCTAACAAAGAGACTATTTTCTTCCCATTCCTCACGTGTTGTTGTTGACATAATAATGAAAATTGGGTAGAGGATTTTAGCAGTATCTCAAGCAAATTTAAAAGCTGAAATATTTGTAGAGAGGAAAACTAAGCAATGTGGTATGATGTTGGGTGTACATATTTTTCTATCTAATACATATTTCGGCGGTGGCTGGTCGTCACTTTTTTTTTCTCGCGAATTCTTTTTTCTCTATATCTCTCAGTATATACACACACATATAGAGAATGCAGCTGCTAATGGCGAAAATTCGCAGTCAAGAAAATAGGATGAATGCTGAGTTTTAGAAACAGAGAAAAATAAAGAAAGAAGGCTAAGAAGGGATATTTGGAGATATATTTTGTGAATATACGTATAAAGGATATACCATTGGAAAGAAAGACTAGTAGGCATAAATTTGTTGATTTTTTAAGTTATCTTCAGACAATAAATTAGTCATAAATTTATTTTATCATTTATATGATACTTAAATAATACAGTTTACCAAAAAAAGGAAAAAATATACTCTATTAATTATCCTCCCTCAAATAATTACCCCATCTATATTAGTTACCCCCTCCAGCGAAAGGTCGAAACAATAATTACTCCCTTAAAAATAGTTCTAATAGTCTTCCTTAGATAACCTCTATTAATTACCCTCTCTAGAGAGAGGTCGAAACAATAATTACCCGGGGTAATTAACAGAGTATATACGGTATATGTATTTAGTACCTAAAATTACAGTGAATTTTATTGTCATTTTGTGAGTTGTTATCATCCCTCTAAAAAAGAAATTATCATTTTGCTGCAAACAAATAACAATATTGGGGTTGCTCTTTTATGAAGATAACATTATTGGACCATTAAAATAAAAGATAATCTAATTTTGGGTTTCAATAAAAATTCGTGGCTCGCACACCCTTTGATTTTAATTTATTCGTCGAACCACCGCAATACTATTCTTTTTGACCCCAAAAAAGTTTTCGGTGGAGTCCAAAGTCTGAGAGGAACAGGGCAAAGATCGTCAGCGTAATCAAAAAAATAAGGGGGAAAGGAATGACTGGGCACCACTTGTTGTCTTCCTCGTGAAATTTTTTTTTCAATTTCGTGAGAAATGAGAAATAATATTAAATGATCATTTCAATTTTTATAAAATTTTAAATGCTTTTTTTCTTTTTTGAAGCTTGAACTCTTGAAGTTTTTGTTGTCTTTTTTTTATATCCCCAGATTAATGAATTGTTTTTAAAAGAAAGGAAGTAAAGGACAAAAAATTAGTTGAAACGTGATCACGAGTAAATTAAATATATGACGGAATTAATCTTTTGACGAAAACAAATATTTTGATTGTTGGAATTGAGATTAAAAAATATAAATCTTTTTTGTTAATTATGTAGAGATTTGAAAAATATGAAAAAAGCTTTTATGAATTTGGTAATAAGAGACAATTGACGCAAGAACAAAAAACGACGCAAAACGCAAAAATGGAACTATACATATAAGATACTCCCAATACTAGAGATACTACTTAAATTTAAATTTTTTTAATTTAATTGACCGACTAGGTAGAGGAACTGGCAATAAAGATACAGTTTTTTTATCATTAAGGGTGTATCTAAAAATATATAAAAATAAAATAGTTAAAAAAAGTTTGTAAATAAAATGAAAAATTAAATAAAACCAAAAATAGGTAATAAAAAAATATATAAAGTTGATTTATTTACACACAAAATTATTAAAAAACTTGTTTAATAAAAACGATGTTTACTACAAAAATATATTTATTATTTAATTTATTTTATTGCAAATTTTAATTTATATTTTTTACTATAATTTTTTAATATTGAAATTAAAAAAAGAAAAACAACATTTAAAATCTGTCAGATTCAATTATGTTTAGTAAATTGTCTGTTTGTTTAGTTTTGGCATTTTTAAGAAATATAAAATCTTTTTATTTTCGGCTTTCCATAAATTTTTTAAATATTAAAAATATTAACAAATAAATTATGAAAAGTAATTCTAGTAGATTATTAAATGTATCGGATTGTTATGATCGAAAACCATCATCACATCAACAGGTATACCATATATGTAGTTCGGTTCTTGGAGCCGAAGAATCGGAATTGAGAAAAATCTTTTATAAAATAATTTTAAAAAATCTTTAAATTTAATTAGACTACATTTACTACTAATCATTATTTGGCTCCCATAAGACGCAGTTCTTCTTTAGAATTTCCAAAAACAAATTTATCATTTATTGAATCAGCACTTGATAGTTTAAAAAATTCAAGTACATCTATTTATGCCTCCACATTAAGCGCTGCTGGATTATTAAATGGAATTGGTCTTGATGGTCTTAGATCAATTACTGTTGGTTCAAATGATTCAACAGATAATTTGTTTAGAAAAAATATTAGAAAAAATATTTTTTAAATAAATAGATATTCATTAATGGCTTCATATCGTTCTTGTTGTAATATATTTAGATTACGTTCTGTTACTTTAATTATTAGTATTTGTGTGTGTATTGTGACAACATTAAGTATAATTTAATTATTTTTAAAATCAAATGGAATCTTTAACTGAATTTTTTAGTACTTTCTTGTCTTCTCCTTGAAGCACCATTTTCTACAAAAATTTTATTTTCTCAATGGCAATATGAATTAATATTTAATCCAGCTATTTGGATACTTTCATTTTCTTTATTAACAAGTCTTTTAATGAATTTAGCTTTAATTACAGATATTCACTTTTTAATTTTACCTTTTATTGCAAGCTGTGTATGTTTTTTTGATTTTTTTTAAATTTCTGATGAGTTAAATGGGGAATATTCGATATCGGGAAATACTGTATTTTTTCAAAATAGCCATAAAAAATGGCTAAATAGCCCAAAATAGTCCGCGGAAATAGGGCAATTTTAAGAAATTTGTTGAACCTCTGATTCCCTTTTACAGTTTTCGATACATTTTTTAAAATTTTATTTCCTATTTCTACGATTTTTCCAAGACATCTCTGTTTGGAGGCCATATTTTGTATTTAACTTCTCAAATTCATATAATTATTAAATTTCTAAAAAATTTTTAAAACAAAAAATAATTTATTTTTAAATTTTTATTTAATAAATGTTACCGGCTCTATGGCAATTGAAATATTATTATTATTAAATATATACAAATATAAAATATTAGCACCAATTTGTATTATTTTATTTTCATCATTTTTAATTTGTTTACTTCTTTGGATGTTAAAAATAACTTTTTTTACTTTTGTACTTATTCGTGATAAAAGGACTATATTTTTGTTTGGATTTAAAAATAAATTATTTTTAATTAATTAATTTTTTTAGAGATTTATTACATGCAGAATTATTGGGGAATGAATGGAATAATTCAACAAATATGAGAGAAAGAAATCCGTTAATAATGATTAGAAGATCTTCGTCTGTTCCTATTTCTTTTACAAATATTGCTGAATTTTAAAAATAATTTTTAAAAATATTTTTATTTGTTAAAAAATGTAGAAATAAATGTATTTACTCTAAATCACTCAATATCCCTCTTAATCCCCCTGTATCTTATTGCAATTTTGTTGAAATTTGGTAATTTATTGTAAATCTATAAACCCAACAGTCCAGGCCTGGGCAAGGTAAAAAATTCCTGAGTTTTTGCTGGGCCTTGTTTTTTACTGCACTACAGGCCTAGGATCCGGCCCAGGTCAATAAATCAAACCCCAGAGTCGAGGAACAGGTCCAGGCTTTTTTCACCTCTAAAAGGGTCATTCAATTAGAAGGGTATAAAAACCTAATAGTTAATTAAAATTATCAAAACATAATTCTTCTAAACTCTTCTCAACATCAACAGCGTTGTTTGTTTGCAGCCAAATGTCTTGCATATGTTTGTGTTTTTTTCTAAATTTTTAAATTTAAATCTAATTTTCAGCTTGTTCGAGTTCTTCTGATGGACGGAGATCTTCTTCGTGTGTTTCTCCACCAACATATAGTGTTGAGATTGATGAAGCGGGGAAGTTGATAAGCGACAAATACCAGGCATTTTAAATTAAAAATAAAAAAATATTTTTCTTTTCTTTTTAAAGGTTCAATGGCCTCAACTTCCACCTTCGGGCACACATTCCAAACGGGAGAGAAAGAAGAAGATGGCAAGAGAAAGGAAGGCTGGAAGTGACCAACTCATTCGAGAATTCAATGTGGCTGTCTGTCCAAAAGAGCAACCAACTCCATATCCTGTCCGGGCAATGACCATGGAAGTGAGAGAAATTTTTGATTAATTTAAGCAAAAAATATTTTCTTTTTAAGCGTGCCTATTCTCAATTTGAGAAACGTCAATTGCGTCATTTCTTCATCTACTACCAGCTATCGAGTCAATCGTTTAAGGACGTGAATAAAATTCCTCTTGAACTGCCATTGATGATTGCATATAAATCGGACACTGGAAATGTTATTCACTCCCAAATCAAACGATTTGTCTCTAAAGAGAATAACAACAACAACGACAACAAGAATGCTGAGTTGTGGTGTGCTATTCCATATGATTCTAATGGAAATCCGGTTGCTGAGCCATATCATCTGGGGTAAATTTTCTTTGAGAAAACTTGCTCCCATTTAATTTTCTAAATATTTTGACAGATTTGCGAGTGTTAGGGCCCTCATTACTCACTATTCGTCCTTGAATGCGCATTGTGGAGCGTTCATCTAAATACCATAGTTGGTTTGTAGAAGTTTGGGAATAGATGAATATATAGAAATTGATAAATATTCTAGGTGATTTGTTGTAAATATGTTGTAATGCCTATTTGTATTGTATATGTACAAATGTCTTAATAAATTATAAAATGATTTTTTCTTTTAATCTTAAAAACTTTCAATTTTATTTCTCATTAAAATAACCAAAATACTAAAATTAATTAATTATCCATGTTTGTTTTTAATTTCTTAGATTAATTTTTCAATTTTCTTTTGATTAATATCAGGTTCATAAAGAAGACCATTCCAAAGTTTATAAAAACATTCATGACAATATGGTCGAAGTTCGTGTTCGCGGAATGTTCCGTGCAAATTAAGTGCCTAAAAATATTTTATTTCAAAGTTTTTTTCCAAGAAAACTTTTTGGCAATAGCAACACATAAAATGATAAGGATGGAATTTTTGAGCTTTTGAAGCATTTGGAGCTAAGGCAGTCAAAACAGGGCCATCAATTTCTTGATTACAAAAGGCACATATAGCTATAGGGCTTAATGGTGATGTTGGCTAGAAAAGGGAAATTATTAAAAACTAAAATAATAATAATTAACTTCAATATTTAACGTTCTTCGTGGTGTAGCTGAGCGAGCACGTCTTTTTAAACTACTTCTAAATATTTAAAAAATATAAAGATAAATTAGGATATTGGATAATTTAATCAAAGTTTTGAGTTTGGCCGGGCTCTAGTAGGGATAGACTCGTAATTTATAAGTACATTTAGCTTTCTTTAACGCAAAGGTTTGAGATTAACTGCACTATAAATGTCTGTTGTTTCCTTTATTTTCTAGACTAGAAACTGGTCACTGGATTTAGAAACTGGATTTGTATTACATAACAATCTCTAAGAAAAATTTCAAGAGATTGAAAAAGGATCTCACTAAAAAATTAATAATTTAATTTAATATACATTTGAGATTCATCTAATTCAACTCCATAATCTTTCTTTACATGATCAACAGTATAATCATCCGCAGGCTCTGAATAAAATAAATAATTATATTTAATATTATTAATTATTGTTGTTTTAATTATTTCTTTCATTTTATTTTAAATGAAAGAAAAAAAGGACAAAATTTCAAACCAAAAACCGGCTCTTCTTGATCAAAATAAGGTGCCTCTTCATCAGCTGCGGGTGTTAAACGTAAACGATATTCAATTTCCTAAAGTTTATATTAATTAGTTTAGAGAGATCGATATTAACTTTTATTTAAAATTAATAATTCTTTTTAATATGTCAAAAAATTTGAGCGGAATTTCGATTAGAGCTCTCTTTTTTGGACTAATTCCTATTTTCGCCCCCTAAGTTTTTTTCAATCATCTCTGCTAAAACTTGTATTTCAACTAATCATTCTTTGCATTTATAATTAATTTGCCTACTTCATGCGATTTTGGCACTTTTTTCTCTTTAAGAGACCCTCTACGAAGTACTTCTGCAGTAGCATTAACATCATACACTAATGCTGCTAATGTATCTGTTACTACATTTTGACCTTTAGAAAATTTCTTGATTAAAAAATTGTTTAATTTAAAATTCACGTTGATCTTCTTTTACACGTCCCAATTCTTTTTTTAAATCTTCTGTGCTAACAGACTTTAAACGCAAATTTAGCCAACTTTCTTGTGGCTCAACTTCAATACGTCCACTAACTTCCATTTCCCCTTGAAATGTTTTTTTATCAAGCATTTGCTGTTCATGATGTCTTCTAATTACTTCTGCTGTTTTATTTACATCAGTTACTAAAGCATCTAATGTTCCGTGAATTATATTTGCATCTAAAAAGATTGTAATCAACAAAGTTTTTACAGAGAATCAAGTAAGATATAATTGAAGAAGAAATAACGGTGGTGCTGAGGGTGTAAATTAAAATTAGATTTAGTAGGGATTACTCTCCATCATTTATGGGGGGGGGTAATTAATTAGTAAAAGGGTAACTAACTAAAACTTACGTTCTCCACGAGTCTCCATGGCAGTTATAAAATAAATGGAATGTTTATATTAAACAAATATTTAACTAAAAAATTATTTTTTAATAAAATTTTAAGAATCGATCAGTTAAAAATAATAATATTTAACTAAAAATTAAGAAGAATCATTTAAGAAAAAAGATAAAAAGAAACAACAATTGGCATTAATTCCAACATAAATAAATACTTTTTATTAAAAGATTTATTTATTTAGAGGAAATATTCTTTCGGCTAACATATTTTATTCTCTTCTCTAAAAACACTACCCCCCCCCCAACCATTTTATGTCCAAACATTTCTTTACATTAAAAGCTAAAAATAAAAGAAAAAATATTTTTTCTTTTAACAGATTGCAGCTTTTTTTAATTTCTTTTATTTTATTTTTCTCTCTCTTTTATTGACAGACGATCAAATTTGAACAGAGAAAAAGTGCAACTTTATTGTTTGTGGGGCTTCTTTACAAAATTGATTTTTTAAAAGAAAAATAAATATAAATAATTAATTAAATATGTACAAATATTTAAATTAAATATCCAAAAAAATCTTTTTTTTTTCTCCTTTCAACAAAGAAGACAAGCATCAGGACAATAATGAAATTTAAGTCCTTTTGTGTTTTTATGATTAAAACAAAAAGGTCTGTGTTTGTGTGATTGCCATTGAATACAACTTAAAAGAATAAATTTTAATTTTTTTAATTAAAAAAATTAAAAACTTTTGATGATTTTTGTCTTTACATTTATGCCCTTTTGGTTTGCAATGAGCACATGTTTCTGGACATTCTCCTTCTAATTTATAAAAATAATTCTAAAAAGAAAAGTAAAAAAATTTTAAATTTTTTGTTTCAAAAAAAAATAACCGGCATTTCACAAAATAAAATATCTTTAAAACAATCATTTCGTGTATCTGTACAGTCTTCTTCTAAATAGAAAATATTTTTTTATTCCAAAACAACCCCTAAGTAATTAAAAAACCTTCAGAAGGGTTTTCAAATCGAAATTCATAAATTCTTCTTTCAAGTTCACAGGGTTGTTCAAATCCAATTTCTTTATGCCATTGTTTTTTACAAGTTTTTGGACACAAAAGGCGAATTCTCTCATCAAAATTACAAAAACTTTCCATTTCCGGACATTCCCAATTCGAATCCCTGCACATCCAATTTTCATCCCATTTCCATTTTTTCCGTCCACAAAGTCCACAAGTACCTCCACAATTCTTAATTTGGTCCTCAATATTTTCTTTTTCCCAACAATCTCCATTTTTACGCCTTTTAAAGCAATCTTTTCTTAAATCTGGACAAGAATGTTCAGGCCTTTCACAACACATAGAACAATGATTTGCACATTGTAAAGCTTCAGTTTGTAAATCTAAATAAGAGAATTGAGGGGTGAGAAAGGAATAAAATCGAGAAAAAGTTAACTAATTAAACTGGGCTGAAATTGAACTTACACTTGTTGACAATCAGTGCTAAGCGCTTTTTCCTTCACTAAATATTCAGATGAGCTACCGAATGAGCTAGCGAGAATTTGTTTTCATTTACATACTTTAAACCCTGCCTAATACGTATAAGAAAAGTTTTGTAGTAGAAACTACTTTTTCTATTTCTTAGAATAATTTTGATAAAGAAAAGTCCCATTTGTATTTTTAATAAAAATATTTGTTTTTCTTAAAATAGAAAGTATTTACGTGGACATTCACAAAGTTTTGGACGTTTTTCATGACTTTTTCTTGTCCCAAAAATTGTTATACAAGCATCGATAGGTAAATGATTTTCACAAACTTCTTCTTTAAATTCTTCTTTAAAACAAAATTGGGAATTAACAAAAATAAATAAATTAAATAAATAAATTATTAGAAACATTTTATTTAAAATATAAATTTTGAAATATTTTTTAAATGAAAAAGAGAAAGAAATATTTATTTAGACAGAGAAAGGGAATTTCTTAATTTTTTTTATTAATCAATGATATTGAATTATTGGCATATTTTGTGATAAATTAAATAAAAATAATTTTAAATTTTAATTTTATTATTGTTATGTTTAGCATATTGATGGTTTCCTTCTGATCTTAATTCAAAACATTCCCCTATAACATTTACAACTTTAATTTCAAATATATGTATATTTTCGTTATCAAACTTTATTTAAAACATTATTTAAACTTATTTACTTATTTATAATAAATATTGTATTTCGTTAGAATATTGTTTGAGAGTAAAATACTTAGTATATTAAATCCGGGGACATAATAATTAGAATCAAAAGTAATTGGATAATTAAAAAATATTTTTTATGTCAAAAAATAATTAAAATTTACGTTAAAAATTCTAAGAAATAATTTAAAAATTAATTTTTAAAAAATAATTTAACCTTTTGTAGTTTTAATATTTTTTAAAGTACTTCTCTTCAATGAATTCATTAAAATATTTAAAATAAAAAAAGACTTAATTTACGTAAATAATTATTTTTTAAATTATTTTTCTTCCGTTTATTAAACATAAAGTGCAGATTTAAAATTTAATTGTAGTGTAGATTTTAAATTTTTTTTTGCTTTTTTTTCTAGGGTCAAAGGTAATTACATATTATTTTATTTTTGTTTACTTTAAAATTTTCTAGACAAGGAACTACGTAAATTTAAACAAAAAATTTTTTTGAAAAAAATTTAATAATTTAAATACACATCTTCTTTTTATTGTAAACAAGTCAAACAATTTATTTTTTGGTTGCCATAGCTTTTTTTGTTTTTAAATAAACCTTCGACCCTTGAGAAAATTTTTATTTAGAAAAAATAATAAAAATATTTTTTTGTAAAATTTAAATAAACTATTTTTTTATAATTTTGACTATTTTTATTGACTGCCCTCCAAATCTACCGATATCCAACTTAATCCCCCTTCTGTCCATTTATTTGGAAAGGTTTATAAAATAAAATGAAATTTTATTTTAAAGTTTAAAAAATACCGTACATGCTCGAATAATTGCCCTTAATTATTACTTCAACCAGGGCTGGGCGAAATAAAAATTTTTATTTAGATCAATTACGAAATAAATTATTTCTTTGTTTCGTTCCGAAACGGAGGAGGAAAAAGGGCACGAAAGAGCGAAACGTTTCGAAACGAATTTTGCCCAGCTCCTGATTCAACCTTTCATTGGAATGGGTAATTATTAATCGAGAGGGGTAAATATTCGAGCTTATAATAATTTTTTATTTAATCTTAATTAAATATTACAGTAATTTATTTAAATTAATTTTTAAATAATAATCTAATCTTTTTTATTTTTTTTCTTAAAATCTGCAAAAATTTTATTCCTATTTGGCTTTAAAATTTTTTTTTATTTTTTTTTAAATTTTAATTAAAATAAATATAAATTATTATTTTTTTGTTTTTGCAAAAATAATTTTTTGATTGGCACTTATTTTTGGTTGATTTATTTTATCTTTCTCTTTTTTTCTAAGTATTAAAAGTTTTAAAAGTAATATTTAAATAAAAATAATTATATATATTTATTTATTCCTTTTTTTCTTTAAATAAAATTAATCTTAATAAACTCAACAAAACAATTATCCCCCACCTACTACTTTTTTTGAAAAAGAAATTATTAGTTATAAAATTAGAAAATATATATCTTTATTTTATTTTAAATAAATAAAATTTTTTTAATTCAAAAAAATGTTTGCAATATATTTTGTAACTTACAAATATGTAATTTGAAAAATAATAAAAATTAAAATACTAATTATTATTTAATTTAAAATTTTTAAAAATTTGTTTTTTCTTAAAAAGAATCGCTTTTTATTCTAAGGATCATTTGAAAGTTTGTGGAATTTTAAAAGATGAAGAATTTAAGTTATTTAGAAAATATTGATGATGTAGGAAAGGATATTTTAGAAATATTTATTTTTTAAAAATTAATTAAACTAAAAAGTTTATCTATTTAAAATAACATTTTTGTTTTTATCCGTAAAGGAATTTAAAAGCTTTTTAGAAAAATAATCTTTTTAAAAAAAGAAGGAATTGGATATATAAACTAAAATATTTTTAAATTAAAAACAGAACACAATAAATATATTTTAAATTATTAAAAATTCATCACTTTAAATTTTTAGATAAAATATATTATCGTGATTTTCCCATTAGATTTTTTAAAAATTTCGAATTTTCTAAAGTTGAAATTGCCAAGTGCATATTTTATCCAAAACTCGATAAATTAAGGGAATTCTCAGCTGAAACATGCCCACTCTCTATTCTAAAAATCATTTAAATGTTTGCCGTCCCGAATAATTATAATTTTTATCAATTCAATGGTTGCAAAGGTGGATTTGTGTATTGATGGACATCTTAAAATCAAAAGTTTTGATGGGAATTTTCATGGTGATTAGTTCTTAGAAATTATATTATAATAAGTAGGGACTCACAAAACATGTAAATGCATGTTTTGTATGCGGATATGTCTCGATGATAGAAGCAGTGCTGGGTATGGCTCCGGGAGCTAGCTCCGGAGCCGGAGCTAAGATTTTGAAAACCCCGGAGCTGGAGCCGGAGCCAAGAATTTGAAGTTTTTAATACGATAATAGCACTTGCGATCAAGTCAGTAAAGGCTACCTAGTAATGGAACGCCCAAAATTTTCCAATGCGACGCTAATCAATGAAGATACCGTAAATTCTCTAATAGAAACACATGTGCTTTTATTTTTTCAATCTTATTGGAGGGTGTGCTTCTATAAGAGAATTTACGGTATCTGACTTTATGGCTTTTCAACATTTCGCTTGCCAAAAAATCAAAAAAATCTTGATTCAAGATTAAAGCCTATGAGCCTTGCACGTCTTTGGCCTGCATTTATGCTTCAACTTTTATTGGCTGTACTTGGTTCGTTTATAGAATCAAGTCATATCTCTTATTTGTTAGCTTCAATGTCACATCGATCTCCCACGCAAAACAAACAATTCCCGATTAAAATTTTCTGCAATTTATTTTTTACGAAGACACATTCTCTGATATTTATGTATAAATTTCTGAAAGATTTTTTCGGGCTAATAAGGTATTAAATTATCGTTAACTAGCTGACAGGCGTATGTGTGCCATACCTGATTTTAAACGAATGGAAGTCACACCTCTATTATTTGTAGTAGAATAACCTCCCCAGATAAATTTAATGATAAAAAGAGAAATTAAATTGTACATAATATTCTTTTAAATCTCGAGCCAAACAATTAATTTGCCCCATCTACCACTTAAAAAATAATTTTCTCATTATTTTATATTTTAAAGAAAAGGAAAATAAAACTCTAGCTAATATTTAAATGGGCGGAGTTTAATAATTTTTATTTCGGACTCTTTATAAAGCCAAACTTTTTCTCTTGTATTTAACCAAACAATTAATATTTTTAATTTATTTAAATTTAAAAATAAAATTATTTTTTAAATATAATTAAGGGACTAAAAGAATTTTTTGTCATTTAATGAGGTTATCTTAAACAAGCTAAATCGCTTAAGCAAGTTATCCACACAATAGAAATTACCCATTTTTATTATATTTTTTTAGTGAAGTCCCGCTGTAAATAAAACTTTTAAATGTTTTATAAATTTTTAAAAAATTAAAAAGAAAAATGCAACATTTGATAATCTTTTATAAAATTAATCTTTCCCGTTAGGAGTCTTCTTTATACTTTTACAAGGCTTCCACGCTATTTACGCAATTTGAGATTGACCTTAAATTTTAATTTTTATTTAAAAAATAATTTAAATATGTCCTCTTCCCCCAAATGTTTTTTGTTTAAGTTCACAATTTAATTTTAGTTAAAAAAGCTTAAGGGGATTTTAATATAAATTTCCAAACCCCATAGATTGGAAAGTTAACAGATAAAGCATTATTTTTTAAATACAAAAGTCTAAAAATGTGTTCGCTTCTCTAAATTTGATTAATAAAGCAAATATTTTTTTGTCTTTTCAAAAGGAAATGATACAAAAATTGTTTTTTATTTTTATCTAAGAACATTTTTTAGCAAATATTTCTTTTTATTTTTAAGCCATTTCGTCTTCCAAGAATAAAATTAATGTAAAAAATAAAAAAAGAGGATTAATAGTATAAAATAATTTTTATAAATTTAAATCGAATAAAAATAATAATTATTTTATTTGGTTATTAAATTATATTTTGTTTTTAAATTTTATAAATAAAAATATTAGCTAATGAGTGTCTTGCCATTTGGGAGGAAATCCTCGATCCAAAATAATTTTTTATTCAAGATTTGTATTTAATAAATATATTCACTTTCCTCTAAAAATATTTTTCTAAAAAGAAAAAAACCTTTTAAAAATTAAAATACTTTAAAATACGCACTTGTTACTTAAGAATTTAAAATATTAATTTATTGTAAATATTTTTTAGAATTTATTTTTAACAAAAAATGTTATCTTCTTCCTTCAAAATTTTCATTTTTGTAATTTTTTTCCAAATTTTATTAACAAAATATATTAATGCTGAGGAAGAAATATTTAAACAAACAACAACAACAATATCCCCAACAACACAAAAAGTTGCCAGAAAAGTAATGAAACTTGAAAGAAATGGAAATAATTTTAAAGAAGTAATGGATATTATGGTGGTTAATGGAATGATTAACAAAAAAGTAAAAATAAAATATTTAAATATAAGGATATACCCCGTCCTTCTTAAATTAGTCCAATATTTCTTCCTCAAGGGTGTATCTCTTACAACGAAATTTTTATATCTAAAAAAATTTTTTCAGACTTATCAACCAAAGGATCTACAAATATTGCTTGAAGGATTTAGTGGAAATTTTTTCTCTGATTTGAAGAAGGTAGGGAAAATAAAAATATATTTAAATTTAAAAAAGAACATTTTTAGGCCCAAACAGAATTAAAACAACAAACAGAACAATTTAAATCAATCCGCACAAAACTGCAAACAAAAATTGAATGTTTAGAGAAAGAATTACTTCAAGGGAAACAAGTAAATATTTTGAGAATAATTTTATTTTTAAAAAATAATTCTGTTAAAGTTTTTAATGGTTCTTTGTTTTCTTTTGTTAATTATTTTGGTTTTGCTTGTTTTTGGGAATATTTGCTTAATTAAACGTTTTATGGCCAAGTTCAACAAAAATGGATTTAAACATGTTCGAATGACTGTTGGAGGAGAGGATGTTGGGGAAATGGAACAAATTTAGAAGAAGAAAAAAAGAGAAAGAGAAATTTTTTGAAGATATAAATAGAGTTAGGAGAAAAATATAAAAATTGGAAATTTTTTTTGAAAAATTTAAAAAAAATTTCAGTTCTTTAATTTTCCAATTTACCATATTCTCTCTAATAGGAGTAGGGGAATGAAAAAATTAAAGCAATTATTTCCCTATTAGAGAGAATATAACAAAAGTATGTACATTTGAACTTTAAAAAGGAAAGGATTTCTTTTCTTTGATCGACTATCTTTTTTACCCTTTATCCAATCCAAGTAGATCTTAAGTTATTCGAAAGCTCTTGATAAGCTGAATCTTTTTTCAACTTGAGATATTATGAGATATTATGCCTTAAAAGGTTACAAGCTGATAAATGTGAAAAACGCAAGGGAATACACTTATCATGTTTAACTTTTTAAGGAAGGATCTGGCTTGATAGGTATAGTTGGAAAAAAGATTCCGTTTATCAGAGGCTTCTAATGATATTTGGATTGGATTAAAAGCATAAAAAGGTATAACCGATCAAATTTATTTTGTTTTATTTATAAAATTGATCTCTCTCATTCATATATTTGTTTTATTTTTAGATAATTATGCCAAAATATTTTTACATTTATTTTCCTTTCACTATTTTTTTGTTACCCTTCTTTTTCCTTTTCTTAAAAGTTGCATAATGTTCATACTTCATTCTTTAATTTTTTTTCATTTCCTTAAGCATAAAAATCTTAAAATTTTTTAAAATCCCTCCTCCATTTAAATTAAAAACGAAAATCTTTTTGAGTGTCAACGATTTGGAATATAACCCGAGTTTTGGATTACTTTAAGGGGAATAAACCTGATATACATAAATGTGGAGATTCAACTAAGGGAATTAAAGATTAACAGAACTTTTTTTCCTTAGGAACATTATGAATAAAATTTAATTCTTTTTTTATTAATTATTTTCATTAGAACACTCTATATAAGGGAATAAAGTGATAAATGCAACTTTTTAAGAAAATGAAAAAAGATAAAGGCAAAATTCAAAATTACTATCCTTTTTCTTTTATTTTTCTTAAATATTTTTAAAAAACAAATGTATATACAAATATTTTTAAATTTTTCCCTGTTATTTTTAAAAAATATTTTTTAATTGAAATTTTGGTTAAATGTTTTGTAGTTTTTAAAAAATTATTTTTAAAAAAATTTAAAATTATTTTAATTAATTAGGAGATAAAAAATTTAATTTAAACTGAAACAACATTTGATTAGGCATATTAAGCTTGCTCCTTAAGTAAGCTTGTTTTCTTATTGTGCTTGCTTCTTCCACTTCAGGTTTCCATTTTTATGTTCCGTTTCTTTCCGGTATCCTTTTACTTTTAAAAATTCTTTTTTTTATTGAATGCCATTTTCTTTGGATACTTTTTGAAGGAAGAAAAGCTTTATAATTTTTATTTTTATTTCCAAAAAGAAAGTCTCTCCTCCAGTACTTCTCTTATGTGTGTCCTTCCTTTTTTCTTGACGCAATTTTTCTTTCCCCCGTTTTTACTACCTCGTGTCCACATCGATTTTTGGCTCTCAATGCTTTTTCTTTTTTTTTGTCCTTTTGAATATTCTTGACAAAATTTGATTTTGAGAATTTTATAAAGAAAAAAAAGAATTTTTTATTTGTTACAAATTCACTAAAAAATATATTTTATTTCTCTTTTAAAAATTAAATTTTAAAAAAGAAAGAAAAGTTTTAGGCAGCTTCTTTTAAAAGACGGCACAAAATGCCATTCATTTTATTTATTTGTCTTTTCTAATATTTTATTTTTTTCCTCTTTTTTTAACCTCTCCAGAGAATATTTCTTCTAAAAATTTTTTCTTTTGTTTGATTTTTTTTATTTAAAAATCATATACTTCATAGAAAAATAATAAAAATAATAAAATAATTTTTCCTTTTCTTCTTTTTTTTTAATAATTAATTAATTAAATAAATGGGTGGCAGATTTGTATTAGGAAGAATTCCTTTAATTCGAAATAGGTAAATAATTATTTCTGTATTTCCCCCTTAATTATTTAACAGTTTATTTACTTCCTCCTCCTCAACAACAACTAACAATATATTAGATCACCCCATTAATAGGCCAAAAAGAAGAAATTCTTCTGAATGTTTACCCCGCCCAGTTCAATTTGATGAATCTTCTGAACAATATAGGTGTTTTTGTGGATGTTTTCATATAAAGACTGGGGCCTATTTAATTTGTTTTATTGAAATATTTTTTATTTTGGTAAGTTTTTCTCTTTCTAAAGTAAACATCAAACTAATTTAAGACTGACAAAGTTCCCTTAACCTAATAAAATAAAAATTAAAGAGATCAATCGGTGGAGGAATAGTTGAAAAGTTTAGCATCCTTTTTTAATGGAGATCAGAGGTGAATCAGAATTGACAAAGGTGCCGGAAATCGGAACTGTCGGAACTCGGAAATGGCTTTAAAGTCGGAAATAAGCCTAAATTTTCGGAAATCGGAATTTCGATTCACCTCTGATAGAGAGCTCTTTTAGTACATATCTACTCCTAGCACAGATTTTGCTTGACTTTTCAGTTTACCACCGAGTCCGTTCTCCTTTCTTTTTAAAAATCAGCAAAATTTATTTATTTTTAACAAAAATAATTATTTTTTACAAAAGATATTCTTTTTAAATTCTTTATTGGTTTTACTTCAACAAAAAGAAGATTTAGATAGGCAACAACGTTTATCCTTTTGGCACAGTAATTATGTAAAAACAGCATTTTTAATTGAATCTATTTCTTTGGGAATTTCTTTAATTTTTGTTTTTTTACTTATTTTTGGTTTGAAAAGAAATTCTTCTTCTCTTTTAATTCCTCATTTAATTATTCAGGTATTTAGTTTATTAAAAAAAGTCTCTAGCTTTATGAGATCTATCCCAACATACTCAATTTGGGATAAGTTTTTTTAGAAATTTGTTTGACCATTAGATCGTCGGGGAAAGCTATTTGGAGAGAGATACCTCCCTATTTGAGATAACCTCATTATAAGATACTTTTATAGGATACTCTATATCCTTTAATAACTACCCTGGGTAATTATTGTTTCAACCTCTCTCTGGATGGGGTAACTAAAAGTGGTGGGGTAATTATTTGAGGGAGGGCAATTAATAAGGTCATACGGTATCCAAGGATGCATGATGAAGTTCTTCTAATTTATATATTTTTCTTTCACTTTTAGTGTTTTGCCTTATTTTGTTTATTTTTTCTATTAATAATTGGCACAATTGCTTTATTTACTGATTTTGCTCTTTTTTATCGTCTTTTAAATATTATTCCTTTTAATGAATTTCCTGGCCAATCAACTGTTGCACTTTCTGCAGAATCTTTGGCTAGAGTTTATGCTTTTCTATTTCTTTACCTTCTAACTTTTTTATTACAATTTTGGTTTATTAAAATAATATATAATTGTAATAGGTAATTTAGTTTTTTAATTAAATATTTATTTTTATTTAGATATTTTGCTGAAAGAAATAATTATATGCGTTATTGCTTGGCTTACAGTACACCTTTAAAGACATTAAATAGTGCTAGATAAAATATAGTGATTTTGAATAAAAAATTGAATTTAAATAAATAAATACAGTCTAACCTCAATGTATAATACACCTTAGTGAGGAGGTCGGTCGGAATTCCGATTTCCGAAATTTTGAAAAAATTTCCATTTTGTAGTCTGGCATTTCCGATTTTCGAAAATTTAGGCTGATTACCGATTTCCGTTTTCAGACTTTTGAGCCTTTTCCGATTTCCCACAGTTCCGATTTCCGGTACCTTCGTTATTTCCGACCGACCTATGCACCTTAGTGAAAGTTAGGGAACACTATAGATTATTTAGTTAAATTTGTAGTGAATATACTATTATTAAATATATTTATTTTATACGGGTTTTGTAATACGTCATTTACTCAAATAATTACTTCCTCTACCCCCTTCAGCGAGAAATTGAAACAATAATTACTCAGGGCAGGGTAATTATTTGAGTAAATACGGCAATCAAAATTAACTTTATTGCTTAAAATTTTTTCTTATTTCCTTTTATTTTTTTCTTTTTTTCACTTTAATAATTTTAATTTTTTTTAATTTCACTTTTTTTTAAAAACCTCAAAAAATATTTTCTAGACTAATTTAAATTAACTTTAAAATTTTTCTCACACATTTTTGATTAAAAAAAAGTTTTTAAAAATCTAATTTCTTAGAATTAATTAATTTTATTTATTTTTCAAAAAAACCAAAAATGTGACTTTGAGAAAATTAATTTTTATTTTTACTTTTAAAGATTTCCACCCTCGCTTTTTCTTAAATATAAACAAGTTTTTAAACATTTAGTATGGTAAATATTCCCACAGTTTTACAATAATTTTTACAGAATTCTAAATATATTTTTTGTTTAAAAATGAGAAAAAAATAAAGGAAATCTGTTGAAAAATAATTTTTTTGAAAATAAATTAATTTTTTTTGGGAATAAAATGTAAAAAAATTAAAAATTAAGAAAAATTTTAATTAAAAAAAGTTTTGAAAACAAATTATTTTAAAATAAAAGTAGCGACTTTTGATTGTTCAACATTTGAGCACACGACTTTTGAAGACTTTTGATCAAAATTTTATAAAAAAATTTTCAGTTAGAACCTTATATATGTTTGTATTAAGTTAGGGTGCCGGCATCTAAATTCTCATTTCGCTTCTTAGAAATTATTTTCGTTGATTATTATCAGATAATGCTTTCCGAACTCTCTCTATCTCTTATGGTACTGAAAATTACGAAATCTGGCTTTTTCACTTCAAAATTTTCGCATGCGTCGCTAAAATATTATGAAAACTAGCTTATTATCCACTATAATGGTGTTTTCTCCCCAAAAATTCTTTCCAAGCTCCTCTCTGTCACTAGACATTCTTTCCTATTTAAAAGTTTTGGTTTCGGTTCCGGATACACGGAGATTTTTCAGGAACCACCAAACTTAGTATATACATGTACAAAAATTTAATTCTACATATAAACTCTTTAAAACATTAATTATATTTTTATACAAAAATAAATAAATATAATTAAGAAAAAATAAAATATTTTCTTTTTAATTTTTAAAATTATTTAAATGAACCAAAATTCTTTTTTCGTTTAAAGGATTATTATTATTATTTTGTATAGAGGATCTAATAGATGTTGTGTTTAATTGTTTTGTTGAAGTTTGAATTAAATTATTTTCTTTTCTTTTTCTGAAAATTAGAGGAATTATTGTTGTTCTCATAAAAAGTTCTTTAAATGTCGGATTTAGCCAAGCATAAAGTATTGGATTAGCAACATTTGTTGTCATTGCAAGACTATTTTAAATAAAATTTTAGTTAAAATTAAAAAGAACACTACCAATGTGATATGAGGGAAAGTAAATATAAATAATTAACATTCCCCCAATTTAGTAAATGTATATCATATTCAATAATCATTGTTAAAACATTTTGAGGTAACCAGGCTAAACCAAAAAATAGCACAACAGTAGCTAATATGGTTGTTGTTCTTCTTTGTTGTTTATTTAAAGCATTTACTCTGATTTTTCCCCCAACATTTTCTTCACAAAACGAAGAAGTTTTTCTTGATAAACAATCAACCTTTAAAAAAGAAAATTTTATTCAATTCTTCTATCGATGTTATGTGTCCCTAATTAAAATTAAACGAAAAAAGGAAAGAAAAAATTCAAATTAAAGGAGAAACAATCAGAATTAATTAATTAAATCCCCCCACCTTTTCTTCAACAATTAATCCATTTTCATAATTGTTAGATTGTCTAGCCAACATAATTTGTCTTTCATTTAATTTTTTTAATTTTGTATTATTTCTTCTTCTAAGCCTCGAAAATATAGAAGCATAACAAAAAGACATTGTCAAAAAAGGTAAAAGAAATTGTAAAGCTAAAACAGCTAAAGCATATCCTCTCCTTATTTGGGTATTTGGCCATTGTTCAGAACAAAACTGTCCACAATATCCTTCATATTCTTCCAAACCCATATAATAAGCATATGGCAATGAAATAAATAAAGAAAATGCCCATAAAATACAAGCAACTATAGTAGCTTGTGATGGACTAAGTGAATGACCGTGTGGACGGTGAACTAGCCAATATCTGTCTATGGCTATTGCCGATAAAGAAAATGTTGATACTAATACAGAAACTGCCTAAAATTATTTTTTTAATTAAAATAGTATTTTGATAAATAGTTGGATTTAATTAAAAGATGCTAAAATCGGGACCGAAATAGAGAGTATAGTCCCCCTCCCCCTACTCCTTGCTTACAATTAGACAGTTCTCTCCTTATAATTCCCTCAGAATATCAACTAAATCGCCAAATCCTTTTTCTAAACACAATACCTGAACCATAGGAAGTAAATGGCAAATAGCAGAACCAAATAGCCATTCTTTAAATATATTCGTTACTAATGTAAAGGGTAAAGATAGAAGGCAAACAATAACATCAGATAAAGCCAAATTTAAAATAAAAATATTTTGAACAGATCTTAAATGGCTACAACGAAGAGTTAGCAAAACAATTGCTAAATTCCCCAATAAACCAAAAATAAAAATATTTATATAAATTATTCCAAAAATAATTATAGCCAATAAAGAATTTGTTGGATCTGGACTTTGAATTATATAATGAAGACATTCAAAATTATCATTGTTATTAAATGTTGATGTTATATTTGGAGAAGGAGGAGAAGAAGGAGAGGATGATGTAGATGATGTCGAATAATAATAATTTAAAGAAGAAGAATCCATCTAAAATATTTTAAATAATTGTTAATATATTTCGTCCGGGCATCTTTTTTAAGAATTTCGGGTAATTAAAAGTCGAAACAAGGAAAGAAATACAAAAAATAGGAATGAAGAGAGGAGAGTAAAAATATACACGGTCTGGGCTGAAACATTCGGAGTATCTAAATATCAGACTTTTGGGAAATTATTTACATAGTTACTAAATTATGATGATGCAAATAAAAAGAAAAGAATAACTACAATACTAAAAATTTATCTTTAAAAAATTAAATGTATCTAAGTCTACTACACATATTCTGGAAAAAAATATTTAGAATATTTTTTTTAATCTTAAAAAGATGGTGCTAAGCAACCAGATTAAAAAATATTTTTTTAATTTTAAAAGAGAAAATTATGTAAAATGAGCAAAAAAAGATGTATTTTTTTATTTCAAGAAAAGCAAAAACCAAGGATTGAAATTAGAAGAAGAAGAAAATAAGTTAAATAAAATATTCTCATTTCTCCTCTCCCTTTAAAAATGCTAAAAATAATTTTTATTTTAAAATGCGCAAAAGAGAAGAAAATGTTTTTATTTTTTTCTATTTCTAACCTAATTAGGGAATAAGAAAATATGTTTGGCTGTTTTGTTTGGAATAAAAATAAACATTTAAAGGATATAAATAAATTATTAAATAAATTTAAAAAAATATTTTTAAAAATTAATTGGAAAGGAGAAAAAGGGTGAAGAGGGGAGGGAAAATTATAATTTTTATTTACTCGTTAATATTCTTTCTTAAAAGTATTTACACAAAACTTGAAATAAAAAATAATTTTTATGGCAAATTTGATATTATAAAGAAGGGCATAATGACTTTAACATAATGGCCAACTAGAATTATTCTTCACAAAACTTTTTTCTGACCCAAACCAGAGCACAACCGAATGTGCTCCATCCAACAAGAGGTTTTTAAATGACTTTAATTTTGCAGGAAAGTTTGACAAAATTTATTTTAAAATAATTTTTAATTAAATAAACCCCCCTCCACTATCAACATTTACACGCCCTAACCATCCATCAACACTTCTCCTAATTAGTAAAGAATAAAATAAAATTTAAAAATCAAAACGGAAGAAGAAAATGTATGAACAAAAAATAATTGGAATATTTTTTGAAAATATTTTTGTAGTTTTTTTTCTTTTGCGTGACAGAAAAAACTATACATCAAAATTAAAATTAAATAAAAATTCAAAAATGCGTAAAATATGTAGAAATAAATATATTTAATTTATTTTTAGCATTTCTGTGGAATTTAAAAATAAAGAAAATTTTTGTATTAAATATAAAAATATATTAATTTAAATAACGAAACATTTAAATTTCGAAGAAAACGAATTTTTAATTAAAACAAAAGAGATTTTTGGTATAACAAAAGAGATTTTGGTTAAATATTTAATTTAATTTCGTGAAATTGACCAAAGATTAAAAAAGGAAATTAAATTTAAAAAATCGAATTAAAATGTTTGTTACCACCAAAAAATTAAAAAACACACAATTGGTATCAATGGGAGTGGATGTTTTCCCTTCTATTATTTTCGGAACGAATATTGGAACTGGGCACGGATGCTCTTTCAGAATTATCCAACTTTATGTGTATTCCTTTTTTATGTTAAAGGAATACACATAAAGAGGTGTATTAGATATAGGGTTGCCAAAATGGACAGACTAGGACCGAAAAATCGAGTCGGGCCTAGATGTCATCCCTGGTCATGAAAATGCTTTTAGGCAATTATTATTTTAAATATTTTTACCCACAGAAAATAAACAATTTTTGTTTCTATTTTCCTGCTTATTTTGGGGAATTTATTTATATTTTCTAAAAATCCGGACTCAATTTATCACAGTGAAATTCTTTTTTAAACAAAATAAATATAAAAAGTAAAAATATATGTATTTATTATAATAATTAACAAAAATTTGTGCTTTACCCAACTCACCCCTCAATTATTTTTTTACAAAATAAATAAGAAAATATCAAACAAAAAATAATTATAAGTATTTCCTGCACAATTTTTAGCTAGGAAATACAAAAAATATTTACTAAAAAATCTTATTAGAAAAATAATAAAAGATTTTTACATAAAAATAATGAGAACTATATGTAGTAGACATTTAAGGGCATGATTTTTGATGTAAAATAAAAAAATATATTTTTTTAATTAAATTCATATACTTACATCTTAATTTTGATATTATTTCTTTAATAAAGAGGGCTAATGCCACCTATTTACTCCTAAAATATTTTCCTAAAACTTTCTCCCCCCCCCCATAATTCACATCAATTTTCTATTTTTTAAAATAAATACAGGCACTTTTAATTTAAAAAATTTAATATTTAGTTCAAGGAAAGTTTTTTTATTTATTTAATATTCTGATTTAAGTATATCCCCAATATTTAGATAAAACAGAAAATTTTTTAAAAATTAATTTTAAATTTTAAAATTGATTTTTTAAATTAAAAAAAATGAAATAAAATTTTTAAAAATTATTAAATAAAAAAAGCTAAATAAATAAAAAAACAAAAGTGCATTCTTAAATTTAAATATTTATTTTCTTTATCTTTTTTTTTAATTTAAAAAATTCCCAAAGGAATTTAACAAAAAAATAGGAAGCTTTTTGTAAAGTGATAGATAGATATATATTTAAATTAATTTTTATTTAATTAATCAACAAATAATTTTAAAAGAAATTGATAAACTAAAAATTTTTTGTGGAAGGTGGAAAAAATAAATTTAAATAAAAAATTTCTTTTAAAATATTTTTTAAATTTTTTTAAATATGTAAATGGGTGGCATTGTTTTCGATGCATTAAAAAGTAAAAAATAAATAAAAATATAGGCTTATGGGAAAACAAAAAATTTTTTTGAATAGGAAAGATAATACTGCCTTTTAAGCCTTGGCGAGATATTTTGAGGGAATAAATAAATAAATTTGTTTGTTTATTTATTTAAAAAAATAAAAGTACATTTAAAAAAGAAAGAATTATTTAATAAAATTTTAATTTTTTAAAAAGAAAAAATTAACAAATTTAAAAAAATTTCGTTGAGTAAAATAAAGCTTTAAATGTTAATTATTTAATGCTTTTTATATATTTAATTTAATTTTAAATTTAATTAAGAGGATTGGATTGAAATTTTTTGTGGTATTAGTTGAAGGGCAAAAGTATAATTAGATTTTTAAAACAAAGGAAGGATAAAAAATTTTATTTAATTTTAAAAAAGGTTTTTGGATTTTTATAAAAACATTTATTAAATTTAAATAAAAATAAATATTATTTTTTAAATAAATAAATAAATTGTCCGGAAAGGCAACTTTAATTTTTAATCAATAAAATAAATAAATTAGTTAAATAAATAAAAAAAGTTTTTAAATTAACTTATTTTATTATTAACAAATAAATAAATACATCATAACACGTGTTTTAAAAATATGTTTTTTAAAAGGGATAAATAATGTATGCCAGTTATGACTATGTATATTTAAAATAAATTATTTCGAAATAAAAAGGAAAATAAATTATTAATAATTTATTTTTATTAATTTTTAGTCAAAGTAAAGGGGGAGAGCTTTAAACATCAGTTAAAAGATCATCCATAACGTCATCCATAACGTTTTCCTTTGAAGTAATCCAAGAATCTCGGACCCAAGACTCGGGCCCTTTAATTTAAATCGTAAGTTTTTTATTAGTTGTGACTTGACTTTTCCTCTCATTTTTTATATTTTATCAGTCAAATCTCTAATATTTTCTGAGTGATTGAATGCTTGCTTTAAGGAAATTTATTAAAATTTAAGAATGAAGGAAGTTTGGTAAGTACGCAACTTTTAAAGAAAGGGAAAGAATAGGGTGGACAGATATAACTATATTAACCAATTTTTTATCACCAAATACTTAATAGACAGGTGCTATGTATTCTAATTTAAATTTAATTATCTGCAAAAATCAGCAATTTAATTAAAATATTTAGTAATTAAATTAGTATTCTAATTAAATTATTTTTGCAAATTATTTTAATAAATTAATTAAAAAATAATAAAATAAAATAATAATTTAAAATAAAAATAACTACATACATAATTGAGAATGTCTAAATACCCTTTCCTTTTCTTTTTTTTCACTTAAAAAACTTCAAAAATTAAAAGATTGGGTTGACATTTTTAGTTTCTCATTTACACACAAAAAATACTTACTAGCTTAAAAAAGGCATTTACTTCCCCACCAATAAATAAAAAATAAATTTTTGTTACCAAACTTTTTTTTAAGTTTTTTCCATTCATTTATTTATTTATTCACCCAAATTTGGAGGAAAGAAAGGAGAAAGAATTTAAACCCCCCATTTGCTTTACTTCATTGGCCAAAAAAGCGGAAATTGCTTTGAAAAATTGTTGGAACATTTGGCATATAAAAATCTTTTTTTTATATTTTAAATTGAAAATAAAAATATTTTTAGAGAGAACATTTGTGACTACATATATTTTATATTTAAATTTACTAGAAAAATTTAAATGTATTTTTTATTATTTTTAATTATTTTTGTCAATATTTCTTTTGGTAAAAAAGAATATTTAAAACAAAAGAAGCAATCTTGCAGTATGCCTTCCTCACAAGGAAAGTCTTTAATGGCCCAATTACTTAAAGAATATGACAAAGCAACTAAGCCAAGTGGAGGAATTCTTGATGTTCAGGCTGAGGTTTTTTCTTCTTCTTTATTTTTCCAGTTAAATAAAGAGAGGTTTGATAAAGTTGTTATCCTCAAAGTTAACATTAAATTGAAGGGAGATAATTAAGAGATATAAAATAGGAGAGGAGAGGGGGGGGGGGGGGGAATTTTATGAATAAAAAGTTTGTAAAAGTTTAAAAGGATGGGAGGCTACTCTAATGATTTTTCTCACTTTTTCAGGTCACAATTCAAGATATAAGTTCAATAAGCGAAATAAGTTCCTCGTTTATTGTTGACCTTTGGTTTTCACAAATTTGGGCAGATCCTCGATTAGCCTATTCACATTTAAGTTGCAAAAGTAATTTGTCATTAGATGAATCTTTGGTTCAAAAAATTTGGACTCCAAACCTTTGCTTTACAAACAGGTATTTAGAAGATATCCTCACAAATTTAAATTATTACTTTTCCAAGTCAAAATACATATATCCACAGTTCTCCAGAATCAAATATTTTATTAATTATTTACAGTAATGGAACTGTTTGGTTAAATCACAGAATTAGAGTTCAAGTATTTTTAAACATTTAATAATTTCTCTTTTATTTTTTCCTTTTAAAAGGGTCGTTGTACAATGGGTGATGGATTTGCTAATTTCCCTTTAGACACCCAAAGTTGTTTTTTAGTTTTGGAATCTTGTGGGTATCCAATAGCAGAAGTTAGACTTTCTTGGCTTAATTGGAATCCTGTAAGTGTTGCTAGCGAAAAACTTCAATTGCCCGATTTCCGTTTTGTTAATTTAACCTACAATCGACTACTTAGAAGATATAATGCTGGGGCTTTTGATCAATTAAAAATTAATTTTGAATTTAAACGTTTATATGGCTATTATGTTGTACAGGTAAAGAAAGAATATTTAAATAAACATTTAGTCATTTATTTTAAAATTTAAATTCTTTTCCCTTTATTTATTTTAAAATATCCGACAAATTAAATATAAATTTAATTATCTTTTTTTGTCTAAATTTAATCTTGAGGGAATATATTTTATTGCTTTATTTTAATTAAATTTTAAATTAAAATTGATTAAAGTTATTTTAAAAAATCGAAATAAACTTTAAAAATAAATTCAGATCTCGGTTTTATTTAGACTTTTTTTCGTCTTAAACTAAATTCCATTAAAATTTAGACTACTTGTATTTTAATTCTCTTAGTCTTATATTTTATTTTTAAATTAAATAATATATTAGCCACAAAAACTTTTTTTATTTTATAAAAAATAAATTTTTTATAAAAAAATTTAACTGAGAATTTTTTTGGTTAAATAGCTTAGTTTACGTTTACCTCAATTCTACTTCTTATCTTTATTAAAAGAGTATAAACAACCGAGATTTGATTATAATTATTTAATTCTTTAAATAAAGGCTTATTTACCTTCATATTTATTTGTTTTTATTTCCTGGATAAGTTTCTGGATTGATAGATATGCTTTACCTGCACGTATACTTTTATGTGTAAATGCAGCTTGTGCTCTTATTTATCAAATGGGGAATGTTGTACAAAATCTTCCGAGAGTTTCTTATTTAAAAGTAAAAAATATTATTATTTTTATTTTGTTATTATCTGTGCCCTTCATATATATTGTAAATAAATATAAATATAATTTTAAAATTTGGAGCACAAATAATTGGAAAATACCAAAAAAAATTAAATTAAATTTTAAACAATTTACAGGCTTTAGATTTATTCTTTTTTGTTTCAATTTTCTTCATATTTATGTCTTTATGTGAAATGGCTATAATTGGCTATTTTGATAAAATTTATGAAATAGACCAATATAGGAAAGCTAAAAGTCAAAGAAGATTTCGTTCTCTTTTAATGGGACAAACAGATCAAACAATGATGGTTGCATTGTAAATAAATTAATAAATTATTTTTAATTTGGGACAGAGAATTGAAGGAATTATTAAGGGTGGGGGGAGGAGAGGAGGTAAATAAAAAGTAGAATTAATTTTTTCAATTTTTCTGCCCTTCTGGCTGTGTTTAATTTAAATATTTTAATTTTAAGAAGAGAAAGTAACACCAACAATAATAACAATGAAAATGATGGTTATTACACAACATTTCGAGAAGATTTAGCTGGGCGTTATCAAAATGCTAGAGGTTCTGTTGTAAATACTTACAAACACGGAGAGATGGGACACAAAATAGATTTTTTCTGTGCTCGTGCCTTTCCTTTAATTTTTTCAGCATTTAATATTTTTTATTGGTCATATTATTTAACTAGATAAATTTTGAAAGAAATTTTATTATTGATAATTTAAATATATTTTTAATTAAAAAATTAAATTTATGGGGACACCAACCAAAAATTTCTTTAATTTCTCCCTTTATCTGAAAATAATTTTTTGGAAAATTAAAATTATTTGAATATCACCTTGGTAACAATAAATAAAAATATTTTTGTTATTTTGAGGAAGCAAAAAAAAAAGAAAATACCTAATAATTTACGTATTTCTAATTTTATTTCCAAAAACATTATTTTTATTTTTCAATAAAAAATGAGTTTTCAAGCAATGCCCTTTCTTTATTTAAATATGGGAGGTGAAATGGCTTATATATTAGAGCAGAGATTACAAGTAAATAAATAATTAATTAATTAATTTTAAATTAAAAAAGGCTCAAAATGTTGGAAATGAAAAAAGTGTTAAAGTTTTGTGTGATATTGTTGCTGTAATGTTGGGGAACAGTTTTTTAGATGAATTGTTTGAACCTAAAGAAATGTACTAAATTTAAAAAATAAAATATATAAATTTAAATAAAAAGGATGTCAAGACAGGGACTTCGACAATTTTTTGAACAAATTGCCCATTCATCAGTAATGCGTTTAAATGAAGCAAGGTAGGGGAAGGGGAGTCTAAAAATTAATTTTATTAATAACCTTCAAAACTCCCAAAAATATTTTCCGGTTTTAGCAATATAATTACCTAAATTATTTTTTTAAAGTATGGATAAATTATTTGATTTAATGATAATGGCAGTAAAATATCAATTTCTTTTGTGCAAAGAACCTTCAGAATTAGTATTGGTTACAATGAATCATATTGATGGAATGAAAACAATCTTTCAATCAAATCAACAAATTTTGAGTCATTTAAATTATGCTAATACATTAGTTTAGTATTTAAATATAAAAATTGGGGAGGAGGGGATAATCTTAAATAGGGGAGAACTATCTTAAGGTGTATCAAAAGGGTATTCTTAACACTAAAGAATATTTAAAAAAAATTTTTTTAAAGTTAATGGATCATTTTGGAGATACTCCATTATGGCAAATGGCTATAATTAGAAGTGAATTATTAACTTTTCTTCTTGGGGCTAGAGTTAAAGTTAGTTTAATGTTACGAGAACATAAACAAATGGAAGGTGTTTTTATTTTAAAAAATATTTTTAACAAAAATTTAAATAAAAAAGATGGCCGTTTTGTTTTGTTCCCAGAAGGAGAACAAATTGAATTACCCTATAATGCCGTTGTGCCTGGATCTGTTAGATATGTAGAGAATGGTGCTTTGGTTAGAAGTGAAAACTTTCCTGTAGATGAACATTTTAAAGTTTCACCAGATAGTTACCAGGTGAAAAAAATTTTTTTAATTTTTTATTTCTATAAAAAGGAACGATAAAATATATAAACAATTAATGTATAATTAAAAGAGAAAAAAAAATAAAAAATAAATTTTATTTTCTATTTTTAAAATACGTATAATGTAAACCTTCAACTACCCTATATTTCCCTATACTTCTCAGAAGTATCCTAGTTTTTCTCTTCTGATAATTTGTTAATAACACAAAAAAGTTAAAAAAAAATTTGATTCAAAAATATTTTTTAAAATGCCTTACCACCATTTCTCATTTAAAACGGGAGTTGAGATATTTGTGATAAAGGCGGCTTTGGGTTTCGTTTTTCATTATTATTAAAAGTTGTGGATTTTTAATGTTTATTAGCAGTCCTTTAAAGGTGATCTTTTATAAAAATTATTTTTTGTGTTATTAGTATTGGATAATGAATTTTAAATTATCAGAAGAGACGGATAATCTGAGAGCACCTTTCAGACACAGGATGTACATTAAATATTGAATTTAATTTATAAAAATTATTTAGGACCGTACAATGGTAAGAGGAACAACTTTGGGTCAAAATATGTATAAAACAAATAGTGAAACTGAACAGGTAATTAATTAAGGATTAAAGTATTTTCTTTAAAAATTGTATTTTATATATTAGTTAAAACCTTCAACTTCTTTAACTCAAAAACAAAAAACATCTAAACAATCACAAGATATCCCCCAAACTTTAAATACAACAAGTGGTGATGAACTTGGATTATTAAGCATGTTAATAAAAAATAATGATCAACCAATTGACGATTTTGAATTAGTTTTGTTTGAAAATGAAGGAGGAGAGAATAATAAAAATATGAAAAAAGAAAATAAAACAAAAAATCCAACAATTGGAAAGAAGGCTGCTTTGGATAAAGCTTTAAATGAGGTATTATTCAAAATAAATTAAGACTTTTTAAAAATTATTTAGATGAATCTAGATAAAGATAAACAAAAACCTCTCGAAAAATCACCGTCAAAGGGAGTAAAAAAAGGGAAAGATTTATTAGAAATGATGGATCAAACAGTTGAGAAAAAGAATTTACCTCCTAAAAGAAGTGGCTCTGCCAAAAGAAGTGGTGGAAAAGTTTAAAATTAAAAATACGTAATTGTTCTTAAAAAGTCAATTATAATTTTATTATTTTGTATTAAAAATATTACAAAGTCCACACATGCACCAGAAAAAATACAATATTATCTTCAAAGTGTAGATTAGGCAGTACACGAAAAAGGAAAGAAAATATGAGTAAATATTAGAGACGTCCAAGAAAAAAAATTCTTAAAAAAGTTCAGACCAAGAGTTTTGGACGTCTCTAAGTAAATATATATTTTAAAATCCTTAATATATTTATTAAAAAATAATCCTATTAATTTGAATACAGTTTAATAATTAGATACATATATTTATAATTTTTACAAATTAAATACAAATGTTTTTTCCTAATATGCACTAAAAAATTTAATCTGCATGTATACTTAAAAAATTATAACTATTTAATAGAGAGGTAATGAATGAGAATTGTGAAATATATATATGGGGGTGGGGGAGTGAAAAATGAGTCAAATGATGAGTCAGTGGAAATATTAACACGTTTTCTCAGCTAATCCTCAAAAAGAAATGCCAGAAGTCAATGAAGATGGAAGTATTCCTGCATGTTTTGCCTGTTTTGAAAATTCAGAATCTGGATTGGAAAGGAGTGTCTGTGGTGAATCAAATTCTTTAACTCGGCCCTGTTTTTTTAAAAACAAAGTTTAGAATTTTTGATATAATTCACACCTGTTCCATAACTAAAACTCGATCATAATCAAGTATTGTATTCAGACGATGTGCAATAGTTAACACTGTGCAATGTGAAAAATGCTCGCGAATGGACTGTTGAATTCGCATGTCAGTGTCAGCATCAACAGCAGCCGTTGCTTCATCTAATACCAAAATACGGGAATGCGGTGCACGAAGCAAAGCACGAGCTAGACAAACCAATTGGCGTTGACCGACACTAAAGAAGCAAAATAATTTTAAAGCTAAGAAATAAAAGAATATACTACCTTATATTCTCTCCACCTTCTGTTATTTCATGTTCAAGCTTGTTTGGTTGTGCTGCTGCAAATTCTTGCAGACTTGCAAACTCTAGCGCAGTCCAAATCTCTTGGTCTGTATACCGCTCGAATGGATCCAAATTAAAACGAAGAGTGCCAGAAAAAAGAATTGGATCTTGCGGAATTATAGTGATGGCTGAACGCAAATCATGAAGTCCCAAATCAGTAATATCAACACCATCAATAAAGATTGTACCAGAACAAGGCTCAACCATACGGAAAAGAGCAAGAGTAATTGAACTCTTACCTAAAAATTAAGAATTTATTAAATTTGTTAAAATTAACTTTACCGGCCCCAGTTCTGCCCACAATGCCAATTCGTTCCCTTGCTTGTACTTGTGCATTCAAATGGTAGATAACCAAATCAAGTCCAGATCTATATCGAGTAGAATAGTCACGAAACTCTATATTCCCATGATTAGCCCAATTCTGAGGCTGCCTTTTGGAGGGCTCGGTAATCCATTCAGCTTCGGGCTTTGTGTTAGAATATTCGTTAACACGTTCAACAGAAACAATGTTGGTTTCGAGCTTGCTGATTTGGCGTACAGCAAAATTTAGGACAAAAGTTATCTGCAAAGAATGAAATTAATGTACAGCTTAACCCAGAATTTGGTCAATGCATTTTTTTGCGTGATTCGGTACAATAAAAAATTTAAATTTTGAGTTCTTGGGTTGAAAATTGTTTTTGCGCCCATTCCTGGTCTGACCCGCTTGTACGAATTTCACTTTACCGAAAGATATTTTCTGCGCGAATGTTCGTACAAGCGAAGCCCGACTGTATATTAATTTTAAATTAAGATAAAATTTCTAACATTCAATGAGTATGAAACAGAAAGTCCGAGCACACCAGCACTTATTGAACCACGTGAAATGGCTGCAAAGAAAGCAGCAAAAAGTACAACACAATTGCCTATGAATTCTAAACGGATACTGAGCCATCGGTTTGCCACATAATTAAGATAGCGACACTAAATAAAAGGATTTATAAAAAAAGTGCAAGAATAATAGAAAATATTTCGGATAAGAAAAAATAACCTGAACATGCGCATCAACTTTCTGTTGCAATATACGGGAAAAACGATCGGTTTGTCCATATGCACGAATTGTAGGAGCACCCTTAAGAAATTAACAATATATTTATTGGCAGAATTAAAAAATATTTTATCTTACATTAATTGACTCGCTAAGATGTGAATAAATGGGTGAACGCGTAATCGACTCCAGCCTTTTTAACTGCCGAGATGTAGAAATATAATATTTCTGTAATCAAAAAAAATTTAAAACGAAGAATAAAGAAGTAACAAAAACAAACCAAGACACAAACATAGAAAATCGCCAATGGGATAACAACAATACCGAACATTGGTGTTGAGATCAGAATTATAATTAGTGTGGAAAGAACCTAAAATAAAAAAAAATTATTTCAGAATCCAAAAATCAAAAAGAAATTGATCTTAAATAAAAACCTGTAATACACATTGAGCAAAAAATTGCACGTTATAAGGAAGCAAAAAGTCAATAGTTTCAATATCTTTTCCGATTCGATTAAGTATTCGCCCAAATGGAGTCGTGTCGAAGAAATACATTGGTGCACGAAATATGGCATGCAAAAGTGGTGCATGTAGATTCTTACTTGCTGAAACGCCTCCAAACAATAGAGAGGACATACCGAAGAACATAAGAAAGACTGTAATAAAATTATTTATAAAAAGAAAAGAAAAACCTTCTAAAAATCCAATTCCTGCATAAACGCCTAATCTAACAGATACAGGCTGCGATTCATTAGAAGGGTGTCCTGTTGGAGACTGATCATTAGACCATTCAGTGAGCCAAAGATTGCGAGACATTGAAGCCAAAGTGCTGAGAATCATTCCCAAAAAGAAAAGACCAGAAAGACAAAAGCCCATTGCACGAAAATAACCCAAATACACTGCAGGTTTTACCTAGATTTTTTAAATTTTAATTAAAAGTATAATGAGGTTTACACTTAATGTTAGAAAGCGAAGAAAGACAAAAAACTAAAATGGATCTTAAATGCCAGCGATAGAACTATGAGAAGATTCTTTCTCGAATAACATATAAAAATATTAACCCGTCCAGTTTCAACTTTCTCCACTCCAGTTAGTTGTCGCATAATTGGCACATCAAGAGAAGGTTCAGAACTTTCTCGCATCGTGGGTCTTCTTCTTCTATAAGAAGTTGAAGTACTATATTTGCGTTTTGCCAAAATTGTTGAAACAGTAGACATTACAGAGGCACCCATCAAATTCTCAACATCAGCAGCATTTTCATCCATAAATGTTTCGTCAGTATCATCACTAACATTGTCCATATCATTTTGTTCGTCCAAAGTATCTGGAATAAAATAATTTATTGAGCATTTCAATAAATATTTTACAAATAATTACAAAAGAAGAGAATCACTTTTAATAATTAATTTATCTTTACGCGAAGTGGTAGTCGATTTAAGTCGTTCCAGATTGACGTCATAAAATAAACGATTCAATGTTCCATTTTGCGACAATTCCGTATAAGTACCAGAGGAAATGACACGTCCGTCTATATAAAAGTTATAATTAATTTATAATATAAAATTTGAAATTTAACCTTTAACGATGAGAATAAAATCAGAAGAAGGTAGAAAAGACAATTCATTTGTAACTAATAAACGCGTTTTATGCCTTAACAAGCCTTCTGGGCCAAACAACTCTTTGAATATTTCATTTCCGACCTGACTGTCAACAGCAGAAAGAGGGTCATCGAGGAAGTAAATGTCAGGGTTTTGGTATACACAACGTGCTAAGCTGATACGAGCTTTTTGTCCCCCAGACAAATTAATGCCCTTTGAAATACATAAATTTATATAAGAAATAAAAAACCTTCTCTCCAATTTCAGTAGCATCACCCTGTGGAAGAATATCAATATCATGTTTTAAAGCACAGCAGTTAATCACACGATTGTAAAAATATTCATCAGGTATATTGCCGAATATAATATTATTTTTAACAGAATTGTTTTGAACCCAAGGTTGTTGAGACACATAGGCCAAACGACCATAAACGCCTATTCGACCATAGAGCTTAATCATTTCACCTATAATATATGAAAAATTATTGGTAAATAGAAAATTTTAGATGAAAAAGGAAAATACACAATAACGATATTTTTGTACATAAAAAAAGACATGGAAGCAAATAGACGGACAAAAACGCTTCCATTCCTAAAAAATAACTAATAGTAAAAATACCAAGTAGAGCCATCAAAATACTGCTTTTCCCAGATCCAACAGTGCCAACAATGAGAACAAGCTTTTGTCTTGGAATTGTAAAATTTAATGAGTGAAGAACCGGTTGGTTGTCTGTACGGTCCCAACTAAATGATGCATTCTCTGCAACAATTGCATTATTTTGATAAAAACTAAGAGGTGGCGAAGAAGTGTCATCCTCAATAGGAAATTTTTCGACATAATCATTTAGCTCCTCAGCTACAAGAAAATGTTTAAGTCGATTATTGCTGACAGTAACCTAAAAATAACGTGCATATGTTAGCAAAAATAATAAAAAGAAAATAAAAAAGGAACGAGTAGAATCTAGGGGACAGAACATTCAAAAACATAATCCAAAATAATATTTTCGCTTGAAAAATAAAAAGTTCTGGCTCCTAAATTTAGACGTAAAAAATGCACATTATAATGTTAACTATATTTAACAGGTTTTTTACTAGTAAAAAACTTTAAGTTAAAACCTGAACAGTCTGTGAAATTAAATCTGCAACAGTACTCATTGGTTGTCTTAATTGATTGAATAAAGTCAGTGAAACAAAAGCAATTTCTGGTGTCAACAAATTTTTTTCTGGATCAATAAGCACATATGTTGCGAAAGTTGAAAGAGCTACAAGAAAAGGCACAGCACTGTTAAGCATATCGCTAAGTGTCCGAAGAAAGGCTGATTTTCGAATGAGAGAAAGTTCTTTGTTTCGTAGTTTAGTGATGACTTTTTCCATTGGCGGTTCCCAGGCATAAAGTTTGATGACTTTAATACCATTAAGGACTTCGTTAACCATTTTTGTACGTTCATCTTTTACAGTCATTTGACGCATCTGAACGAGATAAATTATTAAGAAATAGAAAGAGTTAAGAGAATGCCTCCAACCTGATACTTTTTTGTTTGCATTGTAATCAATGAATTCACTGGCAAAAGCAAAAGCATAACAGCAACTCCGCTGAGAACAGAGGCGCCAATCTGACTCCATAACATCCAAAGAGCTAAAGACACTTGTAGAGGAGTACTCCAATATTGGTGAGTTAAAGGTGTTATTTGCTGAAAACGGTCAACATCAATAGCCATCAAATTAACTATTTCTCCAACAGTCTTTTCATGACGAGAGGAGCTTGAAAGACGAAGAGTCTGAAGAAAGAATTTTAAAAATTTTGGTCAATTTAAAGAAGAACCTTTTTGTAAACAGCAGCAGATAATACCGACTGAATTCGAACGCCCAAACGAAACATCAAATAATAATAATGATTAAGCATTAACGAACTCAATTCTGAAGCAATAAACATTAAAGCTGCAAGTCCAACACCTTGCCACATTGGAATTGAAGGGTCTTCAGTAAAGGCAATTAACAACCTTTAAAATAAGAAAAATTATATATTCAAAAAAGGAGAAAAACTTGAGAAGTACTGGATTAGTAAATTGTAACAAATCAGAAAACAATTTGACAATCATTGCATTAAGTATAGTAAGACGAAAAATATGAAAAAGATGTCCAATAATTGAGGGCGGTGTAGAGGGTTGAGATTGGAATTTATCACATTTTTGTTTTTTCCTCTTTGTCTTTTTCTTAACTTCTGATGTTGGTTTTGAAGGTAGAGTTCCGTAATGCGGTAATGATTCCTAAATTTAAAAAAAACTAATTTTTAAAAAAAGGTAAAACCTGGTGACCAGTCCCACCATTAACCAACGGCAACGAATCGTCAACCTCAACCACAACATCGGAATCCTCCGAGGAGTCAGTAGAATCGCCTTTTCTTTGTTGAGCTTCAGATTTTGAATTGTAATAATCTGGAGAAAAAAAATTTAATAAAAAATAACTGTGCTACTAGACTCCAAGGATTTGAGAACAAACCTTGAATTGATCTATTCCATAGAAATTCCCATTGGGGCACCAGTGTCGCACATGTCTCTTCTGGGTTTAGAGAGTAAAGGTCTTCAATCTCTAAAGGCTTCCGACGGCCTAGGGCACACATTGAGTTGAACCACCAAAAAGTTTTCCGGCTAAGAAATGAGGAAGCATTTTCCGGCGATCTCTTCATTGATAAATGAATTTAAGTAAGTTAAATAGAGAAAATAAATCGCTCGGTTTCTAAAAAAATTGATAAAGAAATTAGACAAAAATATTTGGAAATTTGAAGGATATTCGATGGCTTCGGGCCAAAAAGTTGAATAAATTTTTGAAAATATCAGCCATTTTTTCCAATTATAAAAAATAATTTTTCACTTAAAACAATAATTTCAAATCGTTTCTAAAGATAAGAAAAAAAATGTATGAAGGTATGTTTATCTAGAAATAAAACAAATGGATGATTTATTTGAGCTATGTGATAATTCAAATGATAAAAAAGTACCAAAAAAGAGAGAAGTAGTATTATAACTTTAAAAAATCGAAATTGATAAAAAAAATAATAGGTAAAAAAGGGTTGGGGATATATTGGGTTAATTGGCTATAACATTTTTATGATTGATCGCATTCGAATGGAATTATATCATTCAAAAGCCTCTGATAAACAGAATCTTTTTACCAACTGGAAAGACCATATCTGATTATTCCTTATAAAGTTAAAACATGATAAGTGAAATCATTTCTTTCACATTTTTATCGGATTGTAACGTTTTAAGGAATATCAGACCTGATCTGTTAATTTGAATAAAATTCCGCTTATCCGAGGCTTTCTGATTTGATAAACGATAAAAATTTAAACGTTCAAAGCGCACACTCAACCAGCTCATATTCAACTGTCCCATCCTTTCGTAATGGGGACGGTTCAGTATCACCGAACCAGAATAATTTAAATTTTTATAATTCGCGAAAAAAGTAAAATTGAGTCAAAGGCGAAGTGGGTTACTGGGGGGCCAATCTGGCAAATCGGAGGTTAATGATGGATCGGGTGCTTTAATGGGCCGGCTTCTAGAATTTATTTAGACATTAAAAAAATAAAGAATTCACAAATCAGCTACTACATATAATCGAAAATTTATAAATTTTATTTTTTGAATTGTGAAATTATTTTTATTTTGTTCTTCTAACTAATTTCTGTTGTTTACAAAATTCATTTATTTTTCAATTAATGGGTCCAATTTCTTATCTTTATTTTTAATAATATTTTTATTATTATTTATTTACTAATTCTTTAAATTTTGGCGGTTTATTTTTAAAATTCCAGTCACTCAATAAATAAAAACTTTTTAATTTGCAATAAATAATTTATCAAAAAATTTAATTTTATTCCATAATTACACATTTTATTAAGGGCTTTCCCCAAATTATTTTGATAAGCAATTAAAGAATTTTTAAGAGACAAGAATCTATATTTTTAATTTTCTTTTGTATTAAAATAAATCAAGAACTGAGTAATTTACATTAAAAATCTAGTAAAATAAATTTTTAAGCAGATAATCACAAATTTTGTTTGGAAGTTTTTTTTTCAATTTTATTAAATTCTCTATATAAATTTCATTAAAGTCGGGTTTTTAATTCTTATAATGAAGGTCCAACTAAATTTTTAATTAAAACGATATATAAAAAACTTCTCAACAAAAATATTAAAACGAAAATGCACACTATGTTGGTAAATTAAGTGAGAGCAGAAAAAAGATTAAAATAAAAGGAAAAAATATCAAAAATTAAAGTCCTCTAAAAACTTTTAAATTCTAAAAGCTTTTCTTATTTTTTTTAAATTTTGTCCTAAAATAATTTTTAAAAATTTTTTTAGACTAAATTGAAGAGAGAAAGAAAAATAAATTTGCGAACAAATGTTTACAAAAAAAAGACTAAAAATAATATTTTTAAGAGATGCACGTCTAAATAAATATTTTTTAATTATTAAAATCCTTGACTAATTTATTAATAACCAATTATTTATGGGAGTTTATGTTCATCTAATGGATTATGCTCAAATTCATAGTCCACATGTACAAAAGCCCTTTCAACTTCTAAAAAAAGAATATTTTCCTAAAAAATTTTTAATTTTTAAAAATTACCAGAAAATGATTCGATTGAATTTTGTAAAGATTCTGCAATATCATGGGCTTCTTTTAATCTCATATTTTCATCCAAAACAATATGCACTTCAACCAAAAATCGAGTACCAAAATGATAAACATAAACAGTATCGATATATTCAATACGCTCGTCATGGTCTATACAAACCTTTGAAAAAAAATATAATTATTTTTAAATCCTAAAGAAATTTTCCCTCAATTTTTAGAATGTCAAACAGAATCCAAAAAATTTGAAATCAGTTTTATACTCATTCAAATTGAAAGAAAACCACAAATCCCAAGTAATTTCGGCATTTGTATCAGTTTTTAATACCCTATCGTTATAAAAGAAATTTATACTTTAATTATTCGAATAATAAATTCTGGTTCTGCAGATCGTCCAACAAGCATAACCAAATGTTCCTTTCCTGTTTTATACCATGTAACTGCTATATATCTAAATTATTATTTTTTAAAATAAAAAACAAATTCAAAAAACATACAAAGCAACAATAATAGCCCCAATCGGGTCCAAATAAAGCCAAAATTTTTGAGCACCAAAGGCACAAATTAAAGCTATAGCATTTGAAAGACAGTCATTTCGGTGGTCTTGGGCAAGCACTCGAATAGATAAATCAGATTTAAATCTAAAATATTCGTTCATTAATTACTCTTTTTAGCAAATTTAAACAAAATTTTTAGTATTTTAATTTACTTAAAACATTTAAATGTTAGATGAAAAAACAGTCAGATACCCGATCGATCTGTTTTTTAATTTTAAAAATTCTCAAAATTAAAGTTTAGCCTCAAAAATGTAACAAAAACAAAATTATTTTAAAATTAGAAAAAAAACCTGCTGCAAAGAAAGAAAAGACACAATTTAACAAAAATTGTACCAATCATAATTCCAACAGTAAATAAATCAACTTTTGGATGTATATTGTTTTTAATAATTGATTCTAATGATTGCACAATCATTTGAATACTTGCAACAGCCATAATAACACTGACAACAATCTTTTTTTAAAAAGAATTTGGATAATATCAAACTTTGTTCCCCCTATTTTTTCACCCTAGTTTTCTATACTTGACTGCGCCAATCAATCAATGACAAAAAATTTATACAAAACATTCAAAATATCCTCGGCAGAAAAGAAATTATTGAAAATAAGGGATAGGTAGGTGTCCAAGCCTCGAACAACGCGTCAAAATCGTTATCGGGCAAAAATTGTTTTTGATAGATATAGTAGCTGTGAGTTCCACATTTATTGAATGACAATTCTCACAATTCCTATACTTGCTATATAGCAAAAATTAATAATTTTTGATTGATTCGATACAGGCAAATAAAGAAAAATAAAGGAACAAAAAATAGGGGGAACAAAACATAGAATTTCAATAATTTGAAATATAAAAATAAAAACTAACCAAAGCAATTGGTTCTAAACGAGTTCTTCCAACAGGATAAAGATTTGGATCTCGTTTTCTAATTGCTCTGCCCGTTAGCCAAATTACAAGACTGAAAATAAATTTTTATTAAATAATTGGTCAAATTCCTTTTAGATTTTGACAGCCCCCTCCCTCACCCAGTGGTCAACCAAATCGTAAAAAACAATCTTAAATTGAGCAGTAATTAATTTTAGAAATGCCTGAACAATCACCCAAATATTTAAAAAAACATTAAAAAGAAACCCAGATGTAATATCCACTAAAGAATCCACCAAAGAAGAAATTATAGACAAACTGCCGGAAAGATATGAGGCAATAGCTTTAGCAATTGTTAATGCCACATTAACCATTAAAGTACAAAAAGCCAATCTCCTAGCTGTTTTTGCCAATTCTTCTTCTGTTTTTGATTTTTTGAGAGATTTTCTTTTTGTTCGGCTAAAAATAAAATTATTTTAATTAAAAACTTTTTTTAATACAAAAAACTTTGAGGAAGAAGAAACATGTAAAGAAAGCCCTTGTTCGAGAAAATCAATTAATGGCTCTGATGGTGGACTTTTTGGTTGATTATCCAAAAGAAGAGAAGCATCAGAATCGACTGGTCCAGCTAACTAAAAAATTTTTTGATGAAGTTATCTAGCAAATAAATAAAAATATTGATACTTTAAGTTATCACAAACAAGTCTATGTAGACTTGCTGACCACAACTACAAATCATTTTTACCTCCCTCAAACATAAACTGGTTTGGAATACCCATAAGTACTAAAATTAGGTTGATTTCGATCATAAAAAGTCAGAAAAAGTTTTTCTATATTCTTTAAGAAAAATATGTATTGGATAGAAAATTTATTTTTAAATATTTAATTAAATTTTAATAAGAAAAAAACTTGATCAGAATCTGGTTGAAGTATTTTTGAAGTCTCTGTGGCACTTAAACTTTGATTCTGTGATTGTAGAAGTCGTAATTGTTGAGCTTCCTTAAAGTTAATTTTTTAGGCAAATTTAGCTAGAAAATTAATTTTTAATTAAAATATCGCTACACTAAAGTAATGCAGTCGACCGTTAAACAACGAACCCGAGACTCCCAAAAAATAAAAATAAATACATGAATTCTTTTCCTGTCCTGTTCAAACTTTTCATAAAGTTCGTGTTGCTTTTTATAATATTCTTCAATTCTTTTCCTTTTTGAACTTTTAATTATTGATTTTGTTGTTAAAGTACAATTTGATTTTTGCAAATTATTAATTGATTTTGTTGAATTATCTGTGTTATTTAGAGCCATTTTTAAAGAATTAATTACTCTTTAATTAAAAAATTATTTTTAAATTTAGAAAAATTAAAAGGAAAAAAATAAAAGAATTAATGGGTACAGCCCAAGTAGGCGCGCGGCCATAACGGCGCAAAGCCATAACTTGCTTCAAGATTTCCGAATCTTAACAAATTTTGTATTAAACGATTCTTGCATCGAGCTAAAGAAATTGGTATCAAAATTAATAAGGACCAGAAATTTTCCAGCAAGTTATGACCTTGCGCCGTTATGGTCGCGCGTCTGAATTAATCATTTTTATTTTTTTACAATATTTTGTTAAAAATTTTTTTGTTTTTTGAAGACATTTAATTTTTAAAAAATACAAAAGCTGAAAATATTTAAAGGATAAAAACATTTCTGAACAATATATATACGTAAATAAACGTTGGAATAAAATAAAAGTATTAAATATGTACACTAACAGAAGATAATAAAAAAATACAGCTGCAAATTAAAATACTCAAAAGATCAAATTAATTTCAGAACAACAAAATTAGAGAAGAGAAACAGAAAAACATGCAGACTTTAACAGAAATAAGTAAGCTAAAGTCTGATTAAAAATTTTTTCGATTATTACCACCCCACAAGATCAAATCTTGTCCTCTAGGGTTTTGATTTGTGGATTGATATTGGTAAGGTTGTCGTTCATCAGCACAGCTAAAATCATGTTTTTCTAATAGCATAATAAAATGTGTTGAGTGTAAAGAATTACTATGGAATTACGAAAAACAGTAAACTTTTACACTCTGTAACAAAATGATAGCGCCACCTAGTTTTTATTAATATCTCACCAAATATGAAACGAATCGGTTTCAAATTTTGGTAGAATATAGTTAAGGATATTAAGTATCAATAATGTAAAGAAAAAGTTTAATGCAATTTTTAAAAAAAATTTTATGATAATAAATTTGATCCTCAAGTGTAACAAAAAGATAGCGCCACTTGTATTTTCGACCTTAGGAGTGGTCCGAAAAATCTACAAAAATTCCTGTAAACATATCTATTGATATCTATAGAAAATACAAAAGAAATAAAGTTTTTATATAATTCCTTCATTGAGATCTGAAAACCCGAAGATCAACGGAAAACGGGGGGTAGACGTCTTTAAAAAATATTTTCGACCCTTACAGGTAAGATAAAAATTTAATTTTGGGCTTATTTGAAAGCCCTTGAAATTTGCTACAAGATAGCATAAATTTTATTTTTCGGGAAAAATTTACCTTTAAGACATAATGTGATAAACTTTCAGGTCATAAAAATCACTGTAACTCCCCCAAAATGTAATGAAAATGGAACTTACAAACTAAACTCATTATTTCTCAAAAATGAATTTTTTCTGGATTATGAGATGAAAAACATTTTATAGCAACTTTCAAGGGCTTTCAAATAAGCCCAAAATTAAATTTTTATTTTACCTATAAGGGGTCGAAAATATTTTTTTAAGACGTCTACCCCGGTTTTCCGTTGATTTTTGGGTTTTCAGATCTCAATGAAGGAATTATATCAGAACTTCATTTCTTTTGTATTTTCTACAGATATCATAGATATGTCTACAGGAATTTTTGTAGATTTTTCGGACCACCCTTAAGGTCAAAAATACAGGTGGCGCTATCATTTTGTTACACTCAAAAATCAAACATATTGTTAGAAAATTTTTCAGAAAATTCCAACAAACTTTTTCTTTTCAATATTGATACATAATATCCTTACCTATATTCTGCCAAAATTTGAAACACATCCGTTACATATTTGTTAAGATATTGATAAAAAACTAGGTGGCGCTATCATTTTGTTACAGAGTGTACCTTGTCAAAAATTCTAAAAAATTAATTTTCCCACACGGGTTCGAATCTACAACTCCAAAATTTTTATGTTCTTAGATGTGGAAACATAAAAGTTGCTAAAACATTTGAAAATTAAGTATGCACAATAGAAAGTTAAAAAGAAATAACGGAAAATAAACTTCCCGTTTTTGTTAGAAGCTTCTAAAAAGCTTTATGTAATGGTTTTTTCAGATTTTTTATACCCCGAAATGTTCCTTCTTTCTTCTATTTGTTAAATTAAGAAATTAATAAATGCTCTTTTTTAACGTAAATATATTTAGAAGCACAAAAAATGAAATTAAAAAAATAATTGTTTTTAATTCTTTTATTTTTTTCCACTACTTTCGTCTTTTTGTTATTAAAATGTTTGTTCTTCTAGGCCTTATTGCCTTATTTCTTTTTCGAAACATTGGCTTTAACATATCAACAAGTTTATTACAAACTTGTCTAGCTTGTGCATTTTTAACAATTTGGCCTGATTGTTCGAGTAGTGGAAGTAATGAACAAAAGTTGTAACTGAAAAGAATTTATTAAATACTTTTTTATTTGGAGATTTAGTAGCCATATATTTAATTAGTGGAGGGAAACCAAGTCTTATTTAGTTAGTCTCTTTCCTGGGCATAGACAAAAATTTGAATGTTTTCAAATTTGGAATTGTAGTAAATAATGACGAGAAAGGTAAATAGTCTAAGAGGGCTACCAATGATACAAATTTTAAAAAGCGAAGCAAAAGATGCAGGAAGCGAAATGCCGAAAAACGCGAAGCGAAACAAGCAGCATATCCCTGGTCCTTACCGCCTATACAATTTTTTTTAAATATTTTGTTTACTTACACACTCTCAAGCTCGTGACTGCTTAATTTTTGCTCATTTATTTCATTTTCTGAGTTGGCTGCTGCCGCGCTCTCGGCTAATGCCAAGGCCCTTTCATTTGTGTCAACAACATTTTGCAGCTGCTCAATTTTTTCTGGTGATTCGCTGTCTTCGGTTGCTATAAAAATAATTAATTTTTAAATAAAAAATTAAACTTTAATTAATTTTATTAGTCATTTTTAATTAAAAAAAGAGGAAAATATTTTTTAAAAAAATTAAAATATGTACGTAAATTTAGAGTACATTAGTAGTAGACTATAAAAAATATTTTTTTATATTTTAATCTTTTAGTCTCTAAATTCCTTTTCCTTAAATTAATAACAAGTCTAGAAAAATAAGCTAAGGAAAGGAAACTAATAAAAAATTAGAGGAAGTTGTTACTGACTAATTTTATAAGAAGGATTTGGAATACTGTAAAGAAAGAATTTGGAAGTTAAAATTTTACCTCCATAAAAGAAAGTAGCACATTCAGTAGTAGTTAAAGAACAATAACTAATTAAAGAAAATAACAAAACAAAAAAAGTTAAAGGTTGTTGTCCTCCTCTCCTTCTTGTGTAAAATCTCCTCCTTTGTTGATTATTTAAATTTATTGGCCTTTTTATTTTTTGTTGTTCTTGTTGGTGGTTTTCATTCATTTCTTCCATCTTTTTTAAAAAATAATTAATTTAATTTAAATATGTAAAGGTGTGACATCAAATAAAAAAAATTGTTTTTGACTTTTAAAAGTTATTTTAAAAAGAGGAAAGGGTAAAAAGATTAAATGAGAGAAGCATTCTTTCCCCCCCCCCCCTTTCATTAGTAATGGACGATTAAATTCTTTTTAACTTTGGCACAGATAAAAAGTAGCTAGTTTTTTTTAATTTTCTCATTAAATTATTTTTTTAGAGGGCAAAGCACTTAAAGATGGACAATTAATTTTTAAAAATTAATTGAGAGAAAATAATTCTTAAAAAATTTATTGTTTCCATGAGAATGATTTGAAAATACTTTTAAAGTAAAAAAAAGTAAAAAAGAAAATATTTATTTCCTTGAATCTGAAAATTTTTTGCGGGGCGGACAGGTGAAAATAAAAAAAATTTTTTTATTTTAATTAATTAAAATGTCATTAATTGGTGTGTTGTACTTGTAATAAATAAAAAGTTTTTATGACGAAACAGAAATTTTGATGACTGAAACCGGAAAGGGAAAACCGAAATAGAAATTTTATGCAAAAACTATTAGAATTGTAAAAGAATTTTGGTAGAGTGAGTGGGGTAATACTTTGAAAGTTGCCTCCCTCCTTTTTTACTTTTTTTTGGATTTTTTTCATGACAATTTATATATCATTCGAAAGAGTTCTTCGAGTTGTGTCGAATGACACCAAAATGAATGAAATCTGTCAAGAAAGTTATGACCGTTTGTTTTAATCCTCTGCAACAGAAGTCTTTCAAGCGCTTATTTAGCTTCATAATTTTGTTCAAAACGATCAATTCATTGAACACAGCTAAATGAACTCTTTCGAATTATACTATGTATATGTATCAAGCAAAAAAGTTCATAATTATCAGGGAAATGGGAAGAGGAGGGGGAGAGGGGGGAGTGAAGGGTAACTTACAAAGTATTACCAAACAAGGATTTGTGTTTTTTTGGCTAATAGAAAGGAATGTAATTAATTAATTTTAAATAAGCTTTGCAGGATTTTAAAAAGGGGAAAATGGAAGTGAAGGAAAGCTCATCACTGTTTTGAATGCTTTTTAGAGTATAAAGAATTTAATTGTTTATTTAAATTTAATTTCCCCGTAAATGTGGGTAAGTCAAAAACAAAACAAAATTTTATTTAAAAATTAATTTTTCTTTACCTGTAAAAAGGCAAATAATAAAGAAAGATAATTGTCTGTAAAATTATTAGAAGCAGCTGATTTTATTTTAAAAATATTATTATTATTTTGTTTAGTAGATGAATGTGACATTATTTAATATTTAAAATAATAATTTTCTGTAAAAAAAATAAATATTAGACAAAGTACTTATATTTAAATAATTTATTTAAAATAAATTGAAATAATTTTGAGTTTTGACATTTTTCTAGAGGAATATTTAGTTAGGATGACGTTAAAAAATTTAAAAAAATAATTTATTTACAAAGGCTTCTTCTCTTCACTTAATTTGTTGCAAAGACCCAAAAAATGTACTATTAATATATTTTTAGTAATAATTAAATATTTATTTTTATAACCTTTTCAGAATATTTAAAATTATTTAGGTCAGAATAAAAAAAATATTTTTTTTAATTAAAAGAAGACTTTGGAATTTTAGAAAAAAATTTTTTAAATCTTTATTAAAATAAAATTATTTTTCATCGTAATATTTAAATCTTTCACTGATTTAATTGTCTTGCTTGCTGTAAACTAGTTTAAAATTGTACATATTATACGAATCAAAATTTTCCCAAAATTTCTTTTAGTATTCTGATTGGGGGAGGGGGGGAGGGTTTAATTTATTAGGAAACCTGCCGTCCCGAGTTCCGAAAATCGGGAATTTATTTTTTATGTCGGCAGAATTAAATAAATCGAAGATGGGCATTTTAAATGGATTTTAAAACCCTGAAGGATGGGAGGGGTTTGCAAAAGAAATATTCAAAACAATTAATTTCTCTTCGAAGGAATGAAAGAAATATATAAGATTTTCTAATGTTTTTTCTTTTAAAAATTACAAAAAAGGGAAGTTTATTTTTGGTTAATTTTTGGAATTTTAGACACAAAATTTTCAAAATATTTAATTTTGGTAAACCTTAGGCAAAATTGGTCTTTCAATTTTTTGATAAGAATTTTTAAACTTTATTAGGCTCAAATTCTCAAAAAATTAAAAGTAAAAATGTTAAGAGAAGTAAAATAATATTTTTATATATTTATTAAATAAAAGGCGTGGTTAGCTGTCTTTAATAAACTTAAAAATTTGCGAAAATTTAAAAAAAAAGTGGAGGCGGAAAAGGAGTTGAAGAGGTTGAGAGGTTTTTTAAAAATACTACTAAATATTTCAGTACATTTAAGGACTTTTTATTTTTAAAAAGGTGTGGAGGAGGGAGACGTGAGCCAAAATAAAAGTTATTTTAGAAAAGCGAAAGTTTAAAGGCATTGAAGAAATGCTAAAAAAGCGAAAATCAAGCGGAATTAATTAGAATAAATTGGCACGCAGTGCAAGGGGTGGGGGAGGTTAAACGTCAATATTTAATTGAAACAAATTTAGAAAAATAATTAAATTAAATGTCTATCTATGTAGTCAAGTTTTTAAAATTAAAAATATTTATTTTTGGATTATATTTAAATAATTATTTAAAAAAATTTTTAAAAGAAAAACTTAAATAAAATATATTTTTCTAAAAAAATATTTTTTGAGGTCATTCAAATGCGCAAAAAAGAGGGGGGAAAGAGGAAAAGGATTAAGATATTAATAATTAATTTTTAAAAAATAGACAACAAAAAATAATTTTGGTCAAAACTGCTTCTTCTTCTTCTCTTTTTTATGACTTTTTGACGCATAAAAATAATAAAGAGAGAATGTATGTGGGGCATTATTAAAATAATAAATATTTTATGAGACAAATAAATTTTTTTTAAATAAATAAACGAGATGAAAGAGATGGTGGATATATTTAAATGTTATATATTTTAGATTTAAAAAATTATTTTTTTAAAATCTTTTTTGATCCTTAAAAATAAAAATTATTTTTAATTTAAAGTTAATATAAATTTCTGCGATTTTGTTTGTAATTGTACTCTGTGTTCGGAAATGTTTTATAAAATAATTTTAAATAAAATTAAATTTTGTAATAATTAAATGCCCTTTTTATTAAATAAAAATACCTAATTTGGAATAAAAATTAAATATCCGGTAATAAAAAAAGAGGAAATGACTGTAGGAGTAAATTAAATTTAATATAAAAATATGAGAAAATATGAAACATAAAAAAAGAAAAAAATTATATGTTAAATATAGAGGGGCTTGTCCTCTGTGTTTTTTTCTCGAAAGATATTTTTTAGATTAAAATTTTTGTTAATATTTAGGTAATTAGTAAATAGTAGTAATTTGTATGTACTAGATGTTTGTTCGAAATTAATTCCCACAAGGCTTTTTTTTGTACTTTTTTGTACCTAATTTTGTCAAATATTTCACCAAAATATATTTATTTAAAGCAGAGGGTGCCGAAACAAATTTTGAAAAGCGGAACATTAAAGGAGAAAGATGAGACAACAAAAATTCGGCAAAAAACGCAATAAATATTTCTCCAAATAGTTTAAAAATTTTTATTTTATAATTTTTGAAGATCCGAGACCCCTCTAGCTTCCTCAAAAAATTAAAATTTATAACTCATCCTGAGTTAGTATAAATTTTCAACCAAAAAAGAAGTGCAAGTCCTTACACGGCGTTTGACCCTGTATAAACGTGGTTGGGATCTTTTAAACATCTAATAAAATTTATTCCAAATTTAGTTCTCTATCTCATCATATTTATTTTATATCCGAAGAATATTTTTTCTTGAATTCTGTAAATAAATACTTCATTCCTAACTTTCTTAACACCCTATGGTTTAAACATTATTAGACAAGAATCCCAATGTCCCTTAACTCCCAATTTTTATTAGTTTTGTCTGTAGATATCCAAAAATAAAAATATTTTTTAATAAAAGATAACAAACAAACATCATATTATTATTATTATTAGTTTTTTAATAAATTTTTTTCATTTGTTTTTAATTCCATAGGGAATCTTTACATACATATTATATCTTTGTTATTTTTTTCACTTCCTTATTTTTGTATTTATTAAATATTTAATTTTTTAATTAAAAAATTATTATTTTTTTTAATTAAGTGGGGGAGGGGAAATTACAAAAAAATATTTACTATTTATTTTGTTTATATTTTTAGAAAAGTTTTTTTTAAATAATTTTTCTAAGAATTTAAAAAATTAAAATGACGCCAATTAAAATTTAAACTTTTAACAAAATTAAAAAAAAATAATTATTTAAAATACAAATAAATAATTAAAAATTAGATAATATATCCAAATAAATAATTAATTATCATCAAAATAATTCTTAAAAAATATTTTCCAATTATTTTTCTTCAATAAAGACGTTGAACAAAAACAGAAATTAAAGAATCAACGCTTTGTGAACGAAAAAGATTTGAATTAATTGGAGTAAATTGTTGTTGTTTATGTTCAATTAAAATTAAATTATTATATTCACTTAAATTTAAAAAATTGAGGGAAAATAAGTTTAATTAAAAATTAACTAAACATTTTTAAATTCACTAATTCTCTCAAAAATTCAAAAAATATCAAAACCCACCCAAATTCAAGATTCTCTTTCATAAAATTTTTATTCTCTTGTTGTTGTTGATTTTTTTGTTTTAAAATTTTTTGAGATAAAAGTCCAAATGCTGATTTAACCAAACGATAAAAAGATTTAAATTTTTGTTGCATTTTATTAGAGAAAATTAAATATAAGCAAAATATAAATATTAAAATATTTAAATATTAATTTTTAGAAATATCTAAATTAAATTAAAAATTAAACGATTATTGGACTAAATAGGATCACGATAAAAAGGTCACAATCTGAGGACAAAATTGTAAGAAATCTGGCTTCTTACCTCCCATAATTCTCAAAATTTCCACCTGTGGTACTAAAAGGTATTCCACCAATCTCCCGATATCTCGTTAAACCCCCTTGACTCCCTAAATCCGCCTTTACATTTTTGCATCTTGACTCAAAATATATAAAGACATGAACTAATAAACATAAAAAGAAATGTCATGGAATAACATTTATTCAAAAATTAGATATATTATTTACAATTTTTAGCAGATCACGGGGTATAAACAAAAATGGATATTTTTTTGATATAAATTAAGAAAATTGGTAGAAAATAAACTAATTAAAAAATTGAGGGCCAAATTTAATCATATGTCCACTATTTGAGGGAAAATAGTTAATTAATAATAAAAAATATTTAAAATTTTTAAATTTTAAATTAATATTTAAAATCTTAATTAAGGCAGTAATAAATAATTCTAAAAAATTAGAGAATGTCATGGCAAAATAAAAAGAAAAATTAAAATAATTTTGGAATAACCCGAAGTTTATAAAGTCCACCAATTTATTTATTTAGGCATCAATTTCCAACATTTCATTTAATGCATTTAACCAACTTAAAATTAAAAATTATTTTTATATTTTCTTTTCTTTTTAAAAACTTTGTTGCCGATCCTGGATGTCTCACACAAAAAATAATTTCGTCCCCCTTTCTCTCAGTTTTTATTTGATTATGATGGGTTAATTCTATAACCGTGCCGTCCTTTTCTGTTTCCTTTGATGTTACCGAATAACCATAAATAAAATAACTTTCACTTGGTTTATCATCCTTTTAAATAAAAAAATTGTTTTTGAAAGAAAAATAATTAAAAATAAACTAACAAATTCCGCCTCATAAAAATTTAGGCAAAATTGATCTAAAAGTCTTGCCCATCGTTGTAATACAATTCCTCGTGAATTCCTTTAAAATATTTTAAAAAATAATTTTTCTCAGAATTTAAGGAGATAAGGAAAAATTCTTTTAAATTTCAAATAAAATTACCTCAAAAAAACAATTCCAGATGGAAATGAATTATCAATAGAAACCATTTCTTTAACAATAATTTTCTTTCTAATTCCATTTTTTGACATTATAAATAATTTAGATAAAGGTAAAAGACGAGAACCATTTTCATAAAAAATTCGTAAAGAAATATCGTTAATTGAATACTTAACAAAAATAAAAAAATATTTTTGATTAAATAAAAACCTTTTTTAGACAATTTTCATGTAATTCTGTTTCATCATCTGTTTTAATTACTCTAACTTTTTGTGACGTAAATAGAGTTCCTCGTTCAACTAAAAACAGATTTTTTAAGTTTCTGAGAATTCAGAATTTTAATTATTGTGGCCCGTTAGAGATATCCATTAAAAACCCTTTGCGGTGGGTTACAGAGAAATTTTTACAACCAAATCGGATCCCGCTTGTCTACAATAACTGCTTTATTTTTACTTCTCTAATATTTGAAATTAAAGGAATTTCTAGATATTTTTAATTGAATAAAAACTTTAAAACAAAACAAAAACTTACAAGCTATAACAGTCTTTTCAAAACATTCAGGACAAACAATATCTCGTTCCCATTCTAAATTAACTACTGGAGCATACCCAACACATTTACCGCAAATTATCCAACCACAAGCTCTACAATGATGCCTTCTTTTTACTAAATTAAATTTTGTTTCACATCCAACAATTAAACATTTTGTTGTTTTACTATCACGCATCCATTCTGGGGCTGCTATAAATATTTTTTTAATTAACAAAATTTTTAGTTAAATTCCAAACCAGATGAAAATTCAATTTTCGAAGATTTTTCTACTTCTTCTACTTCTCCATTTCCATTCTCTAATAAATTTCTTCGATCATTTAAAGAATTATTATTATTTAATTTAGTTAAAAACAAAAATTTTGTTTTAGCTTCAGAAATTCTTTGTACCCAAACATCCCTTTCTCGTTTATCTTTAGCTCCAAAACTGCTGGATTTTTGTGGAGAAATTAAAGTAAATTCAATCTCGTAATCAACATGATCTTTTTTAAAAGAAAAAATTTTTTAAATAAAAATATTTTAAAAATACCTTTAATATTTAATTGAATATCTTCTACTTTAATTTTATGAAATTTTTCAAATGCATCACCAATTGAAGGATATTTACAAATAAGCAGAAAATCAGAAAAAAGAACTAAATAACGAGGCTGTGGCGTTTTTCTTGTATATCTAAGTAATTCTCCTTTGTGAAGAAGTTTTCTTCCAGGTTCAAAAACCTTAAAAAAATTGATAAAAAAATTAAAAAATGTTGTCAAAAATGTTCACTTCCTAATTAGACACATTTTTAACAAATAACCTCATTAAAAGCTATTCCTAAAAATTATTTTAAAATCAGAAAAATATTCTTTACATCAAAAGATCCTTGAAGTCTTCGATGTAATTCTAATAATTCATTATTATCTGCCCCAACTAAATATTGATTTACTCCACTAGAAACATCTTCCAATTTCCTTAAAGCTTCTAAAAAATAATTTTTAATTTATTAAAATAAAAATTTCAATTACTATCTGCAAGTTCAGCTTCAACACAATTTTGAGGTAAATATTTTTTGTAACGTTCCATTTGACTTTTATATTGAACTATATTTTGATGAACTTTGTCTAATTGTAGAGCAATATAATGTTTATTTATATTATTTTTAATTAATTTATTTATTTTATTATTATTATTTTTATGTTGTTCTGTAAATCCTTCCTTAAAAAAATTTTTTAATTTTATTTAGAATGTTTTTGGTTCTCTTAAAATTTGGTAGTTTTCCTTTATAACAAAATCAAAAGATCAAACTTTTGTGAGAATCCATAATATTTTTGAAATAAAATCCAAAATATCTCTATTTTCATATTTTCTCAAACCTGTTCAAATGTCCTTGTAGCCAAAGCCAACTCTGAATTATCCTTTAGATATTGAATAAATTCATCAGTAAGTGTTCGTTTTTCTTTTAAAAAATCATTACAAATTTTTAAATAATCAGCATTTTTAAAAACTTCAGCAAAATCTGGATTTGTTGAATCCCTAAAAAAATTTTAATTTAAAAAATAATTATTTGAAAAAAACCATTTTCTTAATTTAATTTCAAATGAATTCAGAAAATCTTCATGAACAGCTAATATCATTTGTAAATGGTTAGTAATTCGTGTAATTACATCCCCAGGAGAATGAGAACCTTTAGAAGGGGTTAACCATTTATAGCCATTTCTTCTTTGACATTCTTCCAAATATCTGAAAAAAAAATATTTTTATTCAAAAATATTTTAAATTGTAAAAAATAAAAATTACTTTGGATAATTTACACCGATATGTTGTAATAACTCTACGAAACCTCTTTCCACTTTATAAAATTCAGCTACAATAAAATGTAATTGTCTCAGACGATCATTTTCTTTTTCGTCTCCTGTGTTGTAAAAAGGAATTTCGGGCAGATCAGACAAAGAATCTTCTGCTGAGTAAATACTGCTACTATTAGTACTTGCCATGCTTATAGTTTTTTGTTTCATTTCATCTTCTAAAAATATATATTTTGTTATTTTTAAATATCCCAATGGTGTCTAAGAAAATTATCTAGAGGTGTTCTAAACAAGGGATATCATTCAGAAATAAGCTTTGACCTATTAAAAAACTTATAAAATAAATTTAGCTCACTATCTTCTTCTTTTTGAGGGAATTGACTAGGTTCTGTTTGTGATTTAACCAATCTTGAGCATTCGCCATTTTCCCGACAGGAACGGTTTGGATCACTAGCACGAACTTTTCGGCATTTCTGAATTTAAAAATTATAAATTATTTAAAAATAAAAGGGAACCTTTTTTGCAGAAGTTCTTAAAGTGCCAACATCAGAGGGAAGACTAAAAAATTTTTAAAAATTATTTTAGTTCATTAAAAATTACCCGCTTTTAATAGCTAGCCTTTTAAAGTTATCTTTACTCATCATTTCACTTAGAATACCAGCAAATAACTTCTCTTTTGATTCAAAAGGATTTGATTTTCTAAAATATTAAAATTTCAATTTAACAAAAAAAATTTTAAAAATACCTCCTATTTAAAACTAATGTATCATTCGTTGTAGAATATGAAAGAACAGAATATTCAGAATCTGAATCACAAATATCCGCAACCTGAATTATTTCTGCTTCAGAAAATCGAAGTTCATTTGTATCATTTACAATAATTTCTTCACTTCGGCGCTGTTCAATAGGTCGGAATAACCTTTCAGAATTAACACAAAATAAATTTTAAATTTATTAAGACACTTACTGCATTTTATCCAATCGCTCAGCAACACTCTTTACATAATTTCCCTTTTCTTCAATGTGTTCTAAATGTGGTTTTTCTTCTTCAATAGGAAAAAATATTGGAGGCGAAATGTTGTTGTTATTGATCTTTAATTTTATATCTATAATAAAAATTTATTATTTTTTATTTACTTACTGGCGGATCAGGCGCCCTCCTTGTTGGTGTTAACTTATCTTCAGAATGGGAATGATTTGACATTGCCCTTTCACCTAAAAAAGTATTATTTAAATTTAAACCAAGACTAAAAAATTACCATTTCTGATTGGCACTTGTGGAGTGAGAGATTTTGCCCTAAAATGAGAATTCCCCTCATGACTCTCGTTGTGGATAAATTTTGCACGAATCTGATCAAAATTTAGTTGTCCCTCTTCATCCGTCATTAATTAATTGAGATGTTAAAAGCTCTGAATAACCAAAAAATTAGTAGATTAAGGTAAACTACCTTAAAATGATAAATAAACTTAATTTACAAGTAATTTTGGAACTGGAGGTGTTGATCAACAGCGAAACAAATAAGAAATGATTCACTCAGGGCCTGTTCAGTCATTAATTCAAAGTGTCACTAGAGTTTATTGCTCACTTTATTGCCCGCTCCTCTTTTATTCTTCTTTTGGTATAAATTTCACCTCCTAAATTTTTTTTATCACAAGTCAAATTAAATTCTATATCTCCTACACCCTTAAAGAAAAATCGTGTTTTAATATCACATAATAGTAATAACAAAGAATAAGTGTAAATTTTTATTCAATAAATTAAAAAAAATAATTTAAAAATAAAATTTGCTATATTAAACACTTTGTCCGGCAGCAGACGTTCCTGCTCCATCCAACAATTCAACTGTAAGAGTTGCCGAGTCAGTATCATCAAACCATTGTTTTTTGGTAACAGCATCTACAAACCATACTTTTGCCTTTATTCGTGTTTTCTATTAAAATTTTTTTTAATTTTAGTTTTATAATTTGTTCATACCTGATGAGTAATTTTAAGAAGAAATTGAGATTTAAAATATTTTTGCTCCGGTTCTAATTGAGTTGTTTGCTTTTTTTCGACGTGTGCCTTAAAATTTTTAAATTTTAAATAAAAAAATTTTCAAGTAAAAACAAACCAAATTATCCCTTTTAAGAGTAAGTACAACACAAACACTTTCAATACTCCTTTTATTAGTAGACTCAATGATGCCTTCAATCACCACAGGCAACAAATCCATAGAGGATACTTTGAATACTCCACGGCCATCTGACGGTTGTGGTGAGATAATTAACTAAAAATAATTTGAAAAATTTTAAAATAAAAACGACCATAAATTTTACCCGAATACGTGTAAATTGAACTCGTTGAAAAAAGAATCGAGGCAATCCAAGTGGAAAATCAACTAAACATTGAAGAATATCTACAAGCACTTTAAGCCCTCTAATTGGATCTGGATCGGTAGATTGCAATGAAATCAACTCACTGCGCGCCCAACAAAGAAGTTGAAGAAATCCTTGAGTCTGCGCGCTTGCTTGGAAACCTTTCTGTGTGCTTTCCCCCAAATCTTCCATAGAAATCTCCGAGAGCCTTAATGGAGATAAAAAATATTCTAATAAGATAAATATTCATACTTTGCCCCAGTTCCAGGATCAGAAAGAATCCCCAAATATTGCTCAATCAAAAGACACATCCTAATCATCAAAGCCATTTGAAGAAGCGTTTGCGTGTCTGCATCGAATGATCTAGAGCATAAGCTAACCCATTGTTGTCGTGCCTCCATAACTGGACTACAATATGTTCCAAGCTTTAAACAAAATAAATTAAAAAATTTTCTTATAAAAACCGATTGTATGACTATTTGACGTTTTTCAGAATTTAATAAACGTAAAACATTAAATGTAGTTAAAATTGAATGAATTCCTCTAAATGTTGATTCTAAACAATTAACATAATCTACAGCAAAACCAAATGTTTGACTCTTTTCAGTAGATCCAAGAAACTAAAATATAAATAAAAATTAGAATATCAGAATTTAGACCTTAAGATTAAGTGAAGCAAATTGAAGATTTGATTCTGAATTAGCAAGTTCATCCATATTAAAAGCTAATGGCTGTGCTTTACAAATATAAATGAGAGAAGAAATCCATGATTCTGTCTCAATGCTTTCACACTAAAATTATTCATTTTGAAAATAAATTGCATCAACGGGAGAAGAAAGAGATAAAGAGAAGGCTGAAATTAACTAGGTCCACTTTGATACATAAAATTTTTAATAGATTTCACAATCAGATTGATCCACCACATGACCTCAAAAGGATTCCCTTTGTAAGTCTTCTATTAAATAAAAGAAAAACTTACACTTGTTTGAATTTTTTCTAATAAAGGCAATGCTAAATATCTCCAATGCCCAAATCTTAAAGCAGAACGCGCAATTTTGTAAATAGTCCAATAATTAAAATTATTAGAAATTATTTGCCCAGCAAAATTAGTTAAATTTTGATCATTTGATTGATTTAAAAGAGAAAAGGGCATCGTTGAAAGTAATATAGTAAATACAATTGGAGGAACAATATTGAAATTTTTTGAATTAAAAATGGCAGAAAATAAAGAAGAATTAACTAAAAATTAATTTTATAATTTTCAAGAAAGAATGCTTTCTGATATTTTTTCAATATTGTTAGAAAAGTTTCCCTAGTTTTACAAACTAGGAATTAGCAAGAATGCATGAATTTTGAAAAAGTTCCACAACTTTTTCAAAATGGGTGTCGTAAGACTCCCATTTATGTATTAGACCCATATATAAAAACTTTTGGACAATAAAAAGGAGTCGACATCTATTGACAAGTTAATTTGGCCCCGGAAGTGTATTAGATAAAATTAATAACTCTTTACCAATTTCTCGGCACTCTCTCCAATAATTTTCATTAATTACAGCCAAAAGTTGAAAGAATTTATCATATGAAGAGGTTAATTCAGCTCTTAGAATATTTTGGACTAGAAAAGAAGCAAAACAAGGAGTACATTTGGGTGAACAAACAAATTTTGATACAAGGAAAAGAAACTATTAACAAAATAAAAATTTTTTAATAAAAATATACCTCATGTTTTTGACGATTAACAATTGAAGATGGAGATATTGGATTGCCAATAAATTGACAAAGTGTAACTTAAAATAATAAATTTTTCATAATTATATTAAAATTTTTAAACTTTTATCTCTCAAATTTCAAAGAAAATTAATCCAGAAATTTATCTGAAAAAATTACCTAAAATTGAATTTAAAAGCGTTTGTTGAAATTGGGCGTCCATTTCTCCATTTAATAAGAGGTTGAGAGACAATTTTATTGCAAATATTCTGACAACAATATTTCCAGAATTAAGAAGGACAGACCAAGGATATTTTTCTTTAAAAAATGAATAGTCTTTAACAAAAAAAAATAAAATTTCCCAAACCTAATAATATTTTGCTGTGGAATTCTGTTGATGAAAGAACATCCATACAATGAAGCCAAGTGCAAAGAATACCTTTTGAAGACAATGAATTTATTTGATGATAAAAATCGCGAATGGCCTTCAAAAAATGAAAATAAATTGATGAATAAAAACATACTTTAATATTTTCAATTGTCCAAAAATTTCTGAATTCAGCGATACTCGAAAGATTTTGAAGAATACAATGAACTAATAGTTTATTTCTTTGATTAATAACTTTTTCCAATTCTGAGAGAAGAAGCAAAATCTTTTTTAAAAAAATGCTTTTTTAATTTCAAATTATTTTTAGAACCTGTTCGGGTAAAATTGTTTCACAGCGAGATGATAATTTAGAGAGAGAACTAAAAAAAATAAATAAAAATTAAAAAAGATTTAAAAATACCAATAAATAACTGAATGCATCTCATTTGTTGGTAGTCCTTCCAAAAGTCGCCGACCAAGTTCGATACTGCTTTTAGATTCACTTAAGCCTCGTAAATTAGAAATAATTCCAAAAAGTTCATTTTTCAATGAAATTTCAAGAAAATTTTTGCCAAACATTTCAGCAATTTTACGGATTATCAGAGAAGAAAAAGATCTTAAAAATAAAAAAAGTTTATACCTAATTGAAAAAATAAATATATACTTTGAAAATTTCGCCAATTCATTTGCAGCTTGAATAGCTGCGGATAATTCTGTCATTTCTACGCAATCCAAAGATTCAATTATTAAATTATGAACCTAAAAAATAAAAAATACGCATTTACTCATTTAATTTCTATTCCAAAAATAATTTTAAAGAATAACCCTCCCTTAAATTTCCCCTAATAATTCCCAATCCTAGAGTTGAAAAAACAGCTCCTTAGATAAATTACTTAATTAAGTAAATAAATAAATTAAAATAACCTTTTTATCTTCACAAGTTAAAGGAGCTAACGAGCCTAAAAGAAGAAGTGTAAGTGATCTAGCTTTGTAATCATTTGAATGAGAAACTTTTAAAATAAAACGAATTATTTCTTCTGTTGAAAAAGCCAAAGAAAGACATTTATTACATTCTTTTATTGCTACAACAATTCTTAAACGAATTGTATTCATTGAATGTTCAAATTTTCTTGCAAAAATTTCCCCATTAAATGTCTAGAAAAGTTTAAAAAATTTTAATATAAATTTTATTTACCTGGGCCAATCTAAAAAGAGTAGCATGAACAAAATGAGGAAAAGGATATTCTCTAATATATCGAGCACATTCTGTTATAGTTGTCATTACATCTGCAAGATTTGAAGATTGTAGACCTTCAAAAAATTATTTAATTTTTTAAATACTTTTTGTGGAATAAAAAAACCTTTCTCGACGTGCAATTGCATTGTATGAAGTTTATGTGATTCCATTTTAGTAATTGACTATAAATAAATAAATATGTAGAAGTAAAAATATTTTAAGGTATTGTTCGAAAAAATTTTCAAAAAAATTTTCAAGTTTTTTGAAAAAAATTTCAATGTCACTTAATTAATCTCAAAATGGTCAATACCCATTAAAGTTATAAAATGGTAAATTTGTAATGGTAAGTCTTCCGAATATTTCCCAAATTGCGCGAAGTTAAGAGAAGTTTGTTCTATTTTTTGTAAATAATTTGTAAAAAACTCTTTAGATTGTCTTAAATTCGTTTCAATTTTTATGCCGACAACCTCAAAAGCCCCTTATTCTTATTCTTCGTCGTTTGTGGTATTTAATTTAATTTTTCTAAAATTATTTTTTAATTAAGGAAAGTCATAAAACAACTGTATATTCAATTGCTTTCAACACATTTACACCTCAAGAAGGAACAAGCACAAATTCTATTAATTATTTTGCAACTGCAGGAAAAAATAAAGTTAAAAAATTCTTTTACTTCTTTTTTTTAAATTTTTTAAATTAAGGTTTCTGTTTATAGTTGCTCTTCAAGTCAGCAAGGAATTAGGTTATTGAGACAGTTTGATGACCAAGATGCGGTTAGAGAATTTTAAAAATTTTTTAAAATTTTTTATTAAGAAAAATGAATGTTTTTATGCCATAACATGGGCATATAATTTGGATACTTCTCTTCATGTACTTGTTGTTGGTGGTCATAGAGGGATTATTCGAGTTCTTAGTCCACACAATGGAAGAATGTTTTGTGTATTTTTATTTAAAATTTTTTATTTTTCTTTTGTTTTTTAGTCTTTACTAGGACATGGGGATTCAATTAATGAATTACGTACATCTCCAACACATCCAATGATTGTTGCTTCGGCAAGTAAAGACTTTACTGCAAGGATTTGGAATATTATGAATAGACAATGTTTGGCTATTCTCGGCGGTATTCAAGGACATCGTGATCAAGTTATATCCTTGGTATTTTTTTTTCGATCAAGTCTGGAATCTCGTATGCCCACCCCCCCCCCCCAAATTACTATGCACTATAAGAAAAAATTTTCTAAAATAAATTTTTACCACATTAAGTGAATATCCATCGTTAATTTAAATAAATAATTTTGAAAGGATTTCGATGTTACTTCAAATTTTTTGGTTACTGCTAGTATGGATCACGCAGTGAAACTTTGGCATATTGGCCCTGGAACTGAAGTGGGTGAAGCCATTCAAACCTCGATAACAAAAAGTAAACCTGCCTCACAATTTCCAACAGAATTGCACTTTCCTATTTGTAATTCAAGAGATTTACATACAAACTATGTTGATTGTGTTCGAATTATGGGAGATTTTATATTTTCAAAGGTTTTTTTAATTTCTTTTTGTGGCACATGTAAGGATTAGAATGATATCCTTATATTTTTTACGGGTATTTTCTTCTGTTTTTTTCCCCTTTGGCTATACAGGAAACGTGTTTTTGCATGTTTCACAACGTGTAAAAGTTCAGAAAAATGCATTGAAAAATAGATAATTGTAAGGCAAAAATAAGGCGAACATATGTGAGGGAAAGATTCCGAATCTTTAAAAATTATCTACTCCAATATCTTTACATGTGTCATTTAGTCAAGTGAAGATTGTATTACATTATGGAAATTTGGTACATTTGAAGAAGGAATTTGTGGTAAAGGTTCGCTAAAATGCCCGGAAACTTTTGCTTCCCACACTGTCATAATGGTTTTATTTTTTTGTAAATTAATTTAAATTTTTGTAGAAAATGCCAAATACAGAAATGTGGTTTATTAAAATGGCTATTGATCCACATCGAAAGGTTAATTAGTTTTTTATTTTTTCCAAAAAAAAATTTTTTTTAAAGTTTCTCGCTTGTGGAAGTCAACAGGGTGAAATTAGAATATGGAGATTAAATGCAAACAGATTACCTTTAGCAGAAAGGTACTTGTATTTTACTTGATATAAAATATAAGATAGTCTGATTTTAACCCTAAGAGCATATCTCATACTTTTAAATAGTTATTGGTTATTTTTTAATTTTAGTGATTATTTTCTCGTTCCAAGCAATAAGGAATTGAAAGGATGTATTCGTCAAATTGCCTTTAGCCCCGATGGAAAAGTTTGTTTTTAAATCTACAATATTTTTAAATTTAAATTAAGTTAATGATGGCTGTTGGCGATTGGGGATTGGTAATTCGTTTTGATCTCAATCCAGATAATTTAAATTAAAAAATGCCTTTAACAAAATGATGTTTTCTTAGAATAGTTTTAAAATTATTTTCGAATATTCGACGATCTTTCAATTGAAAATTAAAATTTCTTTCAAATTATTTTGATATTTTTATGGTATTTTCCGTTACTCCCTGCTATTTACTAACAGAAATATGCCAAGTTTTATTTCCTGAAAGAACTCAACCCTGTTTTCAATAAAGGGAAAAGTTTAGTCTTTGTCTCATTATCTCATGAATTTTGTGAGGACATAACGGAAAAAGTATTTTTTTCAGACTAGGACACGGATACTGATTTTGGTATCCGGATATTTACGGTGGATACAGACGGATATCCGCAGGCATTTTTATAATATCTGTATCCGTTTCCATGTCCTAGTCTGCTATTTTTATTTATAAAATTGAAATTTGATTTAATTTTTTACATAAATAGACCTACTAATTGCAAATTCTAAAAAATATTTACTATTATTGAGGGTTTGGTTGCAGGTGTGTGTCGAGACTATAATAATAGCTGGCATACACAAATATAAACACACAAATCGGCTGTTTGCGCATCGATGGTCGCTGACCTCTTTTTTTAAATAAAGCCTCATCTTTGTGTGTTTATGTTAGCCGAACCAAGCTTTTTGGCCGTGAGAGAAAATAAACGAGCAAGAGGGAAGAAAAGAGGGGAATGATTAGTTTTTAGCTAAAAGTCCTTTACTTTGGGAGGTTTGTTTAGCGCAAATATATTTATTTACTCTCGAAATGTTGCCTCTATGTCTGAACAAAAATATTTTTATGAAAATAAAGAGAGTGCTAAAAGCTCAGTTGTTTAAAAAATTAAAAGAAAAAGAACGTTTAGTGTTTTCAATAGATAAATTTCCTCAAAAAATTTTTTGAGAAAAAATCTTTTCAATTTTCTCTCATCAAAATAGCTTTCCCATAAAGTTTTAGCACAATTCTTTTATTTTTTTAGATTCCCTTGTGGCCAAATTTAGTCACAGATTATTGCATTTATGTATTTTTCTCCCCAACTTTTATCGGTTTTTAACCAAATGACTTTTCTTTTTAGAGATTTTTTTTTGTTAATTTTGGAGAGAAAATTTTAGGCCGTCAATAAGGCCGGCAGCCCATTTTTTTATTTTCAATTCCTTGAATATCTCGGAGCTTTTAATTTTTCTGACATTAATTACCCCCTCAATATTCATTTTTGGTTACCTCTTAAATTAAGGTTTTTTACTATTTATTCAAATTGCGGATATTTACGCTCGAACACTCATTATCCGTTTTCATCACTTAATCCTTAAATTAAGAGGTTTTACGCCCTCTGACCTCCAATATTTAGCTTGCAAACAATGTTGGTTTTTTTGTTGTTAATTGTGTAGTTCATTTCCGTTTCTATAGAAACGATAAAAGGGATGGGCAATTATTATACCTGGATTTTTTATATAAGAAAAGTGGAAATGGTTGAAAGGGAGGGGGGGTCTCTCCAAAACTGTCTCTCTCCCTTTTTACTACATTAATGTCAATTTCCATCAGTTAAAAGAAAGATCCCGAGTGGAAACTGAATCCATCCAAATTGATAGAGAAAACTCTTTTCCACCAACTATACAATTACTCATTTTATTTTTATATATTTTCCATCTGCCGTCGGCCAAAATTTCATCCATTCCTCCCCTTTTTACTACGCGCAAAGGCCTAACTAAAAATGGCCAGCCTCATCATGTAATGCCTAATTCTACACACACACCTGCCTCATTTTTGTAAAAAAATTATTTTTTTTAATCTGAAAATAAATTACAAATTAGTTATTATTTACAAACATTATTCTCTTTTTTTTGTTCTCTATGTTTTTCATTAACAAATAAGTGAAATATGTATTAATTTTTTAATTACAAATTTACCAATATAAAAATATTAAAAACGTGAATAAAATCTGCCAATAAAATTTTAATTCATTGAAATAAAAAAAATCGCAAAAAATAAAAAGAAAAATCGCCTCTTCATTCTCTTAATAAAAATTTTTCTTTTAGTAATTTTAAATTAAATTAATAATTTTCTTTTTTATTTAAGATTAATTTAGTTGAATTTTCTCAGTTTTTGAGTCTTTTTAATTGTCTAGAAAAAGCATTTTTAGTGTTTCATTTTTGTCCGAAAATTTAAATTTATTTTCCTCTTCAACTCCATTTCCGTTATTTTCCCATTACCTTATTTTTTCCATTCTCCATATGTTATTTTCTTATTTTTAACGGTCTTATTCACTTCTAATCCGGCCTAAATCCCCTCTCTTTTTCTCTTTTTAAGTAAAGTTAACCAATTATTAACAATTCACGCAATTCTTTCTTTAACTATTCTCTAATTAGTTTTCCCCTTTCTTGTATGATTTTTCTCATTCACCACCTTTTTTTATGAAGAAGATTGATATTTCTACAATAAATTATACCCTTTTATTAAAAAAAATTTTTCAATAAGGAAAAACTTCCCTAGGGAGGAGATTTTCTCGTTTTTAAGACAAGATTTTTAAATTTTTATGAAAGAATTAATTTTAGACTACAAAAAACTTCTAAATTTTGCATAAAAAACTCTACAATTTTGACTATTCTTTTAAAATATTTTTTTATTTAAAAACCACCAAATCCGCCCCTTTCTATATATTTTTTGTCAATTTTTATAAAAATATTTTGACCAAACCCCTTTCATTTATTTTTAGCTTTTCTTCCTTCAATTTGCCGATTTCTTGTGAAAAACATCCCTTTTCTATGCCGTTTCTCTTTTCTTTAATTTTCCTTCCGTTTTTTTCTTCTATTCCATAAATGTTTAGTTTGAAAAAAAACACAATTTTCGAGAAAATATAAAATAAAAATAAAGCATAATAAAGAACGGGCATTCCCCCCTTTTCCTTATTTTTTTATTTGTCACAATCGATGCATGGAATAAAGCAAAAAATGTTGACGAGAGAATTGTTATTTATATATAAATTTAAAATCTTTCTAAAATTTTGTTTATATGTATATTCTCATTGTCAGAAATTCTGATAGACATTCTGACTCAGAATGCTCTACTAGTATTTTAAAAATATTCAGCCAATGTTGTATTATTCTAAAACCTATTTAAGACAAAGTAAACGGTCTTAATTTTATTTATATTTTTCTGTCATGTTCCCCACAAGATATTTATTTATTATAGTGTGATAAATCAAATACCTAACAATACCTGATAAAACAACACAAATAATTTAATTATTCATGCGTCTCGAGTTAAGTGAAATAAAAATTAGCGAGATTGGAGGAATATTAAGTTTTAAAATAATTTTTAAAATGTTATTTTAATTTATTTTAAATGTTTTTCCCAATTTATTCAAATTATTCACACATAATATATCTAAAATTTTTCTTTTTTTTTTATTTATATTTCACTAAGATTAACTGGTAAATTAAAAATTTATGATTTATAAAACGTTTTTTCCTTAAAATGGAAAAAAACTTTGTCCGAATTCAATAGAGCAACTTCGATTTAATCAGACATAATTTTATCCACATTCACCAAATATTTTTGAAATTAGTATCATTCGATTTTATATGACTGTCATTATTTATTTTTTTAATTAAAAATTTAATTATAATTAAATTTTTAATATTTCTTTTTATTAAAAAATATTTTCTCTCCCTCTCTCTTTTATTCCTTTGCTCAAAGCTGCTTTTGCTCGTCATTCACCAGCTTAAAAAGGAATAAGGAAGAAAAAAAGAAAAATATATTTATTTATTTGAGAGAGAAAAAGTAAAAGCCCCCCCCCCCCTAACTGCTACTACTTTTTTTCCTTTTATTGTTGTTATTGGCACATTTCCAGCCATTTTATTTCCCTTTTTTTATTTTTTATATATAATTCTTTAAAAAAATATTTTTTATTTTTATAGAAAAAATGTTGCAATTTAAATATTAAAAATTTCTAAAAAAATTTTTTTGGCATAATGTTTATAGCAAAAAATAATTATTTAATTTTGTTTATTTTATTTAAATATTCTGTGGCTGTCAGAAATAAAGAAATTGATGAAAATTATCAGCGTTTAATTCCCTTAAATCAAATACCAAATAATTGTGAACATTCTAAAGATAATGAAGTAAATTCTGAACCAGCAAAAGAATATGGGTTTGTTGAAAATATTGGGTTAGAAAAATGTAAAGTTTGGTTAGATGAAGAACAAAGTACTTCTAGTGATGAAAATGGGCATTATGAACGTTATAAATGTAAACACTTGAGAGGTACTAAATAAATATTTTGGACAAAATTTTTAATTTTGGGAAGGCAAAATTTAATATTGAAATTAAAAATTAATACAAAAACTTAAATTTTGGGTTACTGGCAGTTTGGGAAAATTTGGGTTCGGATCCGCCTGTCGATGATTTAGTCGTTGTTGTTTTTTAATATTTATTGTATAATAAAAAATTTTTTGACATTTATTACATATTTATTTAACTTTCATTTATTCCTTCCTCGTTTATACTACGTCTACATAAAAAACGCTGGTGTCTAGCGGAAAATGCTGGCTGAAAAACGCTAGCGTTTTTTATGAAGACGTAGCATTAATATGTTGCTTCTGACTTAATTCTCTTATAACTCCTCGAAATATTTTCTAGATCCTAAAATATTTTTCTTATAAATATCTCAAAATAAATTGTTAAATCTAAACAATTTATAATTAAAGTTCACGGCCATTTTAATGAAGAAACTGGCAAATGTGAATGTAAAACCAATTGGAAGGGGCTAATATGTAATGAATTTATTGGTTGTCCAGTTAATTATTCGTATTTCCTAAATGTTTGTACACCAAATGTTTGTCAACATGATGGACAATTAGCATTAGGTTCTAAACATATTGAATGTATTTGTAAAGCACCTTGGGATGGAAGGTTTTGTGAAAGACTTGCTTGTTGGAGAATGGCTGATAAAGGTTTTAAAGAAGAAGATTTGGAGGGGAAAATAAATTAAATTTTAGAACATGAAAGACGATGGAGAAATTCAATAGATCATTGTAAATGTGCAGATAATTATTCTGGTGAAAATTGTGAAACAATAATATCCTGCCAAAATGGGGAATTTATTAATGAAAAGTAAAAGAAATAAAAATTAAAAAAATAAAATTTAATATTTAAATAAAAAAGGTGTCAATGTGCAGAAGGATGGACAGGGGAAATTTGTGACCGTAAATGTACTCCTGGTCAAACGTAAATTTTAAGAAATGAAGATTTAACATTAAAAAGATCGAAACTATCGGTTGCTTCTAATTATTTTTACCGGAAAGGATCGAAAATTTGAAATATTTTTTCCACTTTTATCTAAACTAAAGTTAGCCAATTTAGCCTAATTTTATAAGTATTCTTTAACTGGCCCACAAAGAAAAATTATATGAATTCTACGTCGAAAGTGTATAAATTTGCATCCGGAAGCGAAAATTTTTAATTATTAGCTTCTTAGAGGAGATTAATTTTTAAGCAAATAAAAAGTTTTTTTCATAAAAAAACATCTTTAAGGAGTTTCGATCTTAAAATTTAAAGAAATAAATTTTAATTTTTTTATTTAAAGATGTGGCGCTGATTCTTTACTTTTTGGCAATCAAATTATAACATTTTTAATTATTTTATTTACTTGTTTAATGGCTTTTATAAACAGATTGATGGAAATCTAGTTATTAACAAATTATTATTTTTCTCTCAAAATAATTTTTTCCGTAGAGCTTTCCCAAATATTGATATTTGAAAATATTATTTTTTTGTTTAAAATACAGTTTGACTCATTATAAAATACCCTTTAGTGATAAAAAATTGCAACTTATAAGGGAATGTATATGAAATAGAGGGTCTTTATTTAGAGGATTTTTATTTTAAATCCTTACATCCTATGACCAGCAAGATTTAAAGAATTCTGGATATATCTTTATAGCAGGGGTGGATATCCAGCCTCTAAGCAGGGCTGGATATATCTTTATAGCAGGTCCTGATACCCTAAACCCAAATTTTTTCTCAACCCTTACCATCCCTGCTTTATAGTGAGGCCAAACTATTATGTAGTTTGTATTCTTCTCATAATTAAAATTTAATCTCTTTTTTCTTATTTTTATTTCATTTCTTTTATATTATTTTTTAAAGTATTGTGAATAAATAAAATTTTTAAAGTTGAAATAAAAAATTTTATTTTAAAGTATAAAATGTCTGTCAATATTAGTGTGGTGATGTTTGTTAAAAAGAGCAGCTTTATGACTTTTAATTTTTACTTAGAAATAATAAAATATTTTTTGACTTTTAATCCCAAAAGATCAATAGTAAATACAATCAACTAATAAATAAATTTAGTTTTTCTTTTCATACATTATTTAACTTTAGTGAAAGAGAGAAAGAAGGTGAACTTTTGGGGTATAATTTAAAATATTGTTGGACCTCGATTTTCATCAAGATCCGACTATATTTCGATTCATCGAGGCCGGACCTCTCCTCAATTTAAAAATTTTAAAAACGTTTTTTAAATAAAAAGAAAAATATTACATACTATTTCCTATTAACAATCCTTCTGTTAAACAATCCCAACTTTTTCAACCCCAAAGGGTATAATCAAGGTCTTTATTTTAGAAAATAGAAATAGTATTTTTAATTTAATTAAATTCTACAAATGTCTGGTCGTTTGTTACTGTTTATTGGTTTATTATTTTTTACACCAGTTGGATTCATTTTAATCTGGTTTGTAATTATTGCTTTGTCCAACCTATTGTTTTAAGCTTATTACCCTTATAAATACCGTGTTTCATTTAATAGAATGCCCTGACATTCAGTTAGAGGGAATACAGTAGTTAATTTAAATGTTTGGATTTATTTTTGTTGGCGTTTTGTTTTTATTTTGTTATTACTGTAGAATTCCACAAGTTCGTAACAATTTTGAAAGGGATACGGCTTTTCGAGTTCTTTCGAATAGTATTTAAAATTATTCGAATCGAACGAAAATCAAAAACTGATTTGAATCGACTTCTTAGTCATCTTTTGTTTGCTGTTTTTTTCCAACGTTTTTTGTTCCCCATTGAACATTTTCTTCCCCCATTGATTTTTCTTCCCCCATTTTTAAATATCTTTACACCTTTTAAAAATGAACTAACTCAAATATTTTAACAATTTTTTTAAATTTTTAATTTTACTAAAACTACTAACTTGATAAAAGTTAAAATAATTTTTAGTGATTTTCCATAGCAACGCTTTTTAATATAAATTAATATTTCCATCTTATTTTTTTGCTTAAATTTATTTATAATTCTCCCTATTTTCCCTTTTTTCTAAAAATATTTTTACATTTTTTTTATTTTTTTGGATGTTTAGGGCATTGACAAAACTAATTGACGCTTCTTCTGTTTCAAATAAATTAAATATTGCAAATATGAGTCAATATACAATTGCGGAATGTGGTTCTCGTAATTCTTTGGATTATCGAATTTTTATTAGTAAGAAGTTTTTTTTAATAAATTTTTAATAATTAAAATACTTTTGAACCCCTCAACATAAGATACCCCCCCCCCCCCAAATAAATATTAAATACATCTCAATTTATGATATTTTTTTAGACTAAGCCATTAGATGGAAGGCTATATAATTAAATTTTATTTTTTTAGAAGGACCAACCGGAAATCTTGTTTCGCCATGGCACGATATTCCTTTGTATGCTGATCCTGTAGCGAAAATATTTAATATGGTTGTTGAAATACCTCGTTGGACTAACGCAAAAATGGAGGTTTTTTAAAGTATTTTCTTATTATTTTTAATTTATCAAAAAAAAGATGGCAACAAAAGAGCCGATGTCACCAATACGTCAAGATGAGAAAAAAGGTTTGTTAGAGATTGGGACTGTAAAGACTTGGGGTTTTCCTTAACTATTGAGTTTTTATTGGGTTTTTGTTTCTCTGCCCGGGCAAATCCAGCCTATTAATCTCAATTAATTTTTGAAAATCTCTCAGGTTTACCACGTTTTGTTAACAATATATTTCCTCACCATGGATATATTTGGAATTACGGAGCCTTACCTCAAACATGGGAAGATCCAAATCACGTGGATGCACATACTGGGGCTAAAGGAGATAATGACCCGATTGATATTATTGAAATTGGTTCGAAAGTTCAAGAAAGAGGGTCTATTGTGCAGGTTTCTAAATTAAATCTGTGAAAATATTTTAGTTTTTAATTTAAAGGTGAAGGTTCTTGGAACTTTGGCACTTTTGGATGAAGGCGAAACTGATTGGAAGGTATCTTGGAGATTTTGTGAACCCATTTTGATTCTTTTCTATTTTCCATTGTTTTACCTGGAAACTAAATCAAGGATTAATTTTGAGTAGTTATTTAACTAGATAACCAAAAAAGAGTTTTTCTACATTCTTTTCTGTAAAATTATTGTTGTCCAAATGTAGCTTTTCATTAGTAACAAAATAAATATGTAACGCTTCCTTGGTTTTAAAAAATAAAATTAATATCTTTTGATTGATCTAGTTGCCAAGGGTAAAAGAGGGGAAAATAGAGAAGAAATTAAAATGAGACAAAAGCCTTCAATATTCATTTTTTTCTAAAGTTGGTTGGAATTAATATAAAAGATGACTTGGCGTCTAAATTAAATAGTATTAATGATGTTGAATTGTACATGCCTGGACTTTTATCTGCAACACAGGAATGGTTTCGTGTTTATAAAATACCAACTGGAAAGCCTGAAAATAAATTTGCTTTTAATGGCGAATTTAAAGATAAAGAATTTGCACACAAAATTATTGAGGAAACAAATGAATTTTGGAAAAGTTTAATTGCAAGTAATGAAACGGGAGGTTTAAACACGTTAGTTTATTTTTTTAATTATTTAATAATGCAGTCGGAACTTTATCAGATAGTCCTCAGTTTAAGATCCGTTTTTAAAATTTGGTTAGCTAATTTATGAGATTAGCTGTATAATCGATAACCCTTAAAATACGCCTAACTATAAGATAAATTTTCAACCCAAAGGGCTATCTTATAGTGAGGACCAGGGGTGGGCGCATTGCGTTTTGCGTTTTTTGCGTTTTGCGTTGATTTTTGGCCTTGCGTTGCGTTTTGCGTAAATTTGGCCAAAATTAACGCAAAAAACCGCAAGAAATATACCCAATCTGAGGGCAAAATCTGGAGGAAATCAGGCTTATGACTTTCCAAAATTCTCAAAATTTTCGCCTGCGGCGCTTAAAAAAGGAAGAAATTTGGCTTCTTGGTCCCAAATTTTTCAAAATTTTCGCCTGCGGCGCTAAAAGTAGATCATGGAACTGCTCAGAAAAATATCAGTTCAATATCTTGAGCTCCAATCTCTCTTTATCCCTCCAAATCCCCTGATATCCGCGGTATCAATTGAGAATTACAGATAGGCATTTATCCTCCGCTATTTTCCCAACCCATCCGACATTCATCAGTAATCGCATGGTATCTTTTTAAATTTCCTTGATCCCTCCAATTTTCCTCGATCCCTCCTTCATAATCGCTCTAAATCCTCTAATATCCTTCATAATCCCATTGTATCCCCTTCAAATCATTACCCATCCAACTTAATTGTATCACAAGATTAACTAGGACTCGCTGACTTAGAGTAATACTTCTATTTTAACTGAAAAATGGCTAATACTCGATTTAAAATTTTTTTTCAGAATTTTGCGTTCTTGCGTTTTGCGTTTTTTGCGTTTTGCGTTGATTTTTGGCCTTGCGTTGCGTTTTGCGTTTTTCACGATTGCCTCTTGCGCCCACCCCTGGTGAGGACCGCTTGTAAGTATTTGGTGGAGAAACATTTCTTTTAACAATTATTTTTAAGTGAATGTCTTGTTCCTGGAGCTGCATTTCCCGCTAATCAACAGAATTGGACAAGTCTTTTTGATAAGCAACCGAAGAAAGGAGAGGAAAAGGCAATTCCGGAAAGTGTCGACAATTGGTATTATATTACTTTATCTGACAAATGACTGGCAAATAAATGGATAGCAAAAATATAGGTACTTTTTGAATATATTACTCCTCCCCTATTCGAATTTCAAAAATTTTCTTTCCTTTTTTGATACATTTAATTATGGAAGGAAATTTTTCGACTAAATAGAAATAGGGAAGGATAATATATGCAAAAAAAGAACCAAAATATACCTACCTAATTTATATTTAAAATTATACTATTATTCCTCTTTCTACCTCGACGAGGAAAATTTATTTTTGAAAAAGACATTTTTGGGTATAAAAAATAATTTTTAATTTAACATAGTTTCTTTAGGATTTTTGATCTTCACAAAAATGTCTTTCAAGTAAAATATCATTAATTGACCGGTTTAATTTTGTTAAAATATTTGTGACTGACATTCGTAGCCTGATATTTGAAATCTAAAATTATGAGTTTTGGACCGATACTTGTGATCCAATTTAATGTTGGTCCGTTAGAATAAATACTGTCTTTTTTCTGTTATGCCGAGGTTTAAAATAAGGGAAGTCTCTTATTCCTCAATTTCATCGTGTCCAGATTTTTATATGCATAACAGTAAAGAAAAATCCTCAAATATCTAGCCACGAGTGTCGGTTGACAAAAAATTACCCATATAAAGAAAATAAATTGTTTTTGGTTGGCAATAAAATGTTGAGAATAATTTTGAAAATAAAAATGATAAAACTTTTGTTATTTTCAATATTTATTTTATATAGAAATTTTTTTAAAAAAAGTCGCAACACTCATTTCATTTCTTTTAAAAATACCATAAATTAACGTGGCAACTTTGAATATAATTTAACAAAATAATTCCCCAAATTTAGGATCGGTAATCAATCGAGAATAAAAAATTACAAATTTTCTACTAATAATTTAAAACAAAATAAATTATAAAATTTATATTTTCTGACTATGTGGATTTTTAAATTTGGATATATTATGTAAAATTGAAGAAAAATATAAAAGTTTATTAGAAAGTTCTTAATTTATTTATTAAGAAAAGATAACTAAACTAAAAGTTTACTTTTTGAATTTACTTTCTGATTATTTTTTTCTAATTTTCGTTTCCAACGTCAAAGAACTTTCTAAATAAATTAATTTTCTATAAAATAATTTAATTTTTCCTTTAGCTCTAAGCCTAAGAAAAAAACAAAATTTCAGCACTATTATATATTTTAACTAGGCCCTTTTCTACATAAATATTTAATTTAAAGTTTAATTCTTTTTTCTTCTTTTAACTGAGGAATTAATCCAGCAGATTTTGTTGTTAATTTCTTCCTCAACTTTTTTGTTGGAGGATTTATGTTCAATAAATTCTTTGCTTTTTCAGTTATTTCTAATTGGTCTGTAGATTTTCCAAACATTAGTTGACAGTCAGTTTGAGAAAACTAAAAAAATATTTAAAGAAAATTTGTTAAGAAAAGCAAGTCTTTAATTTTCTATACAATAAACCCTCCCTAGGAAGGATACACCCTCAAATACTAGATTAGGGGTACCAATAAAGAATTATTCTTTTTTTAAAATATGCTTTCTAATTTGGTTATTGGATGGCTAACAATTTAAAATACTCATTATTATTTTCAGCCTCATGTGGTGCTTCTTATAATGAATTTTGTCTGTCCTATATCAAAAGAATTCCTTTTAATTTTAATTACCAAAGCAGATATTTCCTTCTTCAAATTCCCAACATTCAATTCATTATTTATTCCTTCAATAAATAAACTTGAAATATTAATTCTTTTAATTTTTTGCCATTCCAACAAAGAATTATTTGTTTTCTTCCTAGGACTTTCTCTTCTCCATTTAAGTGATAATAATTTACGTTCGAATTTTAAAGAACGAGTCTTGAAATTAAATTTAAAAAATATTTTTAATTAGTGAACGACATTTGTGGACACCAATAAAGCATTGTTTATCGAATCCTTAACGTTTCGTCATTAAGACATTGTTTTTAAAAATTAAAGAGGAATTAAATTTTGTCCGCAAATGTCAGTCATTTATTTTTAAATTTATTTTTTTATTTACCGGGTTTCTGTTCTTTTCTGGTGTTCGTAGCTTTTCAGGCTGCATTTTATCCAAATCATTTAAAATATCATCAACAATACTAGTTTCGAGAGGTCCATAATTTTGTTCTTGTAAAGGCGAATGGAAACCCGAAGATGTTGAAGGATTATAATTAGAATTTTCTGTATCAAATAACAAAAGAGAAGACGAAGAACGTTCATTAAGAATTGGAGTCGAATGATATAAAGGCTAAAAAATAGAAGATTATTTACAAGCCCTCTCCTCCCCTTCAAAAATACCTGTACAGAAGCAAGCCCTTTACTTGGTGTTTCAATAAGTGAAGATTTGGAAAGTAATGATAAACGAGAATTTTGGTCATCACTTAATTGAGTGTCTGAAAACCCCGAATCTTTAGAAACACGTCTTGATGGTTGTTTGTCGTCTTTAGTTGTTTTATTTTTATCTACATTTTTTATATCCTTTTCTTGATGTAAATTTGAAGATTTTTGTTGGGTTTGAGTTTGTTCTGGTAGTCTATCTCCACTAAATCGAACACCTAAAAAATGATAAATATATTTTAACTTCACTATATACATCCAATATATCTAAAGAAATTTAAATTTTGTTGGCCCCTGAATAGGAGGTAGAACTGCATAATTAATACCCTCTATTTAAATACACCTTGTTATAAGATAATTTTTTTAGCCCAGGGCTTTTGAGGTTTATTCCAAAATAAGGTGGCGGATAGTTGGAAATCTTCGGATATCCGGATCCGCCAACCTTATTCCAAAAGTGAGGTTCAATTTTATCAAAAAATATAAAAATAGACCAATATAATTTTGTAAATTTAAAGGCCGCAAAACTTGATCTCTGCTGTTACTACAAGAAGTTGTCGAAGAAATAGAGGAAGAACAACTTGGGGATTGTTGTCTTTTTTCTTTAATGAAGAATGAACGTAAAGGAGATCCAGATAAATGAATTGATGCTGTTAATGATTGTCGAGGAGTTCGAAGGGGTGGAGAACAAAAAGAATTTGTTGACTTTAAATGAGAAAGAGATTTAGATTCATTCCTTCTAAGAATTTAACAAAATTTTAGCCACCAGGGCAGGGATCGAACCAGCAATCTCCTGTCAGCTTAGCTCGCCACCAACTAACTGAACTTGAGGAGTGATGGCTCTATTTTAAAATTTTCTTCCCCGACAGTTAGATATTCCCTTCCTACAATATATATTCAAATTGTAGGAATTGAAATATAGAAAGGAAGGGCAAATAATTAAAAAAAAATTTTCTAAAAAGACCAATCGACAAGTTGGCGGAGAATTGTCATTAGCTATAACTGAAGAAGTTGAAGCAAAAGATAAATGAGTAGAAATAGAGGAAGGAAATGAAACTTCAGGTATTGAATGTGTTCGGGAAGAATTTTTGTTGTTTGATCGAAGAGAACTTCTAACTCTTCGTCTGTCAGGAGTTTCCTTAAAAATATATTTTATTTAAATTTACTATTAAATAAACCCAATACTAGATAAACCTCAATTTAATTGATAAAAATTAATAGGCATTCATAATTTTTATCTTGGAAAATGACTATCAAACCCGATTATTCTCTAACAAGGAATAATATCGAACTGTGACCAAAAATTTTCAAATAAAAATTATACCATCGTGTAGAGCATGAAAAAAACCTACTACGTATTTTTTTCTTTTTTGGCCCTGACCCCCATTTCGAAAAGTTATAGGGCTTCAAACTTTTCGACTTTTGGAGCGGTTGAGTCGCCCTCACTTTTCTTATTATTTGTCTTGCTAACAATAAGAATGTTTCAAGAGCTGACAGTCGTTATTCCTCCCTCATCTATAGAGGAGGGGGAGGGGGGGGTGTCTTAAAGTGAGATTTAACTATGGCGAGGTATTTGATCAAAAAATTTTTTTCAAAAACTTTACCAAAACACTAACTGCAGAAGGCCATCCACCACTACAAGTCCCCCCGATGTGTTCAGCTTCATCAGAAGAAGACGAACCATAATTTTGATTATTTCTATTATTTGTTTTGCCTCCAACTTTTGTGGAAGGCATTTATTTATTTTTTAATTTTTGTTGGCGGCAAAGCCCTAAGGGAAGAGGGAAATGTGTGTGTGTGGTTGTCAATAACAAACCATTAAAAAAGTCGATCGTTTAAAGAAATCATTAAATTTATAAAAATAGGTCAAAACTAAGCGATTAATTTACATAAATAAATAAAAACCAGTCAAATAAAAATGTTTCTACCCAAAAGATCGTAAAAAAAGATCAAATATTTTGGTTCCTAACCATTCATTAATTTAACTGTTTTTAATAAATCTTTGTTAATCGAGGGTCTTGGATGTCTTGACTTTTTTCCTCAACTATCTGTGACTTTTTAAAGTATATTTAGTCGAATTATATATAGGAACAGATCAGTAGAGCTTCAGATAGTTTAGATCGCCTTTATCAAATCCCCAAGTGTTTCAAAAGCCCTCGATAAGCACAATAATTTCTTCAGCAGGACAGATCTAGTCTAATCATTCATTAAAGCAGTTACAACACGATAAGTGAAATTATTTGCTATTTTCACATTTATCGAGTCATAACCCCAAACTACATAGATCTATCCTGTTGGAAAGGAACTCAATTGAGGTTTACTAGTTTATTCTTTAATTATCATTCAATCCTTTGGGTTAATCCAAAAAAAGAGAATTTAAAGAGATGGATATTTTTAACATACAGTAGTCGACATAAAGATAGGGACAAGAGTAATTTAAATGAAAATTAACTATTTTTCAATCAAAAAATACGTTCTATATACCAATCGAAAGCTCTATTCGTATCTCAGTTGACATGTTTCTGCATTTTTCATGAAAATGAAAATTGGCCGAGATATCCGGATTAAGCCGGATATCCCAAATCCTATATCCGCGGAAAAAATTTTCGGAAAAAATTTGACAAACCCATTTGATAAAGCATATTTTTGTGAGTATATACCACAAAACCGCTTAGAAATATCTTTTTCCGGAGCAGAGATATGATTTTTTGAAAATGGCATTTTTCCCTTAAAAATTGAATTTTTTGCAAAAATAGACGAAAAATGCCATTTTCAAAAAATCATATCTCTGGACCGGAAAAAGATATTTATAAGTGGTTTTGTGGTATATACTCACAAAAATATGCTTTATCAAATGGGTTTGTTAGATTTTTTCCGAAAATTTTTTCCGAGGCTGTGGGATTTGGGATATCCGGTAGATCCGGATTATCTCTGCCAATTTTCATTTTCATGAAAAATGCAGAAACATGTCAACTGAGATACGAATAGAGCTTTCGATTGGTATATAGAACGTATTTTTTGATCGAAAAATAGTTAATTTTCATTTAAATTACTCTTGTCCCTATCTTTATGTCGATGACTGTAAAGAAGGAGAAAAAAGAATATTTTTTACTAGCAAATCATTTGCATTTTCCCTTTATTTTATTCGATGTTTGGCGCATTCAGGCAGGCAGACTGGTTGATAATTCTAGGATGTGAAAAAGAGAAAAGAAAAAAAAGTTAGAGAATATGTAGGTAAGAAAATATATATTTTTGGTGTTCATTTATTTTGTGACAGTCCGTGGCAACCAGCAAAAAAATAAATAAAAATAATAAAAAAAATATAAAAATAGTATGTTCAATTCATTTACTTTTCTTCAATTTTTATTCTTTTATTTTCTGGCAAATTACTAGGAGGGGGGTGTATTTCAGCAAAAATTAATTAATTAACCGGCCAAGGACATTTAAAATAAATATTTATTTAAAGAAAATAAATGGAGATACTAAGGATCGAATAAAAATATTTCGTTTTAATTAACTGAAAAAATGGGAAAGAAAAATTACTTCCAGAGAAACACTAAATTAAATTACAAGGTCATTTTAAATTGAAATTTCTTAAAGATTTGAGAAATTTACAGTCGGACCTCCTTAGGCTAAAAAATAGTATCTTACTTATAAATAGTCAAATATTTGAGGATACCGTAAATGCTGAAATAATTACCCTGGGTAATTATTGTTTCAACCTCTCGCTGAAGGGGGTAATTATTAGGAAGGATATGCTGGATTTTGGATATACATATCTCAATCTAATTGAAGCGAAATTGATTTATTTTTTTATATTAAGTTTAAAATGTTCCAATAATTAAATTCGATCATAATTTTTTAAATATTTTTAAAGTTTCCGTAAAAAACTGCGGGGTAATTATTAGAGAGGGTAATTATTTCAGCATTCACGGTATTTTAGAATAAGATCCGGGTATATAAAGTATAATTTGCTAATTTTTATTTAAAAAATTTAAGAAAAATAAACACAAAATTTTAAGCATTTTAGAAAGCTTTTTTTGTCATTTCGCCGCAATTTCCGGACACCTACAGAAAAATTTGATGTTTTTGATCTTTTAGTGACGGCACAAATTCTTAGAGGGGATTGGGGGGAGAATAAATAGTATCTAGAAGAGAATGATGAGTGGACTAAAAAAGAAGAAAAAAATTGAACAACGAAAAAAAGACAGAAAAGGAGATCGATATTGGGGGGAATGGACGATGAAAAAAATAAGTATGAGAAGAATAAAAAAAGAACTTAAAAAAGCGGTCAAAAAATTCAGAAAAAAAATGTAAAAAAAAATTTTAATAAAAATTAACAAACTTTATTAAATCTGATTTTTGCATTTTAGAATTAGGAAAACAGAGAGAGAGCTCTTGTGATACTGTAATTGGAGATTATTAATAGCACCTCTCTCTAATTTCTAGTTTGCTCTTATTTTGTATGTTTTAGTTTACTAAAGGAAAAGCGGCTGTCAGTAAAAAGAATCGTTTCTTCTAGTCCAGGGGGCATAAATTGGACAAGAGCAAACATTACCCCTTAAAGGCTTATTAAAATCATGAACTAGCCAGATCAAAAAATAGCTAATTGTCAAATATCTTGTCATGTTATTTTGGTGATATGTAAATGTATGTTGCAACAGAATTAAAACAAAATTTACATATTTTTTTATTAATTATAAATGTATATATTTAAGTGCACAGCAGGAAAAAATAATTTGGCTAGATAAGGGAGGGCCTAAGCCTTACATTTTTAGAAATATAGAAAGCATGTCCATTCGCTTCTAAAATGACTTAAAGGCTAGTAGAGAGTAATTAGAAATGACGGTCTAAAAAAGAAAAAAATATGGGGGGAGAAGGTCAGAGGAAATATAAAAAGAATGTTTTCAGTGACAGATGTTAAATAGTGGAAATAATAAAAAGGAGGAAGTATTTAATTGTTAAATAATTTTAAAAACCCGAAGTTTCTAATAACAAAATATCACGTTAATTATTGGAAAATTAAAGTAATTTTAATCAAAAAAGAAAATAAAATTTAGGTGGTCATTTATTTATATTTATAATCCCTTTCCCCCTCCTTTTAACATTTTGTAGTCAATCAGATCGAAAAAAAATAAAAATGATTAAGAGACACAAAACAATGATGAGAGGGAAAAAATGAAAAATATTTTTTAATGAAAAAATAATCTTTTGGGTATTTAAATATAATATTTTCTGAAAAGGTTACTTATTTTATATTTAGAAAAATTATTAAATAAACTTTTTGTCTAAAGTGGCATATTTTTGATGAATGAATTCTAATAAATAAATATATAGAGGATTAAATGACAAAGGGTTAGTGGTCATCATTGAAAGAAAAAATTATTTTTTATAGACAGAATCGAAACTAATAAAACACTTGAAAATAGAAGAAAAATTTTTGACAAGTTAAAGAATTTTAAATGATAAATTGAAAATATAAAAATAATAAACTTGGAATGAAAAAATATTTTTCTTTTTGGGTTTCTCAAAGAATTCAGGTCCGAAAAAGTGGACACCGACTCACCTACATATTTACATCTAGTAAACTTTATTTAATTAAATTATTTGTAAAACAAAAAAAAATATTTAATTTGTAGGATATGGAATTAAACAAAAATTCTTTGTTGGATTGATGCGGGATTGGAGGGGGTTTGGTTGAAATATCTCGGAAAATATATGAGGTTTTCGTTTGAGATTCTGTCTTGGTCAGGTTTTTATTAATATTTTAATATAAAAAAGTAAAAACAAGGAATTAATCTACAAACATATTCACCAAAAATATTTACATTCTTATAGAACATTAAAAAATTATGGCATTGAAAAAATAATAAATTAATATTCAAAGATTTTCTTAGTATTTAGAAGAAAAAAATAATTTATATTCACTTCTCTACACAATCTCGAAGAGAATAAAGACTTTTAATTTATTACAAAAAATATTTATTTATCTTCTTTTTTAGATTGTAAATTAATAATTGATTTTTGGGGGGTTTTTTCGTTAACAAGTTTTGTATCCAAATAATTTTAATACAAATATTAAAATTTAAATAATAGGACGTATATATTTTTTAAAAAATATTATAAAAATGAAAATTTTTAGGCCAAAATAAAATATATTCTTAATGAAAATATGTAAATTTTGAAGAAAAAATAACAACAATAAAATATATCCAGCAGCGTTACTTTCCTTTTGCTTTCCCTTAATACATTAAAAAAACAATTTTTGTAATTATTTTGCCTCAAGCAATTGCTCAAGGCAAAATTATTTTAGAGTATTTAAGATACACTTGAGTGGATTTAATCAAGAATTTGAGAAAATATAAAAGTTTCTGTTTTTGACGATAAAAAACAAAAAAAGTTTTGACATTTACTTTTTTTATGACTTTGAATGTATGTAGTAGATGAAAAAAATGGAGTAAGTATATCAAAAAATTCTTTTAACATGACTAGAGATCCAACTTTCAATTTTAACCTTAACTACCGAAATTTTTAAGAATGACAAAAACAATTAATATTTGGAATCAAATAAATCTTACATTAGCATTCAATTTAATTGTAAAGTAATAGTCCTTATTATATTAACCGTACTCTTTAAAACAAGAAACAATCATTTTCCCAAAAATTTATTTAATGATAGATTTCCAGCCCCCAATAAAATTTAAATTAAAAAACCTTTTTTTTAAATTTTAACTATATTTAATATTAAAAACAGCAAAGAACATCAAAAGATTGTTAACAACATTGGAACCAAAACACAAATTCCTTAAATAACTTTTATTTTCCTTTCTCTCGTCTCTTCTACTCTTCAGGAATTTCAATTTTTCCACCTCGGATTGCATCAACAATATCATGTGGATGTTGCCCATCAACAGTACACCCAACAGATTGTGCAGTGCCTTAACAAAAATTTTGTTAAATTTAAATAGTAAAATTGAAAAAAACCAAGAATTTCCTTAACAGTCCCTTCCAATTTTTTCGCCATTGAACGAGGTCGCATTTGCCGTGCAATGTTGATAATTTGCTCGATCGTCAAATTTCCGCTGTGTTTTACTTGAAAAATAAATTTTTAGAAATTAAAATCGTATTTATTGAATACATTTAAAAAACTGGAAATTTTGATTTCAAAATACTAACCTCACCAAAAACCGAGAAAAGGTATCCATTCAAATTTAAAAAAGAATGGGGGATGAGGGCAAGATAAAGCCCACTACCCTTAAAATAAAAGTAGAACATCCAGCCATACCGTGTTTGACTTTTTTGCGGTCCCGGTGAGGTTCCTTCAATTCCTTCACAATTCGAGAAGCGGCAGACGGCACAACATCAATTTTGGCAATTCGGTTTTGGATAGTCAATTTGCAAGTAACCTTTAAGCCTTTCCAGTCTTGGGTCGCCTTTGCAATATCTTCTCCAATTTTCTTTGGCGACTAGAATATTGAAAAGAGAAATGTAATATATCTGTAGTATGTACAGAATAATAAACTCAAGAATAAATAAATGAAGAAAAAAACAACTCGCATCGCTTATTAAAAATATTAAAAGAAAAACAAACCAATCCTAACGGTCCAACTTTTGGTGCTAAAGCTGAAGTCGCACCAATTTCACCTCCAACACAACGAAGATAAACTGAAAATTTAAGTTAATAAAATAAAAAACAATTACAAAAACATACTAATTTTAATTTCAGTAGGATCAAATTTGGGCGCCATTTCTCAATACTATTTAAAAAAGAATAAATCTAAAATAGCAAAAAAACTTAAAAAACGGAAAAAAAAATAGAAAGAAAAGTAAAAATTAGTAGAAGAACCAACAAAGCTAAAATTCAATATTCCCAATTTCCTCTCTATCTATAATTAATTCTCTCTCATCATTTCCCCAAATAAAAGTTACCAAAATGAAATTCGAGAAATTTCAAAAGGGATACGCCCAAAAGGGCGCGGGCCACAACGACGCAAAGCAATAAATTGCTGTGAAATTTCTGGCCCATAATCAATTTTGGGCCAGAAATTTCTTTAGCTTGATGAGTTGGATCGTTTAATACTAAATTTGTTAAGATTCGGAAATTTTCAAGCAAGTTATGGCCTTGCGCCATAATGCCCGTGCGCCCTTTTGGGCCGTACCCTTTCAAAATAATGCCATAAATAATTTTGTGTTAATTTAAAACTTTCCACGCTATTTTCTTTCTCTAACTTCTCTCTATTTGTCGATTTAGCGCGGACATTTTTAAATATGTTTTTTAATTGAAAATAAAGAAAGTTTTTTCTCGATTTTGTAATAATCAAAAAGTAGTTTTTTATTCGTTTCTAAATTCTTAAATGGACCACTACGATGCTACTTTTCCTGAACAAGTTGTTGAATATGAAGAAATACTTGAAGAACAAAATGTAATTGAGGATGGACAAGTAAGCATTTTTTAATGATTTAAATTAGAAATTTTAAATTGTTCTTTCTCTCTCTATCTTGGAGGGTTTTTAAGTAAAAAAATATATTTAATTTTAAGAAAATAATTTTTTTAAATTATTGACCTAAATTTAAATTATTTTTTCTTTTTTCAGTATTACGAGGAAGATGTAATTATTGAAAGTACATCAGATCATCCAGAATCTTCTTCAAATATTTATTATGGACAAAATGAGGTTTTTCTTTAATTTTCTAAAATTTATTTATTTAATTTTTTCAGCAAAAATCTTCTACACCTTTCCGTCCATTAAATTCAATTTCGACGGGGCGAGGTTTATTTAAAAAAATTTTTTTATTTTTATAAACTTTTTAGTTCAACCAATTGGAAATATACAAAATATTAAAACAAAAATTGGAACATCTTTGGTTTATACACCTCCATCTATTGCAAATATTAAGAGGGAACCAACATCCTTTTCTGCTAATTTTGCTAGCATTTTTCCTGCAAAATCGCCAAAACCTGCAAAAATGTTTGTTTTTAATTTTGTAAATATTTTTAATAGATATAAAATAATCCTTGGTTGAAAAGATTATATTTATATTCTATAACGAATTTCAAATCTGGTCCCCACCTATTGGCCAACAAATTTAGGAAATTATTAGGGATATCTAATTTTGGGGGTACATTTTATAGTAAAGTCTAATTTTAATTTTTTAGACGTAAAGTAGCAAGCAAAAGAAAGCCTTGTAATTGCACAAAATCGATGTGTTTAAAGCTTTATTGTGATTGTTTTGCTAGTGGAGAATTTTGTTTGGATTGTAATTGTAGGGATTGTCATAATAATTTGGAGCATGAATCTGAAAGAAGTAGAGCAATAAAGTCTTCGTTAGAAAGAAATCCTAGCGCTTTTAAACCTAAAATTGGTTTGTTTTTTTTAATTTTGAATGTTAGGGTGAGTCATAGCGTGTCCGGAAATTTGGGGAGTGGATAAATGGGGAGTGAGCGGACAAGTGGGCAGTGGAGTCCGCTCACTCCCCATTTATCCACTCCCCAAATGGCTACTCCCCAAATTTCCGGGAGCCTGTCATAGAATTTTGGTTTTAAAATTGGTCTCGGTTTGAGCGTAGCTAAATTAGGGTTAGAGAATAAAAACTCATCTACACATTTTGATCTATGATAAAAATATATCACAATTAAAAAAAAATTATTTTTTATTTTAAAGGTGTTGCTGCAAAAGCGATTGGAAAGGCAATTGATATGGAAAGATTACATCAAAAAGGATGTCATTGTAAAAAGTCTAATTGTTTGAAGAATTATTGTGAATGTTATGAGGTTATTTTAAATTTATTTTGATTAATTATTTACTAAATTTTAGGCAAAAGTGCCCTGTACTGAACGGTGTAAATGTATTGCTTGCAAGTTAATTTTTTTTTAAATTTTCAAATTAATTTTTTTTATTTTTAAAGAAATACAGAGCACGATAGACACAACAAATTTCGAGATAAATTTAGTACAACAGCTGGGGGATTGGCACAATTAGCGGCGGCGGCTGCTGCAGATACTCGAACACATTCAGAATCTCCAACTAGCGAGATGGACGGAAGTGATGTTTTGGTAGATGGAGAAGAAATTGGTGGAAGGGCTTCCAATTATTTTGATCCAAAAACGTCTGAAAAAATTTAAAAAGAAATTATTTTTTTCTAATATTTTTTAGTCAACCTTGGTTTTATATGACAGAAGATGTTATTGAAGCAACAACTATGTATTTTAATTTATTTTTAATTAAAAAAATTTTTTTAATTTTTTAAAGGTGTTTGGTTTCACAAGCACAAGAACTTGTAAAATATATTTTTTAGATTATTCTCTTAATTTTTAATTTAAAGGAAAATAATCTTTGTGAAGAAGAACTCGAAAAAAGTGTTTTAAAAGAATTTGGAAGGTGTTTAGAACAAATAATTGAAAGTGCTACTTCTTGTTTACCATTTCAAATACAACAACAATCTTCATTATTGATACCTAAACATAAAATTGAAACAAATGATTTGGAAGGAAAAAATAATTTTTAAATAAAAAAAAATAATATTTTTTCTTAAATGATTGTATTTTTTTAATAATTAAAAGAAAATTCTTTTTCTTTTTTTAATATAAATTTCCACAAAAAAACTTTTTCAATTTTACTCTTTAGAAAAATAGAATAATTATAGACTTAAATTTATGTTTATTGGAAAGTTTTAATTCAAGTCGCGAATCAGATCACACCTCTCGAGTAATTTTTGGTTTGATGTTTGGCCAATAATGGTAGCTATTTCTGACATGAGTTGATGTAGTCCCTAAAGTTATTGTCCATAATGTGAAATAAAATAATTATAAAAAAAATTTTTAAGAGAATCCATACAAAATATTTTAAAAATAAATATAGGTCGATACTTTAAAACGAAAATAGTTTTTTTGTTAATTTTGTGGCTTCAAAATCAAAAATATAACAAAAAATATTTCCTTCTTTACCCATATTTACGTAAATAAATGATCCATTCTCAAAATTATATTTCCACAATTAAAATAAAAAAGATTTATTTTGTGCACCTATTCCCTCTCTCAATAAATTCTTCCATTATTTTTTAATTATTAAAAATATTAATTTGTATTAAAAAAGTAAAGGATTATAAAATATTTAAAGGATTAACTATTAAAAAGAAGGTGAAGGATATATTGCCTTTTGGGTGTTCAAACATTTAATGAAAAAAAGTTATTTGTACCTAATATTTATTGAGAGATTGCAAAAATTATTCTTCTTTTTAATTTTTTTAAAAATATTTCAAAAAACCCTCCAATACTATAAAGTATATCCAATATTAAATAAATTCAAATTAAGAACAGAACATTTTTTGGATAAAGGGAGGGGGGAGGGATTGCTTACATTAGTAGATACCTCGAATGTGCCGAACAGATTTTAAAAGGCGAAAGGCGCACCTCTTGTAGATACCCTACCCTTTAATTTAAGATAAACTTCTTTAAAAACGATTTTTTAATCCAAATAATGTACATATCTTCTTATGGTTAAATTTCATTGTAACAAATTAATTTAAATAGAAAAATTATATTTTTCTAAATTTAGTTAAAGAATTTAAAAACCCTTAAAAAGTAAAGCCGATTTAAAAGACTTTTTTATTTTCTAAATTCATTTTTTCAATTAAATATTTCCAATTACGTCAAAAAAATATTATTTTAACTTCCAATTAAATGAATAACGGTGAATTTACCCGTTCCCCAACATTTTCTTCAGCAACAAACTCAACTACAAGTAATAACCCTGCCTTTTGGGTTGGATTTTTACTTTTAATTTTTGCTGTTTTGTTACTTGCTTTTATCGCAGGTTTAACTTTAAAAATAAAAAAAGAGATTTGACGCCAATTAAAAACAAAAAAAATAATTAGTAAATAAAATGTACTTTTGTTAATATACTAAATGTAAACATTACTTTATTTTTTTACAAATAATCGGAAATATACATTTTCCTGTTATTTTATTTAATGAAAATAAATGCAAAAAAAACTGACAAATTACTAATAATCAGAATATTCGAAACTGAGGTTACTCCCAAAAATATTACAGTATAGGTAAATCTCTTAACTTGGAGAGTACTTTATGGCTGTAAATAGTTTCTTTTATTTATAGCTTGGGCAGCTTTTTATTGTCAATCAACTAATCAAGAAGTAATGGATTCTTCAGAAATGATTTTAAATAATGAGAGAATATTTCCACCAGAATTTTATCAAGTTAAAAGAACATGGTGGTCTTTTAATCGAATATTTCATTGTTGTTGTTGTCGAAATAGAGGACAAGAAGATCCTTTAGATATTTATGAAAAAGTAAAAATTAAAAAGTTTTTTAATTAAAAAAAATTTTTTTAAAGGAATATAATTTGAACAAAGCAGCAATTGACTTTGCTATTCCCCCAACAACAACAACACAATCATCCTCTTTTAATAATAAACATTCTTCTTTACATCCATGCCGATCTTCCCCATTACCAATTGTTGCTATAGAAAGGCCTAATCATTTAGTTTTGACATTAGAAAGACCTCCAACACCTCGACCAGAAAGTTTCAGAAGAAATTCTGCACAGGTAATTTTTGAATATTTTAACTAATTTGGTGACCATTGGATTAGGGAGAAAAAAATGACACACCCAATATTAAATATAAACATCATTATATAAAATTTTCTGACCTAAAGGGGTGACTGCCCTATGAAAAAAGTAATTTTTTTAATCTTTAAAGGCTGCTTATCGTTTATGGTTACAACAAAAGTTTGAAAAACAATTTGCTCAAGAATTGAGTGAAAGTAGAGACGGGAATCATGTCCAATTATTGGTAGAAGAACCAGAACTTTTGGCTGAACATTTTTTACCAGGAAAATATTTATAATATTATATTCATTTTATTGAATTTTTCCTAATTTATCCAAAGATTAAAATATACAAAATTTAATCCTGCAAAATATTCAGTCTGATAAATTAAGAATCTTTAAATAGTAACAGTTTAGTGTGGTAAGGGAGAGAGAGCGAGAAAGTAGTTTAAATGTGGCAGAACAAACGTGGCGGCGGAATCGGCGCAAATGCCAACTAGTTTCTACCGGAGCCGTTTAACTGTCCCTAGACTTTGTGTCTGTGATTTCGAAAATTTATTAGACGAAATGGAAGGATGATCATAGGAAGGGCCTAAATTAGAGCACATTCTTAATGCTAAATTATTTTAATTGATCTAAAAGATGATAAAAATTTAAAGTTTATTATTTAACTGAAAAATATATATAGCAATTGGAAAGGATCAAAGAAAATATTAATAAAAATAAAACAGAAACGAGCCAAATTATCAGAGACCTTCTTGGGCCAAAACTGTTCATTTATGGTTTTAACTTTAAAAAATTCTTTAAAAGAAACAAATGAACAGTCTTTTTTAGATTTAATGAAAAATTTTCAATCCCCAAAAAACTTAATGACCTAAAAATGATTAATTAGGTGGTGGCGGTGCCGAAAAGATCGATCCAAATTCTTCCTTAACCTTAAAATTTTCAAAAATAATTAAAATATACATCTAAAAATTACCTCAGCTTTAGGAACTGGTGGCGGAGGAGGTGGTGGAGGTGGAAACATTGCCAACCCACCCCCTGTTGACGATCCACCACCATCAGCACCAGTGTTCGGAGGTGGTGGAACAGGTGTAGGATAGCCTTGCCATGCTGCCCATGCGGCCGCTGCAGCAGCTGGATCTTGACCAGGAAGACCAGAAAATCCATAAAAGTTGCCTTGCGCTTCTAAATAAATTTTTTAAGTAATTAAAAATTTGGTTTTTATGTTGAGCATAACCAATTATTTATGAATTAACATTAACTTCATAAATACTTGAACCCAATGCCCAATTTCTTTTGGCTAATTTTAAAAAACATTCCATTTTAATAATTCAATGGAATATGGAACAATTTATAGCCGGATAACACATTATATAAATAAATTTAAAACTAACCGCTTGCCCAAGGTTGATATCCAGGTGGATGATTTCCAGGTGGTTGACTTCCAGGCTTTGACAGGTTGACACGGACAATTGGTGTTGGTGGTCCTGGAAGAGGAAAACGCGGTCGTACAGGAGGAGCTTGGAATGCGCCTAATGGCATTGCTGGCTTCACACCAGTTGAAGTTGCAGGTGGAAACATTCCAGCAGCTGCTCCCGCAGGAGCTTTTTCGCCCAATTCTGCCATCAAAGCAGAATACTAAACAAAAATTAAAAATCAAAAATATACTCCTTAAACCTCTGAATCAATCATCGCTGGATCTAGCGCAGACCTGGGATTTTTGCAATCTTTAGCAATGTGCCCAGCACCACCACAGGCAGTACAAACTATACTAGCTGTAATATTTTGAGCTTCCATACATTCCCAACTAAAAGAATTTTTTTGTTAAAAAGTGAAAGATAAAATAAACGTTTTATGTTGATCACTGCCACAATTACTACAACGAGCACCACTTAATACATCTTCAGGTCTAAGAGTTCCATTCAACAGTGCCAATTCACGGAGTTGTAGTTTGCGCAGTTCATTCTGTCCATCCGGAATCATCAATGCCGCATTAACTATTTCTCTAATCTATAAGGATTTAATAAATAATATATTCTAGCTCACAAAACAAACTTTATCACATCCTCGTTTAATAGCTTCATTATCGGTTGCAGTAATATATGCGTGTAGAGGCTCGTTCTCACCAGGCAAAGGCCCTGGTCTAGTACCAAGTTTACCTTCTTTTATCGAACCCTTTCCTCTGATAATTATTTTGGCGCCAGTCTAAAGAAATTTGTTTACATTATAAATATAAATGTAAAGAAAAAACCTCAGCTTCCAAAGCTTTTAGTGTATTTCCACGTGGACCAATTAGAAGGCCAACAAAATTAATTTCAGGGTGTTCTTCTTGTGGAATCCATACTTTATCGTGAAGTTTTATAGTTGGCGGACTTAAAATAATTATAATTGTTTTTAAAACAATTCAGTATTTGTTACAGTACTTATTTTCTTCTTCCTTTACTTTTGTCCCTACTTCAAAAATTACTACCGATTTTAATCTCTTGAAGCAAGGAGAAAAATAAAAAGAACAGAAAAATATGAAAAAGTGCCAAAATATCAAAAACAAACCGATAATCCGTTGGTGGCTTGTAGTTAGGATTCAACCTCAAAATTGCTTGGATTTTCTCATGCCGCCGCAGTTCAAGTTCCTGTCGTTTACGTATTTCTCGTGTATTTAATCTTTTTCCAGTTATGTCATAAACAGGTTCTGGCGATGGACTCCTGAATTAAAAAATCTTTAGTTAAAAAGCATAAATATTTTAAAACTGAGGACTTTTTTGGGAATCAGCCCAGCCCATTATTGAGAGAATGAGAGAGGCATCTAAAAATATTTTAGAAAAAACTCTCATCAATTTCTTTTTTAATTAATTGTTTAAAGTATTAAAAAATTTTTAGTTTTGGGCATGCACATTCTCCAAGCTGAAAAAGCTAAATTTTATATTAATTTTAGGATTAGAGAAACTGCTGCCATATTGAAAGATTAATTCTAAAAACATTATATTAAAAATGATTAGTTAGAAAACAAAAAAAGATTAGCTAAATATATAGATTAAAATTAATACAATCTCCCCCCTTTAAACCCAAAAATATATCCATTAAAGACCTCTCTGACGGATCCAAATTTTGACCAAAGTCACATTGCCGTAATCGACGAGTTGTTTCTTCAACATCCATTTGAACTATAAAGATTAAAATATATTTTATGTAATCAGAAATAGGTGGAGGGGGCTTCCAGGAAAAGTACTAGATATTTGGAAATGATACCAAATTAATTCGAAAATTTAATGTTATTTCAGTTATGTTGCACGAAACAACGATGAATCCCAAGATAAAAATATTAAAACATACGCAAATAAATCTGTCGTTGATTATCATCGATGTCAGCAGGTAAAATTGTTGGCATTCCCGGTACAAAAGCTTTTGTGTTGCTCCAACGCGATTTACGTCGTTTCTCTCTTTGTTCATCACTTTCTGTTTGTCCTGCTTTTTTACCATCAACTGAGGAACAAAATCGATAAAATAGGAATTATTTAATAAAAATATATATACACTGGTCTTTAGAAAGAACCGTATCAGCATATCCAGTCTGCTTAGGAGGTATTTTAGCAATCAACTCGGTAGATACGGGAGCTCCGTGAGTCTTTTTCAATTTCTGAGCCACCATTGCCGCTGCTGCAAGCGCCGCTGAAAGAGCATCACCTCCTGCCGACTGTTTTTGTTGCTCCTTAATTTGAAATGAAACATTTAATTTTTTCGAATAAAAAAACCTCCTGCCAAGTTTGGCCATAATCAGAAACCTCTTGCTTCATTGATTGTTGCATCTGCTGCTGCATGATTTGCATTTCTATCTCTTGTTGACGTTGCTGAACTTGTTGGAGATAATCTGGAGGAGGAGGAAAAGCAGATAAACCATCGTCACGTGACCGATCATCTAGAATATAAAAATAAGTAATATTTTCAATCCCTGGCACGCATAAGCAATTAAAAAAACGTTTTAAGAAAAAGTATAAAAACACACCTCTATCTCTACCATCATCACGACTACGAGATCGGCGCCTCTTGCTTCGTCCCTCACGCGACCTTGAACGTTTCTTGTGTCTCTTTTTATCAGGAGAACGAGAACGTCGCTTGTCTCTCTTCGGGGATCGGGAACGATCACGATGTCGATGCTTTTTAGGCGGAGAAACATCACTTGTAGATTCTAAAATTAAAATTGTAACAATTTATAGAACTAAAAGGTTACCACTTCCATTTGGGTGAACTCGTGTTGGGTCTTCCGCATCGTCATCATTTGCCGAAGCACCCCAACGGCGCACAAATGGCATTGGTTCCATATTTCCGCCTGTTTTGCCTCGTGACATTTTATATTTCAGAAAAAAATATTTTCAAATAAAAGCTGAAGATTTTCAAAAACATTGTAAAAATGAACAGATAAAAATAGGTATGTAAATTAACTTGAATGAAAACTTAGTAAAAAAGTTTATAGAAGATAAATATGCAAAAATAATTGAAAAGTTGACAAATGAAACGAGATCAAAATCTTGTTTACAAACTTTTATGTAAAGGGACTCTCCAACAAAACAAAGAATTTATTTAACTTCACCACATTCAACAATAACAACCTATAAAGTCATATTAATTGACATATTTTAGATATGTACTAACCTGCATCATTGGCTTTCCAGAAGCTGTGCCCTGCTGCTCGATTTGCCGAACAATATTCATTCCTTCTACGACATGTCCAAAAACAACATGCTTCCCATCCAACCACTCAGTCTTCTCCGTGCAAATAAAAAATTGTGATCCGTTTGTGTTTGGACCACAATTGGCCATTGAAAGAACACCAGGCATGACATGTTTTAACTTAGGTAATAATAATAATTTTTTAAGAACAATTAAGGAAAGAAACTTTAAAATTTTCATCCTCAAACTTCACTCCATAAATCGATTTTCCTCCCGTGCCATCACCTGCGGTAAAATCTCCTCCTTGTATCATAAACTTTGGGATTATCCTATGAAACTTGGAGCCTTAAAAGTTAAAAGCATTAAAAATGATTCAAAAAACGTAAATTACCTTCAAAGCCAAATCCTCGTTCACCAGTACATAATGCTCGAAAATTTTCGGCCGTTTTTGGAACAATATCAGATCTCAACTCAATAACTATTCGACCAATATACCTGTAGAAATAAACATAAGAAATTGATTTGGTTTAGATATTCATATATTACCTAATTCCAATTTTTACTCCAAGAAAAACTCGAGGCAACCTTTGTTCTGTTTCTGAACCTTCTTTATCAATATTAATAACTTCATCAGATTCCTTTTCTGTTTTATTGTCGTTTGATTCCTCTGCATTACCCGTTCCTTGGCCATATTGTTTGAGCCATTCATCATCAGCCCAAATAGGCCTTTGACTTCGTTCATTAACCTTGGGAGGTCTGGCAAAATTAACGTGAATTGTACGTCCGTATATTTCAGAACAGTCCAAATTGTCGATTGCTGCAGCTGCATCTTCGGGGAGCTCGAATTCAACGAAACTTAAAATTTAATATAAAATAACAAATGTTTATATTAGCCAAAAGCTTGTCAGATCCTTTCATGAAAAATTAAAATGTTACCCAAAACTCCTATGTTTTCCAGTTTCATTATCAAGAGGAATACTAACTCCAACAATATCACCGAATGGAATAAAAGCCAAAGTAAGAATTTTTTCATTAACCTCTTCGCCAAAACCACCGACATATACTGTCCGTTTACGACTGTGTGGAAAATTTGTAGTGTATGACATGGAATCTTTAAATTCTGGATGGTTTAATTGAAAAAAATAAAAGATAAATGATTATGCATGAGACAACATTGAAGAATAAATTAAGCGAAAGCTATTCACAATTTATCAACTTAAATGGCGACAGAAAGCAAATACGTAGAAATATAGAACGAGCGGGATAATTCATTATCTATGTGTCATGTAAATCATTGAATCGTTGAATGGCTGATTTTCTATTTCTATCCTTCCACGAGGCGTTAACATCAATTTTAGAACCAGAAGAGCCAAGACCAACACCTTGAACATGCTGTTCCGCTTGTATTGGTTGAACGATGCCTAAAGTAAATATTAAGATTTTCACAGAAATAACAATACCTTGAAGATTTCGTCCTAGCCCACAACCTTCACTCCATCCCATAGACTTGAGCATTCTGTTACCAACATTGGTAGAGTCCAATGGCTTTGCCGCCTTATAAGCAGCGACCGCCTGTGTCACTTCGGCGGAGGCATCTTCAGGTTCATCTTGTAGCCCTTAAAATATTTATTAACAAAAAATACTTCAAATATGAAACCTGGATCATAACCGAAATGACTCCTACGCTCCATCGCTCTATCCCGATACCGCTGTTCGGGAGTGCAACCCTTGTCTCCTTGGAATTCCTTAACCTTGGCCATCAAATTATTCTAAAAATAAAAAACGTGACAAAGACAGAAATAGTGAGAAATTAAAACCACAATTAAAGTTCAAGAAACCAGTATTTTAAAGAATGTGGGTTATTTAAAATTTGTTTTACGATATAGAAATTACTGATAATGAGACCTAAATTGGTAAAAACTGAATTAAGCCTTATGAATTAAACAATATCTTCCGGATAAAATTTCATACCTTATGTAAATTACTCATGTTAACATGTTTATCTAGCGTTTGAACATCTGGAAACTGGCGGCGACAAAGAAGACAAAATTTTTTAGTCTGATCAATGTATTTGGACTCATCAAATGCATTAGAATGATCATCAGATTCAGCGCCAATACTATCACCATGGTCTTTGCCAGAGAGAGGCTGCTGTTGGTCTGGAAATAGAGAACATCAGCATAAAGATAATTGATCCAAAGGGCCGTGAAGTTCAATTGGCGGAGGCAAATCCGCCGCGACGAGGTGAACGTTACGGAATCCACCAAAGTACCATTGCTTTGTTCGACTGGAGCATCACTGGAAACAGCAAGTCCGGCACTCATCTGCGCCCTGGCCTTTCTGACACGAAACAGGCGATGCGTGACACCAAGATATTTTCCAGGCAGAGCAGCACCAGCAGGCACAACTTCAGACCCATCATCATCGTCGTCGTCCCAAGGCTTCTAAATCAGGAAATACAAAATCAAAAAATATCCAAAAACAAGACATCTCTAATTCTGTTAATCTCAACCTTGATAGGCTCAAGCGGTGATTCCATGACATTCTTATTTATTGGTTTGCTCATAACATTTGAAACACTTGATTTCTCAACGGGTGTAACAGGTATTTGCGGTTGTTTAAAAGACATTTTTATTTTATCCTGACGACGAGCCCATTTTTCCATTTCCTTTTGAATTTCTTGGGGAGTTTTTGGCTAAAACCGAGTTTTAAATCATTGAGAAAAATTAAATGAACTTTGTTCTCATCATCGTCTTTATGCTTCCTTTTGCGTTTTACGACAGGCTTATTAGATTCTTCGGTCACTTCATCCTTGGACGAAACAACAGCAAGCGATTCAACATGTGATTGTTCCTAAAATTAAAAATAAATACTGGAAAAATTCCGTCATATCACCCGGAAACCGATTCAGACAAATGATATGTCATTCGAAAGATCTCGTCGAGCTGAGTCGAACGACACTAAAATTAGCTTCGGGACTCGCCTATGGGCCGAGATATAGGCCCTCGAAAATCGAAAAACCATGGGGGGGGGGGGAGTAAGCTCGATTTTGGGGTGAAAAATTCGATTTTTTGAGTGATAGCTCATTCGAAAGAGCTCCTCGAGCTGAGTCAAATGACACCAGAATCAGCTCGAGATCTTGATTTTGAGCCGAGATAAAAAGCTCAAAATGGTCAACGTAAACCTATGGGGCATCGGCGAGGCGCTTGTGCAAAACTCCGCGCTTCGCGCGGAGTTTTGCGGCACGCGCCTCGCGGGGAGTCTACGGGCTCTGGGTCTGGGCTCGTAACTTAATCCTATTCCTATAATCGATGAGGTGGGCATGCCTGGGTTCCTCCGCGGCAGCAAAAATTTCAATGGAGGCATAGGTAAGGAGCTAAAATAAACGGTCATAACTTTGCCAAATCAAGTCAGATTTCGTTGATTTTGGTGTCATTCGACTCAGCTCGACGAGCTCTTTCGAATGAGCTATTATTTGCATATTCGAATTTTTCACCCCAAAATCGAGCTTACTCCCCCCTATGGTTTTTCGATTTTTGAGGGCCTATATCTCGGCCCATAGGCGAGTCCCGAAGCTAATTTTAGTGTCGTTCGACTCAGCTCGACGAGATCTTTCGAATGACATATCATTTGTCTGAATCGGTTTCCGGGTGATATGACGGAATTTTACCTAAATACTCAAATGATTACAAACCAAGTTTGTTTCCAATTCATTAGAAGAACAAGTAGGCAGATTAGCAACTGAGCAAGATTCAGTAGACTGGCGCGTCAAACGTTCCTCCTCCTGCAATTTGCTTTTCAACTCGTCATCACCTCCGTGACAATCAATGTAACAAGAATAGCGATGAGACCAAAACATCCACTGAAACGCGGCAGCAAATAATTTAACGATATTGGATAAAGTGAATTTTTAAAAAAATCCTAGCCATTGATATTCACAAACATGATTAGTATTGGTGTTAAAATAGTATTGAGTTTTTGAGTCAAAGTAAAATCCAGTCGCAGTGTCATAATAATATCCAGAGGAAGGTTCAAATTGAAAGGATTTCGGATCCGGAGTTTCTAAATATGCAAAAGTTAAAAATAAAAAAAGAATATTCCAAGACCATAGACAGGCAGATAACCAAAAGGAGTTGATATACACTGTCGAGGGGGCACTTCATATGTGGAAACAGCTGGTGTAGCATTAGGCGTTGAGCGCCCCATGTTGGCGATTCTTATTGCATTTTGGGCAAGTTGAGCAGCGGAGTTTGTGGGGTCTAAGATTATACATTATAATAGAAATATAAAAAACCTTCACTGATGCTAGAGCTACTGATTCCGCTCTGGCTCTTCAAAATATTGACATTCTCCAATATGAGTATTTGATTGAGGGACTGACGCGAATAAGTAATAATCACTTAAAGCGCTTAAATTTTAATAAGAGAAAAGTCATTAAACCTGCACAATTATCAATATAAGGAACGGTTTTGTTGAAGATATGAAGAACAGTTCCCGCTTCATCACTTGACCTCATTTGAACGAAAGCATATAGCTTTGAAGAGGATATTTGAACGCGTTGAATAGTCAGATCCGTATATTTCCCAAGTGATGCGCGAATGATTTCTTCAGTAACAGTAACGGGCAATTCGCGAATTAACAACGCTTAATTATTTGGTAAACAGAATCGTTATTCCTAACAATTTTAGCGGACTCATAATGGAAAGAATTATTTATTTTTTCACAAAATTTGCAGGTAAGACAGATTGTTACCTTAGTCCGCAAAAATTGGTTAGGATAAACAAGTACACTGAAAATTAAATAACTTACTGTCTGAAGGTGAAACTCCAACCATAGCATAACCTTTAGCCTCCATAGCATCCGACTCCTGCCGAGAAGTTCCACACTTGAAACAATTAGTCCTTCGATTAAAGTTATTTATTGTGCACTTAAATTAAATAAATGTAGAAGTCGTAAAAAAAAAACCTTTGAACAAGTCCAGTCAGATGCTAATGGATTGTAGGTATGTTTTTCACGTGCAATTTCCTCACGTGAATATTCCAAGCGTACTTGAAAACCATCATCAAGCTTTAAATATCCCTTTAAAAGAAATTTAAAAAATAGGTTGGAGTCGTAAGAACAAAGAAAACCTTGTTAAAACTAATCCAATCCTCAGCAGTATAAACATCAGAAAATTCGATAAAACCAAAAACGCGAACAGAACCCCCATCTGTGTTACGGCGCACAACACGAATGTCAATTGGATGATAACCTTGCCTTGCTAGTAGAATATTAAGCTTAAAATTAATAGAGTATTATACTTATAAGAAAAAATATACCACATCCTTGTCGACATACGAGGGTAAAGAAGTTAAAATAACTTTGCTTGAAGGTTTAGCAGTATCAGCAGGTGAACGCCGACGCGAGAACTTAAAAAACTTTTTTTGTTCTTAACAAATCTAATAATTACTGGACTCCTGGTGCGTTCTCTCCTTCGTCTTGGTGATCTTCTACGGCTATATCTTCCGCGGTCCCTACTTCTGCTTCTACTACGAGAACGAGAACGATCGGTTCTATAATCACGATCACGTGGGGAACTGTCATATGTTGATCGAGAGGTAGATCTCGATCTAGAAAGTGAAGAGCTTGTTGATCTGCTATCACGATTTCGTCGGCTCATTTAACTTATATTTAAAATATCCAGTATATTTCTAGACAAAAAAAGGAAAGTTAAAATTAATCCAATTAAATAAAGCAAAAAATACTTCACAAATCTCATAACTAATGACAAGAATTTTCTAAACTTTGGCCCAATCATGAGGTCGAGACTGAGATAGCAAGACTGAAATGTCCTATTCGAACTAGAGCTAGGAACGGGTCCGGGACCCGGACCCGTTTCCCGGTTTCCGGGTCCCTTTTCCCGGTTTTTTTGAAGCAACCGGGTTGAAACCGGGAACGGGTTTTCCCGGTTTCCCGGACCCGGTTCCCGCCCGGTCCATTTTTCAAAACCCGTTACCCGGACCCGGTCCCGGATTTTTTTTCACCGGAAAACCGGGAAAAATATTTAGTGTATTTGCGTACTTTGATATTAAATTTTTGAAGGAAAAGGGAAAGGAATATTTATAATTTCTCCATTTTGCTTTTGTCGGTCGATGGTTGAGTGGTTAAGTTGACTGACTTCACTCATCTAGTTATTTTGATAGGGATGGGGTTCGAGTCCATGTATGGAAATGGGGCTGAGAAAATTTTCTTTTCAAAAATAAATAATTTTAAACTTTGATTTTAAATTTGAAAATTTTTTTACTGTTTTAATCTTGAAAAAATCTTAGAAATTTCAATTAAATCATGAATTTTCCAAAATTTTCACTGTGGCGCAGAAAATTTAAGAGTTCTGGCTTCATTACCATCTAAACTTCGAAAAATTTTTTCGCCGGCAGCTCTGACAATTGAATTCTTTTCTGCTAAGGCCTATCAAAATTCTCAAAATTTTCGCCTACGGCGCAAAAAATGGCGCGAAGAATTTTTAGTTCAATAAGATTAAAAAGAATTAAAAGGGATATCTAAGGATTCTGAAGGAATTAAAAGGAACTAACATTCTGAAGGAACTAACACATAACAACCACTCGGCCAACATATAAGGGCTTTAGAAAGAATTTAAACATATGTAGTACATATTTCTTTGAATTTTTTCATTAATCCCAAGTACGAAAGAACAAAAGGCAGCAGTCGATGAACGTATTTTTCAGAAAAGGGAATTCGATCTTGAGTTAAATAATCGTGAATGGCATTCACTTACATTAATAGAGGTTATTTAGAATAAGTATAGGAGAATAGATGAAAAATACAGCCCTATGTGGAAAAATAGACCCCTATTTCAACAAATTAAAAATTTCCCGGTTTCCCGGCCGGGACCCGGTCATTTTTGACCGGGTTGAAACCGGGAACGGGTTTTCCCGGTTTCCCGGACCCGGTTCCCGCCCGGTCCATTTTTCAGAACCCGTTTCCCGGACCCGGTCCCGGTTTTTTCAAAATTCCTAGCTCTAATTCGAACTACTGTAGAGCAGATCGGCGCCGACACTTTGGCGCGACCATCATGCACAAGGCCGGCCTGGCGCAAGAAAAATTTGGCGCAAGAATTTTTACTTGATATTGAGCAATTTTCCTACATCGACTTAATTCGTTATCCCCTGATATCCCGCCAAGTCTCACACTAAATTTAACGTTTTTGTTTAATGTTTTACCAAGATAGATGTTTAGAAAAATTTATCGAATGGTGTTCGGAAAATTTATTAAATCGGGAGAGAAAATATCACTTTTTCAACTGCGAGCTGTTAATAAAGTCGATCGAATCTCCAAAGGAGAAAAAACGCCAGTGGTGCATTATCCAAGAGAAGAGAAATTTTTGAAAAAAATGTTAAATGATACTAAAATCAGAGAGGTCTTATTCTACAAAAATATACATTAATTATATTTTTTAGAAAATCGACAAAAAATATGACCAACTTCTCAAAAATGCAGATCAAATAACTATAACGTCAACCGACCCTCCAGAGATACCAAAATCTAAGAGGTTTTTCTATAAACATTTTTTTCAATAAAATTAAATCTTTTAGAAATCTTCCAAAGAGGGAATGGGAATATGACATAGAGAATAGTAAATATGAATACGAATATGGTTTTTATGAACCACCTGTAGAAAAAATAGAAGAAAATAGACTCATGTTTAGAGAAGCATTAGAGGTTTTACTTTTTGTATTTTCATTTACATACTTTTGAAGATACTTAGAGCCCGAATGGAACTTGAATCTGTTCCTGAGGAGGCAAGAAGTAAACATCAGGCAACTTCTCTTCTTGAATCTCATCCAGTAAGTAAATTTTATAGCTCTAATTTTATTTATTTTTAGGCTCTTAAACGTGTTGAAAAGACAAAATTAGATACAATGTGGAATTTCTTTAGGCCCTTTGCTGTTTGTGAAGAGCAAAATGTATTTTACTATCAATTTATATAATTTTTTAAAATTGTTTTTTAGATAGCTAGAAGTTATGATATGGAAAACATTCTTTCCTTTGCTCAGGGATATGGACCGAGGCAACTTACTAACGCTCAGGTGTTTGCTGAATTGCAGAGAGCTTCGAGACAAATTCCTCATGATGGTGGGGTTGTACGTGATGAATCAACTGAAGTAAGTATCTCTAATTAATTTTCTCAAGGACTGCTCCCCAATGGGTTTTAGGGAAAATTATAGAGGGCGTGAACTTGTATAAAATTTTCAAAAAATCTCAACTAGTCTAATATCATACAGCCATAATTCTTACTCTTTTTTAGATGGTTCCTGATTTTGAAACCAAAAGTAAAGAAAAAGGCGAAAAAGAAACTGAAAGGTTGGAAAGTTCGTTGAGAGAGCTTTTTAAGGTTTTTTAAATTTTATTTTAAATTTAAATGAAATCTTAAGGTCGAAAAATCTTCAAATCAGACATCTGGCAATAAGAAGGAATGATAAATTTAGGGATTTATTTTTGTTATTTTTGTTTTTTAATATTTTTTGAAATAAATTTTTAAAAATTTATTTTCTTTTTTTTTAAACACTGGTTTAAAAACAAGATTTATACATATATTTAAATGTACGTTTTATACTAAAAACTGAAGTTGGGTGTAGCTTATTAGTTAATTCCACAACATGCTTTTTATGTGGACTTTCTCTAAATAATTTTATACTTTTTCAGACTTTCTTCTATTAGTTCTTGTTTCCATTATTAGATCGAATATGTATCCGTTTTTGGCCACACAACAATATATTAATGAAATGCTAAGATTAGCTGGACCTGGAATGAAAATAATTTTAATGGATAAAGAAACGGTTTAATTTATGCTTATTTTTAATTTTGTTAAAAATCGTTCAGACTACAATTGTTTCATGTGCATATACTCAAAGCGAAATGATGCTAAAGGAAGTGTTTTTGTTTGAACGACTAGATTCTGGAATTATTAGAGAAACGATAAAATTTCTAAAATGTATAGTTTTTGTTCGGCCAACACCCGAAAATATCAAACTTTTATCTGATGAATTAAAATCTCCTAAATATGCGCAATATTATTTATGTAAGTTGTTTTGATTATATTTAATGAACTATTGGAGGAGGGCTCCCCCTCCCATTTCCTCATTCTTTAGTAATTTTTAATTTTAGACTTTTCAAACATAATCTCCAAAGCTGATCTTAAAACGTTGGCTGACTCTGACGAGCAGGAAACTGTTAGAGAAGTTCGTGAATTCTACGCTGATTTCATTCCTATTTCTCCATATTTTGTCACACTTGACATTCCAAATCCATACACTTCTCAACGATTTTTATTTTCGTCGTCGGCATTTAGGCGATGTTTACAAGCTTTAACAGCACTTTGCCTTTCTTTAAATAAAAAACCTTCAATTAGGTTATAATTGTTTATTATTTAAAAAAATGCGTTTTTTACAGATATCAAAAAACATCAAGCGACGCCCAAAGATTAGCAGAGGAATTAATAAAACAACAATCAAAGGATGTAACATTATTTGAACAGTGTAAAACTGACGCCGTTTTGATTATTTTTGACAGAAGCGAAGTGATTTTTCCTTTTTGTAAATTATTTTTTTGTTTTTAAGGATCCTGTTTCTCCACTTTTGAATCAATGGACTTATGAAGCAATGGTTCATGAATTAATTGGGATGCATAACAATCGTGTAAAATTAGGGAATGATGCTAAGGATGAACAGAAGAATTTAATTTTGAGTTCCCATCACGACGAATTTTATTCAAAGGTTTGTATGATACGTTGTTCATATATGACTGACATAAGTCTCAAAATTGGGGTTTCCGGGTACTGGGAATTCTTCTGATATTCTAAACCGACCGAAAATCCGGTTCGGTTCAGAACCGACAACCCTACTCAAAATAATCCTTTCTTGACTGATTGAACGTCATAGGAAAATGAGGAGAGTATAACCTCGATTTGTTATTTTTAATTGTAAAGGAAAGATTAATCTTGGGATTCAAAAATGGGCGAGATATGAACAAAGAAGTATCTTCTCTGTTACTAAATTATTAATTAAGAATATGTTCTCAAACTTTGGTGATATTGGTCAGAATATAAAGTGTTTAATGAATGACTATCAACGCAAAGCACAAACACACCAACAATTGGAATCTATTGTGGACATGAAAAGGTTTATTGAACAATATCCTCAATTTAGAAAAATGACAGGTATTTTATGAATTAAATTCAATTTTTAGTTTAATTACAAAAAGGGACCGTTTCTAAACATGTACAATTAGTTAGTGAACTTAGTCATCTTGTAACAGAATGGAATTTATTAGAAATTTCTGAATTAGAGCAAAACATTGCTGTTGCAAATGGTGATCATCAAACTTGTATAGAATCACTTAAAAGAATACTTCAACATCCAAAAACAACTGAATTAGTTTTATTTTTTTATCAGAAGAAAATAATTTTTATTTTCTTTTAAAAAGAATGCACTTCGTTTAGCAATGCTTTACGCTCTTCGATTTGAATCTTCTGCCAACAACTCGTTAAATTTAATTTTAGATTTATTACGGCAAAGGGGAATTACAAATCGCAATATTCAACTAGTCAAAATTTTATTAGAATATTCTGGCCACAAAAAACGACAGAGTGATTTATTTGGCAATAAATCTGCTATGGAAATGACTAAAAAATTTATTAAGGGTACGTGAAACTCATTTAAAGTTTATACGATTTTTAACTTATTTTAGGCTTGAAGGGCGTTGAAAACATTTACACACAGCATGAACCTTATATTACACAGTTAATTGAATCTGTTAGTCGTGGTAAATTACCTGTATCTAATTTTGCTTCTACAGATTCGTCGATAAAGTAATTTAAGATATTTTTATTACATATCTTTTTTTAGTTCTCGTTTTGATGAAGTAATAATTTTTATAATTGGTGGTGCTACTTTTGAAGAAAGTGCGGCGGTAGCTCGAATGAATGGGCGAGGGATGACAAATTTAATTGGCCAAACCCAAACAACCGGATCCTCACCTCTTCGAGTTGTGCTTTGTTCTAATTATGTGCATAACACTAAAAGGTATTATAGTTAGTAGATTAAGCAACTTATTTTATTAAAAATCTTTTAATAATTTGCAATTTTAACGTTGGAGTTGTCGGTTGAAAACTTTTCAGTTAACCGAGAGATTTGTGGAAACCTGCAATTTTACTTATTGACATTTTTTTTCACTACATGACTAATTTTTTTTAGTTTTATATCACAACTCGCGCAATATAATTCTGGTGCAAAAAGTGATGGGCCGTTTGATTTGTCATCTATTCCTTAAAAATATAAAATTTATTATCGAATAAATTCAAAGATTTTTATAATATTCTATTTAGTCCTTTATAAAGGATTATTTTCATATATTAAATTTTATTTTTTTATAAACTACTTTTTGTTTTATTTTGAAAATTATGGCACTGAAAAGAGTAGTTTGTGCAATATCAGGAGGTGTTGACAGGTATTTTTGTAAAATTGTTACTCAAATTATTTATGAATTAAAATGTTCGTTTAAGTGCAGTTAGTGCGTTTTTGCTCAAGCAACGTGGTTATGATGTTATTGGCGTTCATATGGTTTATATTTTTTGGGATAAATTGAACAGATAATTTTGGGTCTTTTGCAGATAAATTGGGACACCCAAGAAGAAAACAAAGGTTTTTTTGAATATTTAAATTACCTTTAAAATCCTTACTTTCAATTTTAAATTTTAATTTCAAATTATATATAGATCCGTGTGCTGGAAAAAATGAAATGATTGATGCGCGCCGTGTGTTTGTTATTTAAATGATATATGAATCTCACATTATCTTATTTAGATGTGAACATCTTGGTATTGAATTTTATGTAATGAATTTTGTAAAGGAATATTGGAACAACGTATTTTTGTATGTATATTGGAGATCGAACTAGGTCTGCGCCAAGGCACATCTTTTATGTCAAACATTTTCTAAGCGTCTGGGGTTTTTCTTGGTTCTACCTAGGTCAGTGCATTAAAATTATTCCAGGCCCAGACTTAAGAATTTCGTCCCTACTGGCTTTTAACTTTTATTAATTTAGAAAGTTCATTGACAATTATCGTTTGGGTCGAACTGTTGTCCCTGACAATGATTGCAATAAGTAAGTCAAAATATAATTTTTAATTTAATTTATTTTCAGATTTATAAAATTTGATTTGTTTATCAAGTCTGTGGAAGAAAAATTTGGAATTTCCAATGTTGCAACAGGGCATTATGCACGAACTTCTCTTGGTGCTTTTCATGATACTCCAAATGAGGAAGGTTTAATCTTTAAAAATGGATACATTCTTTAATTTTTTTAAAGTTAAATTATATAGAGCAAGAGACCCATTAAAAGACCAAACTTACTTTTTGTCTTCTTTGACCCAAGATCAAATAAAAAATATAATGTTCCCTATTGGATCTCTTTATAAGAGTGAAGTTAAAGAAATTGCTGAAACTGCTGGTCTTACGCCTTTTATCACCAAAACTGAGGTTTTTTTAATTTTGAATAGATATATTTTTAATTTTAGAGTATGGGAATGTGCTTTATTGGAAAAAAGAAGAATTTTGAAGAATTTCTAATAAATTATATTAGTCCAATTGAAGGGAGATTTTGTGATATTGAAACTGGTTCTATAATTCCAAATGTAATACACAGGGGTATTCACAACTTTACTTTGGGAAAGAAAGTTAATTTTAATTGTATCGAGGGCAACAAAAGTTCTTTACAAAATATTTCTTCGAGTGATGCTCTTTATGTAGCTGGCTGTGATTTTCAAACACAAACTGTTTATGTGGTATTTGTACATTTTTTAATATTATCGAAATATGTTATTTTAGTGTAAAGGATGTTCGAATCCAAAATTATATGCAACAAGAATATGTGAGTAAAGTTTTTAATTTCATTTTAAAATTTTGTGTTATAGTGGTTTCTAAAATAAATATGATTTCTGATAATTTTCAAAAATTTCTACAAAATCAACATTCAACAGCTAGGGATCCTTTAAGAATTCTTATTCAACGAACACATTCTCCTATTTTATGTAAAGTGAATTTTTCATCAGAAAAACAACTACAATATTCTGATTATTTGGAAATTGAGCCTCTCTATCCATTGAGAGCCCCTGGACCTGGTCAGGTGAGATTTATCATGCTTTCAGCTATTTTTTATTATTTTAGAAACTTTATTCTTTCAGATATGTGTTTTCTATTTGGGAAATGAATGTTTGGGATGTGCAGAAATTGAAAGAATATTGGAAACACTCAATTAATTTTTTTAATTTTGTTAGATCATTTTTGTTTTATTTTTATAAAATTTTTTTAATGAATCGAAAATTTTCTGTTTTTAAGAGTTAATGTCCATTTTTTACTTTAAATTCATGCCAACAATAACTTTAATTTTGAAAACAATTATTTTTGATAGTTTTGATATAAAAATGTCCAATCAAGTGGCGACTGAACAAATTGTTGGGCTACTCCAAGCAACACTTTCTCCAGAGTCAGTTAAACAGGCACAAGAAGGGTTGACACAACAGGCTGTAATTCCAGGTATTTCACAAATTTAAAAATTATTTTGCAAAGATTGTTCTGCTTAAGGCTATGCACGTGTTCTTCTAAAAATTTTATGTGATGCCAACTATCCCAATCATATTCGCAATATTGCTGCTATTTCTTTAAAGAATTTTGTTAAGATGAATTGGTCTGGCGAGGGTGATATACCAATATCTGATGATGAGAGGGAAGAGTTGAGGAATGCCCTTTTGGAAATTATGTTTCAAGTTTATTTTTGTAATGTTTTTTAAATTCATTATCCGTTAAAGGTCCCGCAATTTTTGCGATCGCTTATAACTGAAATTGTTTGTCAAGTTAGTAAATATGATTTTCCTGAACGGTGGCCCCGTCTTGTCCAGTTACTCGCTGAAAATTTGTCAAAGGCTACAGATTTTGACCAACTTGTTGTTTCATTGGGTACACTAGAGCAAATGATTTCTCGCTATAGACATGAAATGCGTTCTGATTCTCTTTGGAGGGAAATTATTTTTGTCGTTCAAAATGTTTTTTTAAATTTTGTTTTTAATTATAAAAATTAATTGTTAAGGTGGCAGAACCATTGACTCAACTATTTTCTAAAATGCAGTTCTATCTTCCAGACCAGGAAGGAGGGACACAGCTTAGTCCAACTGACAGAATTTCTTGGCTACAAATTGTGCTTGAATTAACACGAATTTATCATTCACTGATTTCTCAGGATCTCCCAGAATATTTTGAGGTTTTTAAATATATTCAAATCTCACTGTAGAATACACTTTTGGGACTAAAAAATTGTATCTTATAATGAGGTTTATTTTGAATGGACTGCATTGCTAAGGCATATCCCCCATCTTTGACAAACCAAATTTAAAAACTATATCTTATAGTGAGGTGTACATATCTATTTAGTATTTTAAATTGAGGTTCAACTGTAATTAAATTAAAAACACTCTTCAGGATAATCTTACTCCTTGGATGGAAGGATTTTTGCAAATGTTAAGTTTAAAATTGCCTGAACAAAATTCACAATTAACTACTGATCCGACTGAACATGATAAACTCTGCACTGAAATATGTGAAATAGCAACATTATTTTCGCAGCGATTTGAAGATTGTTTTGTTCCTTATACTCAACGATTTATGGGCACAGTTTGGAATCTCCTGGTCTTTGCTGATGGAAAAATTCGGTATAAAAGATGTTTTAATTGTTATGTAAATATTAGTTTTTTAAATAAAGATTTGATGCGTTAGTTAATTCTGCATTGGGTTTTCTTGCTGCTATCTGCCAACGTCCACAATATGTTCCATATTTCCGGGATGAGGGCGTACTAAAGGCTATTTGTGACAATGTTATTGTAAAGAATTTAACTCTACGCCCAGAAGACTTTGAAATTTTTGAAAATGAACCTTTTGAATTTTTGAAACGGGATATTGAAGGTGTTTATTTTTAATTTAAAAATTAAATATTCTGGTGTAATGGGGACAGAGCGTATTTAAATATCAACAATTGGTAACCCCTCTCCCTAACGGGAAAAGAATAACTATCTTTGATGGTAATAGAGAGGATGGGCCCTGGGACCTAGAAAAGGAGCCTTTTAATATTTTTAAAATTGTTTTTTTAATTTTTGGGATTATACATTTTTAAATTTAGGTTCTGATTTGGAAACTAGACGGCGCGGTGCATTTGAATTTGTGCAGGCCCTATGTAAACATTTTGACAACGAATTGTGTGCTCTTCTCTCAAATGTCATTCAGGATTTTCTCGAAAAATACAAACAAAATCCTGCACAAAATTTTGTCTATAAGGATCTTGTTTATTTTTTGGTCAGTGCACTCGCATCGAAAGGGTCTACAACACGAAGTGGAGCAACTGAAACTCGTCAATTGGTTCGATTTTAAGTTGTTTAATATACCGCATGTTAGATTTTTCTAAATCTTAAAGAAATCTCAGGATTAATCCTGCAGCTCGTAAATCAAGGAAGCTAGGGATCCAGACCTCTAATATAATTTAAAATATAAATAATTTCTTTTAGATTGATTTAAACCATTTTTATCAACAAAATGTCCGTCCTGATTTGCTCTTTGGTTCAATAAATGAATTGCCAATTTTACGTTGTGATGCACTTAAATATTTAGTGCTCTTTCGCAATCAACTCAGTACTGATCAAATTATTGAATGTTTTCTTGGAGAAAATTGTCAATTTGAAACTTCAATATTTCGTCTTCTTTCTTCTAACCATTTTATACTACATCATTATGTAGCTTATGCAATTGAACGTTTAATTCTAATGCGAGTACAAAACTCTAAGGATTTATTGTTTACGGCTTCAAATTTTCAACTTTCATTGGTTATTGATAGACTTTTTAATTGTTTAAATTCTCCTCAAGGATACGAGACTCATTATATTATGAAAGCTTTGATGCGATTATTTGTTGTTATGGATGTACTATTTTAATATTCTCTTAATATCTAAATTTATTTTTTTTATTAAGGATGAATTGTCACGTTCCAGTGCGCATATTTACTTAGGCAAACTCTCCCAAATTGTTGCTGAAGCTATTCGAGTACCTAAAAACCCTGTACTTGTTCATTTTCTTTTTGAATCGATTTGTGTTATAATTAGAAAAGTAAAAAAATTTTGATAAAGAAATCTTAAAAGTTTATTTAAGGCTTATGTCAAAGTTGAAGGAGGTGTGGATAAATATATTATTCCAATGGTTGAGTCAATAATTCAAAATGATGTTGCTGAATTTAAACCTTATGCTTTTCAACTTATTGGTAATTTTTGTTTTTCAAATTATTTAAATTCGTCTTTCATTTTCTTAAAAAGCTCTTTTACTTGATCAATGTCAACAAGAACGTGAGAAAAATGTTACAGTGAGCCAAGATGCTTATATTGCTTTCTTCCCCTCACTTTTACGTCCTGACTTTTGGGCACGTTCGGCAAATGTTCCTGCTCTGATTTTAGTTTTTGAGTCTTTTATTCGTTGTCTGCCGCAACTTCCTTTTGGTTCTGAATATTCTGATCAAGTTTTGGCAATTTTTCAGCGTCTCATTGCTTCAAAAGCTTATGATCAACAAGGATTTCGTTTAGCAAATGCTTTGCTTCCGCACTTGGATGTTAGTTTATAAAGATTTTAAAACGTATAGTTTTAAAAAAATATACACCTTGACTATCTATATACACCTTGATTTAAGCATGTGTTGGGAGGCTGTCAAGTGATGCCCATTATTTAGGATACATCTTATAATATACAATACTTAAAGTTTTTAAAACTTGCATATTAAGCCCTCACTACAATAACCTTTAAGCCTGTGTTGGGAGGCTGTCTAAACGATACCCATTATTTAGGATACAAATAAATACAATACTTTTAGCTCTAATTTGTAAGGTAGACTGTTATTTAATTTTTTAGACATACGAAAAAATGACCAGCAGTGCTGTTTTTCTTGCCATGTTAAATCGAATGCATCAAAACAAGACAGCTAAATTCTCAAAACAATTCACCATTTTTATATTTCGTTATTCTGCTATAAAAGGAGGATTGGCATTAGCAAATGTAAGAAATATTTGGCCCTTGTCCAGTTTATGCGTCCCATGAAAGTATATGCGTCCCATCAACAAAAAATTGGATTTTTCTTGGTGTTGCAAAGTAGGGGTATGGTTCCAAAGCATTTCTTCATGTTCGGGATCTACGTCCACTGGGTCTGGGACCGTTCCTTACCCTATACCTCGAAATTTCTGAAAGTTAAAATCGTTTTTCTGAAATTTTTAAAAATTGGCTATAACTTTCAGAAATTTCGAAGGATAGGGTAAGGAACGGTCCCAGACCCAGTGGACGTAGATCCCGAACATGAAGAAATGCTTTGGAACCATACCCCTACTTTGCAAACCAAGAAATATCCAATTTTTTGTTGATGGGACGCATATACTTTCATGGGACGCATAAACTGGACAAGAGCCAAATATTTTTTGAATCATGGAATTTTTTTAATTTAGAGTCTTGAACAAATTCAAACGGGTATTTATAATATGATTGTGGAGAGAATACTTTTGGCCGAATTAAAAGGAATGCCACAGACTACAACATATGAAGAGAAAAGAATTATTGTTATTGGCGCAGCTAGATTAATTTCTGAGACAATTCAAGTACTTGGGTGAGTTAATTTTTATCAAGTCTACCTTAGTTACGTTCGTACTTGGAGAAAGAAACATATTACGTCTAAAATTAAAATTTACACTTTTTTAGGAACAATTATTCTTTGATAATTGAAGTTATTGTTAATTTACTTGAGGCTTTTGAACACAAACCTAAATCATTAGATACTGAAGTGCCTGAAGATGGAGAAGCAAACGATATGGAATATAATGATCCTTACTGCAAATTAATGAATGCCCAGCACAATGAACCTTTTGCTGCTGAAGTGATTAACATTAAAAGTAAGGAAATTTTTAACACTCCATGGTGTTGAGAAATAGTTTCAGAAAAATTTTCACGATTAGATTTTCTAATTGGATTTGTGGATTATTTTATGTAAACTATTTATTTTCAGAGCACTTTGCACAGGCAGTCTTTATGGCTACTCAAAGCAATCCTGAAAGTTTGGGATGTCTGAATGCGCGTTTATTGAGCTGTCTTCGTGCCTATTCGGCAATGATTTAAAAAGGAATAATTGAATTGCTTATTTACTTTACAATTTTCTTGTTTATAGTATTAGACTGGAACGAAATTTCAACATAATTTTTAAACAATATTTGAGATTATTTACGAGTTTTTTTTTGATATTTTATATTTATTTTTGCGATTTTTGTGAAACAATTAAATTTATAAAACTTCGATTTTCAACGAAAAATATAAGAAAAAAGCTTAAAATTTAGGTCATTTACACAGTTTCTCTCTTTTCTTTTTCTTAGAATTTGTGAATTACAAAATGGCGCCGCCATAAGGAGAAATGAACAATAATCTATCTAATATGTGTACATAGCATTTTAAAACGAGAAATCTCTTCTTGTCAATCCAATCGATCGCTCAAAATGGCAAGCAAATTTTTGGATATTCTTTGACATTTAAATTAAAAAGTTTTTTTAATCTGTTTGATATTTAGAGAGGCTGCAATAAATCATTTAATATTTAAAAATTAAAAAATGTTTGCCTCGGCTACAGCTATCAATCCCCGAGTTCAATTAAGTAAATCTAGCCGATTAGGTGTTGGTGAGAGACTTGGTGATTTAACTGCGGAAGCATTCAGAGCCTATGGAGCTTTCGTTGGAAGGAATCCCGGAAAGGTTGAAAAGAAAATTTCTAAAAAAATATTACTTTCAATTTGAGGTTCTCATTGCGATGCTCCTTTTTACAATTTTAACAGTTCCAGGAATTGTTTACCTGCAAATTAATTTAGATCTTTACAAAGTGAGTAAAATGCTAGATAGTTAACATTTATGAGAGAGGTATGTCAAAACTGATTTAATCCCCGAAAGGCTACAGTCAATGAAAAAGGCGAAAATCGGCAAAAGGAGAAGCCGATATACCCTTGTTAAGGATCTCTCTATTTTTTATTCAATCAAGCAGAAAGTGTTTTAAACATTCTAAAACATTTATTTAGTTATTCGTTCCTTTGGATGCTCCAGTTCGATTTGAATTTGAAAGTCAAAAAGCTTATGACCAAATTCCAGGGGGGCAATTAGATGTTGATCCCCCTCCATCTTTAATTGCCACACCTCATTCAACACAAATTTCTACCCAGCAAACAGCTAATGAACTAAAAGATATTCCTAGAAGGTTTGCACGTGCAATTAAAGTTAAAGGTTATAAAAGTCAATTTTTACATCTAAAAAATATGTAATTATTTTAAGATCCTTCTGGTCCTCAACATCACGATATTCTACGTTTTTATGTTGTCCATAAAAGATATGAAAATTTATTAGTTAGTGACACTTTGGCTAAATTATTTGAATATACACAGGAAATGATGAATGTTAAAATGGAATGGGGTGGAGAACAAGTAAAAATATTTAATTTAATCTTCATTACAAGATAACCTAATTTTAGTGAGATACACCTTAATTTAGGATGCATTTTTTAAAATATACTCCCCAAACACTAAATTTTCGTAAAACACTCAAGTTGTAAAAAGCAAATATGAAAGGGTTAGATATATAGAAATTTTTGTTAGATAAGCCGAAAAGAATCTGAATAGACGGATAACTCGATTAGTACCAAAATATTTTTAACCTAACAAAAAATATATCTCTTTAATTTCTAGTGGATATTGGAAGATTTTTGTCGAAAAAATCCTGGCCAAGAGCATTGCAATAATGAGTTAGTTTAGAGAAGAAATTGTGTTTTTTTAAATATTTTTTTCTCTTTCAATTAAAGTTTAAATATTTGGTTAAAACACGCAGAGAATTTATTTAGAACTAATGGAACTAGAAATAATCCAAATCTTCAATTATCTTATCCCGTCATGTTTGTTTTGAATTTTATTTTTAGAAAATTTAATTAATTTTTGAAGGTATTTATTTAATCGACCAAAGGATATTGGAAATATTATTTATGGGGTAGGGGAAATATTTAAATAATTATTTTTATTTTTAAAAAATTATTTTACTAAAGAAGGGAAATCCAACTAGTTAACATTTAAAAAATGTTTACTGGAAAAAAGGTTTAAGATTTCTTAAAAGATGTTCCGGAAACTCAAATCACCTAGCAATAATTAAAGACTTCCTAGGCTTTTGGTCTTGACTCAAAGTAGTTAACCATACCACTTTATTTCCCTTTCTTTCCCACAAAATTTCCAGAGCAGTTGAAAGGTTTGGGAAGGGGGCGGTCTTTAGTAGTTATCCATACCACTTTGTCGTGGGAGAATTAATGACTTTTTGACGAAGTCTAAAGGTATAGGGGGGTTCTCTTTTTGATCCTAAAGGTTTAGGGGGTTTCCTTTTGATCTTCTAAGGGTTTGGAGGGGTCTAATTAAAATTAATTACAGTATACCAACTTTGCGCAAATTCTTTCAAGAGACAATCCAAAGGTTTTGGGGGTTTCCTTTTAATATCCTGAGGGTAATGGAGGAGTTTAATTAAGATTAATTACAGTATACCAATTTCGCGCAATGTTTTTAAAGAAAAAACCCAAAGGTTTAGGAGGGTTTTCCTTTTGGTTTTAAGGGGTTTCTGGTTAACTTCTTTTTATTTTTTTGGCGCATTGTTTCTAAAGAGGCAACCCAAAGGTTTAGGAGGGGTTTTCAAAAGATTTTGAGGGGGTTTCTGATTAATTATCTTTTATCACTTTGTCATAATTTTCTTTTTGTCTTTGGTTTTGTGAGACAACCCAGAGGATTAAAACAAGTTTCAGTTTAATTTTTTTCCTCTAGTTTTGAACGTTTCAGATTGATTAATTATTATTTTTGTTCATGTAATAATCTGTTTAAACATGTTTATTTTTGAGTCTTCATGTTTTTAAGATAAACATCAAAAGTTTTAGAGCTCTGTTGTTATCTGTTTTTCTCAGAATTTTGTGGATTTTTTAATTAAAATTAATTAACTTTTAACATATTGGCACAAACCTTTCAACATCGCCTTTTCTCACGAGATTTTAACGCTTCTAACTAATTAATTATCTTTTATGTTTTTTGACACAATCCTAAAACTATAGGATTTTTATGTTAGAGATTTCAACAGATTTTAGGTGTTTTTTGTAACTATTAATTAACGATGAATTATCCTTTATCAAAAGCGAATTTTTTGTGGAATCCTAATACTTAGTTGCATTTTCTTCGGAAATTAATGTTATGGTATAACTAATTAATGATAACTTACCATTTATCATTAATGAATTTTTAGCAAAATCAAAAAAGTTTAAGGTGTTTTCCTTTAGATGTCAAGACACGTTTACTCGTGGTTTTTTGGTAAGAATGATGACTTGCTGATAATTTATCTCATCAAAAATCAAACTTATTTTTTCTCATAAAATTTAAACATTCCTTTTCTATTAAACATTTCTTTTCTAATTTTATCTTAATCTAAATTCAAATCTTTTATTTTTAAAAATCTATCAATCAAATATGCAAATTTAATCTCAATGTAAATTCAAATTTCTTCTTTTATTTTTAAAAATCTATTAATCAAATATGCAAATTTCATTTTAAATCTAATCTAAAAAAGGGATGGCTTTATCTTTTAAAATCTGTCAATCAAATATGCTAATTTTATTTTAAATCTAATCTAGTTCAAATAGTGTAGGGGTGGACTTTATTTTCAAAAACCTGTCTTTCATATATCTAGTGATCAACCAAGTGATCAAGTAACTATTTGAGTGATCAATCAAATGATTGATTAAAAGTTTCATGTGATCAATCATATAATTGAGTGATCAAAGTAAATGAGTGGTCAATCATATAATTGAGTGATCTGGAAATTTTGGAATTTTTGTGGGAAAGAAAGGGAAATAAAGTGGTATGGTTAACTACTAGTTAACCATACCACTTTATTAGTTAACCATACCACTTTATTTCCCTTTCTTTCCCACAAAATTTCCAGAGCAGTTGAAAGGTTTGGGAAGGGGGCGGTCTTTAGTAGTTATCCATACCACTTTTTAGCGGGACAATTAATGACCTTTTTTGGCGCAACCAATAGGTATAGGGGGGTTCTCTCTTTGATCCTAAAGGTTTAGGGGGTTTCCCTTTTGATCTTCTAAGGGTTTTGGAGGGGTCTAATTAAAATTAATTACAGTATACCAACTTCGCGCAAATTCTTTCAAGAGACAATCCAAAGGTTTTGGGGGTTTCCTTTTAATATCCTGAGGGTATTGGAGGAGTTTAATTAAGATTAATTACAGTATACCAATTTCGCGCAATGTTTTTAAAGAAAAAACCCAAAGGTTTAGGAGGGTTTTCCTTTTGGTTTTAAGGGGTTTCTGGTTAACTTCTTTTTATTTTTTTGGCGCATTGTTTCTAAAGAGGCAACCCAAAGGTTTAGGAGGGGTTTTCAAAAGATTTTGAGGGGGTTTCTGATTAATTATCTTTTATCACTTTGTCATAATTTTCTTTTTGTCTTTGGTTTTGTGAGACAACCCAGAGGATTAAAACAAGTTTCAGTTTAATTTTTTTCCTCTAGTTTTGAACGTTTCAGATTGATTAATTATTATTTTTGTTCATGTAATAATCTGTTTAAACATGTTTATTTTTGAGTCTTCATGTTTTTAAGATAAACATCAAAAGTTTTAGAGCTCTGTTGTTATCTGTTTTTCTCAGAATTTTGTGGATTTTTTAATTAAAATTAATTAACTTTTAACATATTGGCACAAACCTTTCAACATCGCCTTTTCTCACGAGATTTTAACGCTTCTAACTAATTAATTATCTTTTATGTTTTTTGACACAATCCTAAAACTATAGGATTTTTATGTTAGAGATTTCAACAGATTTTAGGTGTTTTTTGTAACTATTAATTAACGATGAATTATCCTTTATCAAAAGCGAATTTTTTGTGGAATCCTAATACTTAGTTGCATTTTCTTCGGAAATTAATGTTATGGTATAACTAATTAATGATAACTTACCATTTATCATTAATGAATTTTTAGCAAAATCAAAAAAGTTTAAGGTGTTTTCCTTTAGATGTCAAGACACGTTTACTCGTGGTTTTTTGGTAAGAATGATGACTTGCTGATAATTTATCTCATCAAAAATCAAACTTATTTTTTCTCATAAAATTTAAACATTCCTTTTCTATTAAACATTTCTTTTCTAATTTTATCTTAATCTAAATTCAAATCTTTTATTTTTAAAAATCTATCAATCAAATATGCAAATTTAATCTCAATGTAAATTCAAATTTCTTCTTTTATTTTTAAAAATCTATTAATCAAATATGCAAATTTCATTTTAAATCTAATCTAAAAAAGGGATGGCTTTATCTTTTAAAATCTGTCAATCAAATATGCTAATTTTATTTTAAATCTAATCTAGTTCAAATAGTGTAGGGGTGGACTTTATTTTCAAAAACCTGTCTTTCATATATCTAGTGATCAACCAAGTGATCAAGTAACTATTTGAGTGATCAATCAAATGATTGATTAAAAGTTTCATGTGATCAATCATATAATTGAGTGATCAAAGTAAATGAGTGGTCAATCATATAATTGAGTGATCAAAGTAAATGAGTGGTCAATCAAGTGATCGAATAATCAGCTGAGTGATTAACAAAATATTACGTGATCAATCAAATAAACGAGTGATATTTAAATTTAACATGTAATAAAAATGTGAATGAGTGATCAGATGAGTGATCAAATGATAAAAATATTAATAGTGATCAAACTACAATCAGTTTATTATGTGATTAATTAATTGATCGAAATCAATCGAGTGATCAATATACTGAAAATTGACAGTAAGAGTGATCAACAGAGGGAGTGATCAGCTTTGATCAGCGATTGATCAAGATCAACCAGAGTTTACTAAAATCAATCATTTAAAATTTTTAATTATTATCTTATTTTTTCATTTTCAAACCAGTTAAAATAGGGAATTTGAAAACCCCAAAAGAACAAGAGTTAAATAGGTAAAATCTATTAAAATTTAATTCTCATCTTTTAAATAAAGTGTAGGGGAAGGACTATAAAAACGGTCATTTTTTAAATTTTATATCATTTTTATATTAATATTTTTTTTATTTTAGTTCAATATTTCATAAAAATATTTTTATAATGCAGCAGCTTTCAAAAAATTCAAGATGTTTCTTTATTGCTAATCTACTTGGATTACAACAAGGAACAGGGTACAATGCTGAACGTTATGTTGAACGACTAAATGATTCAATACAACACAATGCAAAATTTAATGTAATCAAAACTTATTCAAAATTTATGATTAAAGATGTTCCAGCCGATGCTGAGTCCCTTCTGTCTGGTAATTAAACTAAATTTTTATTTCAATAAATCAAAAAATTCAGGAATTTTTCAATTTTGTGTTGATCGAGCTTTGGAACATGCAAGAGAAAAAAACATTGAACCTCAACAATTAGCTTGCACTCTAACCAGTGACTTTTTAGACTATGACATCTGGGTTCCTTTCAGGTATTATTTCTTACGTTTTAGTTTATATTAGATTTTTTTCAGTAATTTATCAAATAATACCGTTGATGCCATGCTTAATCGTTGTCAACATATTGCCCAGAGTAAAAAACAAGACGAATTATCTCTATTTGGCGCACCTTTTTCCATAACTGTAACAACAATAAATAAGAATTCATTTAATAAAAGACGCCGTTTAGGAGGGGCTGCTCGTAAAATCCCAAAAGTTCGTCATCAAATTAATAAAAGGTCACTAATCAAATTCAATAACCCTGACAACATGAATCATTGTCTTTTTTTCGCTTTAATCGCATCACTTACACAAAACATTTGCAGCTGGCCATCTTTAAAATTTTTCTACTACATAAATAATCTAAAAGGAATGGCTGGTCGTTTTCAAAAAGACACATATGAAATAATGAATCAAGTTGGTGCTCAAATTGGTCTGAATGAATATGATGCAGATGAATGGATTCCACGTATTGTTGACCAATGGAACACCATTAATTATAGTAATCAATATATTGTAAAAATATTTATATTTGGTGACCAGGGCAATTATAAGCCCGAATTTGAATATGGTCCTGAAGACTACGACACTCCAATTCTTCTTTATTATAATGATAAAGAAAAACATTTTTATGCTGTTAAGAAAAATGGTCGATTATTTGGAAAACCTTATTGTTTGTCGTGCAAATCTGTATACAGCCTAGCTCAACACCATAATATTACATGCAAAGCTCGGTGTAAGAATTGCTCACGTGTAGGACCAGACTTCCCTTGTCAACCAGACAATTGTTTCTTCAAAATTTGTAATTTATGTTTTAAAAATTTTAATAATAATAATTGTTATAACCAACATTTGAACAATGGCTTCTGTAAAAATTCCAAGAAATGCAACAAATGTGGAGTAATTTGGAACGTTTATTACAACACACGTAATGGACGCAAAGGTCATATATGCAACGAAAAATACTGTAGTACATGTAATGAATTTCATGTTTTAACACGAGGTTGCTATATTAAACCTTTGGAACCAAAAGAGTGTCAACCATATTTAATTATTGCCTTTGATTTTGAAACCACACAATTATCAGCTATTCATGAACCTAACTTTATTGCAGCAAAAGTTTCATGTCCTGATTGTATAATAAATGGACAATGGCAACAAAGTCTTCAAACTAATACTTGCAAAATTTGTGGACAACATCGAACAATAACTTTCTCTCAACAACCCTTTATTGAAACAACTGTTGATAAGAAGATAATATGCAATTCCCCAATTTCATCCTTTGTTAACTGGATCTTAAATGAACTCCCCCAAAATTACGACATCTATGCTTTTTCACATTTTGGGGGCAGATTCGACATTGTCATTACTCTAAAAGAAATAGTTAAGCAAGGATTAATACCTGAAATATTGAAAAAAGGAAATAAAATTTATGAAATGAAGATGAAGAACAAAAAGAATAGTATTATCTTCCGTGACACCTTTAATTTAATGCCAATGTCACTTGCTTCACTTGTACCTTCATTCGATCTCGAGGTTCAAGACAAGCCTTTCTTCCCTCACATGGCCAATCGTCCTGAAAATTACGGAAAGGTAATATATCCAACAAAAACCGATTATCTCGCCAATGGAATGATGCCTGAAAAAAGGAAAATATTTGATCTTTGGTACGAACAACATAAAAATACACCATTCTTCCTTGATGAAGCTTTGGCTAGTTATTGTACAAACGATGTTGAAATTTTAATGGCTGCGCTTATTGCTTTTCGAAAAGAATTTTTTGAGATGACGAAACGCAATAATGGAGAAAGGGCTACATCTTCTAAAACTCATGAAGGAATTGATGTATTACGAGAGGCAATGACCATCGCTTCAGCCTGTATGCGTCATTTCCGAACAAACCATCTAAAAGAACAACATTTGGCACTTGTGCCCGAACGTGGTTATGACAAAGTAGATGGAAACCAAAGTCTTCTTGCGCTTAGATTTTTCAAATGGTACTCTGAAAAATTTGGTGTAACCGTCCAAAATGTCAACTCTGACGGTGGCGAAAAAAGAATTGGCAACTACCAACTTGATGGATGGGTTGTTGAAGAAAATTTTGGTATAGAAGTTAATGGGTGTGTTTGGCATGGATGCCCCAAATGTTTCCCAAATGATAATGATTTAATGCCTAATGGAAAAACTGCTGGATACTTGAGGGAACACGACAAAAATAGAATGGAATTTATACTAACTCAAATTGCCCGTGTTGACATTTATTGGGAGTGCGAAATTCATCAGATGTTAGCAAAAGATCGTGAAATGAGGGAACTGTTTTACAGTTATATTGATGATGGACCAATTGATATTAGAAGCTGTTTTTATGGAGGAAGAACTGGACCATTGAAACTCCATCATAAGATCAAAGATGGAGAACGGATATCATATTATGACGTGACATCATTATATCCGTTTATTAACGTAACAACAGCTTATCCTGTTGGACATCCGAAAGTTCACATCATCAATAAAAATGTAAACTGGACAAGAGCTATTGACAACACATACAATCTGGCAATTTTGAAAGTCTTTGTAATTCCACCAAGGAAAATTGATGTTCCAGTACTACCTATGAAATTAGAAAATGATGCTCGTCTTCTATTTCCTCTGTGTGCAAAATGCGCGTAAGATAAAAAAATTATTTACTAAAAAATAACTTAATTTTTAGAAAAATGTATCCTGAAGGTGGTGTTATAGAAAATTATCGATGTACACACAACAATGAAGAAAGAGGATGGGTATCAAATTGCACATCAATCGAATTGAATGTTGCTCTAGAAGAGGGTTATATTGTAACAAAACTCTTTCGTGTACTAGAATACAACAAATCGGACTCTGAATTGTTTCGCCCTTATATCTCAGAGTTCATGGCAGAAAAAATACATTCATCAGGTTTTGACAATAATATTAAAAACAACACTCAAGCTGAAGACCAATTTATTAAAGAATGCAGTGAAAAATTTGGAATAAAAATTGAAAGAAGTAAAATGAACCCCAACAAAGGTCGGAGGACCCAAGCCAAACTTATGTTAAATAATCTTTGGGGACGATTTTCACTGCGCAATTTCGGTCTTTCTCAATGTATAATAACTGATGACCCAGAACAATACCAAAAATTCATAAATGACAAATCAATTCAAATTACAAGTTTAGATGAATTATCCCCAGAAATATTAATGATTGCATATACGAAGAAAAAAGAGTGGATCGAAGAACATGAGTGTTCTAATATTGGTATTTTTTATTTAAAAAATAATTTTAATTTAATACTATTTAGTTATTTCACTCTGGACCACTTCAGCAGCAAGAATCCACCTCCTTCGTGCAATGCAACAGGTTGTCCGTACTGATGGATGTACTTTATTGTATACGGACACAGACTCCCTAATTTTTACTCATCCTGAAGGAGTCAACCCACTAAATCTTGGACCTCATCTTGGACAATTTACCGATGAGTATCCAAAACATGAAATTATAGAGTATGTATCTGGTGGAGCAAAGCAATATGGGTTAAAAATTAAGAAGAAAAATAATCAAAATGATGAACATGAATATATTTTAAAAGTAAGAGGAATAACTTTAAATCACGATGTCATCAACAATCAAGGATTAAGATATGAAACGTTCAAAAGACAAGTCATCAAATACGCAAAAACAGGAAATAATGAACCAATTAAAATAATGTACCCCTCATTTTTATGTCCCTCAATTAAAAATTTAAATGTATCCACACTATCCCGCCATAAAATATCTAGACCATTTGTTGGGAAAGGGATAATCAGACCCTCCGATTTTTCTGTATTAAATTTTGGTCATATTTAATTATATCTGTTGTTATTTTTTATCTTGTTTAATTTTATTTACTTTCATTTAATATTTGTAATAAATAAATTTGTAATAAATATTTGAAATTATGTAATGTTTTTTAAATCACCATCCGTTACAATAATAACTTGGTTTCAACATATCTTCATCAAAATTTTCTTCTTCCTCGTCCTCCACAATTATTAATTTATTTTTAGACGATTTCGTGTTTTCAGATGTAATTTTTAAGTTTTCGCCGAAAATGGTAAATTTTTCTTCTTTCCCATCCTCTTTGACAAGTTCAAGCAATTCCAACGGGTAATATCGATTTTCTTGAAATGATCCTTTTTTGTTTTGAAATTGTTCGATAATACAATGAAGATAAGGATTTAAAAGTCGTATTCGATGTCTTGCATAAAAATGTGCTGTGACAGAAATGTTGAAAGGTTTTGCAAGTTTTCCATATGCTGGTATAACGTTTGCCCCCTCCTTTGATAAGCCACCAATTATAAAACTTTTTTTCATTCCATTTTTGTCCGTGTATGTTGTTTCAACCTTACGACCTTGAAGCTTTTTCAAAACTAAATTTCTATTTTCTGGGTGGTTAAGATGACATCTAAGTGATTTGACAGTGCAGCATAAAATATTAGCACATTCCTCGCTTACAAGGACCATTTTTAAAATGAAATTAAACATTAATATTAATTAGACTTTATATACTCTTTTTTGTTTAGAAAATTTAAGGACCGCCCACATTGACAATATAAATAGTCGAGTTTATCCATACATATCTTCATTCACAAAAAATTTTTCATAAAATTCTTTTAATGGAAAACATTAACGAAACTGAAATGAATTCTGGTAATATTTCTGAAGCCAAAACTACTAGTGAACCTTTCTGGAAATTATTTAGAGGAAAATTTCTTCTGACGTTTTCACTTTGTGCAGGTTAATATATTGTTTTTTATTAAAATTTTAAAAATTCTTAGAATGTCGGGACAGTGTATTTAAAAAGAGTGACAAAGCAGTTCGAAAAGCAGAAAAGATTGAAATTAAATTTGAAATTTGTGACGCATGCTATAAGAAGAATTGTAAATCTACAGATATTTTATCACCATACACGCCAAAGAAAATATAATCAATGATAACAATTTTTCAAGATAAACAAATTATTTAATATTATTCAAATTTAAACTTATTTGTAAAACTTTAAAAAATTCAATAATAAAACGTTGCATATTTAATTATTTGGGCACAATCTTTACATACAAAAAATTTATATTTGTATGTATTTCCTTTTCCAATCATTATGATTTCATCTTGCTCCTTTTTAAGTATTTTTGTACGACACTGATCACACCATGTCGATAGCTCAAAATTGTGATCTAAGAATGTGAATAACGTGGACGAATCCAATTTCTCACCATTTTTAATCATTTGATTCAGATCTTTAGTTAAAGGATGCCAGGAACAATCCCAAAATTCTGCAGTTCCCTAAATATTGATAATAAATTTGATTTTTTATAAAGATTTACCTCCAAAACATTTTGTTCAACAACTTTGTTCGGTATAGAGGATATAGGATCACTTGTAAGATTCTGAAATATTAAAGATAAGAGGATTTATTTTAAAAAATCTACCTCTTGATTAATATCATTTATATTCAAAAAAGAAGCGAAAGTTTGCTCCATTGCGAATTTAAAGTTTTATTATAAATTGTTTTAATAATCTATAAAATATTTTTGATTTTATTTTAAGGAAAAAATGGCAAAAGGATATAAGAGATAAAGCAAGAAAATTCCGACTATTTAGAGTTCAGGCAAAGTAAAATTCTTTTTATCTTTATATATCAGCCTCGCCTCTATCTATGAAAATAAAAGAAAAGCCAAACGAAATTCAAATCTTATGTTTTTCCTTAATCTTATTATTTTCATTAATTTTAAAAATTTATTCATTTTAGAAAACAGTGTGTGTCTTTAACTTAAAAAACTATTATCGTCGTTAATTTTTTATTTTTTAATGGACAACATTACAACAAACAAAAATGAGGAATATGATATTGCTGTAATTGTAGAGGTTTACTAAGTAAAATATTAAATAATTTTAATTTAATTCAGGGAATATGTTTATATAAAAATTTTTACAAACGTGAATATCTCAATTCAATGAACATTACACTCAGAGAAGGGAAAACTTTCGATATAGGTGCAAGACTTAGTATGCTGATAAATTACTTTAGAGCTGGAAAGTGGTGTCCTGACTGTCTAAAATTCGCTTTGACAAGAGATCAGAGTGAAATCTTAAACCCAAAAGATGAAATTTCGTTCATTTATCTACTTTATCTTTGCTCAGATTGTGCTAAAATCACCAAAAATAAACTCATTAATTAATCATTTTATTCACTATATTAGTTACAAATAAATCTGGATTTGCTTGTTTATTTAATATTTCAAGGTATTGGTCAAAAGTATAACCTTTTGAGAAAAAATAGATGAAAGAGATGCAATGCTGGGAACAAGTATTGGAATATGATGATTGATAAGGTTTTAGATTTTTTGAAATTTTGGAAAAATGTTTGAGAAAGGAATTAATTATACATATACTTGTAGGGAGTGCCAAGCTATCAAAATATATCACTTCATTGCTATATTTTATGTAAACAACAACCCAGTGAGAACCCTCATAACCAAAAGGGTCCAAATTGACAATTAACATTTTTCCTTTTGTTGAAGTCGGATCAGGCAGACGATTACAAGGGAAGCATCCTAGGAAGATTCGTGATGTTTGGTGATTTGTCCTCAGAATTTGAGTAATTTGACTTGCGTACATTATTAAAATTGAATCTGAACCAAAGTACTGATCGAAGTTGATAAATAATTAGACTAGCTAATAACATGGCATACAAACATATCATTCCCCAGCAGAATACATGTCCATAAAAATTATTGTCTTTTGGACTTTCCTTGCAAAGCGATGGTAGATTATCGAAATTAATAAAATTTGGTACAGGAGCAACAATTTTTTGCTTTGAAGGTAAAAGAGGATTTCCTGTAATATTTTCTCCTCTGTAATATTTAACAAGTTCAGAATATTCTGGTAAATTATCCAATTTTATAGTACCATCTGTTGATAATGCTTCGATTAGTGGAACAAAAATTCTAATTAGAAAAACTATTTTCAAAATATTATTCATTTTTAAATGATTTTCCTCAAAATTCTTTCATATTTATACTTTTTTTAAAAATTTTTAAAATATTGGTTAATGTTTACTTGTATCAAAAATAAATTCTAAAAAGAATAAAGTTTATCTATTTAAAACAATTACAATATGAAAGGTTAGAATTTATATTGTGGTATCACTTGCGATTGTTCGATTTTTATCTAACATTATGAGTGAATCTGCTTCTCCCATTACTATAAGCATTATTCCTCCCTCAGGTACAGGTTTGCTAAACTTAATATTTACAGCCGTTGTTCCATTTTTAATTAAATCAAAAGTTCCTCCTTGATCTTCTCCGCTATTTGTTAGGTTAAAAACATAGATACAATGTGTTTTACCATATTGTTGTAAAGTTATTCCATTGCTCTCAGTTGAATTTGCTAAACCAATTGCCTCATTCATATCATTAAATGCTCGAACATATTTTCCATTTTCATAATCAAAGTCATACGGTGCTTGTGGATAATTTCTTCCATTGGCAATAATGCTAATCTCGCGAACATTAAAATGTTGAAAGTTAAAAGGGCTACGTTTAATATCTCCTACATAATCAGAATTTGAAACAAGTCCCAATGTAATACGTCTAGGAATCTGATCCATAAATAGATTGGCATTAAACTCATATCGACCCTGACTAATAAACAAAGGCTTCATCATAGTTTTTCTTATCGAGTAGCGAGCAGGTTTAGTTTCAAGTCTTTTTGCAATGTCCAAAGCCAATCCGTCCATTAAGTCAACCTTCTTAACATAAAGTTTCATATTTGTTACTTCAAAATGATAACGCGTTGCTACTTCCATAGCATTTTGTAGTCCAAATGTCATAAGAACAAATCGGGAATCGTTTGGTATAATTTCGATATCAACCTCACAGTGATTTATCAAATAAAGTGGTTGATTGAAAATATCTGCATCAAGTTTAGCAATGAATTGTGATGTTTTACTGTTTTCAAATAATCTTCGCCTTTCGATTGTATCTAAACCACCTTCTTGAGTTGAAGTATTATTGTAAAAGTATCCAGCGGCATTTAAATGTGAGCTCTTTGCGTTTTGTGAATATGAGAGCTCATGTGAAAAATAGGTTTTGTAAGCATAAAGGGAATTTGAATTGAACACTTCTCTTCCATTAACACTTATTCGCATATTATTAATAAATGTTTGTCCTATAAGCTGTATTGGAGAAACATTGTCTGCGACGGAAAGATTTACAAGTTGTCCACTTTCATTTTCTTTTCGAATTCGAAATTCAGTAAATAAATAACATTTAGTCAAATCAATATAATTTTGACTTGCATGAATTTTAAAATGGTAAGGTGTATCAGTGAGTGGATTGCTTGGCAGAATTTCAAAGACTTTGGATGATGAAATACTTACATTTGTAGGTGGAATTTGAAAAAAGTCTAAAGCATTGGTAATTGAGTTAATACTATCGTTATCAATTTTGTGAAAGGCCATTTTAGTAAAGACCAAAAACGTCTGATTTTACTCTTTTTTTAATCGGTTTACCAATTAATGTTTGATAACTAGGTAATTTTCTCCCTTTTATACCCTTTTTTCTAACAAATCCAGAACCAAATTGTTTAGGTAGGCCTCCCTTCTCCAGTATAGTATCTACACCCTTCTTTCCTTCACTGATGAAAGCTTCTTTGATTGGTTCTCCCTGACTAACTCTTTCAAGAACGCGTTGCCCTGTGTTAATTGCTTCTGACTTTACAGTATTTCCAACATTACGAAGAACAGGAAGAAAGAAACGCCATAGTCCGCGCATAACATCACCGACTCCAGCTCCTTTCTGAATGCCATATCCTCTTTGGAAGGGGGAAGACCCTCGAAAATAATCATATGATATTTCTCCACCACCGGACATCTCATTAGGATTGTTTCGGACAAAATCGTCATATCCTACTTTACTAGTATCAAAAACAACGTGCACCATTTTTTAATAAATAAAATTTATTTTAGAATTTAAATAATTACAAACACTATTTATATACACTTTGAAAGAAAATCAAAAATTTATTACTTTCTTAAAGATCAAGACAATGAGTACAGTACCAAAGGAAAATGGTACAAGTCTTCCATTATCCATCGTTCTTATTTCAATCTCAATTTCGTTAACTTCCTTTGGTAAAACACGAGCATATATTGGTGAATCATAAATGTTTTCATTATATTCTCCTGGTTTTGCACCGGCCACAGAAACTACACGTAAAAGTGAACTTAGACTATTACCAATTATCATATTTTCTGTTAGTCCTTTTGTATAAACCGCAAAACTTGAAAAACCACCCCTTAAGTCACATCCATACTTTGCAATTTCTCTGTTTTGGACCATACTTGAGTTTTCAAACCCCAAAACATATCCAAGTTGAGGCGAAAATGATAAATATTTAATGCTTGTATGAGTAAATTGTACCTTAAAACGTTCAAAATCCTTGTGATATAATATTTCTATCGAATCAATTATTTGTTTTTGGACTGAAGCATCAACCTTATCATTCTTTAGTCGCCCATACTGTCTTAAAAGAGCGGGCATGTTCGGTAAATAATTTATTCGGGCTTGGCGTGTGGGTGTTCTCCCTAGTATTTTTGTTAATATCTGTTCCATTTCTTCTGTCCATAATGGATCACTGAATGTTTCTTCAGGAGTTGGAAGAACAGGAAGTTTCGAAAGATCCTCGGTATTTGGTTCAGGCTGTGAAGGTTGAACAGGAGTTGTTGTTTCAGGGATCGGTGAAGGTTTTGAAATATCTGTAGGTTTGGGAGGCTCGATTATAACAGGTGGAAGAGGGGGTTGTTCTCCTTTTTGCTGATCTTGTGAAACAGGTTTTGTTGGAGAGGTATAACCAGGTAGAGACTTTAAAGGAGAAGTCTGTTGAGTAGGCATTGTGGGAGGGATTGATGGTGTTGCTGGAGGGTGTATGTCTGTGTACGTTGGTAGAGGTGGGGGCCTGTAAGGTTCATCTTTTGCCTCTTTATCTCTAGCAATTCCTTCAAACTCAAGTGCCCTAAATCTATCCATTCTATAATTGACAAGTCTTTTAAGTCCATCGATTTTAGTATTTAATTCCTTCTTTCGATCTTCATCTGTTTCCTCATCATACAAAGTTTTTGTATTAGAAATTTCCTGATATGTAGCGATCAACCCGTAAAAATTACTTCGTATTGCTGGCCAATAATCAGGGTTATCGCTGAAAAATTTATCAACATAGCCTTTATGGGTTATATAGTTCTCTCTGTTATATTGCTTAACAGTTTTTTGTTTGTCCCTTCTTAGTACAGCAGCATCAAGTAAATTTACTCTTTTAGTCATTCTTTCAATTTCTTTCTTGAATCTTGGTAAAAATCCCTCCAATTGTAAAGGTGTTTCCCTTTTATCTTCTATGAAGAGAGCTATTAGTTTGAGATGGTCTATAATTAATATTTCATTGTAATTTTCGGGGTAGGTTTCGAAAAAATCTACAACAATATTAACATCTGAATTGTTCTTTTCAAAATCCCTTCTTTTTGCTTCCTCTTCCAATTTTCTAATTCGAGATTCTAAAGCACTCCTTTTGTAACTAAGGTTCCAAAATGTTGTTGTCATTTCACTTTTAATTGTCTCATCTTGTTGTTGATCTGTTCTTAATTTAAATTCATCTAAAGATTTTGAATCCTCTACAAGTTTATCTTTTAAAATTTTTATTTGGTCCCAATATTGATCAGGATAATCTATGAACACTTCATCAACTTTAGGAATGATCCCCACTCTAATTTGCCTTAACTCTTCTAATGAACGTTTATTCCTTGGGCGTTTAAGTGAGGGCAGATCAACTAAATCTTCAGGTTTTTCCAAAGGCGAAGCTCCATAAGTTTCGCTTTGATGTTGAAGTGTGGAAATTAAAAATTCATGTAATTTCTCAACTGAAGTATGAGAAGCCTTTGGAACTGGAACTCGTAAGACTCTGCCCATTCCAAGATTATCTTTAAAATGTATATCAATCCATTGATCATCTAGTGTACCAATAGTTGCTGCCCATGAATATGGATAATTTATACTATGTAATCCACAGACCCAGTTACCAGAAAAATAGAGAGGCTTTGGTAAATGAACTCGAAATTTATTTGGACGATTATCTGGATAATCGGGAATATTGCTAGGTAGGAAGACAAAAAAGCTGTTTGACATAATTTTATCACAACAAAATTTACAATAATGAAAAAAATGTTTTCTTTTATACTAATTGTGATTCATGAATCCATTCTCGTTCTGGGTATCCTATAAATTTAACTAGAACATCAAAGGTTCCGTCTGGTCTCTTTCTTTTTCTCACAACTTTTTCAATTCTATATTCTGTATCGGCATCTTTTCTTACACGAGTTAACTCTTCATTGTAAAATAAACCTTTGAATTTTTCACCTTTATCGTCGCGGACTTTGTATTGAATAGGCAAAGGGGTTTCTTTTATTTTATCCACTTGTAATATTTCATCTCCCCAATTTGGTATGTATCCTTTTTCAAATGCACCTTTTTCTACACTCATTCGTACAAAATCATCCTTTTTAAGTTTTGGTTTTGTTTTATTATTTTTTGAAGAAAACATGTCTCCATAGATTCGTTTCCATACATTTTGAGCGTTATCAAAATTGACATCTATAGGTCGCATTCCATGAATTCTACTTTTTGCTTTATTTATTCCTTCTAAAATCCTTTCAAGGACATCAATCCAATTTAATGTTTTCTTTTGAGCAAAATTTCGGTAAAGTCGTTGTTTAACATTTCGAATTGCTCTTTCCGCAACGGAAGCTTTGACGATAGAATGTGTTGGCTCATGTTTTTCTATCCCCTCCTTTTCAAAAAATTCTTTCATTTGTTTATTTTTAAATTCGGTCCCCTTATCTGAAAAAATCCTTTGAGGTTTCATTGGCATTTGTGAAAATAAATTTTTAAAAGCTTCTATCATTTCTTCAGTCTTTTTGGATTTGACAGGAACACCAAACACTCGTTTAGATAGAACATCAATACCTAGAAGCAAATAACGATTTCCTTTATTATGTCTGGATAACTGTTGGAAATCTGCCAAATCAACTTGAACATCTGTCATAAACCCAGCAGCTACAGTTTTTGATCTTTTAAAATGAATACGTTTAGGTCGCATAAGAGTATATGTTCTAGTCCTTCTAGGTAATGTTGAATAGCTTTTCTTGGTATATGTTTGAGAACTTTACGTGCTTCATACCAAAGTCGGTCAATTCCTGAAAATGCCGCAGGGGATTCTGGGTTATTGTATAGATCATCAAGGAGTTTAGTATAATCCGCCATTTATTTACCAAAGAGATGGTTTAAAACTGATGATATCTTTTTGTGTCGGTTTCCTTACTGCCCATTTACTTTTTGATTTATAAACATTTCTTTTCTTCAGATTTTTAACCCATAATCTTGAAGCTCTTTGAGATTGTTTTTTGTTGACTTTTCTCTGGACTTTAGCAATTGTATGTCCATCTCCTTGTGACCATTCTGCTTTTCGTTTTATTTTTTGACGACTCAAGGGTGGGGAGGGAGATCTTCCCTCTCTCATTACCTTTCTAAAGCCTTTTGGTGCACCACTTTTTTCTTTATTACGTACTTGTTGAATAACATAAGGGTCTAAAGGAACCTTGAGTTTCTGTGACTTTCGTCGTCTTGCTAATAATTGTTGCCTTTTTTCATATCGTTTCCTATCAAGTTCCTTCAATTTATTCTCTTTTTGTTTTATTTCTTGTTCCCTTCTGTTGTCATAAATCTTTTTCCTCTTTTTATTTTCAAATTCACCCTGCTCTAATTCTCTTTTAATAATTCGTTGTTGCGGTGAGACATGAGATGATATTATTGGCACATCTTGGGATAATATAATAGAGTCTTGACTCCCTGTTTTTGAATATTTTGTACTTTTGCGTCGTGAAAATTTTTTCTTTGGTTCAGACACAATTTCCTTTTTTATTATTTTAGAATTTGTAGTTGGAGGTACCGGAGTAGAAGGTGGTGAGCTTTTCCTCAATTTCTTAAAACGTTTTTTAACTGATGTGGATGATGATGATAAAGATGGAGGATGAGGTAGTTTTTGGGGTTTGAAATTAATTATCGATTTAACATCTTTAGTAGATTGAAGAAAAGATGGAAGAGAAATATCATCAGTTGTCAATATTTCATCATCATCTTCGACTATGTTAGACGATGGACGTGTAGAATTGGTACTCATTATTGCTCCCTTAGGCGTAGCTACCATTTCTACTTTAACAGGCCTATTTTGTTGCTCATTTCTCATTTGTAAATACCGCCTGAGTTCTTGGTTATATTTTACATTTTTTGCACTTGGATTATCTTTCTTTCTTTTAATTTTTTCAAGATCATTTCTAATTAAATCGAGATTAGGTTCACCGGTATCAAAAGTAGTTAGTCCTTTATAAATTTCTTCGGGAACAAGAATGAATTTATTTGCCATGATTTGTTATTTTTTGTATTATTTATCGCTTTTTATAGAGCTTCCAAGTGATTTTGCTAATTCTATGAGAACAGGGGTCAATAACGCAGCAAAAGTTCCAATACCTCCACCTTTTTGATTTATAATTTTTCTAGCTCCGTGTTCACTTCTTACTCTACTCATTTTCCGCACAAAATCAGCATATGGAAGTAGTCGTTTCTTTTGAAAAGTTGTAAGTTTGAGTCTATCCTTTATAATATTCAGACAAATTTCAGTTATAGCTAACAACTGATTTGTATTTGAGAGTCTTAGCATACGTTGCAATTTGCGTTGAGATTTTGTTTTTGCAAGAACTTGTAAAAATTTTGAATTTTTCTGAATAATTTGACTGACCATTTATGCTCTATTTTTTGGGATAAAAATAATTTTTTCTTCGTCTTCTTTAAATATACTTGTGCGTAGTCTCAGTCCAGGGTCAGATGAAGCATGCATATCAATAACAAGATAACCAAAAGGTTTATTTGTTGCCTGTCTATATGCATCGAGGAAATAGTCGAGTTTTTGGGGAAATAGTTGGACGCCTATATTACGAACAGATAAGACAGAGTTAGGAGAACGCATTATAATAATATATTGAGCATTTTGTCTTGCAACTTTAATTTTACGTTCGAATAGATTCTGAGTAACAAAGACGACAGCAAAATTTTGATGATGGGATTTTTTTGTAAATAGCTCGGACAAATATTTTTCATCAATTGACATAAGCAAGTCGTCAAGTATTAATAGTAATGGTTTCTGATATTTTTTAATCAAATCCTCGGGGGGAACACCGGAATAAACACTGACACCTGATTTCTGTAGAATAGGGACAATATTACTCATTTCACCAAAACAATAGAGTATACTTTTAGGTTTGGGTTCAATTAAATTTGAGGCTTCAGAAATAAATCTCAGTAATAATGTACTCTTTCCACTAGAACTAGGACCAGAAATTATCATACCAAAAGGAATTTTAAATTTCAAATCTTTATCTGAAAATGTTAAAGTTTCCATTTTAATTAATTGAAAAAAATTAAAAATTTTTGCTTAAATAAGAAAAATTAACGAGGTATGTTATATAAAGCTTCGATAGCAGCCATCTCCTCTTCTTCCATTTCTGTAGCATGTTTCTTCAAATTATTCATCTTTTCAATCTGTGATGGAATTCCAGTTGTTGCTGCATCAAGACTGTCAAAAAATTCATTAAGCAAAACATTTTCTTTATTTTCTTTACTTTTGTCTTTGAGGATATTTTCATTTGTATGTTTTGTTGGTTTTTGTGAATTAACGGGTTGCTTTGATTTATTCTGTTTTTCTGATATTGTAGTTTGGTTGTTTAGAGTTGCCGGTTGTATCGGTTGTTGAGTTTGAAGTGGTAGTTGTGGTTTTACAGAGCCATATGGAATATTGAATACACGACCTTTGTTCTTAATCTTAATTTATAAAATTAATAGATAATGACTAGAAAATACATACCCGAAAGAAACATATTCCTGGTAACTCATAAGTTGAATCAAAAGGTACATAACGAGTTCCGGAAATACGTGAGCAATAGATTGTAATCCCATCTTTAGTGACAACAAAATCCAACTCCACTTCTGTACTTTTACATTCACGACACTTGCCCCCAATATCATACGCTACAAAACGAGAAGGAGTTAAACGGTCACTTGAAATTGTTATTCCGTTCAGATTAATACTAATTTCTACTTCAGGTAAAACTTGTCGAGTGAGAATTTTATTATTGTTCATCTTAGATAATTTTTTCAAGAATGAGTCAAGGAAATGAAAATCCGTTAAAAGAATTCGCTTTTTATACTACTTTCTAAACATCCCTCTTTGGAATTTTAGATCTGCTAAAGGACTGAAAATAGTTTTGAAAAATTCAATAACTGTTGAACTAGTTTCCTTTATGAATATCCATCCAGAATTTAATATACCATCGTCGATTTCACTAGTTGGTTTCGGTTTTGACGGAGGTCCATAATAGATTGGTATAATAGCTTTTTCTTTCTCATCCCAAACCCACCAATGATGACCGTATGGGGTCCATATTTCTTTATGCTCCAAGTCTTTTGGTACGCCTATGTTTAAAACTTCTTTGAAATTTATCGAAGGAGGTTTTCTTCGAAATAAAGATATAGCTCTCTCACACTGCCATATTTTATATTCAGATAAATTTTTAGCTTCAGCTAAAAATTTATGGAAAAATAATGTTATAATAATTAATTTGAATTTCATTTTGAAATAATTTTTAAAAAACTTTAAACCTATTTATATACAAACGAATCCCCCAAAATCTTTTCATCAGCAGTTAAAAATTTAGTATAGTCCTTCCCCTACACCTGTATTTAAAAGATGAGAATTAAATTTTGAGGATATTTCATCTATTTGACATGTGTACTTGTGGGGTTTTCAAATTCCCTATTTTAACTGGTTTGAAAATGAAAAAATAAGATAATAATTAAAAATTTTAAATGATTGATTTTAGTAAACTCTGGTTGATCTTGATCAATCGCTGATCAAAGCTGATCACTCCCTCTGTTGATCACTCTTACTGTCAATTTTCAGTATATTGATCACTCGATTGATTTCGATCAATTAATTAATCACATAATAAACTGATTGTAGTTTGATCACTATTAATATTTTTATCATTTGATCACTCATCTGATCACTCATTCACATTTTTATTACATGTTAAATTTAAATATCACTCGTTTATTTGATTGATCACGTAATATTTTGTTAATCACTCAGCTGATTATTCGATCACTTGATTGACCACTCATTTACTTTGATCACTCAATTATATGATTGACCACTCATTTACTTTGATCACTCAATTATATGATTGATCACATGAAACTTTTAATCAATCATTTGATTGATCACTCAAATAGTTACTTGATCACTTGGTTGATCACTAGATATATGAAAGACAGGTTTTTGAAAATAAAGTCCACCCCTACACTATTTGAACTAGATTAGATTTAAAATAAAATTAGCATATTTGATTGACAGATTTTAAAAGATAAAGCCATCCCTTTTTTAGATTAGATTTAAAATGAAATTTGCATATTTGATTAATAGATTTTTAAAAATAAAAGAAGAAATTTGAATTTACATTGAGATTAAATTTGCATATTTGATTGATAGATTTTTAAAAATAAAAGATTTGAATTTAGATTAAGATAAAATTAGAAAAGAAATGTTTAATAGAAAAGGAATGTTTAAATTTTATGAGAAAAAATAAGTTTGATTTTTGATGAGATAAATTATCAGCAAGTCATCATTCTTACCAAAAAACCACGAGTAAACGTGTCTTGACATCTAAAGGAAAACACCTTAAACTTTTTTGATTTTGCTAAAAATTCATTAATGATAAATGGTAAGTTATCATTAATTAGTTATACCATAACATTAATTTCCGAAGAAAATGCAACTAAGTATTAGGATTCCACAAAAAATTCGCTTTTGATAAAGGATAATTCATCGTTAATTAATAGTTACAAAAAACACCTAAAATCTGTTGAAATCTCTAACATAAAAATCCTATAGTTTTAGGATTGTGTCAAAAAACATAAAAGATAATTAATTAGTTAGAAGCGTTAAAATCTCGTGAGAAAAGGCGATGTTGAAAGGTTTGTGCCAATATGTTAAAAGTTAATTAATTTTAATTAAAAAATCCACAAAATTCTGAGAAAAACAGATAACAACAGAGCTCTAAAACTTTTGATGTTTATCTTAAAAACATGAAGACTCAAAAATAAACATGTTTAAACAGATTATTACATGAACAAAAATAATAATTAATCAATCTGAAACGTTCAAAACTAGAGGAAAAAAATTAAACTGAAACTTGTTTTAATCCTCTGGGTTGTCTCACAAAACCAAAGACAAAAAGAAAATTATGACAAAGTGATAAAAGATAATTAATCAGAAACCCCCTCAAAATCTTTTGAAAACCCCTCCTAAACCTTTGGGTTGCCTCTTTAGAAACAATGCGCCAAAAAAATAAAAAGAAGTTAACCAGAAACCCCTTAAAACCAAAAGGAAAACCCTCCTAAACCTTTGGGTTTTTTCTTTAAAAACATTGCGCGAAATTGGTATACTGTAATTAATCTTAATTAAACTCCTCCAATACCCTCAGGATATTAAAAGGAAACCCCCAAAACCTTTGGATTGTCTCTTGAAAGAATTTGCGCGAAGTTGGTATACTGTAATTAATTTTAATTAGACCCCTCCAAAACCCTTAGAAGATCAAAAGGGAAACCCCCTAAACCTTTAGGATCAAAGAGAGAACCCCCCTATACCTATTGGTTGCGCCAAAAAAGGTCATTAATTGTCCCGCTAAAAAGTGGTATGGATAACTACTAAAGACCGCCCCCTTCCCAAACCTTTCAACTGCTCTGGAAATTTTGTGGGAAAGAAAGGGAAATAAAGTGGTATGGTTAACTACTACTCAAGACTTTTCTTGGTTTTTTTCGGTCTTGATCTTGGGGTTTTGGAAAATTTTCTGTCATGGAAGTCTCTAGCAATAATTTCCTGGAGATTTCAAGTTCAATGCCGCCCCGGGGGATTAATCTTTTACTTTCTTCTCTTCATTTTTTTCCTTTTCTTTAAAGGTAAATGTTACTGGAATAAAACACGAAATAGTTGGGGCACGAGTTTTAACCATTCATTGGGTTTTTTTAAAGTTTAATTAAAAAATATTTTTTTATTTTAAAAAAGTTTATAACATTTCCAAATTCTGGCGATAATTTAGCTGCTTATTATCGTTATAGAGACAATTTAAATGGATTTTGGGATACAAAAACTGAAGTAAATTAAAAAAAGAAAAGAAATATTTTTTTTATTTTTTTAGGAATCAGACATTAAATTTATTCCACACAAGTTTGTTTAAAAATAAATAAAATTAAGGGGGTTTGGGGATCCTCTATCCATTCTAACGCTCAATCCTGATTTTTCAGAAGGCCTGGAGAGAATTTAAGACAACAGACAACATTTTTTAGCTTTATCAATGATAAATAATTTACTAGACATACCCCCCCCCCCCTCAATAAATTGTTAACTAAAAAGAAAAAAATTTTATTAAATAAAATTATTCTCTATTAAATTTTAATTTAAAGTGAAAAAGCAATGGACGATGAATTAAGATTAATAATAGAAACAGCAATCCCTTTTGTTTTGCCGGCAACAATTCAATTAATGTTTTTTGTTTATTTTACAAATTTAGCTAAGGATGTTAGAAAATCAAAACCTGTTGAAGCTTTTTTTGGTGTTATAAGTGTTTGCCTCAGTTTAGGGGCTACTTTTGGGTGAGTAAAAGTTTAGTTTAAAAAATTTGTAAAGAGAAGTGAAAAAAAGTTTGTTTTTGATAGACATTTCCTCTATTTTCACTCACTCGATTTTGCCAAAAAATTTAAAAAAAATATAATTCAAAAAGTTTTTAGAGGCGTATATTTAACATTACCTGGTTCATCCATTAATATTTTAAAAATCTCTGAAGTAGTTCATCTCTTTACATAATTTTTTAAAATAATATTGTTTTTTTAATAATTAATTTTTAAAGAATTATTTTCTTTGCCGGAATTCCTTTCAATCCTGTTTGTTTTTTTAATAAATTTTTAAAAAAGTATTTGATTTTTCTTTTTTAGGTTTCAAGTACAATGCCTTTTTTAATTCTTGCAGGTAATTAATTATTTTTAAAGTTGGCAACTTTCTTTTGAAATTCTTTATATATTTTTGAGATTCCCCAAAAAATTCTTTCAGAAAAAAATACCACAAATAAAAATCTTTTATAATTTTATTTTTTTAGTTGGAGTTGATGGTTAGATTATTTTACAAAAAATAATTATTTAAATTTATTTCTCTCTCAAAAAAAGATGCTTTTTTATTGCTTGGTGCTTGGAGAATGACAGACCCGAGGTGGTCTTTAGAACGTCGAATGGGGGTTACAATGAGTGATGCTGGGGCTTCGATAACTGTTACTTCTTTAACTAATTTTGGATGTTTTGGTAGTAAAATTAATAAAAAATATTTGGGGGGGGGGGGGGGGTATGGAAGTATCTCTTAAGGAATTTTCCCCTCCCTCCTTTCTTTCCTTTCAAAAATGGAAGGGATAATTGAGGGACAATTAAAATATATTTAAAATAATTTTTATTTTTTTAATTAAGCTCTCGGTTATTTTTTATCTCCAACCCCAGCAGTAGCTGATTTTTGTATTATGACAGCTGTGGGTGTTGCTATGGATTATTGTTAAGTTTTTAAAAAATAATTAGTTGATATTTCCGGATATTTTCTCTTTTATTTTTGTAAATCCCCCTTTAAATTAATTTTTAATTTTCAAGTTTATCAAATAACCTTTTTTGCCTCAATAATGGTTTATGGAGGAATGCGTGAAGAAAAAGGGGGAATGGCTGCTTATTTTAAGTAAATAAAGATTTTTAAATAAATTTATTTATTTAAAGATGCTGCAATAAAAATTTACAAGAAAATAATAAAGAAATTGAGGAAAAAGTTGAGGAAGAAGAAGGAGATAATAAAAGAAGATTAACTGATGAATTACATGAACGTAAATATTTTTATTTAAATTAGGGAACGCCCACAATACACCCTCGAGGTACTGTTGAGGTATAACTTCGTTAAAAACTATCGAATCCGGGATGTCTTGATATGGTTCGATCTTCACTCTCTCTACGAGCTGAATTTAACCATACTTTTTAAAAAATAAATCTAGCCATACAGGGCGTCCCGGATTCGATAATTTTGAATGAAGCTATAGCACACACAATCAACGAAAAATTAATTTTTAAACACTCCAAAGTTAAATTTTAAAAATCGGCAAAAAAGTCAATACAATTTAATAAATAAACAGTTAAAATTAAAAATAAGTCTTTTGATAATTAAAAAGGCGAAAAATATTAATCAAAAAAATTAATCAAATCTTTCTTTTTAAAAGCAACAATAATGCATCGGTTTTTCAAAGAACATTTTGGGCCTTTTATTCTTAAAAAAGAAATAAAATTAATTAGTTGGCTAATATTTTTATTATATATTTGCTTCTCTTTTTATGGTTGTGTGAATATGAAAGTTGATATTTCCCCTAAAGTATTTTAAGAAAAATTTTTTAAAAAATAAAATTTAAATTTAAAAAAGAAATATATTAGAGATAATTCTCCAATACAAACTTTTGTGTATTTGGCTGGTTTGTTTTTTAAATTAATTTATTTTTTAAAAATATTGGGAAAGGCGTGGTAAAGGGGTGGAGGATTGATTTGTTTACAGACAAAAATTCTTTTAAAAAACATCACTACCTATCTAGTGTCAAGGGGGTCTAACCGACATAAAAAACTGATTTTCGGGAATCGGGGCGACTAGCTGGACCCCCTCCTCCCTCTTGTCCATCTAAAATAAATTTATTTTACTAACTTCTCTCTTCCCTTTTTTTGTAGATAAATATATTTGGGCAGATAATGTAATGCCAACAATACATATAATGGACCCTCCAGATTTTAGAAATTCTTCACAGAGGGCTAAATTTAATGAAATGGTTTTCAGATTAGAAAATACAAATTACAGTATTGGAAGAGTTTCGACTAATTTATGGGTAATTTTGAGAGGGGAATTAAAAATATTTATTTTAAAAAATAGTTATGGGAATATCAATCATATTTAAATGATTTTCCCCAAGTTATTTATGAAAGAGATTTTTATAAACGTTTTCATCTTCGAAATTTCTTTTCTCAATTTGATTATCAACAATTTAGAGGTAAAAATAAAATTTAATTAAAAGTCCCTATTATAAGATATCCCCTATATCTCAGAGATTGCAAAAAAAATTTTTAAATAGTCGAAAGACAACAGGTGAAGCATAAAAATATCAAAAATTCCGCGAAAAGCGGAAGGGGAAACGGTGGACCCTTGTATCCCCTCCTTTATCCAGAGCTTGTTCAAGAGTTCGACTTTGATATTTTTGAACTTCTTTCGATCCCCGATCTTTAAAGTTTTTTTGCTTCGAAATAGCTCTCATAATACGATACCCTCCCTTATAAGATATACAAATTATAGCGAGATCTTAAATTTTACTTAATTTATAATTAAAAAAGGAATGGTTAAAATCAGAGATGATGTCCCTGATGGGGAACCTTGTATTAAAGCTTTTACTTTCCAAACAAGTTTTTATGGTTTAAATTCTTGGGAAAAACGTCAAACAGAACTTTTTCGTTGGAGAAGAATTTTAAATGAATATCCAGAAATTAAAGCTTTTTTGGCTGGAATATTTTCCCCTTTTTTAATTGATCAAAGAAAAACTATTGCCCCTTCCTCTATGCAAGTATTTTAAATAAATAATTAAAAAATAATTTTCTAAAAAAAAGTCTGTTGGTTCTGCTGTAGCCGTAATGACTTTAATTTCTTTATTTTTCCTTCCGGATAAACAATCTGTTTTTGTAATGTCTTTTTCTTTAATTTCAATTTCTATGGGTGTTTGTGGATTTCTTTGGTATTTTTTGTCTAAAATTAAAATTAATTTTTCATTTCAGTCTTTGGGGGTCTGAATTAGATTCTGTCTCTATGGGATGTTGGTTTTTTTTTAAATTTTTTATTTAAATTGAGTTGGTGTCGATTAAATAAATAGTAGTTAATCCACATTTGGTGTCCACAGATTTTGTAATCTTAGAGGAGTCCGCTAAACTTCTATGTGGGATCACTACCTCGCGACAGTGATTAACAAATAAATAATTACAAAAGATTACAAACCACTTCACTAACTACCGCTAATATTAAAGACTGGACAGGAAATTAGGTTAAAAAAATTTTAGATCTAGAATCCGGTATTTAATTAAAATATATAACCTTTATATTCTGGATATACATACTAGAGATTATAACTTTCCAAAAAAAGAAAAGGGAAATTAAATATTAAAAACGAATATTCAGCTAAAGACGAAAAAAAAATAAAAATATATTTAAAAGGTATAATAATGGCTATTGGGTTAGCTGTTGATTTTTCTATCCATATTTGTTATCGTTATCATCGTTGTTCCTCTTCGATGACTGCTGAGGTTATTTTAATTAAGAATAATTTTTTAAATTATTTTGTTTAGCAAAAAGTAATTGAAACACTTTCGATTGTTGGGTAATTAATTAATTATTTAAATAAAATTTAAATTTAATATTTTTAGATATCCAGTTTTACAAGCTGGGGGGTCTACTTTATGGGCTATGACTACTCTTCCTCTTGTATTTTTTTTCTAAATTTAATTTTGAATTTTTCCTCAATTCCCTTTTCTGATAAATTCAAATTCCAATTTAAATTCTCCATGAGGATACGATGATTAAAATTTTTAAGTTGTTTCCATTAATTAACAATAAAAATTAATTTACAATTAATTAACAACAATCCCATTAATTTCTATTTATTTAATGTAGCCCAAAGGGGAATTAGAGGGAGAAAATAAAAATTTTTAACTTTGAAATTATCCAAAATTTTATTTAAATTTAGATTCCTGCCTATCTAGTTAGAGTGTTCTTTCAAGTAATTTTTTTCATTAAAAAATTTTTTAAATTAAATTTATTTAAAGACGGTTGTTTTGGTTAATATATTTGGACTTTTACATGCTTTAGTTAATTTTAATTAATTTATTTAAATTTAAATTAATTAAAGGTTTGGTTACCACAATTTATTTCAGCTTTGGATCCTTTAGAAAGAATTCGTAAAAAATTAATTTTTTAAAATTATTTTTAAATAAATATTTTTTTAAGCTCGAAGAATTCGCCATCCACACAGTCAATAAATAAATTATTCAAAATTTATTTTAAATTAAAAAAAAAGGAATTTTTTTCCTCGATTAATTGCGCCTATTCAAATTTTTTTTGCAAAAATTTTATTTTTTAAATAAAATTTTTTTTCTGATATTTTCTTGTTATTCTCTTAGTATGTATATGTATAATAAAGCTTTTATTAAATATTTACAATTGTCGCTTTACTAAAAAAATTATTTTTATCAATTTTGATTATTAAAAATTTTTGTAATAAAAAATATTTAAAAGATATTTTTGTCTATAATCCCCGTAAGCTATTTTTCCAATTAAATTAAAAGGGTTTGAAAATAAATAAAATTTATTTAAATAGATATTTTATTATTTTCACATTTTATATTCACAATTTTCATTAAAAAAAGTAGAGAGAATATTTTTACAGTAATATTTTTGAAATTATTTTTTCTTCAAAAAGTTGTTTTTAAAAATTCTTGTTAACTTGCTTAATTCCCAACAGAAATTTCCGACAGTTCCGATTTCCGGCACCTTCGTCATTTCCGATTCACTTCTGATTCCCAAAAAAAAACTTCTCTAAAATTGGGTCTGAAATTTTGTTTATGATTAACTTACCCACAATTAAAGTCCCCGATTATTTTCCCTTTCTTTTAAATTTAATTAAAATTCTTTTTTTCTCTTTGTTTAATTAATTAATTTTTCTGTTTTTTTTTATTAAAATATTTTAAAAAGTAATTCAATCATTTCCCGGATGTTTCTTTTAAATGGCCAAATATTTTTTTACAAAACTTTAAAATAAAAAAAGAGAGAGAAAAGATGTGTGGTGCGCGAATTCTTCCTCCCCTTCCTTCATTCCCCTCCTCTTCTCTCTTCTTTTTTCCCTCAAAAACCTCCTTTTCCCTCCTCTCAATTCAACAACCCCGTTCCACATAAACAATTAAGAACAAAGAAATTAAACAAATAATAATTTTATATGAAAAGGAGGAAGAATTTGTAAAAAAAATTAACAAAAAATGTTAACAACTATCAATTGCCACACATTTTTCATTTTTATTATTTTTTCCTATCAAAGGCTAGGTAATTAAAAGAAATTTTGAGGTCATTAGGATGCGGGGGCCTTGGGCAAGAAAAATGTTAATTAAATATAGTTGGGACCTTATTAAAAGATTTTCTCAACTCTGAGTCTTATAAAAAGTCTACATCACTTCCATGCAAATTTTGTATCTTAAATTGGGCGTATCTCTAAAATTAAGGTTCGAATATTCAAAGCTTAAGTGTTTTACTGAGGATCCTTCTGTTTGATTCCTCATTTCGTTTTGGATACCCTAACGATTTCTTAAAGCCGACAACCCTTCTTTCAGAAATTTTCTAAAGACCCTCTTACAAAATATTCCTCCACCCTTTCCCTCGCCCTTCTCTTTCTCAATCCCTTTAATTCTCATGATGGTTTCTCAATCCCCCTTCCTCTTCTCTTTTTTTTTATCTTTCTAATAATCCCCCCTCTCGATTGAGATTGAACGAGAATTGACGATTGCGCAATTCTATTTATTTATTATTACCACACCTCCACATCCTCACTTCCCCCCCTTCTCCCTCCTTTTTTTTAATAATTTTTAAATTTCCCCTTTTCTCAAAAGCATTTCATTTTTTAATTTTTTGAGATTGTCCTTCTTTCTCCATTCATTTTCTTTTTTTTAAACATTAAATCCGCTTCTTCAAAGCTATTAAAAATATGAAGATTTTATTTTTTGCCGGAATTATTACTGTTTTCGTTATTGGCATTCAAGGCGGAGGTGAAAGTGTTGTTGGAATTGGTTAGAAATTTTAAATAAGATAAGGGTTGCATTTTTCGATTGACCCAAATTCGATGTTTGACGGCAGATAAAAGCTACTTTTAGTCTAGTTTCTGAATATTGATATAATCAGGATATATAGGTTGATTGTATGCATTAAACCTTGAGATAACGTTTGTTAATTGTAAAAACCAAATCCCCCTCCACATTTATCTACATATTTGTATAAATTTTGTGTTCATTTGCTTGAAAATTATTTTTTTCCTTTAAATTAGGATCAGCTGAAAAAACTACAAATTCTTCCTCAAAAGTTGATGGGGGTGGTGATGTTAGTTCTGAAAAGACAACTCCGGCCTTTTCTTCTGGAGAGCTTTCAACATCAACAATGCCAAATCCTCCTCCACCGGCTACACATCCAAATTCTGGCGAATCACCTTCTGAGCAAAAAGTAAGCTCACAATCTGCTGAGAAAGAAAAACCAGACGAAAATAATAATAAAGCTCCTTCAACTAACGCAAAGGTAAATAGAAAATAGATTTTAAAGAAAACTGCAATATTCCTTCTTAGGATATGTCTTCTGGCACCGGTGGAAGTGGAACGGGTACTACAAGCGCTGAAGGTAATCTTAATTATTTAAGAAGGAAGTTTTAATAATTAGGCTTAAGTACGAGCCTTTAGGTCCTGATCCTCGAGGCTCGTTCTGATCAGGCCTGCCCGGTGCACAACTTATTTATCAATATAAATCCAGAAATACATATCGTAAATTTTTCCTGTTTCCCCCGAAAAAGGGAGGTGGATGTGGGAAGTGTAAAGAAAAGTTCTCATTATATTTAATTTTTTAGTTGGACATTCAAGCAGTGAACAACCACCAAACGGAGCAGGCCGATCATCACAACTTCTTGGCTGGTTAACTTCTTCAGTTTTGGTATTGCTTGCATGGGCTACGACTTTCTGAACGCGAGGAAACGAATTAAATTTTTTTCTAAAATCAAAAAAAGTCTCTCTTCCTTTTATGCTCTCTCTCTATTTTAGATTATATTTAAAATTATTTAAATTTAAAAATAACAAAACGGTGATATAACAATTTTCCTTTCATTATATTTTAAAAGATAAAAAGAAATTCATCAAAATTTTATTAATTTGAAGTTTTTATTTACAAAATAAAATCTAGTTTCAGGAATAGTAGTTGGACATCACTTTAAGATATACACTTATTAGTGAGGAACTGTATATTATGATATGTTTATCTCCAGTGGGCAACCAATTTAAAAAACGTATACTTAAGGTATATCTCAAAGTGAGGTCTGAATGTATAGTAGTGAGGGAATTGTACTAGAAAAATAACAGAAAATTAAATCCCAATTAATAGGATGAAAAATTAGATGGACAATCAGCACCGTAAAGTATAAAATAAAGATCACTCAAATAAATACGCACCCGTGCCTCCTAAAAATTTTAGATTTAATTAGCAAGGTCTACTCTACTTACAGTAGCAGGATTTGAAATAATTGTCCAGATTGCATGGCATAATCGTTTTGTGTTTAAAGGGTACATTGCTGCACTACAAAAGAAAAATTAATTTTATCTATGCAGTAAGATTATACATCCAATACTACCAGATAAACTTAAATATTTGGTTTGCGGGGGAACTAGTAAGCGAACCCCTTGAATGATTATTTTCATTTAATATAAACTCGTTATAGGATAAGATTTTATAGTCACAAGAGTGCATCTTATATTGATATTTTAATTTTTACTTGTCAGTATGTTCAAAAGGTGGCTGAATACAAAGTCTATGTGCAAGTGAATAACGAATATAAGGATTTGGATCAGTAATTACAACATCAATTAATCTAAGAATTGTACCAACAAATGACTGAGATCTACTTCTTCTAATCATTGCAACAATACAAGCTAGTGAAGTAAAACGAAGCTTAAATAAATAATAAATAAATAACAGGTTTAAATAAAAAAATAAAATTACCGGAGCATAAACATTTTTAGATAATCCAAACTTCCAAAAAACTGAAAAATAAATTTTTTTAAAGAAACAATCAATCCAAAAGGGGAGCAGGCTAATCCACCCTAAACGTAAAAATGTCAGGTAAAACCGGTTGTAGTTATTGGGACTAGCTGGAAATTCTTTTTCAAACTCCAACCTTCTGTATCCTGAGGAATATGATGACAACGTTGGAGCTGAAATTAAAAAAAATTAACAGAATTTAATTCAAAAAATCTTTTTTAAAAATTTACCTCATAAAGTACTTGTAAACAATGTGTACTAACAATTCTTTGAAAACTTGGTTTCATCATATCCATATTTAAAGCATGAGTAATTTCTTCCAAAATACTACTCGCATGCAAACTCATTTCTTGAGGTGTTTCTATTAAATTTTCTGACATTACAAGGGTTTTTCCAAGAGCATGAATTAAAGAACCTCTTTGATAATCATCAGAATAACTTTTTTAAATAATAAAAATTAAAGATAAAAGGTTAAAACATCTCGAAAAATTCGAGAATGTTCTATTCTAGTGTTTTCGAATATGCTAAACTTGAGTCAGCTATCTTATAGTAAGGTCAGAAATATATAAATTTTTACCGATTCATCGAATTATCATTAAGTCTAATTAAACCCAATAAAAATTCAACAATATAATTGGGACAATATTTTCTCCCTTCTCCACGAATTGAACCAAGAGCTGATGGCAAAGACTTTAAAATATTTTAATAAGATTTACTAAAAAATTTCTACTTGGAAAAGAAAATAATTTTGTAAATTTGATGAAGTAGCAACATAATTATTTGCTTGAATAATATCTGGGCAAGTTTTGCAACAAAAACTTTGTCTGATATAATCAATAAGTGGAGGAGATTTACCTAATTGACTGTCCGGAAGACTGTTGTAAATATGTACAAGACAAAATGCTGCTTCTTTTCGAATTCTTAAAAGAGGAATAATTAATATTAAAAGGAAATTAATTTGGCATAAAAATTGGTACGGATTCTTCATTATTCCCCCCCCCCCCGTTCTTTTATTATTAATAGAATACAAAAAAATTAAATTACCTATAATAAAGTTTTTCATTTCGAACTGTATCTTCAAGTATTGCAAGTGTTTGATGTCTAGGAAATTGGTGGAGAGCCTCAATTGCTTGTTGTTGTGCCAAAACATCCCTCTCATAAAGTAAAATAAATTCCCACTGATAAAATGGTTGGGTCATAAAAATTTGACGTAAAAGAAGCATTTCTGGATCAATTCTTGAAAATTGTAAATTTTTAACGTTGAAAAAAATATATTTATAATGAGGGGTATCGTATGTAGAAAATATATAATAGTTTTCCCTCGCCTAATCTCAACCAAATTTAAAAACGTATCTTAAATCGAAAGACATATCTACTTTTGGTTGTTCCTAATTTTGGTAAGGCTGTATATAAATTATACCGAATCCATAAAACAGGAGAATCAGCATCCATTTGAGATAAATCCATTTCAACTTCCTCTCCAGTACCCAAAATAACTTTTTTCTTTTTTAATTTTCTTCCTTTAGAATGGCATTGAATATCATGTTTTGAGACTGCAGCATCTACTTGAACTGTATGAACAAAATGCCCATCAATTTCTTGGACGACAATAGTTAAAGGGCCGGCATATCTGAAATAGAGAATGATAAAATCCAAAGTTTTCTATGCTTAAAAGAACAAAAATCTCAATGTTAGCAAAGGTTTTACACTTAACATTAGTAAGAACATCCCAGTCTTCAAATATTTTTAAAAATCAACCTTTGACATCCAATAGGAGTAGGAACAGCTTGTCTAAGTTCTAGTTCAATAACATTTCTTTTCCTATTAAAAGCATGGGAAACGTGAAATTCAACATGTCCTCCAACATCAATCCATTGCTCAATAAACGAAGGAAATTCTTGTCCAGTAACATCCGTTACAATTCCCATAAATGATCTTGTAGAAATTAAAAGTTGTGACCATTCGGCTGGTTTGTTTAAATTTTGAGTATTTTGCATTCCAATACTTAAAATTCGTTGAAAAACCTTAAAACAAAAATTTTGTCTCTTGTCAAGTCTATGCGTCCCATAAAGATATTATAATAATGGATTTTCTTCGAGTTTCAAAGTTCGTATAAGACTTCTATTTTTGATTCATAGCCTGTTTCAGGATCCATAGACAATTGAGGTCATCCGTTAGCTTATTTTAGGGGTTTGATATTTTGGACATTGTAACTGCACAAACAATTTTGGTGGTTAGAATTTTACTAAACTTCAATATAAATAAAATACATTGTTTCACCCCGAAAAATCTTTTGAAACCCAAATACAACTTTGAAATCTTATGTCTACAAGGTTTGTAACCTTGTGGATGCCTAAACTGGACAAGAGTCAATTTTTTAATTAAAGAAAAAGAAAAACTTTAATAAATTGTTCTTTAGGTAATCTTTTATCCAACATTCTTAATATTAAATGTCCTCTTTTAAAAAGCGTTTCCAAATAAAGAAGTGAACAAAGTTCTGGCAATGAACGATCAGATGAAGATTCGTCAAATTCTTCTGATTTTGAACGAAGTGTTATTGGACCAAAACGCGACTCGTATTCGCAAGAATCTTTTAAAAATTTTTGTACTTGAAAAAGAAATTCACAAGTCCCAAAAAATCGTTCAACAAAGATCCCAGTCATGAAACTAAAAAGTTAATTTGTAATTAATTTTTAAATATTTTAAGATATGCTCTTACTTAAGCACTAAAAATTTTCACTTATAATGAGGTGTATCTTAAATAGAAAGTAATGTGTAGTCAACTTCCAAACAGGAGTATCTAGATTCTAACTAAAAAGCAACCTAAACCTATGGATAGTATCTCCTAATGATGTCCGATTTTAAAAATTTAAAACCTTGAAATTGCCCCAATTAACCAAATTTCTGAAAAATCTTTTGAAGTAACAAAACATCCAAAAAATTGTTGTGCCACTGCTTTTGCCAAAATTTGTCTCATGTGTTGAACTGTATCCAAAATCTTCTTGTGGTATAAAATATTTAAGGAAAATATTGAAAGACCAGAATATGTTGTTAATTCATCTGGGGTCTTTAAAAAATTTAAAAAACTTTTGTAAAAATCGTAAAAAATTACCTGATCAACAAAAACCTGCCAATAAGTGCTGTAAGGAAATCTACATGAAAGCAATTCTTCAAAGAAAACAAATATTCTATTTAATGAAGTCATTGTATGCCTAAGTAAAGGCATTAAAGATGGAAGAACAAAGCTAATAATCTTTAAAATAAATTTTTAAGTGTTTTATTTTATAAGTGTTGGGAAAAGGAATAAAGACAAAAAGGGGAATGATATTGAAAAATGAAACTAAAATCTTAATTCGGTATCGTCGATTTTTCCAATAAATATTCAATGGAAAAATGGGTTAAAAAAGCCTTTCAAAAACCCTAATCACAAGTAAAAAAGCCATCTAGAAAAAGCCACGAAAAATAAAATATTAACAACCTCGGGCATTTCTGGTTGAACATACATTTGAAAATCTCCAATAGCAAATCCAATATTTCCCGGAGCTGTTGGAACAAGTAATTGATAATGAAAAGTTTTTAAAGAATCGTCATCCAAAACAGAAGTTGTATCCTATAAATTTAATTTTTTTAATTAAAAAAATAAATAAAATTATACAATTAAATCACCACAACAAATTGCTGTTAAATTTTTAGGAACTGTAAATTCAAATCGCCAAACACAAAGTTGAGAAGGACTTTCAAAACAAGGAAGCCATTCTTTCGTGCTAGATATTAAATTGGAACGAAAAGTGAATAAATGTGAAGGAGAAATATTATTTTCATTAGAAATATCAAAAACAAATTTGATACCCTGAAAAATGTAAAAAATGAAATGAAAGAAAATATTTGAAATTTGAAAAGAGAACGAACGTAAATTTTTTCCCTGGGGATCAGGGCAATATCGAATCATTTTTCTTCAGTTTAAACTTTAGTTCAACTGTTGTGACAAATTATTTGAAAATTAGAATTTACCACTAACATAAATAAAAAAATATTGATCTCCTGCAGAGTAAAACGTAAATAAAATACTTTTTTACAATTAAATTAGATTCAAACAAGCGAGGAATCGGGGAATCCTCTTACATGTCAGAAACAAATAAAAAGCCGTTATTGAATAAATACACTAATTATAAATAAAATCCAACCTTACATTTCGAGGTTTAGAAACAATCAAATCCATAGCGAGTTTCATAACTTTGTGAGTTTGAACATAATTAATGCACTGATCAGGAATTTTAATTATTAAATCACCCAGATGAGAATCTATTGCTTCAATAAAAGCTTTTTTGCATGATTGAATAGAATAATTTGATTGATCAGTTGAAAAATTCTAAAAAAATATATTGGAAAATAAACCATTAGGGTTAAAAAATTGTCTTATAATCTAAAACAAACCAAATTAAAAATATTTCGAGTATAAATTGCATCAAAATCGTCAATTGTCACTTTTCCAAATCCCTCAAAACGTGCTTCATTTGGCAAAATACAATCTAAAAAATGAATTTAAATTAAAAATATTTTTCTAAAAAAACCTCTGCCGATGTTGAGAATTATATTAGATAAATTTGATTTGAGAGGAATAAAAGCAATTTCTGTTGAAACACGAAATGATTGTTTTTCAAAATTTATTTGAGATATTTGAACACTTTGACTTAATATACGAAAATCAGACGAATTCATTTCCTAAACAATAAAATTAAATTATTATAAGTACATATTAACGTGAAAATTAAATTCTAAACGAGGTATAAAATATGAGGAAGTTTTTAACTCTTGAAATAAATAAAATTCGAAGAAATACTTTCGACTTGGCGACTAAAGTTCCGAATAACCTTGGAGACCAAAATTCCGGTGACCAAAATTCCGTAAACCGTTGAACACTGGGACGAATCCGGGAGGAACGAATTGGGGAGCAGAAGCCATCCTCTTGCGACTAACTGCTCGCGTCGAAATGTCTGTTCCTATTTTTGGCATTGTGTTTTTAAGCATTAATTTTAAATTAAAAATTTTTTATTGGCTTGGTTTTTTTTCTACATTTTTACTTTAACTTATTTAGATTTTTTCAGATACATACCTATTTATCAAAAATTAAAATGGGAGATGTGCGTATGATACTCGAATTTTTTCACAGCCATGTTCCTCAACTTCAGCTTACACGTGAATCACTTGATAATCCTCAGGTTTTTTCTAAAATTATTTTTAATTTAAAATACTCTTCTAGACCGATCAATTAATACAAGCTTATAATTATTTATGTGGACTTGTACTTGAAAATATGAATTGTGAAATGGCAGACAATAATGTTGACCAAGTATTAGCTCGACCAAATTTAGTAATTAAAACTAGAGAATCTGTGTAAGAGAACTTTAGTTATATTTTTATTTAAATTCCTTTCCTTTTAGAAATTTGGTTTTCGAAAGTATTTTCAATGGGAATGATGAATTTTGCTATACAGATTTACTCCAACCTGATCCACGCAGAACCAGGCATTTTCTGGTCACTTTAATTCGTTTCTACTGTTTTAAATGTGAGATGTCAACAGAAGTTGTGAATATTGAAAATGAACTTGTTAGTTTTATTAAAATATTTTGAAGCCTTAGGGACCCAAATCGTTTTGATTTAGTAGTAAAATGGGCCCCTAGTGTTAAAAATTCTTTAAAATATTTCACACTTTATAGGAAGCTCAATGTCGTACTTACAAGCTTGAAAAGGATTTTGCTTCGAAAACAGAAGCGGTAAATTGATAAAAATAAAATTTATTTAAATTTTAATTTCAAAGGATATAAATAATGAAAAGAAACGATTGAATGCTCTTGAAGAAGAAAAACATTTAATAGAAAGCCAGGATCTGAAAACTCAACAAGAATTGATGACAAAAAGGGCATTAATTGCTACAGAAAAAAAGAAGTGTGAAGAAGTTCAAAAGCGTTTAAAGGAGTTGGAGGCCGAAATTGTTTATTTTTAAATTAATTTTAAAAGAAAAAAATTTTTTTTCTTAAGGAAACGTACAAAGAAAAAGGTATTCAAATAGAAGACACGCTTAAAAGATTGGATTTGAACATTGTTACTTCACCTGAACTTCTTATTGAGGAATTAAAAAAATTGGAAAAAAATCGATTAGATGTGGAAAAGAAGTTGGAGGATACCCAGTTAGTTTTTAGTTTTAATTTATAATAAATATAGTATTGTGATAATGTTAAAGCGGCATTTTCGGGCGACATTCGGGATATTCAAAAATTGTTTTATAAAACTGGTGAGTAAGCAGTGATACGTTGCAAAGCGTAGGTGGTTGGTTGGTTGATGGTGGTTGGCTTGTTCGCAAATTTTAATCAATGAGTAATTAAAAATATTTAATTTTCAGAAAAACTAAGCGAAAAACTGAATATGAAGTAGCTGAAATACTCGCAATGGGTCAACGAATTGATGCTCTTGGAGAAGACTTGGAAAAGTTGGAAGAGTTTAAACGAAGAATGCCTGAAATGAGAGGGAATGAAGATAAAATAATTCAAGTAAAATTTTTGAAAAGAATCCTCCTGACTAGGGTCTATCACTCACATCAGCACAATGTGTTGAACAAAATTCAGTAACCTACTTTACTTTTCCTACATTATTTAGATCTTGAACCTAAAAGTATCCATTAAAACCCGAGAATAAATGAAAGTGAAAAAGGAACGAACAAACTTGCAAAAAATTGAAAATCTTTTTTAAAATTATTCTTTAGGAAGTTAATAATCTCGAGAAAGAAAAGAATGAGATGCGTAATAAATTGGAGCATATCAATAAAGGAGCTGTTGAAGAACGCACAAACATTAAAGAAAAAATTCTGGCTACACGGATCGAAGTGGAAGCAATTAATCAAAAAATTAAAAATTTGCAAAGGTTTTTTGAACTTTATTTTATTTTTTTATTTTTTTTAAAAGTGATGAAAAGGAGCTTTCCAATCGTCTTTTTAAAATAAAGGAAAATATTCGTGAAAATATGTCAAAAAATGAGGAAATGGATCGAAAATTTGTTTTGACAACGGAACGTTTTGATGAAATAATTAGAAGTCGATTAAATGATCTTAAAATGTTGAAAAAGAAGGTTTGAATATATTTAGACCTCATTTTCAAATACCCCCAAAATTAAATATTCCTTTAATTTTTGGAATTTATTGGTGAGCTGATTAGGCGAGATACCAATTATTTTAAGATGCTTTTCATTATAAGATAAAAATTTCTAGTCCAAAAAGGGGTATTTTACAATGAGGTTTGTATTTGTCAAGTAAATGATAATTTTAATATTTTTATAGACTGATGATCAACACAATGTGTTGGACAAAATTTTAAAGAGAATGATGAATTAAAACAATTTTATTTTTTTTGTGTGTAATTTTATGTTTTATTTGAATAAAAATAAAAAGATATTTTGTTATGTATTTTAATATAATCTGCTATCTCTTTAATGAGGTATTGAATCCTATTATTTTTTGCTTTTAAACTGAATATCACCCAAATGCTTTTTGTCCATATTTGCCTATATTGACCTTTTGTCTTTTAATATTTTGTAATTTTTACATTTATTAGAGAGTCCAAAGAAAAAGAGGGGACACGCCCAAAACCGAAACGACGCGGGCCAGAACGTCGCAGGCCGAAACGGCGCAAACCCAAAACTGCACAAAGTGATTAATCGTGTTGTCAACAAATGATCAACCATGAGAGTGATCAATTTATCTCGAGTGATCATCCTGTTTGTGATCGATCAGGCCTTAGTGATCGATCAAGAATCACTAACCACCCTTTTGGTATACGGATCCTTGACTTAATAATTAAACCTTCAAATAAGGTTTTGCGCGCAACGGGAAATGTCCAACAAAGAAGAGGATTTTTCCAACATTAACAAGTGTTGTTCCAACAACGGGGAAGGTTGTCCCGATGACGGGGGATGTTCTGACAGTTTGCGCCTTTTTGGCGTTGCGCCGTTTCAGCCTGCGACGTTTTGTTTGCGCCGAAAAAGAGATGTGGCGAAGTGGGAGAGCAAAGTGAATGACTTTAAACTATTTTTTAGTGATCCTGATTTGGTTACGTTGCGTTTAGTTGCTTAAATAATATACCTAAATTTCTTTGCTTATAGGGATTCTCAATAAGTTAGATATCTCATGTATAAATTAAATCCATTTAGCTTTAATTTTTAAAAAGTTATTTCAGATAAAGAATATTTTAAAAATTTTAAATGTCAACTGCCGTTTCCCCAGCATTATCTATGGATGACTGGAAAGCAGAACTTAATCTACCTACTAAAGACCTTCGTTTTAAGACTGCTGTGAGTTGTCCTTCCCAAAAGCTTTGCGCATATTAAATCTAACAATTTTAAGGATGTAACAGCGACTAAAGGTATCGAGTTTGAGGAATTTGGTTTGTCACGCGATCTTCTGAAAGGAATTTTTGAGAAGGGATGGGAGAAGCCGAGTCCCATTCAGGAAGCTTCTATTGCAATAGCTCTCTCAGGTTTTCTTTTTTTTCTTTGATTATTTTATTCCTTTTATTTTTAGGGCAAGACGTTTTAGCTCGAGCTAAGAATGGAACGGGTAAAACAGGGGCGTATTGTATCCCTTGTATTGAGAAAATTGATCCTTCGAGGGAATATATACAAGCTATGGTTGTTGTTCCAACTCGTGAATTGGCCTTGCAAACTTCACAAATCTGTGTTGAGTTGAGCAAACATCTTAAGATTAAGGTTGTTTAAGTTTTCATTTTTGAGCAGAAATATTCTTAGGTGATGGTTACAACTGGTGGTACTGATCTTCGTGATGACATTTTGCGCTTGAATGGTGTTGTTCACTTAGTTGTTGCCACTCCGGGAAGAATTCTTGATTTGATGGAGAAGGGTGTTGCGAATGTTACTCGTTGTAAGACTATTGTTCTTGATGAGGTATTTCTTTTTGGATTTTTATTTAACTTTTGCTAAATTTCAGGCTGATAAACTTCTGTCACAAGATTTCCAAGGTGTTCTTGATCGTCTTGTGCATTTTATGCCTGCTGACCGTCAAATTATGCTTTACTCTGCAACTTTTCCGCGAACTGTTGAATCTTTTATGGAAAAGCATATGCAGAGGCCTTATGAGATTAATTTAATGGAGGAATTGACTTTGCTTGGAATCACTCAATTTTATGCTTATGTTCAAGAGAAGCAAAAAGTTCATTGTTTGAATACTCTTTTTCGAAAGGTTTTTGTTGATATAATTTTTGTTGTGGAATATTAAATTTTTAGCTTCAAATTAATCAATCAATCATTTTCTGCAATTCGACTCAACGTGTAGAATTACTTGCAAAGAAGATAACTGAACTTGGTTATTCTTGCTACTATATTCACTCTAAGATGGCTCAACAACATCGAAACAGAGTTTTTCATGAATTTCGTCAAGGGCATTGCAGAAATTTGGTTTGTTCGGATCTGTTAACGCGTGGAATTGACATCCAAGCAGTCAATGTTGTGATTAATTTTGATTTTCCTCGCAACTCTGAGACTTATCTTCACAGAATTGGACGGTTTGATTTATTATCTTTTGACACAAGGATATTTAAAAATTACACTGAAATAAGAATCTTTTTTAACCTTAACTTATTTTTCAGTTCTGGCCGATTTGGACATCTTGGAATCGCAATCAACCTCATTACTTATGAGGATCGTTACAATCTCAAGCGCATTGAGAAGGAATTGAGGACTCACATTGAACCTATCCCCAAAGAAGTTGACCCTAAACTTTATGTGGCAGAGCACCAGATGGAATGAGTTTTTTTAATATTAAAACAATTTACATAATTCACTTAAAAGACTGAAAAGTATTCAAATTTTTTAATTTAATTTTACTGTTTATTTTTTACTGAATTTATTGTCTTTTCAGTGAATTGTGGTAAATAATATTACAACTCGGTTTGTCACTGACTAATATGGAAATAAAATTAATTGATAAAAAATATTCGAAATAATTTAAAAAAAGTTTACTTATGACAAGCCTAGCTGTTTTATTGTTTACATATAATTATATTTAAAAATGAGAAAGTATTGTGTTCCTCATCTCAATCAAGCCACTATTATATTATTATTAAGAGAGATTTTTCATTTGTTTATGTTAGTAAATTGATATGATCACGAATAAATATTTCGTTGATTGTAAAAGAGAAAAATTTAACCAATTTTTTATCATCTCGTTGAGAAACATAAAAAAAAGCCTCAATTATTTGATATTTTTTAATTAAAAGATTTTTGTCAATTTTTATTAAAACCATTGGAAATCTTTTAATCAAATAATTTTTGTCTCAAAATTTCAAATAATTATGGCTAATATTCGTAACAAAAAACAACGAGAATTGAGTATATATAAAACACTGCATTCTTTCCATTAATGCGGGTATTTTAACATCATTTCAGAAAATAAGTAGTTTTTTGGACAGTAAAAATACGTACTTTAAATCAGTGTTCGCCCGGTTTCAGGAACTGTTTTTGAACCGACATTGACTGCAATTGCAGACCCTTTTCTATTTTTTAAACCGGGTGAACACTGCTTTATGAATAATTTCAATTGGAGAATATTATTCGATTGAAGTACTTTGTCCGAGAAATTTAAAAATATTTTTTTCTACTGTTCTCCATAAATTGCTTTTGAAAAGCAAAAAATTTCATTTTATATATTTTTATACATAATTGGTTGATTTTTTAAAAAATATTAAAAATTGTTTTGAATTGAAAATTTAAATCAATTCAGTATTTTTTGGACATTTTCAGATTAAAATCAACAAATTATTTTATCAGATTTGACTCTCTTGAATTTATTTAGTCCCACAAAATTAAGGAAAATTTAAATAGAGCAATTTAAATTATTTTGTTCTAAACTTTTACCTTGGTATTTTTTTAGAAAAATTAAATGTAAAATTAAAAATTAAAATCAAAAAAAAAAGTAAAAAATTGTTATCAATTTCACTGCTCATTTGTATATAATTTACAATGTATTTTTCAAATTATACAACATCTCTCTCTGATTATTCCTCTGACCTATCACAATTTTTTTGTTAATTATTTTTCTTCAAGTCTTCAAAAGTTTGTAGGCTTGGGAAAGAACGGAAAAAAATTTTCGGATTTTTTTCTGCTGACTAAGAAATTTAGAAAAGAATTTTTGGTGATTTTTAGTTTAAAAATTAAAAATTTGAACAAAAGTAAATTTCCGTTTTGTCTCATTTTTAGTAGAAAAAATCGAGCTTTTTTTAAATTAAATTTAAAAGAATTTTTAAAAAAGCTTTGATATTTTTTACTTTTTATTCTCTCAATGGAAGCACTTTTCTTCTAAAATTCTCTCCAAAGGAGAGGTTACTTACTTTTTATTAAATAAAAAAGTGCTTCTGTTAATAAAAAAGAATTTATTTGTAAATTCGTGATTTATTTATTTTTCATCATTTTCGTGCATATTTGTGCCTTAATAAGATTTAAGGAACATAAAAACATTAAAATTATTTTTGATATACTTGAAAATAAAAAAATAAAATTATTTATGTTCCTTAATTTTAATGCACTATCTAATTTAAATGCAATTGACATCTTCGCGTTTTTGATGAAATTTTTTACGAGAATGAATAAAAGGGACAAAACGGATTTATTTGTTTTTTTTTGTTTATTGCATATTGGGTTTTACATAAACCATTTTTTATTTTATTACAGTCGGGCCCTCATTATAAGATATTTACTCCCTTGGGGATTAAAAAATTCTTTAAATATGTATGAGAGGGTATTTTCGATTAGGTAGCCCATTTGCCAATTGACTTTAAAAATCGAAAATAAAATTGGGATTACCTAGATTGTAGGGAAGTTTTATAGGTAAATCCGATTTTGTAAATGTTTGAAATATTAAAAAAGGATCTGGGGCAGATTTGAAAATTTTTGGTTAGTTTTGCAGAAATTCAATTATCTTAAAATTTCTGCAAAAAAATTTTTCAGCTCAAAATTTATGTAGCTTTTAATTTTTTAAACATTTTTAGATGAAAAATCGTTTAAATAAATCAGAAAAACGGCAAAAATTTGGAGGTTTTGAAAATTATTTAAATTAAAATTTATTTTTTAATTTTAGAATTAATTGATCTCTGGTCGTCAACTGGCCCGCAAAAAATGTTTTCTTCAAAAATAAAGAAATCTTCAATAAATTTTAATAAAAGTCTTTCCAATAATTTTGATGGGATAATTGAAGAAATGAAACAAAAAGAAAATAAAAATGTTTTTCTTTCAAATTATTTTTTATTTGAAGCTTTAATTTACAAATTTGGTAATTCAAATAAACACCAAAAATTTTGGAAAATTTCTTTGAAAATATATAGAGAATTGAAAAGGTTATTAAATGAAGATATTTTGTGTTATTTTAACAAATTTAATGAGGTTTTATTTTCTTTAAATTTTGGGGGTTGGTTGGGGAGAGGGGAGACTGTTGGGTATTTAGTGGTTGTAGTAATTAACGAGACAAGTATGACTGGTTATTAGTGTAAAAACCTGAATAATTTTGTTTAGACTAGTTCTCCCTCAAAAACGAAAATTTTGTAATTTTCCAAAAAATCATTTTCTAAAATTTTTCTTTTTTCCTTTAGAAACTAAAAAACAGTCAATTTATTTATTCGCCATTAAAACAAACAATTTGCTTTTTTGGAGCTATTTTATTAAAGAGAATGTTTAAATTGGATAAATTACGTTTAATTTGTGCCAATTCTGTTGATTGTTCTATGGGATATGTTGAACTGGGATTTTTTGTATTTTTTTAATTTAAAAATTTTCTTAAAAAATTTCAAGTTAACTTTCAATTTAATGTTAATTGCAATTATTTCTGATGTTGCCAAGGAAGCAAATAAACAAATAATTATTTTGGCTAATATTTATCAAAAATTGGGGAATTATTTTTATAAAAGTTCTAAACAGCGGTTTGTTTTTATCTTTTTAAATGATTGAAAATTTTTGGAATTGGAAATTATTGTGTAAGGGAAGGGAGAATACAATTGAACAGAATTTAAAATATTTAATTGTAGAGAAGGGTTAAGTTTTGTCAAAAAACAAAGTTATTAGTTGAAATTAGCTTTAATGGGAGGGGGGTTGCTTTCCTTTTATTTCCCCCTAGTTTTAATCCCTTAACATTTTAATTTTAAAATTTAATTTAAATTTTTTTCAGTTTACCTCCAATTATTAATTTTAATTTATTCGAGTCAATAAATAAAGAATCAAATAAAAAATTATATAATAGAGATTTGGCATTAATATTTAATGAAATTGAAGGAGAATCAAATAGAAGGAGTGAATTGGAATTAGAAAGATTAGAAAGACTTGAATAAATTTATTTTAAATTTTTAAATTATTCTTTAAAAAAAAATTTGTTAAAAAACAATAAAAATTATTTTTACTTTTATTTATTTTTAAAAATTATTTTTTAGTTTAATTTATGAAAAAAAGGCCAAATATAGACCAACTTTTAAAAAACGAACTTTCAACATCTTTTTCAAATTTTACTAGAGAAGGAAATTTTTTAAGAAGAGAAGAAACTAAACAAAGGAATTTAATTGAATTTAATTTTGTTGAGAATTTAAGTGCTACAGAATTAATTAATTTTGAAAGGTTTTTTTGTTAATTTTATTTTTTAGTGGTAGACTTTTGAGGGTACCTAATGGAAGTTTTGTTTTAAGTAAAAGGGAAACCGCTTATGTAATATTTTTTGGTAATGGTCCTTGGTGAGACCTGATAATCGCGTTTTAACTTTAACTGGATTTAATTTTGTAAATGTTTGGGCTTTAAAAAATTTTTTTAAGAGTAAAAATGTTGGTAGGAATTGATGCTTTGGCTGGTGCAAATTCTGGTGTTCTTAAAGGTTTTTCCTAAATTTAGAATATTTTTAAATATTTTTCATAGGCATTAGGTTTGCCAACTCAACTTTCGTTAATTCTCGACCTCAAAATGAAAAAGATGATTCTGTAAAGGGAAGGGCAATTACTGCAATGAGTTTTGCAGACAAAGAAAAGGTTAGTTTTACTTTTAAAAAATTAAATTAGTAAGAATGGCGGACGGACGTTTCAATTGAGTAAAAAACAAAAGTATCGAACTTTCACCCATGTCAGTTGTTGTTAGGCCGAATGATTAAATCTATTTTTTATTTTTAAAAATATTTTAAGAGCGAGGTACTTATTGGAAGAAAAAATGGTCAAATCGATTTATTTAATACTTTAAGTGAGTCAATTAATCAACTATTTGATGTAAATGATAAAGAAGAAAATGAAAGTAGTTCTATTGATTCTATCTGTGGAGTTGAATGTTTGATTAAAAGGTTCTTTTTTAAATATTTTTTAAAATCTGGGAATAGTTATGATGGGATAAGGTTATGGATGAACCCCTTTGGCGATGCTCTTTTCGTTAAATCTGAGATAAATGTTGAACCTGAAATTGAATTCTATTATTAAGATCTAGCAATAAAACTGCAAAGAAAGTCACTTTTTAAAAATCACTTTTTAAAAGTCACTTTTCTTTAAATTGTCCCTATTATTTAAAAAAAATATTTTTTTAGCAACAAAATTTTAACTGCTACAAATTCTGGCAATCTCTCAATTTGGAATACTTCCGGGGAATGTTTAAATAAATGGAATGCTGGAGATAATTTAATTACAATGAGGTTGGCAAGGGGGGATTCTCCAACAGTTTTTGCTACTGGAGGAAAAGAAAATGAATTAAAAGTTTGGAATTTTGAAGATCAAAAATGTGTTTTTACTGCCAAAAATGTAAGGATTTACTTGTTTATAAAAGGACAGACAAGCATAATTTCTCTCAATTATTTTTTAGGTTAGGCCAGACAATTTAGAATTAAGAGTTCCTATCTGGATTAAAAATTGCAGATTTATGGACGAAAATAGTAATTGTTTGGCTACAAGTACAGGGCATGCTCAGGTTTTTAATTTTACTTTTTCTAATTAAAAAATTATTTTAAGATTCGTCTCTATGATATTCGAGCACAACGTCGTCCAGTACTCCAGGAAACTTGGTTAGAAGAGCCAATAAATGCTTTATCTACATGTTGTCGAGAAAATCATCTTTTAGCTGGAAATAGCCGAGGAGAATTGGGGCTTTTTGATTTTCGTTTATCTTCTAAAAGTAAGAACATTTTAGACAGTCGGATTATAGGGATACACCCAATACTAATAGATACACCTCAATTTTAAATGCTATTTCAAAATTTAGTACCATTGGGTGTGGAGGGCTTCCTAAGCGATCCCTATTTTTTGAAAATAATCCCACTTACTATAATTAAGCATAGGAAGTCCAAAACACTAATGAAGTGGGCCGTGAACATGTTAGGCCAATTTTAATACATATTTTCTTTAAAATGAGCCAATTTTGAAATTTTCTGAAATTAAAAATTGGACCCAAATGTAAAATTTTTAACCCAAAATGTGTATCGTATAAATGAATCCCCCTATACGTATTTTCATCTATTTTTTAAAGGTCGATTAGTATCAAAATACAAAGGATTTTCTGGTTCTATAAAATCAATTGACGCTTCTGATAATCATCCACAATTCATTTCTTGTGGCGTTGATAGATTTGTGATTTTACATAATTTGGATACAAAACAAATATTCAAAAAAATATATGCAAAAGTACAATTAAATTGTTGCATTTTAAAAGAAGACAGCAATTTAATTATTACAACACCTAGCAATAAGCAATCAAAAAAGAGGAAAATGGACGATGATTCTTGATAATTTTTTGTTTTATTTTTTTGTTTCTTGTTATAATAAATTTTTTTACTTTTTTAAAACATCCGACTGGGAATTAAGCGTTAGTGTTCTTCAAAATTTTTTTAAAATATTTTTTTCAAAACTTAAATTTTTGTCATAATGTTTTGATAAATGACAGTTTATCCACGGACTATTTCCTCTGGGACACGCCCAAGTAGGCGCGCGGCCATGTAGGCGCAAAGCCATAACTACCTGCAAAATTTCTGGACCTTAATAATTTTGTTACCATTTTCTTTAGCACGATGAGAGAAATCGTTTAACACTAAATTTGACAAGATTCGGGAATCTTGAAGCAAGTTATGGTATTGCGCCTACTTGGCCGCGCGCCTACTTGGGCTGTACCCTATTTCCTCTTTTAGATAAAAAAGAAATTTTTTTGGTTAAGTGAGAAAGTTTTCTGTTAAGTCATTTGCTTTTATGTTGAAAGTTCAAACCTTTTAGTTGCAATGTAATTTTTTCTAATATTTAAAAAAATTTTTGTTTAGATAAATTTCTAAGTTAAATGCCATTAGGAATATTTGGAGGCAGTAGCAAAGATGGTGGACCGAAGCCTCAACCTTTGACAAGTGAAGAATCAATTCTGAAGAAGGAAAAAAATGTGGGAAGCTCTAGCAATACACCGAGTGAAATTAAAGATACAAAAGGTTCTGTAGTCAAATTGAATAAGAAAACATACACCGTGGAGAGAAAACTTGCTGAAGGTTTTTTTGAAATTTTTTTTCAAATTATTAAATTTAAGGTGGGTTTGCTATTGTCTATTTGGTAGTGGACAAGCACAATCGAAGTTATGCACTAAAACGGCAATTAATTAGAGACGATCAAAGACAGGTTGAAGCTAGCAGAACAGAGAGCCAAATTGTTGTATGTTTATATTAAATTATATTACCCCTTAATTTGGTGCTCAAGGGTTTATCCAATGAGGTTCCACCCATAGTCTGATCTTTGGCTGGTCCACCTCTGGTTTTTCAGTACTAATTGCATGTTTTTATTCTCATGTTACAGTTGAAAAATTTTAAAGAATTTAGGTGTCATAATCCAATGATGGGACTGTCGGTTACATTAAAAATTTTTTTTAATTTTTCTAGAAAAATTTGAGTGGTCATAAGAATATAATTGAATATGTTGACCATCAACTTGTGCTTGGGAAAACAGGAGTATACGATTACATGTTGTTGACTACTTATTATCCAGGTTATTTCAAAACTTGGTTTGATATTCATAGAACCTTTTTTTCAGATAATGTTCTACAACTAATGAATTCTCGAATTTTAGTCAATAAATGGCTTTCTCATAATGAAATTTTGGATATTTTTTGTGATATTTGTGAAGCAGTTGGTATTTTATTTTTACTTTTTTTGTTTATATATTAATTTTAGCTCGGCTTCATCATTCAAAGACACCGGTCATTCATCGTGATCTCAAGGTTCTATTTATAATCTTACTATTAGCAAGGTTCTAAAATTTGAAGGGGTTGAACTGTGTTGATTAACTTAATATATCACTCCAATTTTTAAATTTATTGTCGTATTAAATTCAAAATTAGGTAGAGAATGTCTTAATCGATCGAGGATCCAGCAAAGAGCGTCCAATTTATATTCTCTGTGATTTTGGAAGTGCAACAACAAAAGTTTTGAGTAAAGAACACTATTCTCATGCATTTATGGAAGAAGAAATCCAACGTTATACAACTCTTAGTTATCGTGCCCCTGAAATGATTGATTTATTTTCGGGAACTTCTATAGGTATTTTTTCATTATAGTCATTTTATTTTTGGTTTTTAAGATACAAAAAGTGATATATGGGCCCTTGGAATCATGCTTTACAAATTATGTTATTTTTCTCTACCTTTTGGAGAATCAGCTTTAGCAATACAAGGAGGATTGTTTTCTTTCCCAGAAGTGCCACAAATACAGGATGGAATTAAGGCAATGATAAGTTAGTTTGAATTATATTTATAGAGAATAAAGCTATTTTTCTGATATTTTATTCCAAATTTTCTAAGTATTTAGTTTGACATTGTAAGGAATAGAGTTTGAAATAGACTTCTCATTTAAATTCCTCCACAGATAAAGGAATTTACTTTTATTTTACGGTTCATTAAACGATATCATTAATAATTTTGTAAACTTAAAACTATATTTTTTTGTTATTTTTCAGATCTCATGCTCACAATGAGTGCAAAACACAGGCCAAATATTTATCAAATGTCGTATTTAGCTTTTTCTGCAGCAGGAAAGAAATGTCCAGTATTTAATGTTGAGGTTTACTTTAATATATTAAAAAATATATTTAATTAAAAAATCATCCTTTACTAGAAATGTGCAAGAATCGAATTAAATGAAGCTATACAAATTTTGCACCTTCGTGACAAACTTGGCTCAAATTATTCTCGTTTATTTGAAAAGGCTATAAATGATTTTGAAGCACAGAAGAGACGGCACACAATGCCTAATCAACCAGTTTCTAAAGAAGAACATCAAACAAACATTCCTTCAACAAGCAACGAAATAGCCCATCCAACTCCATCAATTTCATCAAAACTTGCGGAAGGTGTTATTGTGAACACAACAACAAAAGAAATTGGTGAGATGCATCCAAGGTCTGCCACAACATCTGTAAATCCTCGTTTAAGACCAAAACCTAATCAAGCCTTCTCAACCCCAAATCAAAAAACAACAAATTTAACTGAAGTTGATTCTTTTGTCAACAAAAGTAAACAAATTAGTGGAAATATTAAAGGGGAATCATCAACCTCATCACAAATGGTTGAACAACAAACTGGAGATGAAGAAGATTTAACATTACATTTGAGCGCTTTTCAACCCTATTCTCTAGCACAAGAAGAAAAAAAGAATAATAATTCTTTTAAAATAACAGAAAATACTGCAAGAATATTTGAAGTATCAAATCCTTTTGCACAACAATGTTCTTCGTCTGATTTTAATAATATGGATGATAAAATTTTTGGTGAACATTTTGATGCTATTAGAAGAGATCGTGTTAATTTTCAAGAGGAGGATAACTTAATTTTTGGTATATTTTTTTATTAATTTTTTCCTAACCAGTGTTTTTTTATTTTGCGAAATTAATTGGATAGGAGATGGAAAGGAAAAAATGTAGAAAGGGACCAAACCGTAGCATTTCGACTGTGCCACCACTAAAATCATGATGATTTCTTTTTATTAATTTCTAGATTCTTGTTCTTTTTCCTTTTAGGGGAGGGGGGCTTCACATGAAAATCTGACATGGGATTATTTTTGAAATAACTTTGCATGCATTTAGAAACAAACAAATACTGTGAAAGAATATCCAACGATTTTGTAACAGAATGTGGCACTTCATCAAGAAATAACTTTTCAAATCTTTCTAAACAAGTTGATCGGGATTGGGAAACAATAGAGAAAAGAATGGGTGACGATCCTTTTATGAATGCTCCACCTATATTACCAAGTCAATATTTACATCGTAATTAAGCTAAATTTTTTGTATATCGAAATATACTTGAATATCTAGTTATATGTATTGTTCCGCTTGTACATATTTTTACTTAAATTTATTGTCAGATCTCACTATAAGATATATCCTTGGGTCTGAAAAGTCGAAGCCAATTCTGAGGGTATTTTACAGTGAGATCCGATTTTATTTAAAATTGAGATAAATGTTTTGAGACATTTAATACTTATTTACATATATATTTGTTAGTAATTTTTAATATACTTCTTAACAATTTGGAAGTACCTTTCCACTATTTTTGTTCTACAATTAACATTTAACGAAATGAGAGAAAACTCGAAATGTATTTTTTAGGAGTCTTTTGTGGAATGAATGTTAGCTAGCTTTGACGGGCTATAACTTATTTTTATAATTGATCCAATCCGAATTGACATTCTAAAGCCCTTGATAAGGGGCTTTAAAGTATAACCTTGCTGAGGTGCTTTTTATAGGTAGGCTTGATCTATCCAGTTAGAAAAAAGATAACAATTATCAAGGGCTCTAGAATAGAGGATCAAACATAAAATAGTTATAGCCATCAAGCAAAACTCAAATGACCTTAACACGTTTCTTGGAGTTCATTAATCGATTCGTATTTTTATATTAGAGTTTTGGTTTTTTCAGATCATTTTTCAGTACTACTATTTTGTTCATTCGAATTTATTAGAAGATTCTTTCATTTAACATAGCTGATAACCAAAATGGCTGAAGAAGACGTTGATGATCTTTTAGAGGAGGCTTTCAAGAGCATAGACGAGGTTTTTTACATTTTAAATTTAACATACTTTTCCATATAAGGCGGAAAAGAATGGCAAAACCATGAGCGACGTTATAATGAAGAAGGCAAAGGATGTTGGAGTCAAAGTGTATGTGTTTTTATAAATATTGAAAATGTTAGCTATTATAGACCTGATGCCAAACGTAAGCATAGCAGAAGTCGTAGTGGAAGCCGTGATCGAAAACGCAGACGAAGCAGGAGTCGTGAGAAAAAGACAAGGTTCTTTCTTTGCTTATTGTTAATATAGATTGCTCTGAAATATCATTTATTTCATTCGAGTTACAATTTCAGTAATTATTAAGTTTATTTTTAGAGTATCTTCAAAGGAGCGGAGAAGGCGTACACCATCTGACGATGATAGAAGGATCCGTCGTCGTTCGGGGTAATTTTATAAATTATTTCTTGTGTACATAAAATAAGTTATGGGAACAATCACTTATTAGCATATATATCTCTTAGATCTTGACTATTCCATCATTCTTTGTTGATGGCTCGAACAATGAGCGAATGACGGTGCGGTATGTGCTGAAAGGAAACCAAGCTATTCTTTTCATTCTACAATCATATTTTTTGTATAATTCAAATAAAAGTGTTCTCTCCTTTTATTTTTTAATATTTAATTCCAGGTAGATTAAGGCGATCACAAAATCTTTAATTGTTTGACGTTTTCGAAACGTTTACTTTAAGATTTTTCTATTTTCTAATAATGTTTTTCAGTTCGCGCGAACGTCGTCGCCGTTCTCGTTCTAGGTCCTACGATCGCTTCAGACGACGCAGAAGTAGAACACCAAGGCGCAGCAGAACTCCTAGAAGAAGTCGAACTCCGAGACGCAGCCGATCAAGATCTCCATGGGGAGTGAGGCGGCGTTCTCCCATTCCTGCCCGTCGTCTACCAGGACCTGAGCGCCGCGATGTGTGAGTATTTAGGGTTTAAAATTTTTAATTCTACTAATTTCGCGCAGACTTTCACAACTTAGCATGCCCTTCGAACCGCGACGCTCGCCGCCACGAGACGCGCAGATGGACTTGACAACCGAGGAGAGAGACGAACGTACAATCTTCATTCTACAGGTCTTCGACATGCATTGGAACGAAAGGTTAAGTTAATAAAAATTTTTTTTAGCTTGCTCGTCAAACACGTCCTCGGGATTTGGAGGAGTTTTTCTCAAGCGTTGGGCACGTTCGAGATGTCAGGATTATTACTGATACAAAAACTAGACGTTCAAAAGGCATTGCTTATGTAGAGTTTTGGGAGCGTGAAGCTGTTCCATTGGTTTGTTTTTTAATTCTGAATATCTCTTGAATTTTTTATTGTTTTGTAGGCTATGGGTTTGAATAATCAAAAACTCAATGGTGCCCCACTGATAATCCAAATGTCTTTGGCTGAGAGAAATAGGGTGGCAACTAATGTTACAGCAACTACTATAGGTAAAATTATTTTTCAAATAATTTTTAACTTTATTTTTTAAGGACTTGGTCTTGGACTATCTACTGGTCCTATAAAAATTCGAGTTGGCAATTTACATCCAAATATAACAGATGAAATGCTCGGCGCCATTTTCGAGCCATTTGGAAGGGTTTTTATTTCATGATTTTTATTAATTTATTTGACAGGTTGATCGCTGTTTTGTTCAAAAAGATCCAACGGATATTACTTGTAATACTGGATTTGTTATTGTAATCATTTTTATTTTTCTAATACATTCGTACCTCATTATGAGAGGTAGCTCCCCATTTCTACTAGGCAGCTTCCCACCTTGTTGCTAGAGATTGTTCACAGATCCGATTTCCAGCATTTTTTTCATTAACAAGTTCCGACAAAATTTTAAAAGAATACTTTAACATAAACTCCCAACATTTTTTCATTTTCCCCATATATTTATAGCGAGGTTCGGGTATTTACTAATTTTTTTTCAAAGTTTCGTCATGGCGAAGAAGGAAAAAGAGCTATGGAACAATTAAACGGATTCGAACTTGCTGGCCGAAGTATTCGTGTTTCAACAGTTGAAGAGAATGAGCCATCAACTACAATTATTAAACAAGAAGAACAACCAACAGTTTCAATCAAACAAGAAAATGTACAAGTTGATGAAACAAATTCAACATCTCGATTACAATTAATTGCGAATTTAGCAAAAGGTCGTTCAGATGTTGAAGTTCCCAAAGTTACTCAAGAAGCAATTGCTGCCCAACAAGCACATAAACAAAATGCTGATAATATTCCTTCTTTTGCTACTCAATGTTTTATGCTCTCAAATATGTTTGATTTAGCTAAAGAAACTGAACCAGGATGGGATTTAGATATTCGGGATGACGTTGTTGAAGAATGCAGAAATCATGGAGGTTTTTTAAATAATTTTTATAAAATGTTTAAGAAATTTTCTTAAAGGCTGTGTTCATGTATATGTTGATAAAGCTTCCCAACAAGGAAATGTTTATGTAAAATGCCCAACTGTAGCTATTGCACACAAGTCTGTGGTTGCACTGCACGGTCGTTGGTTCGCAGGTTATTGAAATTTATTATTTATAGGAGATCACCCAAAAAATTGTTGTCGTCTACATAATACCAAGAGCGTAGCCGGGGGCCGATTTTGGATGGAGGTTACATCTAATTTACATTCTCCAAATTTTTTCCCTTTCCCGGGGGGGGGGGGGGAGGCTTCAGCCTCCCTGGCTACGCCCTTGATAAATACACCGCTATCTTTTGTTTTTAAAATTCTGACTTAAGTTTAATTTTTTTCTAATTTCCAGGTAAAGTGATTACTGCAAATTATGTCCCTGTAACATCCTACCATGAACTTTTTCCTGATGCGAGAACATCGAGCGCTATTTTACAACCAAGGCCCTCTTAAAATTTAATGATTTATTTAATTGTGTATTTCGAAGTTTTTTTTATCATTTAAATAAATATTTTCTTTTATTTTTTGTGAAGGAAAATTGTTTTTTTTTAAATTTAATTATAAAAATATTTTTGTCTCATTATATTTAAAATTCATTTATTTTTACAGAATTGTTCTAAATGAGCCAATAACAATAGGTAAAATAATATCAAGATTTTGTTCTATTTCAATTCTGAAAAAGTAACTAAAATTTATTAAATCGTTTTCTTTTGCCGAGGTTGGTGGTAAATTTTTTGGAATTTGAAATTGTATTTGTTGTTCTGATTCTGACAATATTTGACAATTTATATTTGAATTATTCTAAGAATATTGGTGGTACTTTTAAAAGTTAATTTTTATATTTTTTACATAGTTCTGTATAGCCCTTGTCACCGATCTTTTGTCCCATGTGTTTGGAGTATATTTTCTACATGCCACAAAATCTACCTAACATAAGTAATATAATATGTAAATAGTACATCAGGGTTCCGATCAACACTGCCAATCAAAAGTACAAAAATTTCGATTTAAAAGTACTTAGGGACTAAATTTCCAAATAAAAAGTACACTCCAAATTAAAGCGCCGCAAGCGAAAATTTTGGGAATTTTAAGGTTAAAATGTCGATTTAAAAGTACAATACTTTTAAAAAAGTACGAATTGGAACCCTGTAACACCAAATTCCAGATAATTAATTACTAACCTGTTGACAAATGGACAGTTTAACCCCTAAAATTTTAATTTTTTATTTAAAAAATTCAAATATAAATGCCTACATTTTATTTGGCTATTTTTGTTTGATTTCCTTGCTGTTTGTTCCACAATTAAGGTTAAATTACTGGTCTCTCCTTAAAAATATTTTCAAACAAAATTTAATTAAATTACCTGGGAGAAGGCCTAAAGATGGGCTTTTAATTGTTATTTTTCTTTTTTCTTTTGAATTTCTGTTAAAAAAATTTTTTTTAAATAATTTGTAGAAAAAATACCCAAAACACAGACAAATTCGATCGGTGACAATTTCTTCTGTAGAATGTGCAGGATTTATAAAATGGGGAGAATCGAGGCTTAGAAAACTTCTTACAAGAAATTCAGATTCTTTTAAACAAAATTTTTCTAAAATTAAAATATGTTTATTTATTAACCTGATACAATTTCACTTTCCCCACAATCCTCAACAATATCCTTTTTAATATTTAATTTTTCTTCTCAAATATTTTTTTATTTAACTCACTAATGTTGCCACGATTGAATATTTTACATTTCCATAACTCTCTTCATAATAACTTGAGATTGCATTCTTTGGAATCTTTTAATAAATTTTGGAATTTTTTGGGATTCTTTTTTGGGTATCTCCCCTCCCTTTTTTTAGAGAAAATAGTATGGGCGGCTAACGAAAAAAAAGTATAATACTAATTACTTTGACTGAAAATTCCAAATTAAATTCTCCACAATTTAATTCCATTGTTTCATCACAATAATTTGACAAATTCCTAAAGATTTATTATTCAAGATATTTTTTAAAACAAACCCAGTTAAATCATTGTACATATCTAAAATATTTTCTTTACTTTCATATTCAGCATTAGCATATTGCCAACCGGTATAAATTGAACCGACAGTTCTAAGGGAGAGACGAACAATTCTCGTCTTTTCTCTATTGTATATATTTATTTTGCCCTGAAATCTTTATAATTAAGTTTCGAACCTTACTTTTGTATACCCCTTTGGGCCGGGAAAGGTCGGGAAAAAAATTATAGTCAACTCCTATCTAAATAAGAGAAATATCTGAGTGAAGGCCTCATACTCTCATTCAACCATAATTTTAATACCAAAAAAATAACCTTTATTTCCTCTCCTGCCAAATAGACATAATTTTCATCATCCAAATTTTGAGGTTTTTCTATTTTTAATTCAAAATTCTCTATTTTCATTAATTTTATTGGAAAGGTTTTTTTAGTTTATTTAGGTTTTATTTTTGCTTTTTATGCTTTTCATAAGTCAATATATCTAAAAAAATGTAGAGATTTTTCCTATGGGAATTGCCCATATATGTAAATATCTCCGTTTAAGGATTTATAAGGTAACCCCTTAAAACATTTTAGAGGGGGTTTAAGGTCTAAAAAATAAAATATGGTCACGATAATCATTAGACCATCCTCAGTTTTTTGTTCCTCAATTTTTAATGAGAAATTTGAGAGAATCCTCTTTTAATTCGTCTTCGGTGGGGCGCGGGTTCGATTCCTTCAGGAGCCAACTTTTCTCAACAATTAATTTATTTTTTTCATTTTTAAGAATATTTATTAAATAAAAAAATATTTTAATGGAAGAATCTACTGATAAAAGACAGCAATTATCTTCGGAGGATGTAAATGCCGTTAGAGATAGGTGAATAATCCCCACTTTAATAAATTTTGAATTATATTTTCAGTCAAAAAATTCAAAAATCTGAAAGGAAGAGGAGAGCAAGAGAATCATCTACATCCTCCTCCTCCACATCTTCTTCTGGTTCGTCCTCGTCTGGTTCATCAGGTTCCTCAACTGGAAGTAGTTCTAGTGAGGGAGAGGAAGGAGAAATTAAATGTTTCTTTAATTATATTTTAAATTAATTATTTATTTTTAGATAAAAGAATTAAAGTCGTGGTTAATAATCCTTCAAGTTCTATTGGAAGTTTACAACAAAATGTGGAAAAAAGGCAATTATCTAATACAGAAAAGAAGTAGCGTATTAGTTTTTCTTTAGCTATATAAAATTACAAAATATTATAATAAAGCGGTTATGGGCGGAAAAGTCGGAAATCCGTGGAGTAATTTTTAAAAATTAAAATACGATTATTGGGTATTTCTAATAATATCTGGTAAATAAAAATATAGACTTCTAAACATTCTAGTTAAAGTATTGCCCAAGTATTTCCATCCGCAATTGTCCATTAGTTAAAAAAAGTTCAATCTTTGGTGAGACCTTGATCTACGGCAGCCTAGTCTTCGACATTTTATCGGATACCATTGTTACGTTTAGTTTTGACTTTGCAGTAGAGTGGCCTATACCCTCAGATTTAAAATATTTTTAAATCAGAATAATACATATTTTTTAAGACTTGAAACAGTTCCTCAATTTTTAATGAGAAATCTGGGTATTTCCGTTGAAAATGAACTTTCAATGATTTTTAAAAGAGATTTAAATACAATAAATAAATTGTTGAATGGAAAACAATTAACTGCTTTATATGGAAAGAAACCAATAAATTTTGTTTTTGGTGGATTAACTTTGACGGGGGCTAATAGAACATTTGCTTTTATGAAAGGGCCAACTGTACAACAATATATTTTAAAGAAACAACAAATTACTTTAAAACATCCTGAATGGCCCTGGTAAATTAAGAAATTAAAAAGTTCCTTAGATTCTGACTTTGCTTTGGACTGGATACCTTTCTAAATTTTATATTGAAGTGGGAAATTGGGGAATTTTATTTGGAAATGTGAATTTAAATTAGTGGATAAGAACTAATTCCAATTAGTTGGAAGAACCTGAAAACCCTTTTTTTTCTGATTCCAAGTTTGGAAAAGATGAAAAATAGGCCCCTCCATTGTTTGTGAAAACATTTAAAAGTTACAACTATTTTTTATTTTCTTTTAAAAATACCTTTCCCCCATCCTTTTAATTTTAACTAAAGTTTAAAAAATAATTTAACTTATTTAAATAAAAATATTTTCTTTTAGTTTAATTCAAATTGGAGGAGGGAATCACAAAAGTTATTATCCAATAGAAATTATAAATATTTGTTGATTAATTGACACATATTTTGAAATTATTATTTTGACTTTTAATTTATGTTAGGTACTTTAAAAATAACCAAAAAAATATTTTTTCTCCAATAACAGTTTTTATATATGTATGACCTCACTATAAAATATACTCAATACTAGATAAAGCTAGATTTAAAATATGTACATTTTTTAAAAATTTTATTGGTCATTGGATGAGAGGGCTAAGCTATACCTCCCCTAGTTACCCCCTATTTGAAATTCACTTCATTAAAAGATGCTTTTAGCCCCAAGAGTGTATTTTATAATGAGGATTTCCTTAATTATTTTCTTTCCAAATATCTGACAATCTCCACCATTTTATATTCTTTAGCTATATCCAAAGGTGTTTTGTTATTATTATCAGCTAAATTTATGTTGAAATAAAGCTAGAAAAAAAAGAAAATAAAATTAAATATTAAAAAAATACTTTGCTTTCAATTAAAGCTTTAACACAATTTAAAGAACCAGAAATAACAGCACAATGAAGGGCAGAACGTCCAAGATTGTCTATATGTTCGGGGGTGATATGTAGGGATTGGAGATAAAAAATAGAAAAATTTTGGAATTTTTTAAAAAATTATTTTGTTTACCATAGCTTCGACTGTTGATACTTGCCCTCCTAAACAAGCGTAGAAAAAAGGGGTTCTAAATAATTTAGAAGTCCTGTTATAATCAACTAATTAATTACCTATCCATTCCATCCAAAGGTGGGGATAAGTGTCCACGTTGATACCCAAACCAAAGGACTAATTCACTTTAAAATTAAACATAAACAAAAATTTAATTTTAACAACCTATTTCCCTGCCCAGCAGCTAAATGTTCGGGTGTTGCCCCATTCTCATCAGTTTCTACCTTTTTAAATTCATTAAAAAAATAATTTCAAAATATTTATTACATTTAATGTATTATTGCTTGCTACAAGTAATTTACACATTTCTACTCCACCTCTTAATGCTGCTAAATGAAGGCAATTTCTGTGGGTAATTTTGGAGATTATTTACATACAGGGTGCGTAAAAAGTTCCCGGAATTAATCAAAATGGATTTATTTTCTTGTATATCATAATAAAAATAAGTTTACACATACAAAACGTTTATAAGGATCATGTAAATAAATAATCATAACAAATTTTCAAAATGAGATCCGACAGCCGAGATACACGCACCCAAACACAGCCGAAAAATTCCTTCGTTGGTCGCGCACCCCTCTTCTGTTATTGATCCCCAGGAATATTTTAATGCCGTCCTAAGTGGCTCTGTTGACGTGTGTCGTGTGCAGGGGAGTCTCTGCTACAACATAGACCAGACCGAAAATCCATTGGATTGAGGACCGGTGAGTTACAGGGCCAAATATCCTTTCCCCAAAATCCATGAAACAACTTTGCATTGAGGTTAATTGTTGTTTTAGCTCCATGTGCTGGTACCAAGTCCTGTTGTAAAATAAAATCATTTCCACCAAAATTTTGATGCTTCCAGGGAAGTAAAACATTCATCAAAATTTCATTTTGATAGACATAAGCATTGATTTTGACGTTTTTGGCGATAAAAACCAACGGTGTCTTCCAATGGCACAAATTCCTCCCCGAATCATCACAGATTGCGGGAAAAGTCTTTTTTACACACCAATTAGTCTCACGGACTTATTGGTGTCAGTTTCTGATATTGTGACAGCGTTGGACGGTAAAAATTTTCATTTAAGTAAACAACACCCGTTTAGCCGACCAGCTGCGACCAAGCGCTTCAAAAAACGACATTTTTGGGGGAGTTTTGAGAGGACTTTTTGACATCTATTCTCTGAAAATCTTTTATAGACTAAATGTTTTCTGAACCAAAAATAGTGCTGAATATGATTGTGAACGAATTTTGTTTTAATAATCAATTTTTAAACCCAATAGTTGAAATTTTAAAAATTCCGGGAACTTTTTACGCACCCTGTATATTTTAAATTTTTTTACCTTTTAAAATGATCTTTACAAGCAAGTAATTGACTAGCTCTAGTTTTGTTGCTTAACTATAATTAATTTTTTAAAATCTTTTATCCCCCCTTCTAACCATTTGTAGCACCAATTTTTCATTTTGTCCAATAACTGCCCACATAAATGGAGTTCTTCCTTCACTATCTACAGGTTGTTGTTGTCCTTCCCTATCACATAAGACAGCCTTAAGTGTTGAAATAGAGCCACATGCTGCTGCATAATGTGCCGGGGTTACATTAAAACGATCCTTTTTTAAAAATAATTTTACAAAAAAAATTCCTAAAAACTCTTGTATCATTTGTGGCACCAGCTTGAAGGGTTAAAAGTTTCGCAATTTCAGTTCTATCATAAAGTACAGCATACTGTTTTTAAAATAAATATTTTTTAATTCACAAAAAAATGAGGGAATTTTATTTAAATTAAGAAAATATTTACGTGTAATGGAGTTCGAGAATCGTGATCAAAAATCTAAAATTAAAAAATTAAATTAAAATATAACAGGCAAGTGAATTCCATCAAACATTGAGACATGACTTTTCTTTCATACAGCCTTAAAACCCCGTTTTTTCGTAAATATTAGATAAATTTCCCCATTACATAAATTATTAATTTTACTTGAGCCCCAGCTGGTCCCATTGCCTCAAGAAGTTTTTCAAGTACCGGACGATTATTAGCCATGACTGAAATAAAAGTATAATTATTTTATAAGGTTCAATTAATTAATTACCGGCAATATGCAATGGCGTCCATCCTTGTTGGTCTCTAGCTGTCGCGGCTATAGACTTTTTTGCCATTAAAAGTTTAACAACATTTGTGCCTAATAATTTTGGGTATTTTAGAAATTTAAAAATTCTAACCGACACGACACCAAGCGGCCAAATGAAGAGGTGTCCGACCTAAGCTAAAAATGGATATATTTTTAAAGAATTGTCTCTAAATTTTTCAAACTCTCTCACTCCTCTAAATCTCTCAAAAACTGAGTTAAGATGCATTATAGAAAATTGGATATCCTCCGATCGGGAGCCGAGTTTTAATTATGAAAATATTCACAAAGGCCCAAGAACTAGTCATTAATTTATTCCAAATTTCTCTCTTTACTTATCACGAGAATCAACAGGTAATCTCCAATTAGGCGCCAATAACAATTCGCAGCATTGTTCTGACCCTACAGCTGCAGCCAGATGTAAAGGAGTCATTCCCTCTTTGTCAATAGCTTTTAATTGAAGATCTTCAGATTCTAATATTTCCAATAAAAGCTTTAAAAAGCAACAATTAATTTAATATTTTTCTAAAATTTAAAAAAACTTTTAATATTTTTGATGATTTTTGTGTTGCTGCTAAATGTAAAGAATTAATTCCTTTTAAATCTTTTTCCAATATTTTATCTCTTGGCAATAATTGTAATAATTCTTGTACTGAATTTGTTGCTTGTCTTTGTACTGCCAAATGTAAAGGATTTTGGCCTTTACTGTCTTTTATATTTGCCAAAGGAATTCCCCAACTTTAAATTAATTAATTACAAGGGACCAATAATTCCACTTGCCTTTGTAATAAAGTAAAATGCCCCCCTCTTTCAGCTACCAAAATTGCTAAAAACAAAGGTTTATGTTCACAACATTGAACAGCATTTGTTGCAGGTTTTGAACGTTCAAGAGAATCGAAAGAGAATTTCCCAAATTGTCCATCATCATTATCTCCAGCCGGAACAGCCATTCCCGCAGTTGCCCATAATTGATTAGCTGAATGGCTAAATTGGCCAATCAAAGCTTCGGATTGGACAACAGAAGGAGGGGCTAGACAACGAATTAATTGGCGAAGAAATTTTGGTGGTTGATTGTGTAAAGCCCAACGATGGACTTGGGCAGGGGATTCGCCAGCAAGTACTCGCTCAGCCAAGGCCTCACATGGACACTGAAAAATATTAAATTCGGAGAGTTATCTCTCTTATGACTAATATTGGGGAGAAAATACTAGAAAATTAAGGTAGCCAATTAATTGTAATAAAATAAAAGAATCGTTCCTCTGATTCCCTCTTGGAGAGATTGAAAAAATAATTTGTATATTGTTTGAAAGGGGAAATGAACGAGACTAGCTAGCATATGGGGGAATAATAGACAGACGACCGCGGTACTTAAATGTCTTGTCCTAAGTATTAACCTCCTTAGAAAATAAACCCCAACAATTATACATATAATTTTCTAGCCTATGAGGTGTAACTTATAATGAGGTAAGTTAATTTAAAATGTTAGACTTTTTCTGGTAAATCTTGAATTCCTTGTTGTGTTTGAGTTCTTCGTCTAAATGCACATTGTTGATCTCTTTCGTAATCAGTTGTTAATTTCATTTTTATTTTTAATTATTAATTTCTTTTTTAAAAATAAAAGAAAGAAAATATTAATTAATTAAATATACTAAACTAGTTTTTAATTGATTAATTTGATTTTATATTTATTTATTTTTTGCGCAATAATTTAAAAGAAAAAATGGAGTGTTTAATATCTGATAAATATTTTCAAATAAAAATCCTTTTTGTTTTAAAATTTATTCTCTCCTAAATGTTTTCCCAAACTATTTTTTATAGCTCTCAATAATTAATAAATTTAAAGATTAAATAATTAACTAGTTAATAAAATATTTATTTATTTCTATTAAATTCACAATTTTCCAATAATTAAAGCATTAATAAACTCCCCAGATTTAATCCCATCAAAATTTCCTTTCTTTTCTTCCTCCTCTTTTGAAGGTAATTCCAACAATAAATTAGCCGATCGAGTAGATAATAAATTAGAAGAAATTTTGTTTTTAAATAAACATTTAACTTTTGGAATTGAAGGAATTGAATTTAATTTGTTTGGATGTAAATAAATAGCTCGACAATATTCTGGTCGGGAATCGAGTAAAGGAATTGAATTGGACAACTTTTTTTTTTGAAAATAAAATATAGTTTTGTTTAGAAAATATACCTCAACATTAATTTTTATATTTTCCCAATTAATGTCTAAACCAGCAATTCTTCGTAATTGGGGGATAACAAATAAATGGGAAGTAACAAATGCAGATACTGGATTGCCTTAAGAAAAAGATTATGAAAGAAAATATCATTAAGTTTTGAGATGGGGGGGGGGGTATCTGAAATAGATAGAGAGTATTCCCGATTAGGTAACCCTTCCACCCTCCAATTCTAAAATTGAGATGTACCCATTAATGATTAAATTCTTCCTTTAAACAAAGAAACCCCCACCTGGCAATCCAAAAACTAATTTTGGCCGTCCATCCAATCCAATTCCCGAAGCAAAAGTAGAAGGCAACCCTGGCTTCATATAAACACGTCCAAAATTTATTTTTAAATTAAAATGTTTATTTAAAGTTGATTTTAATAAATCCTTTAATTTGAAAAGAAAAATTTAAATTTAATTTAAAAATACTTTCTCTCCCATAGAAACACCTCCACTTATTACAAGTATATCACTTTTAGAAAAAGCATTCTTTATTGAATTAATTAATTCTTCTTCACTAGAAAATAATTATTTTTTAAATTTTTGACTAAAAAAGGATTTGTATTTTAAATCCATTACAGATAGTCTCATTATAAATATCCCTCTATCCCCCTACTTTTCCATTTAATTTATTAGTTCAATTTACCTATCTTTAGCTATGCCACAATCAATTGGATCAAATCCTTCTTCCAATAAAAGAGAAATCAAAACAGGTCTATTTGTATCGATAACCCCATCAATTGGCCATTCATTCTCCCCATTATTAGGCAAATTAATAAAATCAATTAATTCATCGCCGGAAGATAAAACACAAATTTTTGGTTTGGAATAAACAAGAACCTTTTTAAGGAAATAATTTTTAAACATCCAAACATTTAATTATAAGATACACTCATTATTGGATATACCCCCATAATTTAAGATACGTTTAGAAATTTGATTGGCTACTGAGTTGGAAGGGGGTATACAAAAACATTACATACCTCTATTTAAGATATTAAAAGCTCATTATAAGCCCTTTATCTTATATTAAAGTCTGATTGTATAAAGAAAGCACCGTTTTTCTTCCACTCAAAGCAAGTAGGCCAATTTCGGATGCCCCCAAACGAATACCTTTTGCTAATAATAATTCATCTTTGGCTATGTCACTGCCAATCTCTCTAAAAAATATATAATTTATCTTTACATAAACAATCTCTCTCTCCTTTTTTAAATTTAAACTTCACCGAATATTCTGTCCTGATTTTGGGTCAATTCCAATATCTATCAAAATCTCTTTACCGTCATCCTAAATTAGTCAAAAAATTTTATTCTACTAATTCCCCACACAAACATCTTCTTCCAACACTTCAGTATCCTCCAACCTCACAACAGCATCTGCCTCTTCAGGCAATTTAGCCCCAGTACTTATTCGAACACATTGGCCAGACTCCAACATTTTATGTCCATTTGACGTTGCCTTTCCTGCATTGAAAGCACCAACAACTTTGCGAGGTCCTTTTCCATCAGAGGCTAAAAATTATTTTTAAAATTAATTTTGGAGTTATTATCTCAATTAGTTATTATCTTCAAAACCCTCTTCAATTACTTAATTTGAATCTACAACTAAATCCAATTGTTATTAAATTATTTGTTTTTCTGAAATTTAGTTGACCTCTAAGTAGGGGGAGATAGGGGATGGAGGGAGTTGTTTAACCGATACTAGTGATGTTCGGGTATCCCGACTCCCGACACCCGACTCGGGAAATTTCCCGAGTTTTTGGCCTCCCGATCCCGACCCCGACTCCCGATGGCAATTCCCGACTAAGTCGGGAAATTTTTACACCCCTAAGAATGGCTTTTTCTGATAAAATTTTATTTTTGAAGGGAAAAAATAAAGAGAAAAAATAAAAAAAGGGAAAATAAAATATTTAATTTTTTTCCCTGACAACTATTGTTGAGAGGTGGTCGAGTGGTTAAGTTGAGTGCCTAAGTTACTTTGATTGGTCTAGGTTCGAATCCGGGTTTGGAGTATTTTATTTAAATAATTTTTCCATCCAAAAATAAATGGTTTTTAACATTTATTTTGATATTAAAATTTTACAATTATTTTTTCTATATTATAAACGTCAAAAAACTGTAGAAAAATTAATTTTGTCATGAATTTTCAAAAATTTTCGCCTGCGGCGCAGAAAATCGAAGAAATCATTACAAATTTTTCTAAATTTTGCTTGCAGCGCAGAAAATAAAGAATATCAGAGCTCTTAGCCTTGCAAAATTCTCAAAATTTTCGCCTGCGGCGCTGAAAAATGAAGAAATATGCCTTCTTGGCCATCCAAAATTCTCAAAATTTTTGCCTGCGGCGCTGAGAGATTAAAAATTTGTCTTCTTGGTCTTCCAAATTTAAAAAATTTTCGCCTGCGGCGCAGAAAAAGGATGAATCTAGCTCCTTGTCTTTCCAATTCTCAAAATTTTCGCCCCCGGCGTTGAAAATGGAAGAAATTTTACAGCTTGGCCTTCAAAAATTCTCAAAAATTTCGCCTGCGGCGCTAATAAGGAAGATGTCTGGCCTCTTGACCTTCCAAAATTCTCATAATTTTCCCTTGCAATGCAAAAAACCGGAATTTTTGGCGCCGAAGGCGCCAAAAATTTTTTTATTGTAAATTCCCGACTCCCGATCCCGACTCCCGAGGTCATTTCCCGACCCGACTCCCGTTTCCCGATTCCCGAGTTTTTTCTTCTCCCGAACATCACTAACCGATACCCCCTATTTCTCATTATACATAAGATAAATTTTTTTAGACCAAAGGATTATCTTATAATGAGGGTTAAACTTTATAATAACTAAAATACAAACAAATAATTGCATATCCATCCATAACAGAAGCACGAAAATTAGGAACAGGTCTAAACGCTAATAAAGTTTCAGCCAAAACATAGCCAATTAATTCTTTTAAATTATTTGTTTGTTTTTGTTCAATACTTCTTAATTTATCCAAATTTAACCCAACAATCTCCTCGAGAATTTGTAATGCTTGTTGCATTTCTATTGCAGGCCAAGGACTTTGTCTTGGTAATGAAGAAGACATTTTAATTAATTTAAAATAATTTTAAAAAATTCCTTAAAATAAATCTTTTTTAACAACAAAATTCTCACAGCATTTTAGGGCCAGAATGCTGTGATAAGTCAAGAAATATGTAAAGTTTTGAATATAACAGAATAGATAAATTAATCAAAATCTAAGACAGAATCCGATTTTTTTCTTTCTTCCGGTTAAACGAAAAATTCAAAGAATTTATTTGTTAATTTAAAAAAAAATTAACAACAAATTATTTAACATTTAAATGTACATAGACATTAATAAAATAAATTTCTACAAGTATTTCATTTAAAATAACAACCAAGAATGCTGCGAATCACCCAACAAAACATTATTTATTGATTTCACATCAATTTAAGGAATACACTTACTGATTAGTTTTATTAGTATTTAAAAAAGGGTTAAAAGAAGAATTGAAAAGAAAAAAACTTGAAATTGAAATAAAATAAAAATATTTATGAAAAGGTTTAAAAAGAAAAAAAAGATTTAGTCAAAAAATAAACGAAATATTTTCAATTTTTTCTGAAAGAGGGGATTCTATTATATATTTTTTAATAATTATAGGGTTTTAAATAATAAATCACTCTTTGGTATTTAAGATTGTCTGTTCTTGGAAAATTTCCAGTTAGAAGCCTAATCGAAAATTCAACGGTTCATCAATTCCAATCCGACACCCATAAATATTAAATTATTAAACTTTATTATAATTTTTCAGCTCAAGGGTGTATTTTAGGTTAGACTGTTTTTGAAATCCAAATATTAAACAGGAAATTATTTCTGGTTTATTTTCATCCTTAGCAACAATATAAATGAAAAAGATAAAATCAGATAGAGATCAATTTTGTCGATTAGAGACTTGAAAGAATGTAGTAAAGCAACACTTTCGGACTACCAATTAGGTACTTAACGGTTATACGCCCATAAACTGAGTGCCAGCCTGATTTGAACAAGTCTGATCACTAGGGATCGGATTTATATTGAAATAAAATCGGAAAATATGGCCATAAAATATTGAAATAAAGTGGCAAAATATTGACAAAAAATGGAAAAAACTAGCTAAATATTGAAATAAATTATCGTTTATTCACTAGAAAACCTCCCAAAAAAGTTGAAATTTAACAAAAAAAAATAACCACGTTTTTAAAATCGACTTTATAGCTCGACAAATCGAGTATTTTTACTCTCTTGGACATTTTTTGATTGATAAAATGAGGATGGGACATTTTGTGGGTTTTCTCAATGTGCCATTTCGGGTTTTGTCCTGTGGGACATTTTAAGGGCGAAGCATTTTGGAATGGGCCTTTATGGGGACCTTTGGTCATTTACACATTTTGACAGCACTGTAGGCCATAACATCCCCTTTTCAGCGCCGCAGGCGAAAATTTTGAGAATTTTGGTTGTCAAACGTCTAGATTTCTTCACTTTTTTCCTAAAATTTATGAAAAATCCCAAAATTTTGTAAAAATATGCAAAAATATTGAAATAATTTGAAAAAAGCGCGAAATATTGAAATAACGGGGAAATTGGCAAAATATTGAAATATATTGAAATGTAACTTTGTTCAAAATCATAATATCGAAAAACTAATGGCATATTTGGGCTTTTCTCGACATAATATATTCAGGAAAAAAAATATATTTCAATACAAATCCGATCCCTACTGATCACTCATTAAAAAGTTATAACAAGACAAGTCCAGTTACTTGGTGTTTTTCACATCTATCAGGTTATAACATTTTAACGAGTAATCAAATTTGATCCATTAAGTCGAAGGAAAGGATTCTTCTTATCGAGGGCTTTCGAATGATATAAAAAAATTGGATCAAACATCCAAAGGTTAAATCCGATCAAATTAGGCTGGCACTCAGTTTATGGGCGTATAACCGATAAGTACCAACAATTATTCACAAAGCTTACATATTATTTATTTACTATACCCTTAAAATAGTAATCCAATAGTCTGTATTTAATTTCTACATAAATTCCTTTTAGATTTTAATAACCTTTTTTAATTAATTATCCTATTGTTCGTAAATTTAATTATTACCTCCTTCCTATATTTTTCACATTTAATTTTAAAATTTTCCTTTTTCTTTCTTAAAATTTTTTTAAATTTTATTTTCTCTCATTTCCCCTCCACCAAACATTTATTTCCATCTGTTACCAATATATACATACTTCCCCCTCCAATGGACGTTAATTTGATGGATTGACGCCTTTGAATGATGACCGCTCCAAATGCTCGCCCATCAAATTTCTTTCAAAGTGATTGATGATGAAAATGTGAAAAGAAGAAAATTGGAGAGAAAAGGAAAGAATTACTATACATACATTTATTTTCCTGGTATTTTTATATAATGATTGAAGTAAATGAAACAGAAGAAGAAGAATCTTACAATTGAAGGCGCAATAAATATTCTGATTTTTTAAATATTTTACAATTATTAAAAGATGTGAGGTTGGACCTCATCATTACTGTCGACTTATCATAAGATGACCCCAACATTAGATAATTAAAAGCTTTAATGGCCCCCTATGAGATGTCTAATCGTTACCCATAATTTAAGATAAACTTCATTATTAGCTACTATTTTTCAATCATATCGTATAGCGAGGAGTCGATCCCATTTTATTTTATATCCAATTTTATCTATCCCTATTTTAACTATAAGCGTATTTTCCATTAATCATTCTTTAATGGGCCTGTCTGTCTCTGATTTTAAAATGATTGATTAGTCTATTATTGTTTAACTGTCTATCAAAAAAAGCTTTTAAAAAGGAGACCGTCAAGTAATTTTTGTTTGAATGTTGGAAGATTGGAAGAAATAAATATAAATTTATATTTAATTAAAAGGGAAGGTCGTCCATCATTTGGGGTGGGCTAGAAATTGAAAAAAAAAGATTTTTTTTATAAAAAGAAAAATGTTTTTATTAGAAAAAGAGAGGGAGAGAATTTAATTAAAAACTTTAAAAACTCCCTTAGGGCCATTTAACACTTTTATTTGATTAATTAATGGGGGGTATGTGGTCTTCTGATTGAAGAAAAAAATAAATAAAATAAATTTATTTTCTTAGATCAATTTCCGGGTGTAATTAATTATTCTTTTTTTCTTTTTAATTGGTTTTTAACAACAAAATATACAAAATAACTATTAAATTTTTCTTCTTTTTTTATTTGTTTCTGGATTATCTTTTCTTTTTTTCTCTTCAACTTTTTGATGGGTTTTTGCTGCTAATCTAGTGAATAAACAAAAACGAATAGATTTGTAAATTTAAGAGAGAATAAATGAGGTGAGCGGATTAAATGAAGATAAAAAGAGAAAAAGATAGATGAAAGAGGATTTGGAGGGGGAATTAAAAGTGATGGAAGGGAGGGAAGAAGGGAGGGGGGAGAGGATATAGTTAATACTTGAATAATACTTTTATTTTTAGTTAATACTCTCGAATTGCTCAAAATCTCTTTTAATCCCTTTCATTTAATAAACCATTTTTGGTTTTACCCAGAATATCACCTTCTATTTAGTTATTGAAACTTTAATATATTCAATTACCTCTACTAATTTCTTTTACTTTATCTATCGAATATTCAAAAATTGAAGAGAAATCTTGTTGAAAAGAAACACTTTTCCAATTACATAATTCCTACAAATAAAAATTCCCCCATAAAATTGTTTCTTGTCTCCTTTTGTTGGCGGCATTCCCAGACCTGACAATAAAAATAAATTGTCATCGACCATTTTTTCCCCTTCTCTTTTTGAATAAGACCGCTCGCTCCCTTTCCCTTTACAAAAAAATATTTTTTCTCAATTTACTATTTTCATTTCCGATTGCTAATAAAAATGGACATTTTTATGACATTTTTCTAAATTTAAGAGCGCTAAAATCAAATGGAAAGGACCTTAGAAATTCTAATCAAAGTAAACATTAAAAGATCAACAAATAGAAGAATTACAGTAAAGATTTTTGTGAGAAATTTACTCTTGTATTATTTCAACAAAGACATACCATATTTCATAAAATCAAGCCCCAAAATCAAGCCCCTTCATTATAGCTAACTAAAAAACTAAAATATGGTAACTTTCCACTTGTTTTTCCCTACGGTTATAATTCTTTTTTTATTTAAATTTTATGGAGATTTAAAAAATTTCAAAATTTTTATTTTTATTTTTCTCAATTAACATTAAAAATTATTTAAAAAAATAATTTTCACAATTTTCATCATTTTTTTTTTCACTGTTCCATTCATTAGAGCGGAAAATCTTTCTTTTCTCCCCCACAGAGAAAGATGAGAAGAAACAAATTTGCAGGACAGACACCCCCCCCCCTTCCCCTTTCGGCAATGGCCACCGGCCAGCAACCATCAATCATCACTTCTCTTTTTTTTCTTCTTCAAAAATATTTCCACCTGTCATTCACCAATCCATCATTTAAAATAAAAGAAAGAAATAACTATTAACTAGGGTTGCGCCCCGACCCCGACTAACCCCGACCCCGACCCCGAACCCCGACACTTTTTGACCTAAAACCCCGACCCCGACCCCGACATTCCCAACCCCGAAAACCCCGACCCCCGAAAGTTCGACCCCGACGACCCCGAACCCCGAAAAATTTTTATGACCCCGACTCAAACTGCATTAATTAACTAGAGATCGGAACGGGATCGGGACTTTGATGTTAAATATATGAAGGAAAAGGGAAATGAATATTTATATTTTCTCCTATTTCCTTTTGTTGGTCGGTGGGCGAGTGGTTAGGTTAACTGACTTCACCCATCTAGCTATTTTGATAGGTATGGTGTTCGAATACATCGATTGAAATGAGACTGAGAAAATTTTTCTTCTCAAAAATAAATATTTTTAAACTTTGATCTTGATTTTAAATATGCAAATTTATTTTTTTTAATATTTTAAACCTGAAAAAATTTTAGAAATTTTAAACTAGTCATGAATTTTCCAAAATTTTCACCTGTTGCGTAGAAAATGGAAGAAATCTGTCTCTTGGCCTTCCTAAATTCTAAAAATTTTCGCCTGCGGCGCAGAAAATGGAAGAGATCTGGCTCTTGACCTTCCAAAATTCTCAAAATTTTTGCCTGCGGCGCTAAACTCAATGAAGGGATACAGAGGCTTTAGGAGAAATTGATGGATAGATGGATTTCTCCAGTTATACTTGCAAATCCCCGATATCTCTTCAAATCCCTCTAAATCCCATTATATCCATCTTAATCCTCTGATATGCCTTCATATCCCCTCACTCCCTTTAAGAGGGGGAGTAAGAGTTACCTTGTGGGTTTGGGGATTATGAAGGATAACTTGGATAAAGTACTTCTTGCGCCTTCAACTAATAACGAATTAGATTTAGAAAGTGAAGATAATGAAGATTAAGTTGATTTTTTAATAAAAATGTTGATTTTGCACAGTAATATTGGATAAAAATGCTGGATTTTGTAAATTTTCACTTCAACCCCGACCCCCGACCCCGACCCCGAACCCCGACATGATTTTCAGCCCCGACCCCGACCCCGAACAATTTGAGCAACCCCGACCCCGACCCCGACTTTGTCAACCCCGAAAACCCCGACCCCCGACTTTTTCAACCCCGAAGGCTCGGGGCGCAACCCTACTATTAACTACTAATCATTCATTCATTATTTGCCGTCATTCACCCAAAAATATTAAAAAAATTTTTTGTTTTTGTAATTTTGCCTTGGGCAATGTTGACTGGAGAAAATTACTGGAAAGAGATAAATATTTTTGGATAAAATAAAATTAAGAGATTAATGGAAACAATTATTGTCTTTATTTAAGCAGAAGAAAATTTTCAAAAAATTTTAATTAAAATTAGAACTAGGCACAATTCGGTACATCTGATGTACATACTACAAATAGTACTGGCTCGGTAATTTTTGGTAATACCATCCAATTACCTAGAACATTATTAATTTCTAGATAAAAGAATTGGGCGTTTTAGTATGAACATAAAATCAAAATATAATTAATATTTTAAGGGCTTTGATTGATGATAATTATTTAGAAAGATTTTATTCTTTCATTTTTCTTTAGTAAAACAATTAATTAATTAATTATTTTAAAAATATTTTAAAAAATCCAAAGTAATTATTCATTTTTATTAATTTCTTTTTATTTTTAAAATCTTTTTTTCTTCATTAGATTTTGAAAAATATTTTTAAGGAATGAGTAGAGGAGTAGATCTATCTATTCATTTATTTTATTTTTAAAAAAAGTGATTGATGAGCGCCAACTTTAAAACCCTTTATTTCTTTCATTCTTTGCAGCAAAACAAACAAAACGATCAATCAAAAAATAAATAAAAAATACTTTTTTAAAGGCGAGAAAATCTGTCAAAATTTTTTTTAAATAACGCGCGATAAAGCGACATTTGTGGATACTCACAAAAAGTTAGATAAAAAATTTGAAGAGTTATGGTAGAAATACGATTTTAGAATTGTTAGTTCGGAAACCAAGAGGGATTTTTCGGTTCTCTTCCATAGATCAAAAGATTTCCCAAAAGCCGAAATCTACTCAATGACCGTTTTATTCTTATTTCAGTAAGTCTATGTAGTTTTGTTCGCAAATGTCGTCAAGCCAGAGTCTTGTTATACCTACTTGTCATAATTTTTAAAAATTTTTCCTTAATTAAACCAGACTGGTGCATGGATACGGATTTTGCTATCCGTATCCGGATATATCCGTGGGGTCAATATCCGTATCCGTTTGTATCCGCCCAACTTTTGAGTCATATCCATCCGCGGATATCCGCGGATATATCCGTTTTTTCTCAAAATGGTCAACTTGACTAAAATTTTCAAAATGGTCAAATTTATTTTAATTCGAGTAATGTTTAGATAATGCTGTAATAACTGCATTCAGCAATAATAGCCTTGCTTATGAACATCGGAGGTCGAAAATCCATCCAACGCTGTATATCAGGAATCATATCGACAAAAAATAAAATTTTGAAAATTTAAATTCTCGATTTCGGGCCGAAATGAAAATCTCGGTTGAAAATGAAAATCACCAGCTGATTTCAGCGCCGCAGGCGAAAATTTTGAGAATTTTGGAAGGCCCTAAAGCAAAAAATCTTTCATTTTTAGCGCCGCAAGCAAAAATTCTGATAATTTTAGAAGGCCGTAAGCCAAAAAATTCACTTTTTTGCCCAATCCCCTCGTCAAATTTATCCCTATTCCCCGTTTCGAGAGGGGATGGGGAATTCCCCCTCCCTCCCTCCCTTGTTTTTAGCCTGGTATAGGTTTTTGGACCTCCAAAACTCTGAAAATTTTTGTTGTTCAGCCAAAAGTGAATTTTTTTGGCTAATGGCCTTATAAAATTCTCTAAATTTTCGCCTGCGGCGCTGGAAAAAAATGAAATCTGGTTTCTTGGCTCTTCAAAATTCTAAAATTTTTCTACTGAGTATGGCTCCCCGAGCCTTCGGGTTCGGGATCGTTGGGGATCAGGATTTGCCAGTCAGGGCATGTCGTGGTCCGGGGTCGTGGTTGACTTTTGGGTCGGGGTTAGGGGTCATGTGCGAGAATCAATCATCTTCTGGCGTTTGGAATATAATTATTTTTCTTGGCAAAATGTATTTTAAAATTTAATCAGTGAAGTTTAATCGCATAAATTAGGGAAAATTAGGGACGGATATCCGCGGATTTGGAGCATCATATCCGTATCCATCCGTATCCGTCCGATTTTTAAAAAAACACTATCCATATCCGTCCGTATCCGCGGATACCCGCGGATATCCGGATATTATCCGTATCCATGCACCAGTCTGAATTAAACATAATTTAGTAAATAACTGTCCTTTATTGCGCAACAAAAATTGAAAGTGTAAAAGAAAATATATATTGAAGGCAAGGAAGACCGGAAGTAAGGGACATTTGGCTGAAAGGAAATAAAGGCAATTTTATATGGAAGGGAATGAGGAAAAAATATAAAATTATTTTTTAAAGAAAAGGCAGAATTTAAATAAAAATAAGTCGAGCCTGATTACAAAAACCTTTTCGGGGTCTAAATAGATGGTTAGGTAATCTCCAACCCAATGAGACCAAAGGTAGAAAAATTAATTTTAAATTTCAGGTCTATATTGTTATGTAGTAGGGGCACCATAACTATTTCAGAAAAGTTATACCCCAAAAATCCGATCCCTAATAATTAGTGTATCCTTTCTTTTATAATAAGGCCGACTGTAAAAGGAAAGAAATTATTTTTTGTAATCGAAAGTTTTTCTTTTAAAAAACCCGTAAAATCACCAAATAATCGTTGTTTTAATTATTTTAATTACTTCCAGCAATTTGTGCTTGATTATTTCCCCCAAGAGAATTAGCCATTGCTGCTAAAGCAGCCAATTGTGAATTTGAATTTAATTCTGAAGGAGGAGGAGGAGGGGGAATATTGTTATTAGTATTTTGAGCAAATTGTTGAAGTGAAGAAACATCAGAATTAGCCATTAAATTCTGAAAAAAATTATTTTTTGAATATTTATTTTTTATTTTAACCAATGCAAGAGCCATTTGTTGCTGAAAGGAAGGAAGTGGTGGCGGCATTTGAACAGATTTTGTTATTTGTTGATTTCCTTGATTTGGTTGAGAATATGGATGGAATCGATGGTTTTGAGCTAAAAAGTAAAAATATCCCTGTTATTTCGAAAGTCTGGAAAGAAGCCATGATAATAAGAACTGTATAGTGATAACTGAGAATGTGTCTCTTAGTCGGCATCTCAAGATGTGTAGGAAATCCGGATAAATGAGAAAGTTTGAAATTAAAAGGGAGTCCTTACATCACGAAGGGATACTGGTACGAGTAAGAGGTTTTAAAAGGAAGGAAAGGGTTAAGAAAGGAAGACCTACTTCCAATCATTGTAGTTGCTGTAGTTGGCTGTGGTGGTGGAGGTTGTGTAGTAAGAGGGGGCCCAAGAAATGGCTGCGGCGGAATAAACCCTAAAGGCGATTGAAATAATTGTTGATGCCATCCAAAATTTTTATTATTATTATTAGATTGATGATTATTTGTTTGTTGTTGTATTCCCGTCGGAGAATTTTTCGTTATTTTAGGTCGACCATTTGCCGAAGTGGTTGTTGGTGTTTGAATAGTTGTTGAAGGGGTTGAAACAGCAGGGCCCTCTGTTGTTGAACTGACAGCACTTGGAGAACTCATTTGCGCAATATGTGCAGATTTGTAATGAGCAAATAATTGATCATCTGAATTAAATAAACGCCCACAAGGTTGTCCTTCACGTAATCGGTAAGGGCAGGCAAACTGTGAAGGCAACTGACCACAGGCTGCAGCCATTAATAAAGCTGGGATTGGCTGTTGAAGTATTTGTTGAGCTAAGAGGCTAAAAAGGAAAATATTTTAATAAGGCTTTTAATTAAAAATAAGGAGAGAGAGGGGCCCCCTTACCATATCTCAATTACTAGTGATTAGACAAATGCAAAAATCAAAGCTTCGTCTCTAACAATCGAATAGTCTTGGGCCGAAAAAGTCCAAATTCCCACAATTTCCCCTTACCTATTATCAACTGTCTGTTGTGTCATTGTTGTCCCTCCGTTAGAGGCAAGTCCTTGCCCGAAAGAATTATTTTGTTGTTGTTGAAACATAGCCATTGCAAGAGTAGCTGCTTCAATATCAGAATTTTGTTGATTATTGTTGTTAAATTGGTTATTAACACTTGGAGGTCTTTGGTCTAATTTTCTTGCTGGCACTGGCATATTGGCAGGAAGTGGAATGCCTGATGGATTTTGGGGATGTTGTTGAGGAAACATCTAAAATAAGAGGGGTTGTTAATCCACTTTAATTTTAAAGATATTTTTTAATTTAGCTGGCTATTTGGTGGGAAATATAAGCGATTCCCTTCCTTTCCTTCCCATACTCTCCTTCAATTAATTAATTTCTCCCTTATTTTATTAGGACTTTTAATCCGGCAAAATAAAAAAATAAATTTACAGAAGGAAGAAAATTTGGCGGTAATTGTTGTTGTGTTTGAAGATTAGTCGGAGGTAATGGTGGAGGTGGGGGAGGAGGTAATTGTTGTTGTTGTTGAACAGCTGCAGCCATAAGTTGTTGCATAAAATGAAGTTGAGCTGGGGATGTAAATGGAGAGGAATTTGGAGGACAGAAATTATTTGAAGGTGTAAAAGTTGGTGGTCTTTGTGTTGGCATTAAAGGATGTAGAAAAGCAGCAGCAGCCAACTGCATTGGATGGGAAAGTCCAAAGCCGTTGGGTGGGGGCATAAAAGGTGGAACAACATTGGGCATTGCTGTTTGGTCTAACTAAAAAATTTTTTTTAATTAAATGTTCCCCTCCCTCCCTCAATTAATTAACTAATCTCTCTCTTCCCTTACTTTATTAGGACTTTTAATTTTTATTTTATTCTGTCCATTTTTTCCTCCTCCAAAATCATTATTATTAGAATTTCCATTTAAATATTTTCTTTTATTCCCCATTTGTTGTTTATTAATTTTATCTTCGTCTCCACTAATTGTGTCACATTGTTTAGCTAACATTTGTAAAGGATCGTCTTTCCATTCGTGTTTTTGTTGTTGTAAAGGAAGGCTATTATTAATTGTTGTTGTTATTGCTTGCTCCATTTTAAGGCGATTTAATAAAAAATATTTTTGCTTAAAATACATAAATGATAAAAAAATAGTGAAGAAATTGTGAAAATTAGCAAAAAAAAGTTAAATACATAAATGATGTATTTAAATAGATAAAAAATATTTTTTAAGGATAATAAAAAGCAGAGAATAAAAATTGTAAAATAAAAATCATAAAATGAAAGGAAAACAGAAGGGGAGGTTTGGACGTTGGGAAAGTATGGAGTGGGAGTTTATGTATAAATTTTAAAAATTCTGAAAATTCTTTGAAGAGAAAGAGGGTAGAGAGAGAGGGAGAGACAGCCATTTGAGGAATAAATGGTCCCCTTTGTCCGGAAATATAAAATAAAATAAAATGTATTTTTGTGAAATCTTTAAATTTCTCCACGCCAAAATATCCCTCCAACCCCCCCCCCCCTTCAAAATTCTCTAAATAAAAATAAATAAAGCCATAAAATAATTTTATTAAAGAAAAGTCAGTCATAAAAATAAATAATAAATCAGAAAAGGAGGAAGAAGAAGATGTTTCTCTCTCTCCCTCTCTCTTCTCCTTATAAAAAACATTAAAAAATAAAAATAATAAAATAGTAATGAGCTATTTAGATCAAAGGAAAAAATAAAAGAAAATATATTTAATTACTTTTTCTGATTAATTTTCCCTTATTTCTTTCTCTGCAACTGACGAATATTTTAAGTGATTAATTACGCGAATGGGAAAAGAAAATAAATAAAAATAAAAGGAAGAATGTTGACGAGAAGAGGAGGGGGGGAGGGGAGGGGAGGAGGGGGGAAGAGATGAAAAAGTTTTGATTAAAATTAAAAATAAATTATTTTTATTAGAAAAATAAATTCTTTTTTTAATGGCGATTGTTTGGAAAAGATAAGCTTTTTACGTAAATAAATAAGGGTGGGAGAATTATAAAATAATTATTTATTTAATTGTTTTTGTTAAGGAAGTTTGTAAAAAAATTAAAATAAATTTGGATGAATTAAGAGAGACTGATAATAATTAATTGAGATAATAATAGAGATTAATAGAGATTATTAATTAATAGAGACTGCAATCCCCCCCCCCCCTACCCTCCAAAAAAATTATTGTAATTATCTTATAATTGCTACGGTTAACAGCCCCCTCCACCCCCCACAAAAAATTAATGCAATTATCCTATAATGTTATTTAACATCAATTCCCTTCTCTTTCAATAATTTCCTTTAAATAATTTAAAAATTAATTTAAATGATTTATATTTAAAAAGAAAGGCAATAAAGATTAAATTTATTTATTTAATTGGTTTTGGCAGGTCCGACAAAAAAAGAAAAATTCTTTTTTTTCTTTGATTGGCGGTGAATTGAAGGGAAAGGAATTTGAAGTAGTTTTTTTGTAAAATAAATAAATAGTATTTAATTTAGCGGTGATTTGTATTGAAAATAAAAGAGAGGGGGAGGGGGAATTAAAAAAATAAATTAGGTATGTTTTTAATTATATTCTTTATTCTGAAAATAAAAAGGTGAAGAGATTGAAGGGGAGGGGGTAGGTATTTAAAATTTAAAGGAAGTAGGCAGATTTCGATTTACGAGGTTTTTTCCTTTCGATTTTCGAAATTTTGTGATATTTTCAATTTTTGAGGTTATTTTTCTTTCAATTTTCGATTTCGAAGATTCTGAAAAATATTTTCAATTTCAAATATTTTTAGTTTCGAAACATCTTTGGAAGTACATATGTAGGTACGGGTGTGTTGGAAATTAGAACTAACCAAAATGATGGAACTTTTGAAAATTAGAAACTCGATCAACTTGAGAATAAAAGTAATCCTTAACTCCCCATGTTTAAAAAACAATTCAAAAAAAGAATTTTAAATATTCAAAGTTTAAAAAAACTTTTTTTTCTTTTACTGTTTGTTGCAATGAGAAAAAGCATTTTCAGCCAACAAAACTATTTTCGTGGGTAAAAATGAGTAAAAATAAAAGGAGGATTGCATGGGCGTTGTGTTGAACGAAATAAATAAATATATTTTAGAGTGTTTGTTTGCCCCTCCCTCATTCCCCCCCTTCCCCTCCCTTTTACCACCGGGGCGGTCTCCTCTCTCCCTTTCCCTCTTACCGCGCCTGTCGGCCCTTTGTCGCCGCCGTCAGTCCGTCGCCATCAATCACCATCAAAATCAATGGACAGAAGAAATTGATCCCATACCATCAAAAAAAAGGGGATAGAGGGGGAAGGGAATGAGTGGATGAAGGAAGGAAGGGGGTTTCTTTTTTCTTTCTTCTTCAATTCCTTCAGTCGGCAAAAAAAGAGAGAAGATTGAGTGGCATCTTTTCAAGATTTATTGCGCCTTCTTAACTGGCATGGGTGGGAAATGGCCCTTGAAAGGCGCCAGAGGGCTTAAAAAAGTACATACTTGAATAATAGTTCTTTTTTCTCTCATCCTTCTACCCAATTAATCATTGAAAAGAAGATTTTTTAATGTTTTGCAGCCTTTTAAAAAATAAGAATACCTTTTTTTCTTTCTTTTTTTCTTCTGCCAAATTCTGGATGAGCTGATAATAAATAAATTTTTTTTTATTTTTTAAGGCAAAACTCAAAATGGCGCTGCTTTACAAAAGAAAGAATTAAAGGGAAGGGAGCCTTCTTTTATAGTTTGTAGGTATTTATATTTTTTTCACCCGCTGGGCAGACAATAATAAAAAGATGATCAAATGATGGATGAATAAAATAAATATAAAAATGGAAATGAGAAAATAAAGAAATTAAAGAAGTTAAATATTTAGTAGATATGTGTGTAAAAAGTATCATCCTTGCATTTCTTAAAATTAATAATTTAATATTAATGGAATTTAATATTGAGAAATTGAAAAATTAAAATAAATACATTCAAGCCTCCTCAAAACATATAAATCCAATATAGTAATAGATAGTTTTCAATCTACATTTTAGGCAGAGAGAGATATGTAGTATTGTTTAGCTGTTTCTCAAATGTAGATCATGATTAGTACTAGAGACCGGATCGAGACGAGATCTCAAACGAAAATCTCGATTATCGGAGACTTTTCGAGATATCTCGTACGATTCTCGTGCTATCCTCCCAGGAGTCCACCCCTGAAGACCTACACCCTGAGGACCTACACCCTGAAGACCTACTGACCCTGAAGACCTACACCCTGAAGACCTATTTACCCTGAAGACCTACAACTTTTTGATCAACACAATTTTTTATTTTTTATTTCTTTACAAGTCTAATCGGGGGGATTAAGGGGGATATCGATGGATTTGAAGGTTTTAAAGGAGATAAAGATGGATTAAGGGGGATATCGAGGATTTTGAGGGTTTAAAGTGGATAGAGGGATTTATAGGGATAAAGAGATCCTCGATATCCCCTACTATAAATAGTTTGAGTTGATCAAAAAGTTGTAGGTCTTCAGGGTAAATAGGTCTTCAGGGTCAGTAGGTCCTTAGGGTGTAGGTCTTCAGGGTTGACCCCCCTCCCAGACCGGTCTCTAATTAGTACCTATCCGCACCAAAAATTGCGGATAGACAAAACTAAAAAAACTTTATTTTACTCATCAATATCTAACAAAAATATTTAGGTAATTAAGCATATTAACAAAAAATAATTTAAAAATACCGCTAAATAAAATAAAATTTATTTATTTATTACAGCAATTTTTAGCCAAATGTTTAAAAAATATTTTTTTCCCTTTTCTTAAAAAAATTATTTTTTTCTCGCCATTTTCTCGTCCTCAGTTGATGGTCATCCGTCATTCGGCAAATCTAGAGGCAGTTTCAAGATCGTGATTTATTACCTAAATTGATGGAGAAGAAGGCCGGAAGGAAATTGAAAAGGAAAAAAGAAGAAAATTTTAAGAGTTTTTGGCAAATAACAAGGAGGGAATGAATGGAGAAAGCTAAAAAAATAAATAACAAAATAAAAATGATGGCGGCATTAAAAAAATAAAAAAAATGTTTTTCGAGTATAAAAACACTTAAACATTTATTAATTCAAATAATTTTGAGAAGACATTTGTGGACCTTTATTTATAATGTTAAAATCTCAATGCCGTTTATTTGTTTTATTGTTATCAAAACTCAAAACAATTCCATACTTTCTGAAATAGTTCAGAGAAATATTAAACAAAAATTGAGCATTTATCCTTAATTTGCAATATGAGAATTGAAATTTTGAGAATTGAAAACATGAGAATTTGAACCGGTACCCCCGGTTATCGGTTTCGGTTTTTAGACAAATACCAGTTTTATTCTGGGGAATTTTTAATAAAATCACTCATTTTCAGGGGTGCCGGAATTTTGGTCACCGGAATTTTGGTCACCACGATTTTTCGGAACTTTGGTCACCAATTTTTTTGGAATTTTGGTCACCAGCGGAATTTTGGTCACCAAGAAAAAAAAACGAAATATTGGGCACTGAATTTTGGTCACCAATAGGAATTTTGGTCACCAATAGGAATTTTGGTCACCAAACGTAAAAAAAGAATCTTATCTAAAACTGATATCAAAGTGATAAAAAATGATTTTTCAACCCCCATTTGATCAATTTCACTGTTTGTCACTCTCTCGACTGATCACTCTCTCGGTTGATCACTCTCGATCACTATCCCGGATGATTGATTAACTGTGAGAGTGATCAACATTGAAATTGATCAACTGGGAGCTGAAAAACATTATTTAATCACATTTATATCAGTTTAGAATAAAATTAAAATTTTCAGTTTGGTGACCAAAATTCCTACTGGTGACCAAAATTCAGTGTCCAATATTCCGTTTTTTTTTCTTGGTGACCAAAATTCCGCTGGTGACCAAAATTCCAAAAAAATTGGTGACCAAAGTTCCGAAAAATCGTGGTGACCAAAATTCCGGTGACCAAAATTCCGTACACCCATTTTCAGAAGTTTTCGGTTTTTTAAATTCTGTAAAAACGGTTAATTTTTGGCAAAAATATCAAAATTTTCTGTTTTAAAACCGGTCGTGAACACTATTCCGTAACAAAGAAATTCCAAATTTTGGGTTTAGTCAACAATTAGACTGAAATAAATTTTTTCAATAATTTATAATGTATAAAAAATAGATTGATATTTTTATTTAATAAAAAACAAAGCATTTTAATGTTTCAAAAAATAATTAAAAATTGAAAAAGCATTTCGATGAAATTCAATAAGCAGGCTAATGTGAAATTTAAAAAAAAAAAAACAAAAAATAATATAGTTTAAAGTGTTTGTTAAATCAAACAGCACTGACTGCTTCATTATGCTCTTCTGGGGTTTTTGAATTTCTTAGTCCACGTGAATGGGCTTCTGCTGTATGGGAAGTTTTTGAAGAAGAGCGAGATCTTACTGCTTTAAAATAAAATATATAAAAAATAATTTGATACTAGATACCCCCCCCCCCCCCCACTTTTTTATTAATTTGGGTAATAATCAGAATCCAATATTAGATAACACCCTTCCCCTAATTAATTTGGGGGTAATCATCAGAATTTCCCAAGTGATTATTTAAAATACACCCATATAAAATAAATTTTTTATTTATTGTCGGCATTTACAAGGTGTTACAACTGCTCAAACTCCCCAAATGTCGAAAAATACTAAGGAAATTAACAAATAAATATATTCTCTACCTTCTCTTTCCACCTGTAATTTAAGTTGACGACTAATTTCCCTCAACCTAGCAGCACTTGGACCACTAAGAGATTGTTCCCTTCGATCAACGCCAGATTGGAAAGCTCGAATTACTCGAATCTAAAATAAATAAAAATAAAAAAATTTAATTTTTTAAAATTTTTTTTGAAAATTTTTAGAACAGACAACAAAACAGACAAAAGAAAAAAGAAAGAAAATAAATTGGAAAAGTAAAAGATTTTTTAGTTTTTGTTAAAAACACAAAAAAGAAAACCAAAAAACAGCACCACAACTAATCAAGCAGTTAATTACAACAACTCTAAGTAGTCTAAGAAATAATTAAATATTGTTTTTTTGAAAAGCAATAAATGCCTATAAACACATCAAAGAAAAATAGAAAGAGAATTTAAAACTTTAAAGGCATCATTTCTATTTGTGTCCCTTAATTTTCCTTATTTTACCAAAAACAAATCTACATACGTTCAATTAAATGAGATAGTTGTAATATAGCTCACAATTTTGATTATTAGAGACATTCCAATTTTTGTGATCTAAAATGTCATACTAATCAGACCTATATTTTATGTCTTATTTGATTGATTTACTATCTATGAGTTCAAAATTATTTGATTGATTATGTATTTATGAGGCCTCCAAAGTTTAAAATTCTCTATGCTTTTCAAATAAAAGAAAAATATAATTTTTAATTTAAAATCCCTCCCAATTTTAAAATTAAAAAGATTTTTTTAAAAGAAAGAGAGCATTTCTTATATATTCTTACTGCTTGATCAGTGGGTGCTGAACTACGCGGGATTGGTATCAATCCAGGCGGAGTGGAGATTCGTTCGCCAACAATTGCCTGAAATTGTTTGTTTTGCAAAAATAAACTAAAAAGGAGGGGTAAATTTTAAATAAAAAAAGAAATAAAAATTTTTTTAGAAAAATATTTAAATTCATACAAGATGGTTTAATTACATACGTCTCATTAATTTTATAAGGAAAATTTGTGTTATACAGTTCCCAATGAATAAACTTAATTTTTAAGAGTCAAGCTTATTCAATATTCATAATCTAAGACACTATAAGATATACTTTTTGGATATGCCCCCTCCCTTGTTTGAGTCATCGCAGTTATATTCTTCATGCCAATCATTTATTTTCTTCAATCAGTAAAATGTTAGTAGAAAATAAATGTTATTGCTTGACCAAATAAAACCAAAAATGAAGAAGGAATAACTGATATTCAAACTGGCTTGGGGTGGGGGCATATCCAAAAAGTACCCAATTTTCAGTCCCAAAGGCATATCCTAGGTTAGAATTTTAAAAATTAGCAGGTACTTTAAACCTTTTTAAATATCTCCAACTTAAAAAAAAAATAAAAATTGGAAGAGAATTAAAAAATAAAGGATATGTATGGAAGGAAAAAATAAAAATATTTTTTACATTAAGGGAAAACATTTTAATAAATTTTTAAAAACCAAAGCAGCACTGCAAAATAAAAAAAACAAATATTAATTTTTTTCTAAATTTATTTATGTAAACAAACATTACAAATTAAATATATTTAAGTGCGGTTTAAGTTGCTGAAAATTCAGAAAATGTTGAGAGAAAAAAAGAAATAACATATTTCTAACTCAATTATATTTCGAGAGGTATTGCAAACCTAATTCTTGTTAAATTAAATGGAAATGTTTTTATAAATATTTATTTTTTAGTATTTTTCAAAAAAAAAGTTGCTCATTTTTAATACAAAAAATACACCCAAAGGGGTTTGAAGTAGAAGTTTTATTATTCTCTATATCCGGGTCAAAAAAAGCTAAAAATGGGACTAGAAAAGTTTGCCAACTCCCCACTTCCCTTGCCAGGTATGAAAAAATGGAGAGTTGCAAAAAAATTTACTGCGACAAGGAAATTTAAAAAATCAAAAAATGAGCAATTTATAAAAATCAAGAATACAATTTTAAAAATTCGGTAATTTTATAAAAAAAATCAAAAATGTTTTGAATAATAAAGACCCGAATGGCAATAAGGACAAAAAACTTTAAAGTAAAAAAACAATTATAATAAAATTCACTGGTAAAACTGGGTATTTTATACAAAATTTTGAAGTGAATTTGTGTAAAAACAAAAAATAATAATTGGACAAAAAACAGGCAGTTAGTTGGCCTTAAAATTAATATAGAAAAAAAGTAACGAGTAACAGGGATGTAAATTGAAATTAAAGAGAATTAAAGAACCCTCCAAAAGAATCCTTAAAAATCCTCATGTTTTTTCTAATTATTAACTCTTTTTTAATTCTGTTTTTGGTTAAACAATTATAATTTCAAATTTAAACATCCCTTGTTTTATCTTAAATTAAAAATACTTTAAAGGTGTCACGCTTAACAAAAAAACTAAAAAGGAAGATTATTTGTATTGCAAAATTAACAGAGTTACAAATGAGCACTGGTCATTGGTGAATCGATGCTATAAGCTTTAGAAATTAAAGGTAATTGCTGTTTTTGAATTGAATTGTTATTATTAATTGTTGTTGCTTTTCCTGTTTGTATTCCTTTATTATTTAAATTATATTTAGTAACTAAAGGTATTCTTTCATTTAATTCTCCATCTTCATTATTAGCGTTTACTCTACCACATTTAAAAGAAGATAGACAAGCAGAATTCGATCTATCAGAATGTTTTCTAGTAAAAAATTGTCGTCCATTTTCAACTACAACATTTTGTGGTGAAGGAGATGAAACAGAAACAGGCGTTGTCGATGTGGGAATTGGTGAATATTGAGGAGGGGGAGAAGAAGAAAGTAGTCTACTTCCCTCATCTGACTGAAGATTGTCATTATTATGGCACCCAATATTTCCAATTCCAATATTAAATTTTCCTTGACGAGAATGAAAAAATGGGTATTGTTGTGAAGAAAAGGAACAACCAGAGTTTCGCTTATGATGAGAACGATAACCTCTCATAGAATGAGTAGAATGAGCGCTGCTAATTGAATTATTGTGTTCGTCAAATTCATCAATTGAAGAGCGAAATGCCTTCACAACTCGCAACTTTAAAAAGAGAAATGTGTGAGAAAAAATAATAAAAGCGCGGCTAGAAATTAAATTAATTTTATTTTAAATCTATGCGTGTGGCCGTTTTAATTTTAATTTTCAAGTTATTAGTTGGAAATAAAGGAAACAAAGCGCTCTTTCCAGAACAGTTTCTGATAGGCTATGTGTGAAAGAAAATAGAAAATAGTATAAAAGCTAAAAGCACAGTATAAAAAAGCATTACATCAAATACATATTAATTAAAGCAAAAAAGTGAAAAGAAAATACTATTAATTTGAAAATTAAAAAAGCTAAATTAAAATTAGTAATTGAAAGTCTATTGCTGCCATATTCAATTGTCGATAATTTTGAACGTTATGGTTCATTTTTCAAAATAATTTTTTTCAAGAAAATCAAAATAAGATGTAATGTTTAAGTATTTTCGACTGATTTCCTTCTAATCTAAAGAATTTTCTGATGAAGCATTTTATGTTAATAAATATATACTAAAAATTTCAAAATCAAAATAAAAAACAAAAGCCGGCAGAATCTTCTTCTGTTAAATTATTAAAATCATTGAAATGAAGAACAAAGGAAAAAAATTAAAGCAGAAACTAAGGAGGGATATTAATGTTAAAATTTAATAAATTTTGTTTAAAAAACTAAAACGACCAACACACAAATTATAAAACTAATTTCAAAAAATATTTCCAGCGGCGCTTTTATTGGATAAAATACGCGGCATGTTGGGAAACAAATATGTATTGAGGTAGAAAAATGAAACTGTGCAATTTTAAATGTTAACAAGCATATAATTTTTTTGAAAAAAGAAAAGAATTTAAAGAAAAAGAATAAATTTAAATTTTTAAATTATTTTTCTATAATAAAATCAGTCAACTCTTTCCCACACTTATTTAAACAAAATTTAGGGACAGAGAAGGGCTGAAGTAATGGAGTAAATGGAAGATAATTAAAACTAAATTAACTAATTAAAAACAGGAAAAAAAACTAGGTAAAGGAAATTGGGGTTTTTGACCAAAATTTAGGGACAGACAAGGGCTAAAGTAATGGAGTATACAGAGAGCCAAAAAAAGCTAGTTTATCTGGCTTCTGAAAATAAATGTCAAAACGGTTCATTTTTTTCTTAACAAAAAAAAACTAATTTTATCCAGGTCGTCGAAGGACTTTTCTGGATACAACCAAGGAGTTAACATACATGGATAAAATTGTATAAAATGTGGAAGAGCCGACTGTACTGCATGGTTACAGATAGCTAAATTTTGAATAATAAAACAAATATACAATAATCAACTGAACAGATAATTTAATTTTATTATTATGTATCAGACATGAATAAAAAGAACAGATTATAGGATAAATATAATAATTGGAGAAAAAAACATTGAGCAAAAGCCAATATATATAATATAGGGAGAGAATATGTATAAACAAAAATACAATTAAAAAAGGCAAGGAATGTACCGGAAAAAGCGCAATGCTTTTCTTATTTCAAAGAAATTACACACATATTATTATTTAGTATTAACGCCGCTACGTCTAGATTTTATATTTTTTGATTTATTACTTGTCTTCTTATTAAAAAGGCAAATATCAGTGACCTGAGTTTGAAGTCGAGTAAGACCGCGAATCCACAGAATTTGTCCAGAACGTTTCTCATGGGGCTCTCCATCATCATCACCAGTTAGAATGTTGGCAGTTTCAGGTTCAACTTCTCCACCACCAATTGCTAAACCTTTTGGCAATCCTTTTGCTGGTATTGTAGCAACTACCTAAAGAAAAGAACAGTAGGGCAGGTTTAAAGGAGAAATTATGTTAATAATTAAATAAAATAAATCTTAAACTAAATCAGAAAAATTTAAACCTGAGCCCAAAGAAGAGAACCAACTCCAAATACAATACACCAAAGCCACTGCTCTACAGTTAATGGGTCAGTGTATAATGCATGACCACCAAATTCAATTATAAGAATCTGGACCAAAAATGTACTTATCCAAATAGCACAATAGATTGGATTGGTAGTTAAACCCTTAAAATAGTTTTAAAGAATTCATTTTGAAAATCAGAGGCAAAACAACCTTAAAGACATTTCTTTCTCCATGAATTTTACGTGCATTAACTTCGTTAAATAAAGTCATCATAACAAAAGTATTGAAGACAATAGTAAAATGCTGTCCAGGCGGAGCACGGAGTTGAGCTTTTAAATCACTTTCAATGCCAAACAACTTATGACCAGCAAATATTAAAGTAAATAGCACAGTTAATTGGTAGATTGCATGGCCAATAATATTCTTCATCATTGTTCGTGAAATTAATGGACTAAAAGACATAAATTAATACAGACATAAAAACTATGAAAATGTCATCTAATATACCTTGTTCTACCATAAGGCTTTCTCTTTAGCAAATCCTCAGTAGGTGGTTCAGTTGCAAGTGCAAGCGAAGCCAACGTATCCATAATCAGATTAACCCAAAGCATTTGAACAGCCTAGATAATATATATGTATTAAAATTTAATTTAATTAAAAAACCTTTATTGGTGTATCCTGAATAGCTAAAGCACCAACTAATGCAATAACAATAGCAACAACATTAACAGTTAATTGAAATTGAAGAAATTTGGCAATCGAATCATAAATATTTCTGCCCCACATTACAGCTTTAACTATAGAAGTGAAATTGTCGTCAGTTAATATAATATCTGAAGCTTCTTTAGCCACATCAGTTCCAGCAATTCCCTATAGAATTTTCAAATTAAAAACATTTTTAATCCAAATTAATAATTAGAACAAACCATTGCAAAACCAACATCTGCCTTCTTCAATGCAGGGCCATCATTCGTTCTAAATTTTAATTTTATGATAAAATATTTAAAAGTTGAAATTCAATGTACTAACAAGAAATATAAAAAAATTTACCCATCTCCTGTCACTGCAACAACTTCCCGATTTGCACTTAATTTGCTATCGATGATTCCTTTGACCAAAATATATTTATCTGTCGGTTGAGCCCGGGCTAGAACACGAAGTTTTGGCCAAACTAAATCAAGCTTTTCTTGCACAACTTCTCCCTCTTCGTTTCGAATTCTTTCATTAAAGTCCTTCCCCTCAAGTGCAATAAAATCCTCTCCCGGTTTCAAAATACCGCAAGATGTTGCAATCGAACGAGCCGTATTTATGTTGTCTCCAGTAACCATACGTACAACAATTCCTGCTCGTTGACATTTGGCAATTGCCTCAGGGACTTCTAAAAACATAAAAGATAAATAACAACATAATAAAGTAAACAAGACCTGGCCGAACGGGATCTTGAATGCCGATAATTGCAATTACAGTGAGATCATTTATAATACTATTTTCATCATCCCATTCAATTTCACCGTCATAAATGACTTCATTTCCTGCAGCTTGCTCATCTTTCTTCAAAATATAGTCCTTATAGGCCAAACAAATAGTTCTCAATCCATCAGAGGCCATTGGTTCAATAACATCACGCATCAATCGATCGTAGTTATGTTCAGAGAAGGGAGCCAACCCATTTTGTCCAAAAATCCATTTGCACTTTCGAAGAGTTATTTCTGATGCACCTTTACTGAATACTCTATAACCAAAAGTTGTTCCAAATCCATCTTTAAGTTCAATAACTGTTGACATTGATTTCCGCACAGAATTAAATGTATAAACCTAAAATTAAGTAAAATATAGAAATTTTAATAAAAAAATAAAAAGTTAAAAAACCTTAAAAATTAGTTCTTCAGGATATGCATCTCTAATTGTCTGATAACTCTGACCAAGTGAGAGAACAAAGCCGAGAAGTCCACACTCCGTCTTATTTCCAAGCTGTTGCATATTTTCTCCAACTTTTTTCGGAGGCAAAACTTGAGACGAATAACTTGAATTTATGGAAATGCAATGGATAAGCAAATCTCTCGTTTTTTCGTTAAGTTTTTCCCATTTTGGAGTATCTTTGTAAAGAACTTCTGAAATAAATAAAATTAAGTTAGAAAAAATAAACTGGCAATAATGATGTTTAAACCCACTTTTACCTGGATTTATTTTGCCTTACAGGTGAAAAAAATGGAACAAATCTAGACGAAGCTCAAACCTTACTACTGAAGAAAATTAAACACACCATTAATAAAACTTTGAACAGCAGTCATTCGATTTGTTGTTAATGTACCAGTTTTATCAGAACAAATAGTTGTAGCACTTCCCATTGTTTCACAAGCATCCAAATGTCTAACCAAATTATTATCTTTCATCATCTTCTTAACTGAATAAGCCAAAGAAAGTGTAACAGCCAGAGGAAGTCCTTCAGGAACAGCTACCACGAGAACTGTTACTCCAATAATTAAAAATTTGATGAAATAGTTCAAATTGGTGATGGAGAAAGGCTTATGAGCCACAAAATAATTTTCAATACAAAATCGAACGACCAAAATGAGCATAGTGCAGACAGCGACAAAAGATCCAGCATAACCGATTTGAATAGCTAAACGAGTCAATTTTGCTTGTAAAACAGAACGCTCCTTTTTTGTTGTCGCTATGTCAATTTCATTTTTTCCAGCAGTTGCTGCTCCTGAAGCAACTGCGCCATTATAGCCATCAAGTTTGATGTCTAAAAAACAAAAAAATTAAAAATATTTAAGATATAGAAAATGCAAATGTGAGACGAAAAAAATACAGACTGACCAACAAAAAAAGATAAAAATATTAAAGGAACATACTTTCTTCATTCTCCAAAAGTGCCTGTTTAGTTCCATCATCTATTGTAATTTCTGGAGGTTGTCGACCAATATCTCCATCTATTGGCAACGTAGAATTCGGAAGTTTCTCTCCTTAAAAAGTGCAATGATTTAAAAAAATGCAAAAAATATTTTCCATTGCAATTCCACCAACTTGTACAAGAGGAAAAATGGTAAAAATAAAAAATAGTGCATTACTAACAATCACAAGACAATGAAAATTGGGATAAAGTCAAAATGGTAATGGCAAAATTTTGAATTTATCAAAATACACTTTATCCTTATAATAACTCCTCATTTCTTCTACTAATGCCAGGTAAAAGCCCATCGGACACGAATACGGAAGTACCAGAAAGTATAGGGAAGAAAAATCATTCCTATAGGGAAGAAAAATCATTCCTTACCATTTTGTAGGGTCAGAAAAACATTTATAGAAAGAAAAAAGACAAAATTATATATTTTTCCTTACCATCCAAAGAATTGCCAGTGTAAGGAATTGAACGACGAATCCGAACTGTAACTTTTTAATTATAATAAAAGTTCGAAAAAGTAGTTATTTTTAAAAAGATAGAAAAGATTAAGATACTAAAAAGACAAATTAAATAACTTTAATGTACGAGTAAGGGAAAAATAGAAAAGATAAATTGGTGGAATAAAATGGAAAATTTTTTGGACCCCAAAAAATTAAATAAAAGCAAACCTGATGTTTTACTCCTCCTTCTTGTCTTTTTCTCTTCTTTTTGCTTTTCCTTCCGTTCATCTTCTAAAGCATTCTTCGCTGCACCAAGGAGAGTCATTATAATACCACTAAAATATATAAATAAGTAAACTTTAAAAAAATAAAATATACGTTTGAGAATTAACACCAACAGCAGTGATAACCATTCGACCACTGCCTTCCATAACTAAATTAGAAATTGTAGGTTCTTTTAATTTTAGTTTTATATTAATGAAAATCTGTACGAATGCTAGGGGGAAATTATCGTTTAATGATTTGGTAGTTTTATTAATTATACTGGGCTAAATTTGATATTAACAAGTTTTAAAGAAAAAAAACCACAAAAATATACACTCACAATCAGATGAAAATTAAATATTTAAATCAAAAAACGGACCGTGTGTACCAGACAAAAGCATAGGGTCATGCTCAACAGACTTCTTTATATGATCTGATTCCCCAGTAAGAGAAGACTCATCGATTTTAAGATCGTTGCTTTGAATCAAAATTCCATCAGTTGGGAGAAGATCACCTAAAATTAATTGAGAAAAGTAAAAACAAAATTAAAAGACCATATTTAATCTGAGCAATATCACCAACAACAAGTTCATTAACAATTACATGGAGTTGTTGCCCTTCACGGATAACAGCAAATTTGTGTTCTGTCTCAATCTTTTTTTGAAGACCTAAAATAATTTAAGAAACAAAATTTGTAATCAAAAATGAATCTAAAAAACCTCTGAATTGTCTTTCCTTTGTATAATCATTCATTGCTGTAACAAAAACAACTGCAATAACTGATACGAGAATGGCTGCACCTGAAAAAAAATAATTTAAAAAAAATAGAAGAAAGGAAAATCAAACCTTCAATCCAACCCGCTTCTTGTTCAGAATCATCACTTGCTAAATAATTAGGTAAATAAACATTTCAAAAATTTAAGTAACTTACAGCCTCCCTCTTCTTCTTGTGGACGGTAAAAAGTAAGAGCAAGTGAAACAGCGGCAGCAATGAGCAGGATAATTAATGTGACATCCTAAAATGTGCATTTTTTTTATCAATTAGGAGTTTTGGAAAAACGGTGTTTTGTGCTAAAACGAATAAAAAAAGTAAAACAAACTTGAATAGCTTCATAGACCAACATAAAAATTGATTTAGGAGGGTGAGGAGGAATTTCATTTTTGCCAAATACTTGTCGTCGCCTTAAAATGTAAATTTTCAGTCATTTAAGAAAAAAAGTGCCCGTAAAAACAACCCCCCTTTTCACCTATTCTTTAGTAAGTTTTGGATTTCGTTCGGAACCTACGTTTGTTATTTTGCTATTTAGGTCTGTTATATAGGACGTTATATTTTAAAATTATGTAGCAAGCCAAAAAATATGCCAATAATCCTGGTCCCAGACTTACAATTAGTTAGACAAGTCTACAAAATCCGAAACTAACCATAAAAAATAAATGAAAGCAAAAAAGGAGAGCTTAGACTATCAAAATCAAACAAAAAATTAAAAGAGTAATTCATCAGACCTGTGAAGTTCATCTGCATTATTAGAAATGCCATTATTAGGATCTGTTTGAAGTCGTTGACAAAATCCATCTGTGCCACCATAATCTGTATTAATCTTCTCCCTTGCCTCATCTCCACGAAATTCCATCAAAGTTCTGAGATCTTCCAATGTAACATCGAACGGCGGAAACGAACCACCAGTAGAGGCACGACCTCTATGTGGAGTCATTGATTTCTAAACTAAAATATAGATTAAATTAATCCCGAAATTTAGAATAAATATGATATTAGAACAAATACAGGGTGCGGCATAAGTAACCGGACACTTGTTTTCTCTCATAACTTTATTAAAACACAATCAAATAAAATCAAAATACAATCAGATGATAGAGAATTAAATAAGGAACAAAAATAATCAAGAAGTTTCGAAATGCCCACCCTTGGCTTTGATACAGAGGCGAAGGCGCGAAGAAAAATTTTCGCAAATAGCACGCACCTCTTTGAGTGTAATTAAGTCCCACTCCCGGGTGAGAGAATGGCGCAGAGACACCAAACTTTTTTGAGGCTTAGCACAGACCCTGGACTCCAAAATTGACCAAACAGAATAATCCTCGGGTTTATATCCGGGGAGTGGGGCGGTAATTCCTGAGCGCTGATGAACCCAGGAAAATTGGCCTTGCACCAGTCCTGAACTTCTTTCGCCTTGTGTGCCGGAGCAGAGTCCTGTTGGAAAATCTAGACCCTGCGACCGAAATGGCTCTTGAACCGAGGCTTCAGAACACTCTAAAAGATTTTCCGCAAGTAATAGTCTTTGTTGACTTTTACCCCAGGATCCACGAAAATAAGGGGTTTTTTGCCTTACGCCCAAATACCGGCCCAAACCATGACAGATTGGGGATGTTGGGAATGAGTGATAAGCTTATCGGAAAGAGGAGATTCTGTAGTCCAGATTCTATAATTTTGATGGTTGTGAACGGCTTTTATTGTAAAAATTTTTTCGTCTGTGAAAAAAATGTCCGGACATGCGTGCCACTGGAGGAGCAGTTTGCATCTTTCAAGCCTAACTTTTTTGGTTTTTTTGGTTAGAAGTTGTGCTTTTTGGATATTGTAGGGGTTTAACCCAAGTTCATTTTTGGCTATTTGTCTGACGGTCATCTCACTTATTCCGGTTTCACGAGCCAATTTTCTCATGGAGGGTCGAGAATTGCGATGCACCCACATTTTGATCATTTTGATATTCTTGGAAGTGATTACGGAACGAGGTCTTCCACTTTTTTGTAAGTTCTTAGTTGTGCCATCATTATTAAATTAATTTCAAAAAAATTTTCTCCCAAAAAATTTTCACCAGAATTTTTTGAAAGTGTATTGCACAGTGATTTTTGGGACATCCAAATGAGGTGAAATTTTGCGGACAGAATTTTTTGCCAAAAAAGTGAAACTATTAGAATCACATTGACTAGCCATAATAGAGAATTGAATGAGCTAAAAAATAAGCCTAAAATCTATTAAAAATATTGACAACAAAAAAAGTTATGAGGATTTTAAAAGTGTCCGGTTACTTATGCCGCACCCTGTAGAATAATGGTGAAAGAAGTGGATAAGACACTTAAAAGGAGAATAAAAAATGAGATTTGATGAATTTGCTGAAGAAAGAAATATATCCGAATTAGTTGAAAATCCAAAAAGTTATGGCCAAAATATGGCTCCAGGACTCGACCGCCGGGACTCGATGATCCCTTCCCAAAATTTGCAACACGGACACTTTGCCGCGACTAAATAGGTATTAAAATTAGGTATACTATATTTCAAAAAAATCATTCACATTTATAAAAGGATCAAATTTTAATACATATTTTGTCTGATCCCTTTCTAAATCACAACATATAAAATATTTTGAGAGAAAGAGAAAATATTTAAGTATTTATTTTAAATTTTATTAATGTTCATGCGCGAGTCAATTTTTTAATAAATATAGAAATAGGATCAGAGACAAACCCGTGCGAACAGCTGAAGTATTACAAAAACATTTTTATGAAAGTTTACTTCGTTTAAAATCATCCTCCTATCTTACTGATTTTGGTATCAATCGGCTTGATTGATAATGCATTTTTTAAAATTCTGCCTAAGAAATTTAGTAAAACTGCAACCTTTTCTCAAATTTATATACAAAGAATATCCGTATCTCGGTTCATTGACGAGATAGCGGACTTGTTTTGTCATTCTAATGAGTTCGAAGACTGATTCGAATAATATAAAACTTGTTCATACTAAAATCTAAGCCTTAAATATAAGCCAAATTCTATCAAAAAATATTGCTTAAAGAGCGAAAATTAATCGGATTAAATTATAAATATTAGTACAGAAGCTATTTTGAATCAAAAAGTTGGCTAAAGCGTTGTGAATTGTATAAAAAAGAATTATCAATTTTTGTGGAAATATTAAAAACAAATCGCGCGCCTAATTTTCCTCGCCCCTTATTTATATAGATGTAAAAAGAAATAAAAAAAAATTGAAGAAAATATTAAGAGTAAAAAAAGATTGATAGCAATCGAATTTTATTTTTACAACATACCAGAGGCACAAAAACGTTATCTTTTTCCAAATTCTAATTTAAAATGATGATAAGGCAATTTTGGTTTAAAAAGACAAAATGACTAATGAAATAATATTTAAAAGAAATTAAATTGAATTCATTCAGTTGTTGTTGTTTTTTAATATTTTTAAGTCTAAAATTGGTGTTAAAAAATTTAGAATTTTTTGTGATTATTTTCTAATATGTTAAGCTTCACAAAAAGGGATAATCATAATTTCGAAAATAAGTTTGGATATTTATCTAGTATTTGTTGGGAGTATCTTATAGGCGGCTCGATAACGTTTGCTCCTTATCAAGCAAATGATTATCTCATTGTTAATATCTTTGTGCAAAAAGGATAAAAATCAAATAAAAGCAAGAAATCTCTCTCAGATTTTACAAATTAATCAATTTCCAACCGTTAAAGTATTTTTGTCTGTTTTTAAAGTTTAAAAAGAAGGAAACATAAAAAAATTTATTTTTATTTTTTAACTGCGTCAGCTGCTACTAAAAATAAAAATGAAAAAATACTTTAATAGTATACATTTTGATCGGTCATTGACTTGAGAGTGTTTTCTGGACAACTTTTAATAAATAGATACGGGTTGGGTCTTTTTGGCGCTACTTTAATGACGCAAATGAAGGAAAATTGGAAGTCGAGAATCGAAAATCAGAATAAAAATCAGAATTGAGAAAATGTTCGACGGTCACGCCTTTATGGCAGAATCAAAACGTTCAATAGATGTTAGTAGAAACAGATGATAAACAGATGTACTACTTTGTTCTGAAATGTTGGGAGGATTTATAGATTAAAAAGTGAAGAGAAGACAAATTGTGGTAGTAAATGTGGAGGAGGATTTGAAAGTTGTTTTGAGAGAATATAAATTTTTAATTGAAAAAAACCTAAAGTAATAAATACTTTCTTCAAGGCCCACCAATATAAAATTGGTTTATATTAATAAGGGGTTGGTTTATCCTATTGGTGTTTCAAATAAAATTGGTGTGTTACTATAAAAATTTAATGAAATTAAAGGAAAAATCTCCAAACAATTTAAGGGAGATTTGCAAAAATAAGGTTTATGTACAAGACAGAAACAAGTATTTTAACTAATTAACTAAAAATTCATTATAAAATTTATTCTAAAAGTTAAAAAATTTTTCTTAAAATTTTTTTAAATTTTCCACATTTTTTCCATCTTTCAATTGCGGCATTTATTTTGAAAGGTTTGGAAAAAATTGGAAATCGACTACTACTCTACTACATACAAGTATTTTCAACGAATCATAAAAATACTAATAGTGGGCCATTATGAAAAGAGAGGAGAAAGCTAAATAAAAGAGAAGAATGAAAAGAAAAATAAAAAGAAAAATAAAGGCGGACTGGCTCTAAAATGCTTTTTTATACAACTAGAGCAGCCTAGTGGCAATAATATGTACATGAATATAACTACTAAAAAGGCTACAAAAAATATTTATATAAAAACCCTTTCTTTCTCTTTTTTGCTTCTGAATTCCCTTAGAAATTAACATATGTATTTTTATATGTCGCAATGCTGAAGCTGACAATGAAAAGCGCGGTTTTTGCATGCCAAGAATTGTATGGCACTGCCCAAATGGTTATCAAACAACTTTTACTTTTGTGTTTAAATGAGAAGATTGAGAGAGATAAAAGTCCTATAAAGAGAGAATAAGGCGCCTCAAAATGGTATTTGGACAAAATAATACTGGGGACAAAATTGCCAGTCTAGTACCATTTTGTCTTAACCAAGTGTGTCAAACAGAGAAAAACGTAAAAAGAAAATATGTGCAAGTCAAGGAAAAAATAAAAAGAGAATAACAAAACATAACTCTAACAATGTTTTGTATCTAAAACAACAATAGTGCATTAAAAAGGTGGGCCAAAATGGAAAGTGAGAGGGAAGGAGTGTTTGACGTCAGCGATTGAGACTGACTAAATGAAAAAATTAAAATGGATATGTAATACTGTCTTTGTCTTTAGATTAAAGCTGTTTTCTTGATATAAAAATTAGACAAATATCACAACCCTATGGAAATTTTGGGGAATAATTTTTATTTTTTTGGCTACTAATCGTGCAACTTTTGTTTGCCCCAGTGGAAGTGCGGGTGTCGAGAAAAATGTCTATTTGTTCCAATTCAGGTTAAGCTTTATCCGAAAATGTCAGTCAGCTCAAAAATAGAGTCAACGATCCACACAGTTACAAAAATAGCTACAACAAAAACCGGAAGTAGCAAAACTATCTCCATATATTTAATGAAGCATGATATAATTTTTGGTATGAGATTTTTAATATTAATTCCCAAATAAAGAGAATTCTCACATTTTAGGCAATTTAAAAGAATTCTAATTTTTATTTTCAGTTATTTAGAAAATGTGAAAAATTAAAAAGAAAAAAAATAAGGAAACCTTTAAATAGAAAATAATTAACTAAAAAATAAAATATTTTTTAATAATTAGAAAATAAAAAAATTAAAAAAAATAGAAGCTAATTGTTGCTAATTGTAATTTACTGGAAGTAAATTGCATATAACACTTGAGGCTATCAACTTGAGGCCGGAGGAAGTAATAAATAGATAGGGCAATTAACTGGGCCAGGGCACTTAATAAAGTAAATACTATAGAATTAGCTAAAAATATTTTAAAAACATGTCCAACAGGAGTAATAATCTTAATTTGATCACGATACCTACAACAATATCTTTGCTTAATACCTCCAAAAGTATCGCTCACAACTCGTTTAAAAATCTTAAAATCTCACCAATTTTTATACGAATCGAATTTGCTCGTCGAGTTGTATCGAACGAGATATCATGCCCTTATCACGTCAAGACAGGTTTAAAGTCAGCGAGTTTTAAATTTTATTTTACCTAAAACTCATGAAAAACTGCAGGTATGTACACGAATAATACAAAAAAAAAGTCCAAAATATCCAAAATAGCTTTTTTGAACACTTTACTTTATTCCGAAATTGCAGAAAAAATTCATTTAACTAAAAATCCGGACTTTGTACTAATCAGAATCTAATTGTTTAAATTTCAAAAAAAAACATTTTAATTAAATCTCTTTTTAAAAAATTCTTTTAAAGGTTTCCCCATATGTACTTTATTTTGCTAATAATATGCTTGCTATTAAAAAAAGAGCAAGCAGTAAATAAAAAGAAGCCTTGGAAAAAGAGAATTGGACGAATTAAAAAAACAAAATCGATGAAAACCAGAAATGGGTCAGAGCTATTTGGACGAGAAAAAGCCTAAAAATGCACAAAATCTTCTTTTTGGAGACTTTCAAAAAAGAGAGAAGAGGAGGGGGAGGGGGAAGGGGGGAGGGGGGGTAGGGGGAGTATGGGAAATAAAAGTAGAAAATGAAAAATGGACAGAAAAATGGCAAAAAATGGAGGAGGAATGGGGGGAGGTTTTTAGTAGAAAAAAAAAGAATAAATGGAAAAATAGTAAAAATATTACTAAAAGGGAAGAGGAAAAAATATTATTAAAGTTGTAAAAAACGAAGGGGGAAATAAATAAAAATATTTAAAGTACCTACAATTTATTGGTGGCTAAAAGGTAAAAAATAATATTATTGAATAAAGGTTTTTTTTGAGTTTTTTGGGTTGACTTTTAAATAAAAATATTTTTGTGTAAATAATTCAATTAATTAATTAAGTACAATTGAATTTCGATGGGACCTACTCTCGGAGACCGAATTGAGGTTAGCGTGGAGCCGTCATCATGATTTGTCTACATCATTTAAAATTAGGTATATTTTCAAAATTAAAAAAATATTTAACTTAATTTTTTATTTTATTCTTTATATTTTTTTTATTTTTACTTCTTTTTAAAAAATATATTTTTTTAGCTAAATATTTTTAAAAATATAAGGATTTACCAGATGTGGGAAATTTTCCTGCTGCGAGTCAAAAATGAAATAAACAAAAAACTTTTTGAACACTTTTTAAACAAATCTTTTTAAAAATAATTTTCATTATAAAATTAAATTATTGTCGAAGGGAGTGGAGGGGTGAGCCTTAAAATAATTGAAATATTTAGTTTTATTTTTTAATTTTTTTAAATTAAACATCCAATGAATTTTGATATTAATTTGTAGAGAATTATTTAATTTTAGGAAAATTTTGATTTTTTAAAAAGCCTTAATTAAAATATTTTAAACAAAACGACCTCCCGCCAGTCAAAATTGTTATTTTAATGTTTTCAATACCTGCCCCCCCCCCCACAATTAATTACTGTGTCCAATTAATTCTTAAAAATTTCCTTAAATTTAATTTGTTTTAAAATAAATAAACTTTATGTATCCCACACTTATTTTTATAAAAAAATTTATTTTTGCATGAACAGAAGACGTAAAATTTGAAATTCGAGAAGTAATTGAATGCGAGGGTGGGAAAATAGAATTTAAAAAAAAGAGAATATTGGAAGAAAAATTAAAATAAAATTTTTTAAAATTATTTTTATTTAAATATATTATAAATAAAATACCTGATTATTTTATTTTCTTATTTTATTTTTCTTATCATTTAAAATAGATTTTATCGAAAAAGAATGACGCAAATTGTCTTTTATTTTTATTTAATAAATTGTTAGAAAAGTAATTTAAATTTATTAAAGTTATGTAATAGAAAAATTAAATTAATTTAAATAAATTAAATGGTTTTTGGTGATTTTGTGAAATTTAGAATGGGTTGTCCGAGATTAAAAATCAAAATTTATTGATGAAAATGAAAGTCTAATGCTAAATTAAATATTTATTTTCAATTTTCGTCTTTAGCTTTCAAAACAAAACTGCCTCTCGTGCAGAGATCTATTTATAGACAAGACAAGGGTTGCTCGGGATTTGTCAAAGTCGACGAACACGGGAATAACAGTTCAAATTAGAAAGTACAATGTTGTCGAAAGTGGATCGGGCTGGAGCAGACTAAGGAGACTAAAGGATCAATTAGACTGACACTGACACTGGCCTTTATATTAATAATCCCACTGCAAAATAGATCGGCTGGAGCAGAGATCTATTTATAGAATGTTGATAGAAATCACACAAAAAAATGTTGATAGAAATCACACAAATGTCGAAAGTCTGGTTTCAGTTTTCCTGTTGTTATTTTAATACCAATCCTATGCAAAAAAACTTTAAAATAATTATTTATAATTTATTTATTTTCTATTACATCAACTAAAATCTTTAAAAAACATTAATAAATTTAAATATACTACTTCTTTTTTATTATTTTCTAGACATTTAAATAAATTTACTTTTATTTTTATTTAAGTAAAAAACCAAAATGCAATTTGCCGTGACGAAGAATTTTCAATTTTATTTTATTTTTATTTGAAAAATTCAATGAGCAGTCATAAACAAAATTACAGAAAAATTGCACTTTAAACGTCATATAAAAAGGAAGCTGAAAATAAAGGGGGAAGAAAGAAGTATTTTTTAAAGAAAAAAAATAATTTAAATAAAAAAATATTAATATGTATGTATATGTATGTATAATAATTTATCTGTCTCCGATTATTAAGGAGACATAAAAAAAGGAAAATTTTTTCTAGAAAAGTTTAAAGGCATTGATGATCAAAAATTTAAATTGTCCTTCAATTCCTCTCTAAAATATAAAAAAAAACTTTTTGATAAGAGACGAAAACGAAAACTCGAAGAGCTACAGGTCATCAAAACTTTTTGAAGTGAAAATGTAAATTTTAAAAAAACTAAATTAAAAGAGCTCAATTGGGTCAAACATAATTTGAAACAAAATTTATTCCTTATTAAAAGAGAACACAATCGACAAAAGAATAAAATTAGAAAGGAATAAAGAAAAATCATTAAATTAGGAAAGGATTGATTGGTCGTTTTGGTTAGTAGATCAAATAAATTCTGCGCAAACGGAAAAGGTGAAAAACAGAAAAAATCAGCAGGAAAAATATTTTTTTTCTTTTGTTATTTCTTTTGTGCCCTAAGGAAAATATTTTACTGAACAGGCCAGATCAACCAGTCATTGTTGTGAGAGAAAGAAGAACTTGTTAAATTCTCTCCTTCCCTTCACTACCTATTAATTCCTTTTTTCTTCTTCCTCTGCGCATCTTTTTTTAATATTATAGGCATCTCAGCTGGTTTTTGGTTATTTACATTACCTAAATGATTGCACCTTTAGAATTATTTTTTCCGTAAAAATAATTTAAAAACCTGCAAAAATAAATTAATTTGGTAAAAATTAATTTTAATCGATCCAAAAATTCTAAAAAAATTTTAAGATTTTCACCTTTCAGAATGTTTTTTACAAAATTTTGGCATTTTTAAATTTGTTACTGGATGGGGGAATGCCTAATCTATACTTCACTTTATAAGAAATCTCATTATGAGATACAAATTTTTATATTTCATAGTTTAGGTTCGCCCACAAAAAAATTAATAAAAAAAGATTGATTAGATTTTGTTCGCCAAATAAATTTACTTGTGCTATTTATTATTTTAAATTAATTACCAAAACAGAACCTTTAAAATCTTAAAAAATAAATATATTAATTCGCCCAACAATTTTTTTCTTTTCATCTTCTTTATTTTTTAATTCACGCATTTTTCTCTCAAAGAGTATTCAGTTAACTATAAATTTAATGGCCAAAAATTAACAGTTTATTTTTAGAAATTTTTATTTAAAATTAACTCAAAAGAATGGAATCCTTTTGATAGGCCGATTTTTTAAATGAAAATGGCTATTTTAAAGTTATTGGATTTATATATCAGATTATGTATCAGATTCACTAATGAAATCTTCTGATATCTAGAACTGAATTTTGAAATTTCACTTAAAATTTTGTTACTTTTTAGCGCTGCAGGCAAAATTTTTAGTTTTTTCTGAAATTCCCCGAACCAACAACCCTTGACGAATTAGGGGATGGGAGAGGGAGAAGGATATAGCCATTTCTTCAGTCTGTAACTTTAACCATTTCTCGCCTTAAAAATAATTTTAATTAAAACACCAAATTTCTTTATTTTATTTAAAAGTACTTTTAATAAACTAATTGGGTAGACAAGTTTTGATTTTAAATATTTTATTACAATTTACATTTCAATTTTAAAATATTAGAATAACAATTAATATACTTCCTTTTTAAATTTAAAAATTAAATTTTTTATTTACATTTTTTAAACTTATAACTTCATTTATAATTAATCAACCATTCTCATTAGAAATTTTTTAGTTAATTAATTTAATTAATTAATTAATTCATTTTACATTCAGCCTTATTTTGAGAGATTTTTTTTAATTTGGTTGGTTACTGGGTGGAAGGGAACTGTCTAAACTATACCCCCTATTTATAGGGGTACGATGTTTCCGATCACAATAGTAAGGTTGTCGGTTCCGGGTATCCTGAACTGTAAAAGCCTCGGGTATCTGGAAATTTTTGGTTCGGTTATTGGTTCCGGTTTCGGATATCCGAAGATATCCCAGGACCTCCAACCTTACCATAACTGTGTATTTTCTATTAAGGTTCACTTGCGAAATACTGATAATTTTTGTCTTGTTAAATTTATTATTAATTATTTAATTTTAAAATTTTTAAAGCAAATTTAGTTTTAAAATGAGATTAAAAATTATTTTATTTTTATTTATTAATTATTTAAATAAATATAATAATGCTCAAGAAGGTGCTTTTAGAAAGAATTACATTGTAGAGAAAAATCAGACTTGGAATGGACATTTTTATATTTTACGTGATGAACAACCCTTCTTTAGAGTTTTCCATGAAACACATAGAAAGGTAAAAAAATAAAGAAATTTTTAAATAAATATATTTTAAGTCTTAATATTTATTTTAAAAGTATTAGAATTATAAAAAATATTTAAAAAAATAATTATCTTTTTTTCTTGTAAATTTATGAAATAATTAGGCTGACAGGCCGCCAGACTATATACCAACATCTATGAAAACACCTATGAATAAAGTTAAGTTGTAAAGATTGCTGTGTTTTTCTTTCAGATTTTTAAAATAAAAATGGGATGGTAATCAGAAATTGTTATTGATAATAGTAGAAGATTTGCCTCGATTCTTTCTATCCGAAAAAATCATTTTCCGCTTATTTTCGATGTTCTCATTTATGATAACAAACAAAAAAGTGATTAAATTAATTTAAATTAGGTATTCCGTGATAATCCAAATGCGGGTAGAATGTCTAACGAACCTCCCTCAATAGATGCTCAATTAATGGAAGAACACGGAAGTGATCAACGTTTGAGGTAATTAATTTAAAACGGGACTTGGAATAAAATAATTCCCGTAAGTTTCTTGTAATTTTATCTGTACCGATTTAGCCCTTGTACCATTCTGTCTATAGAATAATTCTATTGTTTTAAGTTTGTCAGGAAAGGTTTAGATTTGTGGGAGATTGAAGGCTGCCTTTGGGAGTCAGTTTGTGGTATTAGAAAGTGAACCAAATATCACCCCTAATTTAGCCAAAAAATAACAATTTATTTAAAAGAGAGGCTGCTCAATTTTGGCATGAACATAATCAAAAATTAATACATAATCAAACAAATAATCAACAACAAAAACATTTAGAACACAATTATCCTTTTCAAAGACGAGTTAAACGTGCAGAAAAATCACAAAATAATAATTTAATAAAAGATGATTCAAAAACTTTAAATGAATTAGAAATATTAACAAAATCATTAAATTCCCAACAAAGAAAATGGATGAAAGCCGCGTTAAATGAAATAATGAAGGAAGGAGGGGGAGGGGAAGGAGAACAAAATAATGAAGATAATATACAGGATAATTCTATGGTTTTAACTGTTATTGAAAGAAATCAAAATAAGTAAGGGAGGGGAGGGTTTTATTCTTTAATTCCAACAAAGGATATCGCTAATAATCGAATAATTAATTAAAAATATTCGAATAATTATTTTACATTATTTTTTAAAAATTTTTTTTAAATTTTTTTAAATTAATTTTACTATATTTAATTATTAAAGATCCGAAGCTAAATTTGGCCATCACCACCTACCCGCTGGCGAACAAAAAGATTCGGCTACATGGCCGTGGCAACTTTGGCCTTTTATGCATTGTTTAACTTTAGAATGTATTTGCCCTTTATTTAGAGGTTTTTTGGGAAAAAAAATTTTTTTTTAAAATTTCAAAAATTATTAGGAGACGTTTCTGGCAATCAATGTATTTTACCTAATGGAAAACCTTTACAAAGAGCAATTCGAAAAGAATTTCGGACTCTTAATTCTGAAGAAATGGCTTTGTTTTTGGAGACTATGAGAAGATTTAAAAAGAGTGGTTATTACTCTCGTTTGGGTAAAAAAAATAATTTAATTTTAATTATATGTCTTATCCCTCCAAAGCGGATATAAAATAAACTTTCTACCTTTTCACATCACCAACTTTTAAATTAAAATATTTTGAAATCTTTAATATTATAAATTCTAATTCTTCTATAATATTTATTATTTTCAAAGGAATGATTCACCGAAGATCAGGCGTCCATTCAGGTCCTTCCTTCTTTCCGTGGCACAGAGAATTTCTTAAAAGGTATTTAAATATAATTAAATTAATTTATTTTTAATTTTTAGATTAGAGATTGTTTATCGTTCTTTTCACCCTGAAAACACAGTAAATTAAAAATTAAAGTAAAAATTCAGACATTTCTTTAGGACCCAGTACTTGGACTTCCTTACTGGGACAGCTCTTTGGATGGAGGTAGATAAATAAAATAAATAATAAAAAATTATTTCCCTTTTTTAGGACTTCCTGCACCGGAAGATTCAATTATGTTTAGTGATTATGTACTAAATATTTATTTTTTAAATGTAAATTTAATTTTTTCTTATAAAGTTGCTTGGTGAAGCTGACGATTTTGGTTTTGTTACAAACGGGCTTTTTGCTAATTGGACAACTATGGATGTAAATATAACAGAATTTTAAATATTCAGAATTCTGATTATAAAAATATAAGAATTAAAAAAACAGAATTATTAATTTTAAATTAATCAGAATTTTGTTTTAATAATTCTGATATTTTTATTTAAAGGGCAGACATTCATTTCAACGAATGTTTGGAGATCAGGAAGATGGTAAAAATAAATAAATTATCTCAAACATTTTTTTTGTATATTTTTAAAGGTGAATTTTTCAATGAAGGCAGAATTGATTATGTGCTTTCACAAACTAGTGTAGATAAAGTTTTGACATATTCTTTACCTTTACATGTAAAAATAAACTTAAAAAAATTAAAACAAAATATTTTTTATAGACTTGTGTTAATTATGAATTAGATGACCGTTTTCTTGAATATTCACATGATTATGTTCATTATTTTATTAGTGGAGATATGCAGGAACGTTTTAGTTCAAGCAATGATCCTATCTTCTTTATGCATCATGGTCTTTAAATTTATTATCAATTTATGTATTGTAAGGATGATTCACCCAGCAGCATTTAAAACGCTTAGGCGGGGGATAAACGATCTAAAAAGGAAAAAGAGAAAGCATCAGTCGATGCCCCGGTAGCTCAGAGGTAGAGCTCCTGCATATAGTGAGCGAAAGATGCCCTATCATTGTTAAGACGCCCTATCTGACGCCCTATCATTGTTCAATTCGGATCACTAGCTTACTCCATGTGACAGAGTAAGCTCGCAGCGGACTGACCTGTTTGATCTTAAAAACATCTTGATCGTAAGGTATCTTATTATTACTTATATTTTTGAAGGTTTCGTTGACTCAGTTTGGGAAATGTGGAGACAAAAAAGACAAACTAGATTTCAACGAGAACGTGACTATCCACGTGATGATGGGGAATGTATGCCAGAATGGCACTTTTCTGATGCTTTTATGCCAATGCTGCAACCTTTACGAAATCTGGGTTTTTAAATTATTTTTTTCTGAAAATTAAAAAATTAATTTTATAAAATAGATGCTCTTTCTAATAATTATACCGATAATATGTATGAGTATGCTAAAAGGCCTTCCTGCCCTAATGGAGACTCAGAGGAATGTGGAAATACAAAGTGGGTTTAATTAAAGAAAAGAATCTGATTATTAGTTTGGACTCACTACAAAATATACCTCTGGGCTGAACAATCGTATCTTATAATGAGGATATTTTAAATTAGGGGTATTGCTTAAGCTAAAATTGAATTTTATCCTTTTGGTGTGAGTTCTGACATTTATTTTTCCTAAAATCTAGATTTCTTTGGTGTGATGTAAAAACAAATATTGGACATCCAGTTTGCTTAGCAAAAGTTAAGCCTGGTGGAAATTGTAAAGGATTTGAATGGTCTACTGAAATTTGTTATAATGGACAGTGTTTAGAAGGGCGGTGTACTCGAGTACTTGAACAACAAAATAAAAAACATTCAAAATATGAAAAACAACAAAAGCAAATTGATAAAGTTTATGAACATTGGCACACAGAAAGTTTTATGAGACGATAAATCTCAGATTAAAAATTAAGTACATATCTCCAATATTTTGTAGTAACATTTTTATTATCCCTTGCCATTTGTTAAATACAAAATTTTGGATTAATCGGGTAAATAAAATTTTGTAGTGATAAATACTTTCATTAATTGATTAAATATTTAAAAATGATAATAAAAGATATTGTTATTATTAAATGAAATTAGTTTTCTGAAGTCCTGTTTTAGAAATATCTGAAGGTATAAATTGGGTAATAAATTGGATATGGAATAGAATCATTATACAAATAAACAATTCAGATAGAGTCTGATTTTGGATCAATCGGGTAAATAAATCAAAGATTTTAGGACGTATTCCCAAAAAACCAAATCTCTTTGGGTTTCATCTTTTGGTCTCTGAAAATTAAAAATCTGTTCCTCCTATTTTCTCGGGTAACAACTCTAATCCAAAGGTTATATTTGTTAGGTATGTGCTGGGTCTAGTATAAAAGGAGTCGTTAGAGATCAGTCTTGGTCGACACCTGGGTCGACCGGCGCCGTCTGTCCTTATTCATTCTTGCCTTTTGCCACCTTCACTATTGTTGTATTTACTATTCGGATAAACGTTATATTCCATTCTTGTGTTATTCTGTTTGTCACTAGGTAAGACCGCTACCCTAGGACATAACAGTGGCGCGGTCGCAGTAGTGAATCTTTTGATTCACAATTCGGACATTATTCGGATTATTCAAATTCGGGGGATTATTCGGAGATTCGCAGAGCACATCAGAGTCTTATTCAGAGGAGAGGCGTCAGTTGAAGTGTGGCAGGCATTCAAGCCGATCGAATTCATCTATTCGACAAGGCCTAGCAAGCCTTAGTCAATTCTAGTCAAGTTAGATAGAACACAGTTGGTGTTAAAGATTGTAGATTTTATTCGGACCAATTCGAGATTTGAAAATATAGTTGTAATTATTCGGTCCAGAAATTTTGTTGAAAGATTATTCGATGAATTCGAGCTTGATCATCAGGAGCAGAGTGAAGGAGCAAGTTGTATTCAGTATTTTGATTATATGAGGAACCGCAGTCATGGGCAAGATGTAAGTCCCGATTATTTGTTTATTCAAGGCCGCAATGAGTAAGTCGGTCAAGTGGACGTAAGCCGGTCAAGTATTATTCAAGTCTGAGACAATTATTTAGTCGCTCCAGAGAAGTTAGTAGATAAAATTTTATTATTCGCTCCATTGATGAATTCCTATGGCATTATTCAGTTTGATTGAGAAAGTATTCAGTTATTCAAAAGAGATTATTCGAGAGAATTTAAAAGTTAGTCAAAATGCCATTTAGGTAGTTATTCGCCCAAGTATTAGAAAGTAGGGCAGTATTATTCAGGGAATTGGTGAAAATCCCTACCCAGTGTTGGGTTGATTCAGATTATTCGATGTGCTTCTGCTTTGTTTGGATGTTTAGAAGTTAGATGTTGATGAGAGTTTTTTTTGGGACATTTGTGATAATTGTGATAAAATTTTGTTTTGTTGTAAATTTTTTGTTTTCCCCCAAAATGTTTGTAAATTTTTTGTCCCATTGTATTCAAGGCGGTGTCATTCTGTTATTCGATTCGAGAAGATTATTCAAATCGGACCCAACCTAACAATTCTATTCAGTAGCAAATTATTCAAGTTAGTCCCTAACTTTTTTTAAAGGAGGGAGATGTTAGGTATGTGCTGGGTCTAGTATAAAAGGAGTCGTTAGAGATCAGTCTTGGTCGACACCTGGGTCGACCGGCGCCGTCTGTCCTTATTCATTCTTGCCTTTTGCCACCTTCACTATTGTTGTATTTACTATTCGGATAAACGTTATATTCCATTCTTGTGTTATTCTGTTTGTCACTAGGTAAGACCGCTACCCTAGGACATAACAATATTTCACAGGACTAATTGGTTGTTTTTCTAGATACTATTCCTATTGTTAATATTTTATGATATTTATCCTAATTTTAATTTTTTTTCATTTAAAACAAAATGTTCCTTTAAAAAACACAGGAAATAAAATTTCATAAAAATATAAAATTCCACAAAAAATATTCATTAATTTTATATTCACAATTAAAGCCTTCTATTTATTTATTTCCTCTTTATTAGTATCATTTTCCTAAAAGGTGAATCCTCTCTTGCTAAAAAATATAGAAAAAAATAAAATTTTTGTTTGTTAGCTAATTGGTCTCGCTTTGCTTTTTTTTTTAAAAATTCCCTTCAATTTATTATTTCTTCAACAAAATTCAATGCTCAACCCGCCCCTTTATTTTATTTTAACTTCCCACGGGTTCTATTTCCCCTTCCCCCCCCCCCTCCCCCCTTAATACACAAAAATTTGTAAAATGCCTGAATTTGTATTTAGAAACACGCAGCTTGGCATATCAAAAAGAATAAAAAAGTTTATCAAGTTCACACACTCCTTTTTAAATAAATAAGTAATTTATTAATTAATTTAAGTTGAGGAATATTAAATTTTTAGTATTTTTTTATACAAATTTTATTCCTTTCAAAATTATTTTTGATTTTGAATTATTATGTGAATATTTCTAAATTTAAACTTTTTTCTATTAATTCCAATTAATTTAATTTAAGTTTTAAAAGATTTTCTTTACATTTAATATGTAAAAGAAAATTTAATTTTAGAAAATTTTTTTGCTTTTAATTTTTTTTTTCAAAAATCTAAAAAATTTACAAAAATGCCCAAAAATATTTCATAAAAATTTTTAATTTAATCTTTTCCAATCTAATACGGTAAAATCTTTATAGTATGGCGTCCTCTCACCTTTCTCTTCCTTCAGATGTCAACCTAATTCTTAAAGAGATTCCATTATTATATAGCTCGGATTTCCTCAAATTCTTCTAATAAAAATATTTTACACAAATTTTTTATTTAATCAAATTTCCTTTAGTCAATCAAAAAAAAGTTGTCTTCAATTCAATTTGTATTGTTTTCTCCTTTTCTCCCCCTTTCTTTTTTTTTTACTCAATTTTTATTTGCCAAAAGTTAACAAAACAATAACTAAATAAAACCTTGTATATTTTCTCCCCCTCCTTATTCTCCAAAAAATATTTTTTAAAATAAAATATTCTTTTACTAATTCCGCTAATTTGTTCATTCCCCCCTTTTTTCAAGATTTCTTTTTCTGTTCAATAATTCATAATCTTTTACTTTAATATATTCGACCTCACATTGTTAACATTTTCATGTCAATTTCTTGTTTAGTTTTATTTTTCTTTTGTTTTAATTTTTTAAAGTTTTTGTTTAAAACAAAATTAGATAGCTTACATAAATATAAAAAAATTTTTTTTCAAATTTAATAAAAAGGTTTGTTAATATTTAGTAAGCTTCTATGGAATAAATTAGGGGTTCGAATCAAGTCTCGACCGATTCTAAAATTTGTCCTTTGGATTATCCATATCGGTAAATGTCCAGTTGGCGGTCTACATGTCTGCAAAGAGAATCTGCCCTTTTCTTTCCTTTTCTTGCATTTTTTGCGCTGGGAGAAGTGCTCCGCTCATTTTTCCTTTTCTGCCATTTTCCTTCTCAATACAATATGTTTTTTTCTTCATACTTGCAAAATAAAAATACCTCTAATTAGAAAAAAATTATTTATTTTACAAATGATAAATTTTGGTCTATAAAAATTACAATGATAAATTCTGAAATGTAGGATTACAAAGCCACTTTCTGTGGCTTTGTAATAAGCCCAAAATAATGATCTAAAAAATTTCAAAATAATATTCAAGGAGGCATAATTTAATTTAATTTAATTTAATTTAATTTATTGAGTAAACCACAAAGTACATAAAAAAGTACAATTATAGTGGTAAAATAAAAAATAAATTTTTAAAATACTATAAGAAAATGTCATAATAAATTTATAAAAAAATGTCAATCTAGGAGGATAAGGGAGTTGCGAACTAAAACCTCTATTTTATAAAGTTATTAACAAGTACTCTAAATTTTTGCGAATTATATGTTTGTAAAATTTCATTAGGTAAGCTATTCCAGTTATTTATGATTCTATTAAAAAAATTATTTCTAGTTTTACCGTTAAACTTTTTGTTCCTTAAACAAAATATTTTCCTTTTAGCTTTTACTGCAAAATCAAAGTATTTTTGTGGGTCTAGATGCGTCTGTTTTGAAATAATTTTGTGCGCCATTACAAGATCGGCTACTTTTCTTCGATGGCTTAGTTGTTTTAGTTTGAATTTGTTAAGTCTTTGTTCATAAGGTAGTGGCGTTATTCCTGTGATTTTTAATGCTCTTCTTGTAAAATATTTTTGTACTCGCTCTATTTTATTAATTTGAAGAATTCTGTTTGGGTTCCAAATTTCAGTGGCATATTCAAGTTGAGGACGAATATAAGATTTATATACATTTATTAAAGTCTTAAATTCTCTAGTTTTTAATATTCTTAGTATTTGATAAGTTATAAAGTATGAATTTTTAACTATTTTATCAATATGTTTGTTAAATTTTAAGTTGTTATCAATTAGGATACCTAAGTCTCGTACGCAATCTGATGTGTTTAATGTTTGATTAAATATTTTATATTCCTGTTTAAGGTTTCCTTTTCCTATATAAAGTATTACACATTTCTTAATTGATATTTCTAAAAAGTTTGATATAACCCAATTTTGTAATATTGTTATTGATTCATTAAGATAATTAATATTAGAATCATTATTATGTGAAATATAAAGCTTTATATCATCTGCATATATTTTATAGCCTATTTCTTTTGGAAGGTTGACAGGGAAATCATTAATAAAGATTGTGAATAAAATAGGTCCCAAAACACTGCCCTGGGGAACACCTGAATATGTATGAAAAGATCTTGAAAACGAGTCATTTATTTTTACACGGTAGGATCGTCCTGTTACAAAATGCTTTATGAATTCAAAAATTTTTCCAGATATACCAGCATTTTTAACTTTTGTAAGTAATAAATTTATTGGAACTGTGTCAAAAGCTTTTTTTAAGTCGATATAAATTAC